AGCGTCTGGTGGGCGGCGGCTGTGGGCGGAGAAGCAGGGCCCTGTGCGTGTGCTGGAGTGCGTGGCGGAGGCGGTGGTGGATGACGCAGCGGCGCTTGTGCGCTGGGAGGCGCCCCCGACAGGTACGGGAGGGAGAGGACAGCCGACGAGGTCGGAGGGTGATATGTTTTGGGGGGAGGGGGGGAAAACGGCAGCGATAGCAGGCGGAGCAGTTCCATGGCAACCCGGAGCCAGGGCGATCCTTCAACCTCGGCCTTGCCGTCCTGCGACGTGATCGACATGTCCGGAATGAGGCAAGGAATACGCTGGGATACCCCGGATGACCGCACCGCACCTTGTGCTCCTTGTCACACATATGCTTGCACGCATTGCGTTTCTTCTGGCGAGCTGGCCACGTGCCGGTATCAGGGTGCTGAACGTAACCCCAGGAGCAAAGCATGTACGCACGGTCGTGCAGGCTACCGCCATTTTGAGTTGAGTAGTAGTCTTCTGTCTTGTTGGGATAATCCCATAATCCAGATCTGCACATGTTACCAGTATTTGAACTCTGCTGCAGGAGCCACGCCGGGATTGCGTGAGGCCCATCTGGGCCGCTGGGCCAACCGGTTGCGCACAGGCTGCAGCGCAGGCTTGCTGTCCGACCTGATGGCGGTGATGGCGCGCAGTGCTGATTGCCATACGGACTACTCGGCAGACCCTGTGCAGCACCCGGGAGAGCACTCCGTGCTGCAGAGGTGGGTCCAATCCGTAGTGGAGGGGGGAGGACAGGGGGGAGGGCCAACCGGAACTCATCCGTGTCGGGGCCCAACATACGTCGCCATGGGGCCGACAGGAACGAAATGCTGCGGAGTTGTCTAGGCTGAGCTGCTGATGGATTTTTAAGTCATTACAGTTACAATGTCCGCACGAGCGCGGAGGGTTCCGCCAAAGCCGGGGGGACCGTTAGTGAAAGTTTATGTTAAGGTGTCAGGGGCAGCTGTCGTTGTCCTCCCCGAACGCGGAGCGCCGGAGTGCTGCGTGCCTTGTCTCCCAGGCCTCGGAGAGGAAGCTAGCTAATGCCAGCAGGGGAGTCTCCGCGGCCGGCCACGTGTACCGGCCCCCAAAACATCCTTCGGTGCCCTTTGTAACGTGCATCAAGGATTCTTACCAAGGTTGCCCGCCCACCCACCGGGACTCCTTGCACACGCATCCAATTATCCTGGTGTGTTCGCCACCGCTGCCCCTCCTTCACGCCTTCTTTATGCCCAAACCTCTCTATCCGCCTGCCCTCAGGTGCCTGGCCCTTGTATGTTTGATGGTTTTGGAACTGCCACCCCCGGGGGAGACTCATGGCCCAACAAACAGGCTCCTCCAAGACCATGTGACTGCTGCCGTACTAGATCACCTACTTCCAACGCCAGCCGTCGTGGAGCCGACCCTCGGCGAACCAGGCCATGGTTTCCGTGGTGCAGGGTATCCTGGGGGGTCTGCCTGTGGCGGGGATTTGCAGCGCGGCATAGGAGCCTCGGGCTGGGACCTGGGCGCTGCACAGGCCAACCTGGCGCGCATGCTACATCGCTGCATTGCGGGCAGCATCCGCAGCTGTATCGCGGAGGGGCTCAAAGTCCCGGTGCCGCAATCGGCGCAGGCTCGCCATGCGGTCAACGCGCTGAGCTGGTTGCGCAGCCTCCTGTGCCACCCAGCGATGCGGCAGCAGGGGCTGCTGGAGAGGTGAGGTTTGAGGCTTCGGTGAGGCTTTGTGCCGAGGAGCAGTTTCCTTTGCAGCTTCTGGTGGACACTGCCTCGGTGCAACCCACCATTGGCATCATCTTCCCTTGCCTTTCCATCGCTGTCGCGATAGTCCATATTCACTTGCTTAACTGGTAGGACACTGGTCGGTGATGGCCGCCACTGCCGCCACGCTGTGCAGATCTTGTTGACGGCGTGTTGTAACGTGCAAGCACTGTTAGCGTGTGCATAGTTCCCATCACGAGGGGATACCCTGTCGTAAATCCTCAGTAAGAGCCAAACTATCAAACACAAAGCGTAACAAGCGCCTACCGCCCGCAGGCTCCTACCGCCGCTCCTGAACCTGGTGGTGGAGAGCTTGGTGACCGCTCGGGTCCTCTTGCTGTCCAAGGACTGGCTGAAGTACGACATGGAGAGCGCCACTTCGGAGGTGCCACATGGCCAGGTCCACCCTCCGCGGCCACAGCAGCAGCAGCAGCAGGTGCCACTGGCGTTGATTAGGGACCTCCTGGTGACGGCGAGCCGGGTGCTGGTGGCGGTGGCGGAGTCGAGGCTGGTGGCGTCAAAGAAAGAGGCGTATAGCACGATGCCGGGTTCAGTGCGGCTAGAGTAAGTGGGGCTGGTGCAGGCCTGTGAGCCTTTCCACCGCGGTGTTGGGTTGCTGAGCTGCCTGCGTCGGAGTACAATGGGTTTAGGTGGTACACGTTCCTAATCCATCCACTGGCGCAATGCACCTAAATAACCTGCACTGGTCGACCCACAATACCCGTGTCACAGATTGGCCTGCAAACAACGGCGGCTCCAATCTCCCCTTACCCACCACCTCTTTTGCTCCTTTTGCGATCCACATATGCTCGTGCAAGACCGCGTCAGCACCTCCGTGCCAATGTGTGAAGCAGCACAACTGCTTCGTTCGCGTCACCCGCATTTCCCTTTGCTATCATCCCGCATTTCCCTTTGCTATCATCCATTACACCGTGTAACCACCGCTCTGGCAACCCCGCAGCGCGAGCCCCCTGCTACTCATGGAGCCCGCACCTTGCAACCAGCTGCGTGCGGCGTCAGGCTTCGCAGCCGCCCTGCTGCTGCGGTCCTGTCTCGAGTGCTTTGCACTGCCGCTGGAGAATCGACACCAGAAGGTGCTGCTGTCAGGCGCGAGGCCTCCCGAGGAGGAGTGCTCCATCAAGATCCGGCAGCGCCTGGCGACCTACTTCGGCAACCCGCCAGTTCTATCGGACGCGGAGCGACCCAAAGCCGTGCGGCAGGCTTGCGGGCCCGATGTCCTGAAGTTGAGCGCGGCGCCGGCTGTGGTGGGTGGCGCGGACGGGCCCATGAAGCTGTCGGAAGCTGCCATCACTTGCATCGCACATGTGGTCGCTCCGTTAGAAGATGCCGGTACGCCAGGCCGGAGGCACATCCGCGTGTGCGCTGAAGTGAAGTGGAGCTTGCCGCCCGTTGGCTCCCACCCGTCTTGCGCCTTGTTTTCCGTGCCGCCACTTTGGAACATCTCTTGCATACTTCCTTCGCTTGGGGCACTCATGATGTTAAGCTTGGTCGGTCTTGTCTCTAGCTGGCCTTATTTTCATCTCAGGCGACCTGCTAGCGTCTGGGGGGCCAAGGCCGCTCTAGAACCACCATGGGAATGTCCTGCCAGCGTGGGGGATATTGCAGTGCTGCCGAGGATTTGCCGCCCTACATACCAATCAAATAATGCATTTGCATCATAATCCCTGAAGAATCCAGGGTCCGGAGTGCCGGTCGGGATCTTCTGCATTTGGGGTCATGCAACGGACGGAAACAACGCCAGCATCGTCTGTGCCCAAGGTTCTTAGGGTTTTAGGGTTTCGGGTGACCTTCCCAGCGGAGCTAAATTCAGTGCTGCCACTGCCCGTTTTTCCCACCTTATACCCCAGCTTACCAATGGGCCGAGCCGATGGTGGAGGGTGTCCGGCGGCTGACGATAGAGGCCAAGACGGGGGGTCTGCGATATACGGAGGCGCAAAGAGCAGCAGTTGTCCAGCTGCTGCGAGATCAACGCACACGTACGGCAAGGTGGCAAGGGCGGCACCAACCGCAATGCGCGACGGCACCTCAACACGCGAGATCAATCGAGCAAATGCGTCTGCAGCAACTACAGCAGCAGCAAATACAGGAAGTGCAGCAGCAGCCACAGCAGGAGCAGCAGCAGCAACCGCAGTTGCAGCAACAACAGAACTCAAGCGGGGGCCCTGAAGCGGCATTTGGGACAGGACGGAGAGCGGAGCTGGCCAGTGCCTGTCAGGCGACGCAGCGGTGTCTTCGCGGCGTGTCACCAACCCCCATGTCCCAGGCAGGCGGATTGATGCAACCTGCAGAGGATCTTGGTGCCGCGAGTGGGGGCCGGAGTGGCTTCAGTGCTGCTTACGCTCGTCATCATCAGCAAGCTGCAATCGGGAACCTACGGAACGAGGCTCTGGCAGCAGTGGAACCTTCTTCTCAACCAGCAGCACACTACGTCGCGGCGCTGGCAATACAGCGCTCGGAGGATCATCGGCTGCGGCTTTCAGGCTGTATGCCCTTCGCTGACCTGCAGACATTGCTGCCGCGCGGCGCTAGGGCACAGGCAGACACCCGGAGCGCTTGCGTGGGGCTGCCGCCGTTGGTCGGCCAAGTGGTTGAGGCGAAGCTTCGCTCAGTGCGGAGCAATACACCAGTGCTGCAGTGTACCCTGCGTGATGCGTCTGTGGACGTTGCACATGCCATGATCGTCTATGTGGTCGGGTGGGTGAAAGCGAGGTCTGGATGGCATTCGTGTCGCGCACTTGGCTCATCACCTGGTTAGTAACCCTGATGGCCGCCTGTCCTGCGGTACTGGACAGGCTGTTTTGAAGGGGTTCACTGCCATCGCAAGCCTGAAGGCCCCTATGGCAGGCTCAATACTATTACCCATTACCCAGCAACATTAAGACGACCCGTACCGACCCGACCAGTACTCAATAAACGTCCTGCTATAAAATTGTCTTTTCACGCGCTCAATCTTATGCGCTTTCCACGATTGCCTGGCTCCCACAGCCCTCAAGAGGTCCTTAGCATGGTCCTGTCAGACGTGACGGGTCGCCGAGCTATGGTGGGGCTGTACGGTGCTGTCTACCTGGACGATGCCTCCGCAAGCGGCAGCGGTACTGTAGACCGGGGCCCGGCGAGATGGCCGTTGAGGGCGAAGCTGTCTCTGGACAACAAAGTGACACTTAATACTGCACAAGGCTTGGTGGTTGAACCCCGCACGGCGTACACAACGCAGCTGCGGATGGCACTACACGCTCAGGACCATCGTGCTGCGGCACCAACGGTGCTTGCGGCCACACCCGCCACACAACCAGTAGCAGCGTCACCTGAAGGTCAGGGCGCAGTCGGTAGCCCCTCCCAGGAGGCGTTGGCGGTTGGGACTGCAAACAGGCCGGCAGCCAGCGGCCCGACATCCCGTGCTCCGCAATACCATCTTGAGAAGCCTTCTGCGACGATCCCGGGCGGCGGTGCGGTCCAGTCTGTATGTCGCCCTCTACAGCGGGATGGGGGTGCACCTCAGCAGCATGCGTTACACTGCCAGGAGAGCAAGCCGCCAGGTTCCTGGGCCGCCGCATCCATGCAGATTGTGCCTGCAGCGACTGTGTCGAGGATTGACGGTACTAATGCATTTATTGAAGACAGGCATAAGGGGAACGCGGTGGAAGCCGAGCTTCCATGGGGAAGGATTCCTGCTGAGGGGTTGCCTGGCCCACAAGTTACAGCAGGCACGCGAGAAGGCTCCTCGCTGACGGTAAGGCTCTTTTGTTTTGCTTCGTGTACCTTGCATCTTGTGTGGCGATCCTGTCTCGCTATCTGTGTCTGGTGTTAGCTTGTATTCATGTGTTGACGGTGCCGATGGCGTTGACGGTGCCGATGTCGATGCGCAGGTAATAACTGGCGATGCCACGGGGATGAGAGTCGGAAAAGACAGCGCCGAGGAAAAAACGAACTCAGTTGATTTAGCGTGGAGGGGCATGTTGGCCGTTTCCCGGTGTTTACCTGCGCATGTCGGACATGTGATGCCCCAAGTACAAAGAGAGAGCAATGCTTGTGCTGCCGGTGAAACGACCGTCGCTGTGAAGCACACTGAAGGTCAGTTCACGGGTGCTGCTGCCACCACCGGCGGAAACCATGGCCAGGAGGGCATGCGGCTCGACGAGCTGAGCTCCGTCGTGCCCGAAACACAATTGGACTACCATGGCGGCTGAGGTGTCTGGTGAAAAGTTAGGGGCCCGAGTGGTGCGAGAACGCACGGCTGGCTGGTTCGTTTCTTGGGTGTTTGCTTAGGTGCTGTCGCAAGGAGAAGAAGCATCTTTCATCGCGTTCAGGTGCAAAAGCCGACAGCCATAGGCCGACCTTTATTATTTCCCGCGTTCGTTAGGGGAAATGTCCGACTGCATTGCCTGTGTACCTTCGGGCTAAGGTCCTCCTTACAAGCATATCATGTCGGCATTGCCGGTGTTTCACGCAGCCCCGGACATTGTATAATTTATATATACCCATCAAATCAGCCAATCGATAGACCAGTGTTTATTTCCAACAGCTTGTTCAAATTGTAAAGCATTGCAAAGTATCCAGAAAAAGGCAAAGAAACGATCCCATAACCCCTATTTAACTCTCCGCGCCTGAACACAAGCTATGCAAATCTACGGTCAAAGAAAGAGCGGTCAAGTAAAAAGAGAAAAATGATCTTTTTATGATACAACCCACCGTGTACCAAGCAGAAAAGCCAGAAATGCAGTGTCTTACTGACCATTTTGACGAGTGCATTGCGCCTGCTAATGCCTAACTCTGACAATCCACAGAGTAATCAATGGAAGGAGGTTGCCACGAAATTCCTCGACAAGAGAAAGATACGTCATTTTTCAATAAGATTAGAACAATGCTTCGAAGGAAAGAGAGAGCCACCTGAAGGTTTTACCCCGCGATGGTGAACAGATAGACGTACAATGGTAAAACCATGGTAAAACATAAGTAGGACTGGTTTGGATGCATACATGCCACTGTAGAACAATACAAACGTCGGATGAACTTGATAACTAATGAATGTACGCCTCAAAAATGGTTAGACCCCATGCTCAGTAGTAAGCTAAGCCCAATGTCTTTGCTCGGAATAACCATCCACTGTGCCACAACGGTGCTACCGTGGGGTGCCCTGCGAGCCACGAGCTCCATGTTGCCCCACCGCAGCCACCTCGACTTCGGCGGGCATCATAATGCGCAGGCCTTGCACACTTGTGCCAGCATTTCCCGCACTATCCGCAGTCACAGCCGCTATTGTGCTGACGAACGCATTGCCATGGGCAGAACGGCCAATGTGGCGATTTAAGCGGAAAATGAGGTCTTTATGACCTTCCGCTGTTGTCGTTCGCATGCCTCTGTGCAGAGGCAACTTGAGAGACAAGCGGCCAAGCTTCACTGGTTTGTGGTACTCGACGCTGACAGCATAGTTGCGATCGACGCCACGGATATTATCGATGTGGTCATTGCGGATAATCCACTTGACCCGATAGGTCACTGAGAAAGCACCAGATGTCGTGTTTCCCGAGGCTACCGAGGAAGACGTGGATGCCGTTGCTGTAACACGGCGAGCGTACAAGTACGCGAGATGGCGATTGGTCAGCAACACAACGCGAGTCGCGCGGGCTGCTACCACATCCAGCACATCATCATCTGCCAGCGAAGAGGAGATCGCCGGCAACGCAGCCTGCAACCAATTTATAAGGATACACATTCCCATCCTTGCGTTCCTGCCTTGACTCGTTTCATGGTAATCACTGGGACAATCGTGGCCTATGACCAACGCGTACAACAGTCGTGCAGCCGACAAATGTGATGCGCGCGGGTGATGCTTAGCAGAAGTCGGGTACCTCCTACCTGCCATGCGGCTATAAGAGCCGCCTGTATTGCCGCCTGTGCGACACTAGCCCGCGCCGCCTGGACGACATCAGTAATGGCCAGCCCAGGCGCCTGAACCCTGAAAAGCATACGGCCGCACGAAGGAAGCGACTCGTCAGCACACGGGCAAAGGCAGAGGACGCCATGCAGAATCAGTCGCATGTAGAATGCACGTTAGCCAAGTGCCTCACCTGCGGACAAGTTTGCCTTGGATGCCGCGCTTGCCTAGGCATGCCAAGCCGATGCCCTGCAGGAGCTTGCTGGTCGCTTCTACAGCCCCCGCGGCCGGCCGAACGCCTAATCCCAGCGATGCTTTGAGTATTCCAGCAGGAACGCCAAGTACGACGAGCCCGCCCTTCCATCGTCCACCTGCACAACCATTGAAGCACACACCACAATTAGGCACAGTGGCCATGACGATGATGAAAATGCACCTGGGCCTGATTATCCTCCCGTCCAAACGGTCTTCTTCAAGGAAGGGCCTTTTCCGCTTAAAGGATCAGCGAAAGGCATGCAACGCACCTGTTCCTCTCGCAAAACCACTTACCCGCTGCAGTGTCGTGGACAAAGCCAAAGGCAGCTGACATCAAGCCCAAAACGACATCACGCTGGCCAAGGTATAATGCATCTATTGCAGTTTGCGGCTTCATGCCGAACCGCCGTGCCGTCTCGGAGTCACACAAGTTCAAACTGTCCGATGAGAACCGAGGCGGCAGAACGCCCATCACAGCGCACATGGTGCGGCTGAGGACGCCAATAACCTGTAGACAGAAAGAGACGAGCGGAACAGTTAGCCGTTAAATATTGAAATGCCAGGACCCAACCCCAGCTCAGGCAATCGGTTCCCTTCCAAACAGAATACTGTAACTTGCCGTAGTTGGCCCCGGCGACTGCACAGTCCCTGTTACACAATGTCTAACGTATCAGCTGTTGCGCACCTGGCCCATGAGGGTGAAGGCAACGTAGCCGATGCGTGCCGGCACCAAAAGTGGATTCACACGCTTGGCGGCCACATCCTGACCCAGGTCAACTAACGCTATGCTGGCCCAGAGCAGCGATGCGGGAATGGCGGCAATGGCAGGTCCGGCTCCACCCAAAACTTTCCGTGCCTGTGCAATCGCAATCCAGGAGTAATGCCTGTACAGCTTGTTGACTAGAGAGACCCGGTTGACTAGGTGATTCTTCAGCTCCACGTGCTCCAGTTGAATGGGAGCATTTGTAACGTTAATGAGCTGGAAGCCATTGCTCCCCGAGACGCGCGACAAAAAACCCCGCAGCATGGAGCGTTGGCGGTCGTCCTCCTAGAGGTTGGGGATCACCAACGGGAAAGAGTATGTGCTCAAAAGCCCACTTGCAATGAGCCACTGTGGAAAGGGGTACAGCTTCTCTCCTCATCGTGCTGCAACCGACAGATTCGGTCATAGTGAAAGCACGATAATGCGGAATTCTTTACGCATCTTTAGGTCCCTAGCTACGACAAACGCCATACACTGGATATGTGACGCATACAATACACGTTCGCGCCGCCAGCCAGCAGACCTCCTTGTCCAAACCCACGTGAACGATGGCAAACGCAAGCCCTAATCAGCATGCACGACGCTTATGGAGGGCATACCCTGCCGGTGCTTCTTGCCAGCATGGGTGCACTGCCGCCTGTGTTAAAGCTGCTCGAGAGCGCCAGCGTCACATTTATGAAAACGTCCGATAAGTAAAACTCCTGCGTGGATACCCAGGGTGGAGCAGCCGATTATATAGAAAGGGTATGGGCCAGTTGATGCGTAAAAATGCTCCAGCATTGGAGTCGCCTTAGGCATGAAGCCATTACGATAAGGTCCCACGTGGATTGTTGTGGTTACGCCTTAAGGAAAGGGTGGTCCCTTGCTGTGGTCCCTTGCTCGAGGCCATACTTCTATCTTACGAGAAGGTTTCCACAGCGGTGAAAATAAATGGTGTGGTTGGAGAGCCTTTTGAATCGCGTCACGGGTTGAAACAGGGTTGCACCGTGAGCACGGAGCTGTTTTGGATTTTCATCGAAATTTTGGCGGACATGGCTGATGAGAGGGACAGGCGCTACGGTTTACCTCAGGTTTACTCTCCTATTGCAGGTGGCGCCCCTGTTTCAATCTGTTGTACGTGGACGACCTTGTCCTAGTTCCCACTTCGAGCAATCGTATGCAGTCCTTGTTGGATGCTGCGCTCCATCTTTGTGGTGAGTCGATACCAGTCGTTGATAAGGCCCGTTACCTCGACCTTACGTAAGGCTCCGAGAGTAACTTCGCGTCATGCAGAAGTGCCTTAGTCGAAGCTGCAAGAGGTGCTATGTTCAGTCATTTAGGTAGGCTAAAGAGGGGTAAGTAGTATGCCCGGACATGAGGCTAAGCTGTTTTGACGTACAGTCTCTCCCGATCTGCTCGTAGGCGGCCCGGATGCTTTGGGTCTAGTTGTTTCTGGCTCTGGGCGTTTCGACCGTATGAATTGGCCGCAGACCAGTCTCAGTCCTGCCTTTCAGACCCTATGGTTAAGATGCAGATCATGTTCATGCGTCAGGTACTAGGGGTTGTTCGACCATCTCACAGATTGTTTTTTACTTCTGGGCACATAGGGAATTGGGTTCTGGAACACTGTTGTTGGACAGCCCTGCTCACTCGCCCATCGCATTTTGCGTAAGGAAATCGCTGTGGCGCTGCACGGCGAGTTTGATAACGAATGGCCGGCTAAGGTGTTCCGGTTTCAAGCAGCTACGAAGTATGATGTATGGGGCGGCATGCCATCCTTGTTAGTGTCGGATGACGACAAGGTTGATTGGCTTGCATGCAGGCCAATTTCGGAGGGTCCAGTCTTCTCTAAAGTTTAGGCGGCAAGAAGAAGAAGAAGAAGAAGATATGGCTGTATGGGCTCACCCGAGGCTGAGCACGGGCCCACCGGATTTCCTGCCGGATCGGAAGCAACCAGGGGTTACGATGGCGAAATACACGCATTGGATGGTTTGCCGTTCAAAACTTTGGCTGGGCTACCCGGTTTCCGCATATCCGGCTAGAGCTTAACCCAGCAGATGTGCACCGTTATTTGATGACGTTTTGGACGTGCTGTTGGCCCCTAGCGGCGAACCGTGCCTTTCCTGGAAATCCCCGTGAGCAGAGGATCTGTGAGTTGTGCGCGCTGCACAAGGTGGAAGATGAGCGTCATATTCTTCTAGAATGCCCGGCTTATCCTACATGCCGCGAGTGCGCGGACGTAATCCTTAGCCACGATCCTGATATGAAGACGATCATGATGGACAGCGAGCAAGCAATACTGGCCCACCCGGTACATAGCATTTGGCTGACATGCTCGGCACGACACAGGCGGTCATAATTGATTGGTGTCCTTGTTCTCTTGTTTATATTGCTTGGGTTGTACCTTTGCGTTGTACTATATATATCCCTAACCTAACTTGTGGCTCCTAGGCTCTTATGGGCTTCTCTGGCTCGTATGGTCTCGTTACGCCTCTGGCTAACGCAACCGAGGTGTAACATACATACACACACGCAATCTCCAAGCTCCAAGCTCCAAGCTCCAAGCTCCAACCCACCACTACGCGTGGGCTGCTGTCTTGCCAGTCGTGTTAACATGCTAGAGCGCCGTTTAACGAACCTTACCTCAAGGTAGAACCACATGGAGCTCTGGCCGCGCAGCAGCTCAAACTCCTTAGCCTCCTTGGCAGCAAGCCATGCGAAGGAAAAGTCGCTCAGGCTGTCCTGACGCGTTAAGGTGATTAGATCTTCCGCAGCACCAATTGGAGCCATGCTTCCTCCCTGTATATCAGGTCCCAGTGGGGGTTGCCAGCATAAAAAAGGATGCGGATCGCCAAACAACGAACCTGTGCCAAACTCAAGCTTAGGAAACAGACGGCCAAAACAAATTCAGCCAGGCACCTGCATGGCATCAATCTTCAGCTGCCACTCCTTGTCCTGATAAAAGTCTTCCAAGGGAAGGCCGTTGAGGTAGGCAATGACACCCTCAATGAACTCCTGCAAGTGTCAAGGTTTGATGCAACGAGTCGAATTTAAGTTGGGAAAACACTGATAGGCGGGGCTCGAACGCGGCCTCGTACGATCACAGCAAAGTGCTTAGGGACTAGCTCACCTGATCAGCGGAGAAATCCAACGGACCAAGCTGCATCACGACTTTCCTGAAGGCTAGTATGCCCACGCTGTCCTCCTTTGAGTTGACCATCGCATGATTGCTGCCAGCCTGGTTATAAACCACCTGGCCACCGCAATACAGTAGCATATTTGCAAAATGCGGCATCAAGTTTCAGCTGTGGGCTCTTATAACCTCAGGACAGGGCCTGGCTGAATCAAGACGAGACAGCGCATGGGGTACAGCGCACAGCACTGAATCACTGATTTCGTAGGGGACGCATGCATCATGCTGCAGCAATGGTGTTTGCGCCAATGCGTCGGCATCTTACCTGGCAAGTTAACAGTGGATCCCGCAGAGAGGGATCTTGGACTCCCACCCTTAGAACAGGATTAGACCGGCCCATGCGTCGGGAGAACTGCGCCATATGTCGCCGCCTGGCCTGCGCTAAACTGAATTGCAAAAGGCATTCAAGGTCACCAGAGCCATCAGTCCAGGTCGTCTCCATCGTGCTGCTAAGAAAAATGTTACGCAAACGCTTTTTCCCAGCTCATCCCAAGTACCGAATCGCACAGCACCTTTAGGAGCATATGAAGCCATCTGTCAATCACACCTGCTAGATCCTGAAACATCCGCCGGGGACAACACGACAGGGTTCTTCGCCTCAAGCATCTGGTTGTCCAGCTGAATTGTTTGTACAGCCAGAGACAACTGTACCTCAGTACGTGTCTGTACCAGCATTGCACGCAGCTGCACGGGGGTTCACGGCGGCGGGGGTTCATCATCAGCCTCGTTTTGGCCAATTGTTTCTCCGAGGTGTACGTACGCCCATAATACCAAGGTAGAGACAACGTACTGCCCCTGGCCAGACACAAACCATCCCTTCATGGTAGAGCTCCTTACCTTATGCATGGTGTAGTTGAAGAGCTCTTCGAGGTTAGTCTTCGCACATAACCCAATACCCGCCAAGTCGAGTGTAACGGCCATTGAAACGCCGTGGATCTGGAACGCGAAGGCAATTGTGAACAGGACCATTATCGTGAAAACACATGCACACCCTGTTTCTCTTCTCGTCAGAAAGCAGCAGCAGAGAGCTCGCATTCAACAAGTCATAGTAGTAAGGTACAGACCTGCGGCTTGTTTATCTTGATTCGCAGGAGCAACTGTACACCAGCATCACCCTCCTCCTCCATAACCATTATCAAAGCAAGCATCCGTTGCGACCGCGAACCATGCTTACGCCGTGCCAGCGCCACCCAAGCGTAGATAGGGTCAGTGCCCGGAATAAGGGACAGGTGAAGCTCAGCCTCAGCTACGGGCTTGGTGTATGATCCGCTCACTTGGTCAAACACCTGGGCATAACGGGTACACCATGCGTGTCCAAGTGCCTCACACGTAGGTGTTCATCCTAACAAAGCCTAACAAGGCAGACAGGAGGGGAACCATACCTTTAAATCCAACTTGGAACCCAGAGGGACATTTTCGAAGGTGTGCTTGTTCTTGGAGAACCGCGGGTTGACCGAATTGGTGCTTGCAATTTCTCTCTTTGTGTCGCCACCACATGTCATCGTCACGACAGCACGGGGAAGCATTGCAACTGACATTGTGCTGGCTGTTTGGCGCCCGTACATTGAAGCTGCAACAGTTGCGCGTAAGCCCTCGCGTGGCAGGAGCCCGGCGATTTCCAGGATGGATAACTCCAGGTTGACGTAATAAGATTCCGCCAAGGCCTTCGCAGTCTTTTTCACTTGCAATGGGCGTGCAGTACTTGCAGCAATACCACCTGAACCAAGGTTAAGAGACCCATGGTCAACGACGCCGCCAGCGGTGGGTGTAGAGAAAGCTGCACCTGCTGAGCCAGGGTCTTGCACCCCAGCACTGGCTTGCTCCGTAGGGCCATGAACGAAGGACGCGGCGGCCGAAATGGGCATCGGATTCAGCTGCGCCAGGAGCTCAAGCTTCTCATCCAGAATACGCTCAAGAGTAGTAACCTCGTGCACTAACATTCCCTCACTGGTTATCCTCCACGCAAATGACAAGGAAACGTAGCCACGTATGAGCTGCGATCCTGCCTTGCGCTCTAGCGCCAGGCGCCAGATCTTCTCTTTTTCACAACCCAGTGTGAAGGAAAGTGGGATACGTACACAGCCGGCAAATTGGCCGCCGCTGGCAGCCAGACGATGCATGTGTGCCGCCAATGAATTGCCTGCTGTGCGCCCGCTGCTGATCCCGGAAGCCGTGGCGCAGCTCTGACTGGAGGGAGAGGTACATGCTGGTCTCAGCTGCTGCCTCCTTGGGAGAACCGTAAGGCAGCCCTGCCCAACCGGCCCAACCTGCGATTGTTCTGTCCCCTTGGCAACGTAAAACTCGATCCGCAGTTCCGAGGAAGCAGCAACATCACGGAAGATCTCCATATGATCCTGCAGGAGTACATGACACGTAGAGCTCCCAGGACCAGCTACATTTGTACCACCACCGCTACCGCCATTGGAAGGCAATGTAGGCTGGTCAATGGGCTGCATCCAGCTGGCTTTGACATCGCCCCTACCAGGAATGCTGGACACAACTGCCATCTGCAAATGGATAAAAGCAAAATCACCGGCAGGTTATGCCCCGGTCAGTCTCCATAGCACGACCAGCAAGTCGTGTCAATGTAAGGCGAGGTTTGGCGCACCTGACCTTCCACAGCGATAATCTTCTCGTTGCTCCTTAAGCCTGCCGAAAGCCCCTCCACAGAACGGAGAATTACAGTAAGGTCTCCGCCAACGGGCAAGTCGATGTTTCCACCGTAAGCGGGTAAAGCCTCCAGTGTCTGCAATGATGCATCGTCAGCGCCTGGGGCTAACCTGAACAACGGTACGAGCCCATCCATAGACGGTGATAGCCCTTGAGCAAGTCTGGTGATGCTAGGCCCATGACTCTGGTTCGATTGGGTTCGGCTGGGGTGCGCTGGCTGTGCTGCAGGAGAAAGCGTGGAGTTGGAAACTGGTGTGTTAGCGATTGGCGCTTGTGCGACTGACGCTGTGCCACTTCCGCCTCGCAACCCCAAGGATGGAAAGCGCGAGAATGCAAACTGTGCTCCTTGTGCGCCTGCGCCTGCACCACCAGGATGCAATACTGATGGTGTAGCCGTTCCACTAGACGGCATTTGCAGGGCTCCAAAGCGGAATGCGCCCATGCCAATTAACCGAGATGGAGCGGCATGCCCAGCACGGTTTCGAACAGGCCGCCGGTGTTCATCGCCCAAGACACTCGCAGTATTTGCTCGCTGGCTGCTGCCTCCATCGTGTTCAACAGTAGCTTGCGCGCCGACTTCTAAATCCAATACACCACCCAATCGCTGCACAAGCCTTCTGTCAACTTCCTTCAACCGTGAGGCTACCTTGAAGGCAGGAAGGGCAAGCATGGGAAGACGGGCTCACAGGGCTGCCATATCAGCATCGTTCAGGTGAGAAGCACCAACAAAGACAGTTTGCTGGTAGGCATGTAGAAGCCAAAGCAGGATCATGTGCAGATATTTTCAATACTAGACTGGAATTTTCACATACCCTTTGCAGTCGATACGACAGGTTAAGCAGACTGTTCTCATCATCCAGATTGGCGGCGCCACTGCGGTCTTCGGAGAAACAAAGCACACGCGTGGGTCCATCCGCGTAGACAGTGACGTAGACCTAAATGAGTTGCGAGGGGCAGATACGCAGGGGTACCAAAGCGTCTGCAGAGAGGAACATACCATACATCTACGCAGCAAGGCGGGAACAATCACGCTCAAGCGATGAGCATGCATGTACATGGAGCATGAGTATACCCCTAACTGATGCATGCCGAGCACGGGCAGCACATAAAGCCTCATGTCGCCCAGAGCTGGCCAAACCACAAGTACATGGACAAACCACGGTCACGGGAGGTTTATGCCTTGTTTCGGAGTTTAGTTTGGCGAATTGCGGCGACATGTAATCTGTGCCCACACCTTCTTTGCGTTGTCTGTTAACTTGGCCCGGGCTGCATGAGTGCTTAACTGCAAGGGAAGCGCTGACCGTGACTGAATGTCGATTGTGCGGTTCGCGTCAACAGCGTCCAGGTCCACGTCAATGGCGTCGGCCTGGGCATTGGGCAAGGAGTGTCAGCGCATCGAGAGGATTCGACGTGCCTATTTTAATAGACTCTAAACAACAGCCCAGGCCTGTTGAGCGGCGCCCTCCTTCGGTTCACAAATCTTATATCTTGCCATGTAAGGGGCCTCGTGAGGGTTTGTGAACCAATTTGTAATCATTTCGTTTTATAGGATAATTTTCTTGAAACACGGTAATTAACCAGCAATGGACAGTGTAAACTGCGTGTAAACTGCGTGCAGAGGAGACCGGGACCGAGCCAACAAAGCAATGCCTACCTGGTTTGTCGCTTTATCCCGCTCAATGTAGGCCACAACCTTAACAACGTGCCTGAGGCGCGGCTCGTCCCAAGCAAAGGGCATTTGGTTTGATCCCGGCTGGATTTCGTCCCAACACTCCCGCGGTCTGTTAGAATCCCCGCCATTCACAGGGCGGGGGTTGTAATCAGCCTGCTTCAGGCGGATAATCACATCCCGGCAGCGATTGATAATCATGTATGGAGGAACGGACCTGCGAAGTGATCACCAGCATTAGGATCCTGTCAACTGTGGCTTTGCTCGGCTTACGATTTTATTACGCTCACCCTTTGCTGTTTAGAGTCACGAGCACGGATCCTGCAGCGCCAACAGTGATATTGACGGGAATAATGACGTACTCGTTGCGCTGACGATGGCGAATACGGAGGCCAAAGTAGTCCTCGACTTCAGGAAGCTCAAAACTACCTGAAAGACATGCCACACGTCATAAAGTTTGTTCGGGGATTGCCAGGTCCGTACAGCCCAAGCATACTTCCAACTTACCTGACCACTCCCAGTCGTCACCTGCTGGACGTATTACCAGCTCGTGTTCAGCGTCTGCATCATCCCAGTGCCAAGAGGCGCTAGAATTATGCGGTAGTCGCCGGGAAAAGCGCCTTGTTTTACCATACTTCCCTTGACCGGGGTTAAAGCCTGGATCTGGAGTTCCCTTCTGCTTGTACTCGATAAGCAATCCAGTGGCATTGAGTATCAAGTACTTGTTCTTGACAGTTATAACCTGCACCCAAGGATGGAGCCACGAGACGTTGGAACGGCTGTCCTAAAAGCAGACAGTCACGTGTGCAATTTGCACGAGACTGGCGCACGCCAGCGCATACCTACAGTAACCGTGCCGAGGCGGATGAACAACTATGCGCGTCAGCTGCGGGGTCTCGCCAAGCCATTGGCCAGCACTGGATACGCACACGTATGACCCTTCACTCAATACTTCATTACCCCCCTTGCGATCATGCAAGCATGCATGCCCATACCTTTGTCCGGCCAAACACAGTGTCGTTTGGTGCAGCCCAGACCTCCACAGCGAATTGATATAGACGGCGCACATGGGTGGGCGCCGACTGCTTGTGGCCAGACTGGGTGCGCTCAATGCTATCTTGGTTGCTGTCTTGCCGGGAGGAACGCTTACGTCCTTTACGCTCAATATCAGTTATTGCCGATGCCGAAGACAACCGATCTCCTGCAGGAGCTGACCCTTGCAGCCTGCCAAAGGACGACGCAGTGTCCGCGTTCGGTGCATACAGACTCGGCAGGGACGGAATTTCTGCCCTTAGGAATCCGTGCTTGGGAATATCAGGGAGCGGAGCCGTCGGCATCGACGTCATGGGTGGACCTGCGGAAGAACACATGCGGCGTCGCGCTTTTGTTGCTACAATGAGTCCAGACACCAGCTGATCATCACAGGCGTCACGCGTGCACACGTATGCAGATCCACAACATACCTTTTCCATCATCATCAACATAATCCTCGTCACCATTGTCAGCCGGAGTAATTTCCGGTACAGTAAGCCCTTTAGGACCATTTTGAAGCTTAGGCAGAGCCAGACCTGTGTCCGCCGAAGCCGTCGGACCAAATCCGGACAGCTTTGCGCATATCGCCGCGGGCTGGCTGCTTGAAGCCTGATTTGTCTTGGTAACACCTTCGGCTTCGACGCCGTGGCTTGATGCATACGCCGGGTGTTCCCCTGTCAGGAGCGGTATAATGCCTGTCCTCTGTTCACTAGACCCTTCAACATCTAATTTCTCTGTAGGTCCAGCAGCGTCTGCCGGGAGCTCGAAATCCGATTGAAACGTGGCATGACGGGGCGGCAGGCCTGACGACAGCGCGTCCTTAATGTTTGCAGGTTGGGGACTCAAGGACACCTCTTCAGGGCCACTTGGCTGCTGCTTTGGTGCTGTATCGGCTGCTGGCCCAGACTTCCGCTGCGTAACGCCATCAGGGACAGGTATAACTTCCATTTGGACCTGACCACGTTGAGCACTCGAGCGGGGGGAAAACCCGGTAGGAGATTCTCCACCGTTCACTCTATCCAGTCCAAAGTTGCTGACGATTTCCTGAAAGGGCGGTTCGAGCATGGAGGCTCAGAAGTCGTCGTGATATTTCAAACTGGTAAAATGACCACAACGCCATCCAGATGCTTGCTATAGCAATCCCACCGGAACATTTGTGCGCAAGCTAGGCTCGTTGCGGGAATAACGCGGCCCAATTGAGGCAATAGGAAATTTAGCAAACCCGCGCAACGCATCTTCCGAAAGGAATGGATGGACCTGTGTTAACCCAGCCACGGCGCACTCCTTAGATTGCCTGATTCAATATGCAAGCAACTACTGTGCCATAAACCGCATAGATGGCTGGGTTAACTAGTTATCGTGCTGCATAGATTTAACGCAGCAGGTTAACGGCCAGGGGCAACACAACATGTGGCTCTACGGCTTGGCCTTGTTCTGACAATACTCTTACGGCCTACAAAGACAATAAGAAAGGGATTCACCATAGAAAATGTCCCAACACTCGGCCATCCCCCTGATCTCTGTCTTGCCCCGCTCCCGATATCTCCCTAGCTTGTCTACCCACCACTTTTAGCCCCGTGGCCCATTGTAGTAGCTGGTACACAGTACGGCTCTATAAATACGCGCGTAGCGCGACCACCAGCATCCCGAGAGGCCTTTTCAGCGGCCAGCTACTACACCCATTACCTAGCTGTGTGCAATGGACGCCACTTGAAAGAGGCCCCTAGCGCTTCGGTATTTCCGGGATTTGCGGACCCAGAACCGTCCGGCTTTTGGTACTTGAATTTAGAGGATCCCTACCTGTGCTTGCTTACCTTTTCCCCCTTGATATCCACAGAGTACTTCTGGTTGATAGTCGCAATAGTAAATGCGATACAGAAGTCGGTCCTTGCATGGCCGTGATCTTCTACACAAAACCTTGTGCGTGCCTGATCGTTTAGCAGCGCCGGCTTTTGCCCTTGGCCGCCGTGGCCACCACGCCGTCCCTTGCCTGGCTGTAGCCCCAACACCGATCGCTTGTCAAGGCGCGGCGTGGAAACCCCATCACAGCTTCCAGGTTCCTTGGATGCCTCGCTAGGTACATTACCAGGTTTATCCCCCGGAACTCGAACTGGATTCCATACTGCAATAAAGGTTTCATCAGAGAGGAAGTCATTCAGGGATTGGGCCATGTGCATGTGGTGGCTAGGCAATCCATTTGTTCGGAAAGCCGGTTGCCAATTACGTGAGCCAAATGCTGAAGAAGCAGTGATACTCGAACACATCCATGTGATTGTGCACGAGAAGGAAACCCCAACATGTCCAATGCTCTTCATGCTTGCACCAGGACAATACATTGCAGGGAGCACCGGAAAGCGAACTGTGCCGTGCACTAAACGGACCAAGGTCAACACATCATCATCCTGGCAAGGCAGTAACAAAACCCTAGTACGAGTAGATGACGAGAGGAAATCCTCCGTTTTCCATAATGCTTTTCGAAAGTTCATGGCACATTTAGTGGTGCTCTCTGCAAACTCCGTGCACATTACGAAGTCCCTTTACTGCCAGAATGAAGTCCCCGGCGCTGGCTGCCCTTCACAAACACTACTCCACCGGCCCTTTACCCCAGGTAAAACTCCCTGAGTATTATCCATAATTGGTAGTCGCAATTTCAATATTGGTTGAAATGCAAGAGCAACATACGCTTGCAAGAACCAGAACGGAGAATTCAAAGCACATCCTTTTATCGAACATACAATGTTAAGCCACTTACACAGGAACGGCAAGTTGTCGAGGCCTGCGGGCGCGTCTAGGTCCTTGAATAGTAAGTACAAGCCGGTGCGGTTGTCTACCCAGTAAGGGGCATACAGTGTCAAGTGACAGACGTATTCGTCCTTGTCCGCGAGACTGTTATGCAAGCTGAGGAGTAAAACTTTAGGGGCACGTTCCTGACTGTTCTTGTGTTTGCCGCTGCGAGAGAACTGGAGGTTGTCATAGGTTGCAAAACCATCTACTCCCTGTTTCCTCTTGCGCATAGCTTCCGTCGCCTGCGTATGGAGAATCAAGGGACACATGACAAGTCGCTGATTGCAAATGTAATTACCACACGTTCCCTAATTCTAGTCCTGGCCTGGCAATTCGGATGGGTAGGACTGACCCCACAGGTCGCACGATTTTTAATACGCGCACATCTACGTGAACGTGTTGCTAGTTTATCGACAACAGATAACCGATAGGTTTTAGGCAGGACCATAATGGGTTGCGTTGCTCCAGGTCTGCGTGCCTATAAAGCTTCAGAGAGCACGTGAGGGTGGTGACCAGGCAGAGTAATATAATACTTCAGTCCGGCATACGTACCTTCCACGCCATTGCCAAAAGACCTTTCTTGATCTTCGGCTTTGCAATCTTGATAGCTTGCTCTGTGCTCTCGACCACCTTCTCCTTAACACCTTGGCCCCCAGCAATAATAGTGTCTGCCACCACCGTTGCCATGTGTGGAACCCCTTGGATAACCTGGCATGCATTCACGGGTCACGGGAATCGGCGTCATGATCTAACTCGCCGTTCAACATTTCAGGACAAATGTATACTTCAGTCAACTAGGGACGTATACAAACAACTGGGTTACCGGATCCACACTGCAATCCGCTGACTGCTGAACAGTCAATCGACTAGGCAGGGATAATACAAAGTGATGTGCTGCTAGCAACATAACCACGCCTACTTAACAGCTTCACCTAACCAGCTTAACCAGCTTAATAAGCTTTACTTAACCACGTGCACAAATACTTTCGCCTAAATAAGAAGTGGCTTACCTGTTGACCACCATCGACAATCCTTTCTCCCACTATGCGGGCTATGTCAGGAAGGCGTGGCACAACCTGCATGGCACTTTTGGCCAGCAGCATTGGATTGGATGGTAGCCGCCCTTCTCGAAGCAGAAAGGCTTTGAAGCTTCGTTGTAATGACCCTTTCTTGCCGACACCGCCTTCCAAAGATGACTGCTGAAGGCGTCCCATTAATGCACGCTCACGTGGTTGCCGAGAGGTCCTACCATACAGGCGTTTCTCCGAGTGACTTTTAGGGCCAACGGGTGACTTCCTACACGTCTCAGCCACACTGGCCCCGGCCAAGATGCCGAAGTCGTCGTACCCCAGAAATTCGTCCACGTAACATGTATCATTGCCAACATCATCAGCAGTCCACCTTCTACCATGGGGCAGCTGACTGCTGACGTTTCCTGAAGCCACCATAGTCGATCCTCCCATTATGTTCAGTTCTCCAGTGGTGCCGTGATTCGCAGCCTCGCTAATGGAAGGCAGGTCTCGCTCAACTCTGCGACTGTTTAAGTCCCGTGTGTTACCAGAAGCTCGATGCCCGTCCCTTGTCACCTCACTGACGTCGCCCGTCTCTAAATCGCTGTCCGGGGAGATGCCGTGTAGCCGGGTGACATCGATCCCCGCCTGTGCCTCTAGTCCAGGTAGGTAAGCACCGACGGGTGCCTCCAGTGGACTTGAAAGCTGAAGGGACACGGTTTCCCTTGCATTGCTCCGCGAAGTGCTGGCGCCTGCAGCTGCACAGGTAACCACGCTAAGAGCTGGGCGAAGTGACCTGCTATGTGCTCGTCGCAGCGTTGGACTTCCGGAGAGAGTAACAGAACGTCGCATGGCCCGGTTTGTACGTCCCGCAATGCGGCCAGCGATTTCACTGTATTTCTCCAGGTGTGCATACCCGTCGGAGAGCTTTGCTGCCGGACGGGAATCCAGCAAATCTTGTGTTGCAGATAGATGACCCGCCACAGCTGGTTGGTTGTCGGGTTGTGTAGCCGGGCGGCTGCTGCCTGACCCACCGGCCGCTTCACGTGTGCTTGCAGATCCCCGGCGGGATAGGTCGCCAGGCACAGGTGAACACAATCCGCTCTTCCAATGCCCGAATTCCAACGTTTTTAATGGGTCTTCCGGCTGATGGAGCTCCACAGCTGGCACACGTGTCGGCAAATCAGATCCGGATAGCGTCGACATGCTGCTTCCACATGTGTACACAGCATTCACGGACCACAACGTGTCATGACGGTGAGAGCCGCTGCTTCTCGGCGTTCGTAAAGGTAACCTGTCGCCTGTGCAAACTCCGGTCGCCGTGCCGTCGCCATAAGATGCACCCGGTATGGCCATGCTTGAAGTTGCGTCCGCATGGAAAGCAGATTTTGTGGGCATTGTCACTTGGCATGCATATTCTTGGGAGTGCCTGCTTGGTGATGCTCCCGGAAAACATATAGGACTGGCGGAATCGCTCTCGTGCACAACACTTCCTGGGCTCGTTTGGTGGGGGGTGCCAGTAGCACTGGTCGTCTGTGAGCACCTTGGATTGGTCCTTACTGTAGCCTCACTGCTTTCCGTGGCTTGCAAAACCTACGACGTATAGGGTGAACGAAGAAGACCCACCGGAATACTTGACTGTATCACACATGCCGCAGGTGACACACGTGACTTCGCTCAGTACCAACTGGATAAGCGCTTCTACTTGAGCGCGGAGTCGATTTCGCTGACAGCGTTGTCATTCTGTTAAAACGGATGGGGATATCACCCTAAATCATCTAGGAGATTTACAGCAACCTCTATAAAAGCCATGCTGTGCCGTACACTCTCACAAGCTTTAAACCTTCACTGCATGTGGTTTGCACACAATAACAGGCAACAATCTAACTCGTTTGCTGGTAGCATAGATGAGTCCGTTCCGTCACGTGACATGCAATCCGGTGTAGCTAGTCGTGGCTGTTAACGTCAATATGACGTCGTGATCAGTAATTAATAGCACCATCATTTCCGCATCACTGCCGAATACCTGCCACAGTCGTGACGGAATTTGTGCGGGATTAAGCGCTGCTGCAAAACACCCCTATTCCCCAGCACGTAACAAATCTGTGAAGAGACCAACATATGGCAGTCGAGGACGGCAGTATCCCTTGTTAACGCTAGGCTGAGGCTGGCCCGACTCGGGCACGCTAGCCAAACCTTTCTGTTAGCGGTACCTCTGGTTGGTGCTAGGGGTGGTGTTAGGGGATATCCAATTGTGGTATCCATGTATCCGTGGGGTAGGATGAATACCCCTCTACGGCTAGGGGCTGATTTGGTCCCCGTTGTAATAGTGAATCCCAATGACGGGCCAATGATGGGCTAACAACGTGAAGGTCGTATGTAGTACCTAAAGGGTTTTCACATATCAGCACTTTTGATCTGGTAATCCTGGTTGAAACAATGGTTGGGTTTTAGCATGGTGGCTTATCATTAGCTAAGTATGCAAAACCTACCTCGCGTTCTATAGTTGTGACGGCTGTCTGGCCGTCATGTATCCGCCCAGTGGAATCTTCGGCTCCATTGCGACTGTTGTGACCGCGTGGCCTACCCCCTGCAGTTATTGGCCAGTCAGAGGCGACATTTAACTTCAAACGGATAATGCTAATGTATGGTCATGTACGTTCCTTGGAACTTTGTCGTGTTTAAATGTTTGCGGGGAACATGACAACAAGCGTCCGTTTCCACCGGTCGCCAAGCATGCAAAGTGAATAAGCTACTCCGCGTCCGTCGTATCAAACACGAGAATGTTCTACATTTTTAGGCGGTTAGACGCATCCCCATTGGTTCCCGTAATAACTATCTCCTTGCCTCGTCCATATAGGTGGATAGCGCCCGGAGCTCCCAAGGTGGCAGAGCCAAAGTTGTCACGTCTCGCATTGTTGCGGCTTGATGCGAGGGGTCGAATGTGTACTGTTGCTGTGGCCACCGGACAGACTTCTAACTGTATGCGGACTCCTCCTTGGGTACTCGGTGTACACGGTACTATTTGCAGGTGTACCCGCACAGCAGTTTCGGAAGCCGTAGGCAACTTGGCCGCGTCCCAGTTATCTGTGATTTACCATGTCGCAAATAGAGGGAATTCCCAATTTGTTGCAGCCATCGAACAGTCGCATTGACCATGCATCAATGCCGTAATTGCCCGTTATGTGCCTGGCCCTCATACATGTCAATCGCTCGCCGCATGGAATGCACACGCATGGAGTGCACGGCATACAAGGCCCCAGGCAGAGGCACAACACACCATAATTAACATTCAGTTCTATGGCCTTGGCATACCTTCGATGTGATTGCGCGGAACATGATGCCTGCCGCCCATGTTAACACCTGTGTCCGACCTTGAATTTCGAGTTGACCTCGTAGATATCCTTCTAGGTACTGTGTCAGGTCTATATGTGAGCCTCACACGCACATGTTCAATCATCAACTGCTGGTCAGCACTGGGTATAATAATGGTCGATGCACGCCGTGCCACGCCCCTTCCAGCCACCTTGCCAAGAAGGGTTCCCTACATCACAGCAACATTTGGTGCACCTTCAAACCGCAACCACTAGCTACATTTGCGAAGAGCAGCGGCAAACATCTTTAACAATATCAAAAAGACAGTGAGAATGATCATCTACGCCATTGAGCACCATGACTATTAAATTCCGCATATTCTCTAGGACCATCGTATGCAATCCTTAGCAAGATATGTTATTAAGGCATGCTGAACATAAGTCATACCTTGGCATCATGAGTTTTGCCTACAGTCGACGCTCGGAATCTGTCGAAGATGGACCACGCTGGCGGGAGAGCCGAGCCTGAGGATAATGCCCTAGGCTGGGGCACACCGGATGATGGCAGACCTGTAGCAGGTTGCTCCGACGTTGGCACTGAAACAGCATCAGCTGAATCGTTGCTCTTCCCCAGGTCCAAGGGTACGGCGGCGAAGGCCTGCCTGGCAAATGGTGAGGCAGGACCAGTAACCCCATGATCCAACGCAGCAAAACTGTCGCCAGTGGTGTTGCCAGTTGCAGGGAACCCTTGTGCGGCTGGAGCTGCATCTGCTGCTAAAACATTTAGGCCTGTGGCATGACACGAGTCAGCAACGCGACTGCTGAGCAGTGGGCCCCTAGCCGTGGGCGTCGCCGCTGCATCGGTGTCGGTACCCACCGCTCCCTGGTGACTGCAATCAGTGCCAATGGTCCCATGCCAGGGCCCCGGCTTCACAAGCAGCTGCAACCGTACAATTGTGTTCTGGTTGTCTTGCCAGTAGGACAAGGAGTCAGCATGCATCAAATTCGGTGGTGCGGATTCTGCCGGTAGCGTGTGCTGAACAGCCTTGCCATGGTGGGGCCCAGAGAACACGTCACGAACGGTATTGGCCACCTTATCAACAGTGTTGGCAACCCTGTCGCCCACGGCTGCTGCAGTATCTTGAAATTTCTGGTTGACCACCTATATGATGAAGGGCAGCATGTTTTGCTAGGCAGGCAGTCCTACAGGACAGACGACAGATAAATGGACGGCTTTCACATCGCCACCACTAGGCTCCGGTTTTCCAGATGACTTGTAATGAAGCAATGGAAAGTTGTTAACGAGGAGCGTACCCGTAAAGCCCAACTATGAGCACACCCAACCGCCCGCCTGTTGTTGACAGGCCGGGTATCACAAACGCATGCTTGGGCCATGCCGTCATCCAGCCAAATGACCTAGTGCGTACCGAAAGACGCTGGTCTTCATCAGGAATAGCACTTAGTGAGGCGAGGATACATCACAAGCGCACGCACGCACAGCGCGCATACCAAACGAGGTTGGGATATTATCTGGGTTCATTTCGCATCCCCAGAGCACATTCATACGCTACCCTGTTGGGTTTTGCATCATTTAAGGAAACAGGCTCAAGGCTGCAAGAAGGACTTAGACATAACTAAAGCTCGCCGTCCTACGGATCCCTGTTATTACTAAGCAAGCAGCCTGGATGCACTTCTGTAATGTGAAATTGTACGGGAGCATTTATTTTCAAACTTTTGCATATGTGAGATATCCTAACGGGAGCGCGATGCGCTAATCCCAGCCATGGAGATCACAAGGTTCCTGGAACTCCGGGAAGAAAATACCTGTAACAGCGGTCGCGCCGGCTCAACATGGTTACGCGACATCATATCCCGAAGAACATGGCTCAAGGGCATATCAGGGTCCTCCACGTATTCCAGGCGCACGAAGTCAGGAAGCTCGTGATCTCCGTTCGTGGCGGTGCTGCAGCCGTGGTTCACCTCGACAGGCCTATACAGAACGTCACGAAGGCAACATCCGGAATGTTTACTGACATGCAACAGGGACAGAGGACAAAGCCGACTTAGAGCGCGTTTGAGTTTACAGCGTTACCTTGACATCGAGGTGGTAATAGGCCATGTAACTCTAAATGTAACTCTAAACCAGGCGTCCAAACGCGTCTACTTACCTGGTGCAATGGAGGTGCAACTCAGGGACCTTAATGCACAAAACCATCTGCTTGTGCATGTCCAAGTACAGAGGCTGGGCCTCCCCTGGCGGCACATGCACAAGCCGCACACTTTGCCTCGCCCACTCGATGAAGCCATCAAGCTCCTGCCATGTAACCTGCACATGGCATTTCGAGTTGAACCTATGTAGTTCCTGGAAATCGTCAGGCTTTACGTTGGTTTTGTAATAGCTATGTACATTACTTAAATACTGACTCCTCGGCACAGCATGGAGTTGCAGCAACTCACCCTATCTGCAGGCTCTGTTTCGATCCGGGTAAGTAGGTCCATCTCCTTGACATTGCGCTTTGCAGCCCAGCGGAGCTCGCAATATAATCGAGCAAGCATGTTGCATTTTTTAACGTTCGAGGTCATGGTCTCGTATCCGGGCACCTGCACAGCCATATAGCATGCGAAAAGATGTCCTCATAATGGGATAATATCTCACAGAAGAGCGGTTGACACAGAAGTACCACTGGATTCAAGATACCCACACTTTTAAGCTCCAGGTAATACACACCTTACGAAGTTGCAGTTCCTTAGCCGCCTTTGGCTTCAACATTTTAACCAGTGCATCGAAGTCGAGGACTATGCGTTCCTCGTCAAGCTCACGCGTCTCCTCCAGAACAGTTTCACTTCGACGGATCTTCATGAACCGCCTCGATACGCCAGCCGGTGGACCGCTGTTGTTGCTTACACCGTCACTCGCCGCCAAAACGCTACCAGCGGATACCGTGATCGGGTTAGCGGCCACCTGAGGACTGGTGGTGCCCTTGTTGCTAACTTCTAGCTCGCGGTTGACGGCATTCAGTGATATGATGTAGCCCTCCATGTAATATGGCAGGGAGTTCGTAAGCACAATCGTGGGACAAATTTTTACTGACGCTTCCAGAGGCCGGCTCGCCTTGGCAAATAGACCCGGTCCTGGCACCTCCATAGAATGAAAGGTTGTGTACGAGTACTCTGTCCGTGTCCTGACCCTCACCTGCATGGTGGCCGGGTAGCAAGTATTTGCGATGCTGACATGGGGAGGAAAAAGGCCTGCCCCTAGGCGACCAAACGTACCAGGAATACACAAAAGCGCTTAATAAAAATAGTTAGCTGACCCTCGCCATTGGCGAACCTTATTGTAAACTGACCGTTACCGTTACCGATCTGGTGACACCTCTGTGTAAATAAATGTAGGTTCTGAGTTCAATTCCTGGCCAGGCCCCCGACTATAATCGGGAGAATTAGGTTTACAAATCGCTGCTAAGGTGTGGAGATGAGGTCTAGTTGATGGACTAAGTTCCGCAACTGAATCGGTGATGATGGCTGATCTGTCTCTACGGATGACGGGTGACTGGATGAGGCGGGGTCTAGTTGGCAGGACCCAAACCGCCGTCGGTTATACGGTGTAATTAACTTTCAATATACAGTCCATGGCCTCACGGCTTTGACGGACGCCCCGCACTCGTGCAGTACTTGTTACCGTTTGTTCAAAACGATCGGCTGTAGATATGTTCGGTTTAATAAGTACATGTGAACCACGATTACGAGGCACAGTAAACATAAATGTTAGCCCTAAGGGTGCAATTATGGAAATGTTAGCCCCTGCCGCTCGGACCACACCTCTATACCCTCCGTCACAATGGCACATTTGTTCCACATACATTTGAGAGCATAACCGCTCCCCTCTGTGACATTTACCTCTGGGCCCCATTTTGTGGGCTGTGTTTAGGGTTTTCTAAGAGGGAAGCGTCTCTGGTTGCTTGGTGCTGCCAGGGCTGTGGTACGGGGTTCACCTTGGTGGGGCCTCTAGCGGCCACTACGGTGTTTGGGTTAGGCGGACAGCACTGGTAACCTGTTAGGATTAACTAACTGTAACCTCGCCCATTCATTTCTGAGCATAACCATTATATATAGGACAACAATCCAAGCCAACGCACCTTGACTGCGAAGTGCAGGGGTGAGTTTCCATACAGCCCCATTTGGTTAACAACAGGTAATCCCGTCGCGATGAACCCTGCCTGTTCAAGCATATCACTGACTCGTGGGAAAAGCCTTATCACGTCGTGCTGCGCGGCCTCGTATGTACACCATCCTTTTCCTTGCGGGGTGCGTGCCTCAAGGTACAAACTGCCTCCAAGAGCGGCGACGACTGGTAGGTAGCGGCCTACGAAACGAGCAAATGATTATTTGTAGTACAAGCCAGAAAATTGTTTGATTCATTCGAGCCGTTGCCAAGCCAAATCGCTTGCATTACTGAGGCTACGCAACGGGGTAATGTACTTGGGGTAGGTACTAGTACGCGGCCTTTCACAAGAGACCACGTATACAGATATAAAAAGGGTGACACTCTGGGGCCCCTTACCTTCCCCTGGCTTTAGCGGTCGTAAGCGGATGTCCTGTTCGCCTGGCAGCTGTACGTCACCAGCACCTCGCACAACTTGGCGTGCAAGTGATACAGATGGAAAGTGCAGCCGAAAGCTCAAGCGACAGTTGGTGTTATTCTGGACAAAAAGTGCTGAGTGGATTTTCAAGATTTTTGTACGCCCAACAAGCACGACATCCACTACCACAGGCGCTCGCTGGTCGTCGGTAGGTGAGTGCAGCTCGTAGCAGTATTTGCCCACCACATCAACAGAAACATCTGCGACCAAGGGAAGGTAGGACCACGTAGGACGGTTGTTCCAGAGGAGCCACGCCGCGTATGCTTGACAGTACGTTTGCAAGTAGGATTAACACGCAAGTTTCGAATTCCCATCGTGCAGTCACACGTGCGTAGAAAGACCAAACACCCTTTTTCAGATAACTTTGGCTCACATGCATCAGGCTTACAGACATCCATTCAAACGATATAAGCCCTATAGGCTAATTAAGTCCAAATCGGGTGAAACAAGCATGTACGTGGAACCATCTATTGTAAGGGCCTCATTAAGTAGGAACAATGGCCGCGCACCTGTAACTGGCATCCAGCTCCCCTCAAAATTAAGGACAATGACCTGTGCTTGCAAGCGTGTAAGGACAACTCCACCCGGCCCCACAATTTTGACCTGCTTCGCCGTGGGCGTGACCTGCAACTCCTCGCTACAACCTGAAGGCAGAATCCGCTTGGTAGATGCTGGCTGCACGTCACTTTCGCTTTTAGGAGCCCAGTAAGACATCATAAGCCCTGTCAGGTTCTGGATAAGATACCTGCGGGTTGAAAGGAAATGTGTGAGTCCCTGTGCAAAAATGGCAGCAAATTTTAACCATGAATGTGCGTGGAGAAGCTGATTGACTTGGGAGCATTATGCGGCTTATGGATCGCTTAGCCTGCATCCTACCTTTGGGGCACGCGCATCATGATAGATCCAGATAACGCCATCTGCTCGCTAACAGTGGGCGGATCCTCGGCAACCGGAGCAGTTGCACCCCCACGTGAGACGCCCGTGACGGTTGTAGCTACTTCATGTCGATCATAGAGGCGCCGGACAAAGGAAAGCGTGTCTCCAAGAGTTAGCAGGCAAGATGGATGGAATGTGAGCTTCATAAGCTCGCTAGATGTCACAAAGACATACCTGTAGCCATGGGAAAGCGCCCGGAAGCTCGGTCATTATGCATAAAAAAGCTATGCGTGCAGTTGCGGGAGGTTTGTCGACGCGGCCACAAAGGTCAAATAAGAAGCATTGCAATGCAAACCAATTGGTTTGCTGTCAGTTGGACAATACAGGTCAAATCGGTCCCCTATCTGCAGGCTTCTGGGATTTCGCCGTTGGCGGAGTAGCCAGCGGACCATTGCGCGTCTTTCTCAAGTGTAACGTGCATAGGACAAGGAACCCACTTACATAGTACGGCTGGACTTGAATACAGGGTTGATTGGGTCGCTTAGGTGCAACTCAGCTGGCCAGGGCTCCAGCAAGTGTTCCCACCGGCCTGTGGAGTTATTCAAGAACTGCGCCGCCAAACGTAGAGATATGCAGCCTGACTGCTCTGGCAGGTGGTCATAGTACCTGATTGCATTGCGAATATACAAGCAGCTGCAGTTAGTTAAGCCCGCTTATGACGGGGAAAAGTCACCAGCCCTTCTGTTGAGTACTAGCCACCGGTCCCCACTTGCTAACCATATGCATTCACATGCAAGGTTATATTGCAGCATGCCCAGGGTGCTTAAGAGCATAGGTAATGCCCGGGTGGGGCATGCACCACCAGAGTCACTGGCACCATGCATACCACCAAAAGATGATCTTAGGTTCATAATATGCGACGAACCCGCAAGGGTGATGCACCAGTCTTTGTGCGCTGTGTGGTTTCACAGCGATTTGTCTGCTTGCTAAAAGAATGCATGCACAAGGCAAGCGATGCGAGGAGAACGCGCAACAGTCACTAAGGGACCCGCCCAGCGGAGAGAACCACTAAAGGAGTTACAAAACAAGCACGAGGAATCAACACTCACCGTTTCTCTGTGCTGTACTGGACTGTGACCTGCTCCAAGGCAGCCGTGAGAACATCAGGTGCACCATATGACTTTGCCTTATCATCACAAAGGACGAAACCAAGCGACTCTATCTTAGCTTCCACCGACATGGAACTGGTTCGAAACTTCCAAGTTGCTGCAGTGGCATGGGTTAAATGTGGCAGACCAAGCATTGGAAAGTCCCTTTAAGGTATACAGCATGCACATGTATGTATCTGCCACGGAACATGTTAGGCACGGGCACACTCAGCTCAGCACCTTTAGGGTATTTCCGGGTTCTGGGCGGGGCCCCCGAGAATGTTGTGATGGTATATCGACAGCAGATATGCATGCGATCATACGGAACACTAGTACGGAGGAGGTGCCAGCCGTAAACCATGGAAACGACCTTGCCCGTGCTGTACAAACGAGACCTTACCCCTTAGCTCGTAAAGATTAGAGCAATGGGTCAGGAGGCATGACCACACGAGACGCGCACATGGTTCCTTCTATATTTTAAGGAATTGGCACGCATTATTACATCTGTGAAACGGAAAACCTTCGTTATGACTGGTAATGGGCCTGTCCACCTGAAAGATTAACATGGCGCCATTAGACGTTCACCGACCTATACAGATAGTTCTAATGCGTTTGACGTCAATCAAACAAGGTTAACTTTGAGCACATCAGGCCTCCTCGTCTGCTCTTTTAACAAGGGCTTGTGGATGGGGAACCTACCCCTTGCCTCCATGGCCGCCTCAGATGCAGGGGTATGGGCGCGTGGACATGTCGAGGTTGTCGGCCAAGCAATTACTGGTGCCGGCGGGAACAGACCGTTGTTCCGCTGCAGAAGGTCAACCGCAATGCCAACGTCGTCCAACAAGGCGTGCCACAGTGGAATATTCGAAAAAGAGGCACGGATGACTGCAGTTTCAAGGTTAAATAAGATTTTGCTGACAGCTGGTTGACGCGATAAGAGTTTTCCAGACGCGATAAGGGCTGCAGAACTTGTGGGCAACGGCAGATTGTGGAGCTCCAGTAGTCCGGCCGCGCGAAGCGTTGCTTGCTCCACCAGGAGATCCTACGCCGCACGAAACGACGATACGTATTGGTGCTCGATCCAATATCTTTGGGCCTCCATGAAAACAAATGGGCATTGCCCGGCAGCCAAATACGATACCATACATGTTAGCCCCGTTCTGGCTGGCTATGTCCCCTTTGCTCATTGCTGACCTTTGCAGCGCCAGGTGTCCAGATGAATGTAGATACGGTGTCCATGCTGACAGGACATTTATGATCGCATTTTTGCCCAGAACCCCCAGAACATGCGATTGCCGCGAACCTATCTACCCGTAGACGCTTAAAAACGCCAGGATTACGGGCAAGGTCAGCGTCACAATATTCGACAACGCGTAATGAGCAACCATTTCCTCAAGGATGGTTTGGTATCTTACCAGAGCTGACGTCCCGCCACTGCGTTGCATGGCACGGGAGCGCACTGACGCAAAGTCATCACCGCCCACCACTCCTGATGAAACACCTTCTGCGTCGTTGAGGACATTCCTGCTGGCCGCGGAGCTCTTCACTGCGACCTGCTGTGATTCTGTCACATTCCCGCGCGTCGACTGCTCCTCTATCCTCTTTTTTTCCTCCTTGTGGCGTTGCATACGTTTCACTTGAAACACCAGCTTACGTGCAGCGCTGTGTTCCGTTATATGCGATTTATGTAACAGGGATCAGCAAGCACACGGTATAAGTACGAAACAGTTATGTATGCCAGAACATGGCCTTAACGAAGGGGAAGGAAAAGAGCAAATTGATTTACATCATCACAAAAACGCAAGCGGCCCTAGTAGATTTCATGCCCCAGAGAAATCAAAAACTCACACGATATACTTTTGGAGCACTTGTGACTCTTCGACCGTGGGCGCAGCGCAGCGATGCTCAAAGGACATACTCCGGATGGGCAGAAGCCAGTTCGTCACCTGTGCACTGTTGTGTCGTACAAAACCCGCGCCATTGCGTAAGTCAAGTTTTAGGCTGCTCTCGCCATCGCCACCTGCAATGGACAGCCAGGATCCAACAATGAATGCCTTCGGCACTAGTGCGTCAGCACCTAGCCACCGGAAACAGATCCAGTCCTGTAAGTAATGTCGGTGGTATCAACCTAACAGCAATTTCATCCAAGCACATAAAAGTGCTCATAAGAACGCACCTGCAAAGTAACCAACCCGAAAGGCGGCCATTGTAAGTACCACACCCATTTGCTCCAGCCGTTTTGGCTGATCCTCACACGCCGGAACACCCGCCATTTGCCGCATAGACAGAGTGGCCCAGTTGCATGACAATGTAGGATCCCCAAGTGGTGACCTTGTGGCCTCGTCGTTACTCCCAACCAAGCCGACGCGATGAAATGGCCTTGATAGCTTGGGCAAAGGAGGCTTCTTGCTTTCATTGCACAGGCGTTGCCGCCCATCACCACTCTCAGATGGGGCACTCGTTGACGTGTTCACGGCAATGCCATCGTCCACCATACTGGCAAAGATCTGCTGCAAATTTTCTGGAGTCAGATGGACATCCTTCCTGGCCGCCTCCGCAGCAGCTGCACGCCAGCCATAAGTTAAGTGCCGCAGGTGCGGGGCCAGGACAGGAACATAAAGTTGGCTGTTACGTAGCACGAAGTTTAAGTAGAACCAAGGGGTTGCAGATAATCGCAAAAGCGCCTCCGCGCCTGATGAGGGATGACCCCAACCTGGCAAGAAAATCGCTATGATAGATGACACCAAAGACATTTCTGTTAGGTACGGCCACTGCACCAGTGTATGACATAGCTCAATCTCATTTGCCATAGTCCCATCCTGCAGCATGGAAAACGAGATCCGGACGCAGTTATGCTCGCTGTCACGAGGACACTCTCCATTCACATAAGGACCCCCTGATCCTGTGCATTCCTCAGCTAGATGCGCAGCTTCGTCTGTGGGGAGATTGATGTTGCTGCGCAGCAATGTGACCACAGCAGGCCTTTCGGGAAAGATGTGACGCAGCTGATCGTCGACGACAGGCTGCACATTCTGGCCGTCAGGGGTCTCCGTGCTATCGCCGCCTGCGGTCCACAAGCCAGCACCCTGAACAGGCAGGGACACAGATGACAGTAAGCTTACGAGGCCCATGACTGGTTGCCGCCTCAGAACATGTAACGAAGCTGACCCCATCGCCCCAAACAAAAATGATCGGGACTCTTCCATCCCTTCACGGTCGGCATTTTTCCAGCGATTAATGCAACAAGGGCATGTGACTAGGCTTAAGATACACAGGCTTAGTCAACATGACGTACGCAGTCGTCGGATGAGCCTCTCATCCATCTCAAGGTCCGCGGCAAGTTTACAGCTAAATAACGCTCACAGGCATGGAAAATGACATGCATACGCACCTCGTCACAGTATCCTGATCCAGTCGTAACTGAAGGCTTACTGAAGGTTCCCTCCGTTGTAAGATTTCGCACTTGGCCGGTCGGAACCTGTGTTGTGGCGGTGCCGAAACTAGACGCGCGACGTAGCGTATCGAATGCGTCATTGCTGGAAGCTTCCGGAACATTTTGCGCCTTGTTACCGTCCAGGGTTACCCGCACATCGGCAACCTGTTGTTCAGGATAAACATACAGCCAAGACTCTTTTATACAACGTGAAGACAGTGCAAATGATGGCAGACTACACAGCGCACTAATTGGGGAGTGAAGCCCCCTAACTCGTAACCTTAGTGGAGTCATTGGATAGATTAATCCCTGGACTTAGCCCAGATACGTTTTTTTGCTCAAGTTGTCCGATTGCGTGCTACATGGATATGTAAAATGCAAACCTAACATAGCACCAGGGTAGCCTTTGCAGTAAGGCTTGAAAGCCCGGGTATGAGTCGACCACTGGCGAGAATGCCGGACTGAGCGCCGGCGGTATGGGCAGACAGGCGGTCATGGACGCCCTACCTTGCATGGACACACGCATGTCTATGGTTGGCATCGCCCTTAAACCCGCAACTTGTACTAAGACCAAGGAGCCAACCAAGTATCCACAGCTAACCTACTAACGGGAAATCCCCGTCTGCGTATTCGACGCGACTTACATGGAGTTGCTGGCTATAGAAAGCAAGGAACATGTCGTTAGTCTTATGCGCCATCATAAGACCAAGACTGGACTGGGTGAAGCAGGCCTCCAAGCAGGGCTCCACATCCGATGCAGTTGCTTCTCCGTGCTTCCACCACGCGGGATCGCTCTCCAGCACAGCCTGCAAGGGCAAGGGTAGAGGGCGGAAGGAACGAGAGGTAAATGGCGGTTCTTCTGCCACGTGACTCTGTCATGGTTGCAGATCCTAGCAGATATTTCCTGTAGTTAATGCTTCCATGCTACATACCAGGATTAGATTCGAAGAGCACTCACCCGAAGTTGTTCCGACCATTCAACAGTAAGGTGGAAATACGGCAACTGGCCTGGCTGTGGCGTAAAAGCTCTGTTCGGGGTGAATGTGGTCCGCAGCTGCCCTGTACTGGCAGTAAGCGTCTCCCCAACATTGAAGCAGCTGTACGCTTCGGTAACATTGTCTGCAGGTAGGTGTTTGCGCGATTGTTACTGTCAGTAACTATATTACTTTGCAACGTGTCTGAAACGTCACGCGAAAGGGAGATAAGGTGCAGAAGATTAAAAGAAGATTAAAAAAATTGGCAGGACGATTCAAGGAAAATATGCAAATATACACTATACAAACATGGTCTGGTCTGGAGGCACTACTGCAATTTGCGATTTAAGCTCCTTGGCTCAATTCCTGGGTAGAACCCCGACATTGTCGAGAGCGTGCGATTTGGAACTGCTGAGATGTGGAGCTGAGGCCACGGTTGATGGACCGAGATTCGCACGCAGGATTGGTGGCGACTGCTGAACCCTACGGATTTTCGGGCGAAAGGATGCGGAGGGATTCTAGAAGGGATCATCAATCGCCTTGGAGTTGCAGTTTGGGTATGGCGTAGTGCAGTGTGGTAATGGTGGATGGTGCTGTAGGGTGTTCAATCCTAGATATGTGGATCCAAATGTGTTCAATGGCCCAGAGCCCTCCCACTCTGTAACAATCTATCAACAACAAAACAACAACCCGGCTTTTGTGGTGTGGCGACTCAGGCCCGTGATCCTCCGTGTATCTTTTGCCTTGCTGGCTGCGTGGGTGTCCTTGGCTAGGAGAGCCTTCTGAGGGGCCGTGTCTGGCCCGGTTAGGTCTTCCCTTGCCTCGTCTTTTGAGTATGTAGTGGAGCCCCCTGAGTAGAGCCCCTGCCCCCGGTGGCGTTTTTTATTTGTTCTTGTTTTGGTATTCTAGAGGGGAGAGTGCGCGCGAATGGGCTGGCCAGGCGAAGTGGGGACAGGTAGCCTGTAGGGACCCCTGAGGTGGTGTGGCGCCTCTCGTGCGGCACTCGCTTTAGGACGGTTCACAATCTTCTGGGCCGCAAATCTGCCTGATCAGGGACTGGGAGAGCGCCCCGGCTGGCGTGAGTGAGGAAGTGAGGCGCGCGCGGCGAACAGACGGAAGAAATCGCGCGCCCGCCCCTGCGCTGCGTTTCGGCCCGGTCAGGGTCCCCGGTGCTTGTCCCTTCTCGGGACGAGCCGCCCACAGTGTAACAACCCCAACAAAAAACTGTCTATGTACGTTCTTTGCGCATGGCGGTTAAGTAGACGGTTAAAAGGGTTTCTATTGGTAAGTTTCCATACAGTGCAGCTGTAATGGCTATCCCTACTGTTTGAAGAGGCTTGCAATCCGGGGTAGATACCTTTTCACCTTCCCTTAAAGACGCGTACCTGTAAGGACCTTCATCAGGCATTCGTAGCGCTGGGGTCCAAGCGTTGCTACCATTGCACCCAGCGCACTGATATGCACCTGAACTGCCCCATGCTGCTTATGCTGGAAAACAGCACCTTTCAGATCCACAGGCTCGATCATCTGATGCACCGACTGAAGTTCCGTATCGGCCATGAGATATAATGCCGACTCGACTTCGGGGTCGTACTCAACAAGCTTCCGCTTTGGCCAGGGCCTGCCGTCATATGCACTGAACTGCAGATCGGCAGGCAGAATCCGCTCCTTGTCAGCATTTCCAACTGCTGACACAAAAGATGTAACGGAGGCATCCTCCGGCTGCTGACGCTGTGAGGCTGAGCCTGGGGCATGCTGTGAGAACTGAGATTTAGGCCCCGAGCGCTCGTGGTAGACACTGCTATCACAGGGAACTAGCCTGCCACTAGACGCAGCAAACCCACTGACGGAAATTAGGACCATGGGCGAATACTCCCGGCTGACATCAGACGTATCCACATTTGGGAGCGCCTGGGCTTCATCAACGGCACGGAAGCTCGAGTCGCTTATCGGTTGGCCTGGAGGTGAAGGGAAGCCACGTTGTGAAAGCGATCCAGCCATCCAGTCTGCAATTAGCAGCTGTACACTTGCCCAAGACCAAGGGACTACAATGAGGTGCACCTAACTGACCATACATTTCGACGAAATTAAGCTAAATTAACCCACTTGTCGCTTGTGATGACGGAAGGTCACTGCTCCTACGTAGCGACCGTTTGGAACCTGCTGCCGCCTCATGCGCGACAGGACCTTGTGTATTTGCTGCATGAACCGTCGTTGTTGTATGCTGAGTGAATGTGCCAGTGCCTCCAGCTATGAGAGGATTCTCGTCATCGTCGATGCTCAGGTAGCCGGGGTTGAGCTCACCCGTCGGGCCGCGGCCAGGATGCTCATCGATCAGAAAGATACCCAGTTCGCCTCGTTGCTTCGTACGCTTGTGACCCGCATCCTGTAAAATCTGTCGTCCATACGGCACATAAGGATACGACAGCCTTCAGGTGATCCAGAATGTCCCAAAAGAAATCTTTCAGGTAAGAACCCTAGGGATAGCCTAGTCTTGTACCATACGAGTGGAATGTATACGGCGTCAACCACAGCAGGACAAACGAGCAGCGGAGTTGCTGGCCATGTGTATGGGGCGGTGAGAAGGGGAAAAAGGGGAGAACTATCAGTCGGCAGCGCCGGTAGTACATCACTTACATCACTAGCAGAAAAGTCGGCGTATACACGCGGCGTATATGTGGCGGCAGCAGGGTTCGTAGCTGAAATGAGCAACAAGATGCGCAAGATTGTGGGGCAGCAGTAAGCTCGCGTTATGTCAATATACTTCAGGTGGCTGGCATTAACTCCTCGTAACATAGATCCATCAAGGATGTGTTACCCATGCATTGGAGCCAAGAACATAACTGGTCAAAACGAATGTCGCACCTCTTTCAATGGATCAATAAATGATGCTTTAGCCGCTTGCAAACGCCGATGCAATCGAGTACTTGGACTGGAAGCTCTTCTTTCTGCCGGAACTTGCCGTTGTCGCCTTGCGGCATTAGTACCTGCAAAAAAACAGCATACATACCCAAAAGACAGCATACACGTGCTTGCCATATGCCTACGGTATTGTCCTTGATAATGTGGCTCAACCCAGCCACAGAAATGCCTTTCAATTTTACCTAACACGCGCCGGGTTATGGCCGGTATTGGCTTACTCCCATCACTTTTATTTCAATTCCTGGGGAGAACCCCGACATTGTCGAAAGCGTGAGATTTTGGCTAGCTGCTGAGATGTGGAGTTAAGGTCACAATTGATGGACCGAGATTTGCACGCTGGATTGGTGGCGATTGCTGAACCCTCTGTCTCTGCGGATGTTCGGGTGAATGGATGAGGAGGGATCCTAGAATGGAGGGTCAACCGCCTTGGACTGTAGTTCGTACGGCGTAGTACAGTGTGGTAGTGGTGAATGGTGCTGTATGGTGATTAACCGTAGAAATGATAATGTGTTCAAGCGGCCCAGAAGCCTCCCACTCTGTACCAACAACAACTTTTATGACGCACCTGGACCTTGGTCAGGGCACCTGTGGGCATTCAGATGTTCATCCAGATGAGCTTGCTTGTTAATCTGCGGGAAGTGTTTGTCACCCAACCGCAGGCTTGAAGAGATTAGCCCATGAACCTCCTCAGGTAAAACCATCCAGGCAGCACCGCCACACAGTCCGTCTTCGTCGACCATTTTGTTGTCGTGGAGACTTGCCAGGTCGCCAGGAATGCACAACGTTATAGATCGCATTTCCAGCGATACTGCCTCGTTGTGAACGGCGCGGCGGATAGGACCGTGGCTGGCGGCTGCACCTCCTGGGAGTAACACCTTGACGTTGAATGCCTACGAGTTCGTGAAACAAACGAATTAAGAGTATGCTGTAGTAGCTGTAGTACAGTACGACACACATATCGTCTATAATACGCGTAAAGGCGCTCCGTCAGCATCTTTTCAGTGGGGAGGCCTTTTCAGTGGCCAGCTACTATACCTGCACACCGTAGGTGAAAAGGTAAATTACCTACCTCCACGATTGTCCTGGGAGCCAGCTTCCGTGGAGGAGACACCATCGCAATACCTGGAGTTGATTCTCTCGGTGTCGACTCGTGCTGTGCTGAGGCTGCAGTCTCACCCGGATATCCAGGATTACTTTGTTGTACAGCAGATTTATACACATCACCCAGGACACCAATTGCATAAAGCAAATTGTTACTATACCGCCGAAGCCAGGTTATGGATGGATTAAACACGCTGACTTTTAGCGACGTGGGTACGTCAGGGTTACATACAACCCTATACTCAAGCTGCATCGCGCAAGTGGTTCCATCAATGAACTCATCGGTGTCCTGACCGACGGCGGCCCTGAACGAAAATCCTGGTTGTGCAAAGGTGCTCGGGGAGTCGACCGGGGATGGCGGCTGGGCTTTTGCAACAAGCACATTGCGGTGCTCAACGCAGCCCTGCAGGTCCAGCACAATGATGTCGCTTATCGCCATCTTCAAGGCAAGGCCAGCTGTGCCTTCTGTCCCCGTATCCGTTATCACGCTAACATGGCGAAGCTCAAGTGAGGTAAGCTCTGTCAGGCCCGGTTCCTTTCTATTTTCGTTGCCCGGGGCCGGCCTTCTCTTCATAAGACACGGCTTCTCAGCCGCGTGCGTGGGTGGACAGGGTAAACGCCGCGGTGGCTCCTCCATCAAGACCTGTGGACATCCACATGGCAAAATATAAGCCATAAGCAAGTGCGTGGACCACAGCTTTGCAACGTCATAACAATGCGTGAACCGGAACTATAAGCCAAGGATTACGCGTATATTACCACAGAAGCCTTTGCTCCGTACATCCAAAAGCACTTACGACGCAGAAGCCCTTGCACCTTACTGGAACCCAAGTTTGTAGCGGGGCCGGCTTTCTTACCTTCATTTTAAAGAATGTCATGGCGAGGGTCAATTTGTACCTCCCCAGCATGTCTGGAGCAGCACCGCTTGGGGGTTTCGTAGCCGCTCCAGCGGCTGAGCTCCTATGCCGAACTGAGCTTGTCATAGCCTAACACGCATTACATGCAATAAGGCATTTGCTTCAGGTAACTCTAGCCAAAACGCAAAAGTAGTGTAACCCTTCCCAACCACACCCACGCATTAATTACGGCACCGCTAGTACCCTGCAATTCGCCAATGGAATCCCTGGAAATGCGCCTCCGTATGATTTACGCCAGATGTGCATAAGTAGCCTGAGCACCTGGAGCACATACCCAACAGCGCAACAGCTTCGGCATTGACCGCTCTATCCAGTTAAATTAAAGATGAAGGCCAGATCACCTGCTGTATCTGCACGAGCATACGTAGCATAGCTCCCACCGAGTGAACACCAACGGACGATATGACATGTTGGCACGTTGCATGTAAGGTCGTGGCCTCCGGGCTTGCGGCTGCTTGAGCCATTACCACAGCAATGACCGGGGTAACGAGGGGCATGTTATGTACATAGGTTGTCCGCCGTTGCCATACAGATTGAGTGCCCAGATGCCGATAGGCCTGTACAAAACTGAGCTTTAATTCTGCTTCACTTGGGTTGCCTGTGGACGACTGGCTTGAATAAGGACGGTCCTGAGCTGCTGCTCGCTGGCTCTGCACGTTGGCCGTACCAAATGCACTCTGCAAAGAAGTCGAGGAGTCCAGACCTGTAGGTACAGAAATACCCGCCGACTCAACCGATCCACTTGGCCTAAAACGCCCAGCTTCGTTAAAATGAAACTGCAGCGCTCTTGAAAGGGGATCTGCGCCTGACGGTTCCACGTCGTGGCCCAGTACAGACTGCAGAGGACCGTCGTCCCTGACAAGTATAAAACTAGACGGCGGCTGACGAGCGTCCTCCGGGATGGGGCTCATACTGCGACGGGTAAAACCACCTTGAGCAGGCGTTGATGAAGTGCTGCCCGTTGCGGGTCCACGTCCAGCTAGCAAGATCGCGCTGTGCCGGAGCGCCGCCATGCGTATAGTGCTTTGGTAACGTACAGCTTCCAGCATTTGAATCAGGGATGACTTGGGGTTGGGTTGCGAACCGCCACCACCTCGGCCAACACTAGCACCGAAGAGAGCTGCTATGCTGCCAAGCGCGCTGACGCTGCTGGGACGCCCTGAGCTGTGTAGCACAGCTGGTGTAGGCGTGCTCCTGGGGTGATTACTACAATCGACAGCACTGCTTCTGGAGGGACTGGCGGGGGTTGGCTCCGCAAGATTTGCCGAGGCGGTGGCGCCAACAGCATACGAGAAATCATTTGGGGTAGCTCCTTTCATGTGTTCCTGGAAGAGGATGCGATAGCTTTCCAGTGGCTCCGGCAACGACAATTGCAAACGCGCCACAGTTCGGTGAGTTGGAGAAAGCAAAAACATGGCGAAGTCGCTTGCACGATGCAACAGCTGGACCTCTAGAAGGCGGCGCCACTGTTGTCGGATCTGGCCTCGTTTCTCGCCGATCGGCGTCTGGGATGATGGAAGGCAAAGGGCCGCACGGCGCCTGTCGCGTGCGAAATCCCGTACTGCAGCTGCCCGCGTAGGCAATGGTCCAAAGAGCTGGGAGGCGCTGTCCTCGGGCAGCAGTCCTTGTACACTTGCAATACCAGGGCCATCTGAACCCTTACCTGAATTTGCAAGCCACACCTTGGCATACAGCGAACGCTTGAGCCGCGCCTGGTGATCGGAAATCTGTAATCCCGTCGACTGTACTGTTGCCCTAACGCAGTTCCTTTTCGCGAGGCGCAGCCCAGACCGGATGTTTGCCATGTTCGCTGTAAACAGCGGCGCCAAACGGCGACCCCAACGGAGCACTGGATCTATGCCCACTAACTCCTTGGATACCAAATGCTTAGTAATCCAGGCCGGTAGCTGCAGTGCGCGCCTGCAATTTCCACAAAAGTTCTTTGATGTCTACGCATGCACGTGGCAAAGGCGGCATGTTAAACATATCTAAGTAGAAGATCTAGGCCGCACACAACAATTGCACTAGAAAGCATCCCTTTACAGCCGGACGATACATACCCGGATTCTCTCATAGCACGTATCTCCGATTCAACGACCTCATCGAAATGAAAGGCCTCCGGCATCTCCGCGTAGCAGCTGACGGTCAAGAGGGGAACATCCAACAGCAACGAAATGCTGGATCCACTGGCCGCAGGGGAACCTGGCTCCTTTCTTTGGTTCCTCGGTGCGGGGCCTGCCGATTGCATTTCATTCCCACTGGCCTGAGCGGGTTCAGCTGCACCGCTTTGTGCTGCAATCGGCTCTCTGCCTGCTTCAGAGTCACTATCGGATTGCTGTCGCTTCCGGTTTCTGGCGTTGACAAGAACCGGGTGCGTAAGCAGGCTGTCTATCACCGCGTTTAATGCCGTGGCCTACAAGCACAGGAAGGAAGGCAAAAAGTGTGTCAGATTTAAGCTTCAGCTGTTAAGCATGGATGTGAACCTCGAGTGGCTTATTATCTTGCCACATTATTGGGTTCATGCGGACAAACTGAAAGGCCTACATGTTGCCATGGTTATCATGAGCTGAAATGCTGGGAATACTATCCAAGCTTTGGAAAGTCCCGGCCCAGTGTTCACGTCGTCTGGAGGAATGGCCCGAAGGGCCGTTTCGGACAAACGAAACACCGGCAGGAGGCCAGCGTTCGTGCACCCGCCAAACGAAAGAAATGGACGGGAAATACCCCGTTCTCTAGCCGGGTGAACGATTCCCGGGCCTGGGCCTGGGCCCTGCAGTTTGGCACTTAGGAGGCTGCAGCAGCATCTGTTGTACCTAAGACCGGGCATTGGATCGTAGTAGCATTAACGGTCTGGTCTGGTTGATACCTTTGTCTAGATGAAGATTCTGGGTTCGATTCCTGGTCGGATCCCCGACAATAATCGGGAGAACTAGGTTTACATATCGCTGCTATAGTGTGGAGATGATATCTAGTTGATGGTTTAAGGTTCGCATGCTGATTGGTGGTGATGGCTGATCTGACTCTACGGATGTCGGGTGACTGGATGAGGAGGGGTCTAGTCGGCAGGACCCAAACCGCCGTCTGTTGTACGGTGTAAGAATATTTAGTCCATGGCCTCACGGCTTTGACGGACCCCCCCGCACTCGTGCGGCACTTGTAACTTGTAATTAACACGAAGTGTAGTATACAGCCAACAGTATTATTCACAACGTTTAACATATTTGTTATAGTTTCCTTTCGAGACGGCTGCAAAATACGCTCGACGCCAAGTTGTTAAATGGACTACCCTGTTTACCTGGGGCCCAGTTTCCCCCCTAGCGAGCCTGCATTTTAAGAGGCTTCTGCGCATTATTCCGTAAAACCATGTATGCGCCTCAAGGCAAGACCTGGGAGTCTGGCACATGTTTGCCGTATATAGTGACACCCTAGTGGCGTATAAGCTGGGACTATGCGGTCAACCGCGGGCACTTACAGCCGCACACCGACTCGGCCCGAACATAATTATTGCGTGGACACTGCGTTTAGCCTATTTTTCTAATTTTAGACGACGGCAGTATTAGGGGGCTTCGTCCGGTTTCAGGCGTTCATCCGGTTCGTCTGGCCGGACGAAAGAATTCCGGCCCCGGAGGAGCCGTTCGTCCGCCAGCCAACGAACGAAACGGGCCTAAACGGGCTCCTTTCGTCCGCAGGAACGAAAGTGCAAAATTAAGTTACGGACACTGTCACGGCCTGAACACTAGTTAGGTATCGCAAGGTAGCCCACGCACATCTTTTTTACGCAAGTGTCACGGAACGGTCAGATCCCTTAAATCCCCTTGCAACTCAAAGAAGCTGCAATGGACCAGCAGGGACCCGGGGGTGTACAGCACGCCACATAGTGTCACGGGTACAGGGTCTGACTGCTGCTGGCCAGTGCCAACTGCTGCTGGCCAGTGCCGCTTGTCCCTCCAAATAAGGCAGAAGATAACAAGCGATATCAAGTGCAAGCCTAATCCCGTGTCCAGGACTTCTGTGTTCTGGATTGGCTACGGCTTCCCTTGGGCAATGGAAGGCCGGCGCACACATACGGTTCCTTTCTGGGCCGATTCGGGATCGTCCCAGGGTGTGGATCGCGGATAATGTGCTACAACGGTGGTTGCGGCACCATCACCATAAGTGGGCAGTTACGTGCTTACAGCAGTAAGTAGCACCCTTGCTAAAGGCAGGGTGCGGAATGGAGAGGCGTCAAACTTTAACTGAACCTGGCTGTGACCTTGTCAAGGACACCTTGCCTAGAGGGTGAATATTTGCAGCAACCTGGGTACATACTTGTGATGCAGGCATGTACCATCAAATCGCGACACCTCCCCACATTTCGTCGAGCAGCAAGAATTACCAACACTGCGCGCGCGTATGGCATACAAGATAAAGGCTTCCCCCTAATTGTCTCGTTTAAGAAGGCCCGTGGCGAGTTCTTACGCAAAACCTTGGGAAACACTATATCCTAAACTATGCGATTGCAATGGACATCACTGCTAACACCGTACGGCACCTTACAATAACATGTGCAAACTTACAATAACATGTGCAAAGTGTTCGCAAGGTTTCCCGTGAAGGTAAGGACTTACTGGCTTGCGCAGTAAATCCTGATAAAATGAAGATACGTTCTAGCGTTATGGGACGGCAGCGGATAACCAACGAAAGGGGCCTACCCTAAGAACTCGTTAGGCGCCGGGCCGCTGGCAAGATGGTACGCAGGAGCGTTATTACCGCATTATCCAGGGCGTTTAGGACAATTAATTGAGGACTCAAAATGAGCCACATCTTTGCCTTGACCATGCTCAGTTAACTAAAATCCCCGAGCGTGCGAACGTAACTACTGCCTGTCAGGCTCTAGTACAACACGAGAGGAAGAGAGGTTACGCTCACCAGTGGGCTGCTCCATGTAAGGTTACGATAAAATTGCGGAAGCATTTAAGCAATTGAGAATATGAGCTTTTGGGCATCCTTCGGGAAGATTATTCTGTTGAAGCTCTATTATCATAGGGCAACATCGGGCGCGCAATGGAAGGCGGGGTGTTTGCATACAGACAAGAACTTTTCTCACGCTTTGGTACGGGCATTCGGTGTCTACACATCTAGAACGAGGACAAATAGCATGTACGGCGGAGTGTCCGATGAACAAACTGAATGCTACCAAACACATAGCGAAGGGGAAGCAGTTGGCTAGGATTCCGCACGGACGTTATAGAGTGTATTTGGTCTCCGAAATCTAATTACACCTTTTGGACGCTAATTTTCCCACTTGGAAACCCTTGGAGCCCTGGCTGTTCGCATGCAGGTTTGCAGGAATGGGATTTATGCACCCTTGACCATGTGCACACCAAAGTTGTGGTATGGACGGCGCAAAAAAATCACAAATATGCAGCAAACCTCTCGAAGCAAGATGTCTGTAATATTATATATATACATATATATGTATATATTATAATAATATAATACATACAATATATATAATAATATAATATATACAATATATATAATAATATAATATATATATATATATATATTATATGCGGATATTATATTATATTATATGAGGATCTTACCATACACAGTTGCTTACGCGTACTAAAAAGTGTTCGTGAGGCACTGGGCGGAAGATATGCTATGAAATGATAAAAGTCGCCTGCCTCTCATAATAGCTAGGAGACGAAAAAGCCACTCGAGGCGCAAATTGCATTTGGCGTACCAATAACTTCCGTGCACCGTACTGTACAACACCTCCAAAGAGCGAGTACTATGCGCCTACATGGACTTCATTTCTCTGATGCTTTGGTCCCATGGCATTTCATTGCATAATCACGGAGAAATTTTGGAAGCTATTGGATCAAGCAGTGGCGTCCGGGAATCGCACTCAAGTTTCGCATGGGTCAGCTCACCCTCACAAGGGTCGACCCATACTGGAGGCAGAAAACTTACGTGCCACGGTGAGAACCATACCATGACGCTGTGCACGCCCACAGTGTGGTGAGTTGTCATGGTTCCTGGCACAGCTGGTTCATATGGTACTTGGTTTAACGCCATTGCAGACATGCTGCGAACCTTCAGTACCGGAAGGAAAGGGTAGCTGTCGTGCGTACGCTGCTGTCCACCCCTCGCGGCCTCACTGCGATGAGATAGCATGGACCGTCAGCGAATAGTTGAAGTTTTCCATACGATTGTCATGGCACTCATGGGCAATAAAAAAGACCAGATCTAAAAACACACGCAACTCGAAAAGGCTTCAGAGCTTGCCCATGCAACTAATCAGCAGGAGTACTTCAGATGGCAGTTGGCCAAAGCATAGCACTTCCCTTCCCTGTACTAACATATAATGATAAACTCCTTTCCCATGTATTAACGCGCATGGAGTTCCCCAACACTGTGATCCCGCACCTCGTAAAGGTAAGTGTAGGCAGTAAGCTTGCCATGCTGTTAGCGGTTACGGATCCACTTAATCCGCGGCTATATGCGCGGCTTGGGCGTTTCAAGGATGCCTCCTGCAACTGCGTGGCAACGTGAGGTACTGAAAGGGCCTGATACGGAAAGGCCACCTCGACGTCGTCTGGATGCAACCACATCTTGGCGAATTGCCCCAGCTGCGGTAGACAGACACCTGACACCACTCCAGGTGAAGCAGCAAGCCTGTTCAGACGTGGCTGTATCTGAACATATAGTTCCACATGTGCCTGCACTGACGCTGACTGAACCAAAGACGCATAGCACGTGTGTACGTAACGCGAAGAAACGCGCACGTGTGTTAGCACTGCGACTGTCAGGATTTCCGAATGTTGACCCGAGATACCCCCAATAGAAGGTGTACAAGTAGCCGCCAGCATCCACCTGACACTAACCTGCGTAGGTGTGACAAGAACGTAACCAAGCTCGTAATTGGCAAGTTCATTGCAGCAAACTCATGTTGCAGAAACACCGAATTAAGACATACGACTAAGGCTATGTGTCAGCTGCACAGAAGCAGCAAACGGATCCCCCCAGCATCTGCCCCAAATAGCACCCACTTACCATAGGGCAATAAAATTGCAGCTTCGGCATGAAGGCCGCCATGGAAGATGGCACTCGGACGCAATCACGCGTATAGCTGTCCATAACCAATAAGTGCAGGTTGGTGGACGGCCACTCTTCAACCGCTATGGACATGCCTGCTTCTGCCTTTCGCCTAGCTGCCTTCAACTGTACCATGCTGTCTATAAACCTAGCGGAAGCAATGACAAACGGAGGACTGTTGAAAGCCATCTCCACGGCGGCGATGTTTACTTTGTACCGTGAAAGGTACAGCGAAATCGGGGCGTCCGGGTAGATCGCGCCCTCCAAAGCCCAATCCTTAGCAGGCGTGCTGCCTTGGGTATGCAACGGGCCGGCAGAAGAGAAATCCAACTTGACACCATATTCATCAGCGCATTCACGCGAAGAGGGTACAACGAGCACATGCTTGGGCCCGCCAGTTACGCCTCCCAACAGCGACATTCGAATGGTCGCAGCCTGCATGCAGCATTCGCAAGTATATATCGAAAACCTATCCATGTTATGCAATAAGTTGCCAGCAAAGCCCTACCTGCAAGTTGATGCGGTAAGTGTCGGGCATACATAAGTGAATGCCTTCCAGCATAACTGCAAGCACGTCGGCTGGCTGCTTGATGCTCTCGGAGGTTGCTGCAGATTCAACATTTGCACCTGCAGGTCCCGTTGTCGCCGATGAGCTTGCACGCAGCAACTGCTTGTTAACAAGCTTTAATCCCAGCCGTGGACAGCTCACGCCTAAGCTGATCTGCGCCGCTGTCTGCGCACGATGGACCCTGCCAGAGGCCGTAGCGCTTGAACGGTCAGCAGTCGCCTTGCCCACCTCTGGTGTAGGCATGCTGTCCGATCCCTCTCCTATCTCGTCCATTGTCGGTATGGCGTCGACGAAATTGGCAATGACATCCATGGCATCCAGCCACCTAGTTCTCGCGTCACATGAAGGAGCCAACCTCACCGAGTGCCATAGCGCAACAAATGCGCGGTTAATTATGGTTTGACCTAAAGGAAGCTGTGATTCAAGTTGCGCAAGCCGGTCTAAGAGGTTCGCTGACCTGCTGGCTTCGTGTTTGCCAGTATAGTATAGGACTTTCTCCAACGGAAACGGCTGCTTCTGTTGCCCAGGCACCGCGCTCGAACGCAGATCATTGCCCGGCCCACACCCGCCGGCCGATGGGCGGGAGCTGGGAGCTGAGGCGCCTGCCGTAAAACTTTCTGCGTTACCTGCTGGGCTCGCTGCTTGTCTTCCAACCAGAAACTTCGTGACGACCTGCTTGTATTTATCTGATAGTTCGTACTTAGGCAGGTAGGTCACGAAGCGGAAGCCGCGCTGCATGCTGTGAAGCTCCTTGTACACCCCGAGGTACTCCGCACGGCGGGCCAGCAGGACACGGACATTCCGCAATGGAAAATGCTCCCTGCAGCACGTAATGGTTAACAGAATACCACATCGCAATTTCGTCAGCTTCACCCTCGCCGGCATTTCCATGCTCATACGCTAAAGGCGACATTACACCTCAACAAGGGAAGGTGATGGCTGTTCCTCATAACTACATACAATGACAGCTAACTGACCTGCAGTCGTTAATTATGGCCCGACCGGCATGCTGCCACCAGGCCGCTGGTGACTCGGCCACAGTGACTGTAGGACGCTGACTCCAGTACACGCTGTACTTCTCGTACGTCACGGCCCGATCCACAATGCGCAGCAAGTGAGCTACGCCCTCTGGTGCTAATTCTAGGACGAATGCTTTCAGTACGGCCTCCACATGAATGGCGAAGCCAGCACCGCAGCCAATTGCCAGCGTTGTGTCGGCATCCTGAGCACCCCGAGCACATACGGGCTGTGGCAGTAGGGATGACTGAGGATCTGCCACGCGCGATAGCCGCGACAGGTTTGACGGCTGATGTATGCGCCGGCCCGTACCCTGTGTGGCAGGTAATGGCTGCGTGTCCAAGCCGGCTGTACGCCTGGGGAAGGTGCTGACGCTGCTCGGAACTGGATCCCAGCTTACACTGGAAACCAACTGGTCAGCAGATCGTTGCTGACCAAGGATACCGAAAGAGCCCTGAATTTGCAGAGCGAGTGGCTGACTCACCCGTGCTGCTGGATGCCTTACGCTACTACGCTTAATTGGCTGCGACCCCACAGAAACATCCACCCGCATGTTCCATTGCCGTAGCACAGTGGCGACATAGTCCCATTCAGGAGCCGCAGCTGCGGGTGCTGCTGACTTTCCTGTAACAATGGCAGCCGGAGACCTTGCTAGTATTGGTGACACACGGCCTGGAACCCCTGACCTGGCACGCAGCCGTGGTGACCCACATGTGCGGGCATAGCCAGGCTGCTGCAGTGAAGCCTCCTGGTGTGTCGCAGAGGTCACACGAGCCGGTCGTGGAGTTTTAGACTTGAAGAGAACATTAACACCGGCCACAGATACTCGGGCCGCATTGCAGTCTTCAATAGGATGAAACTTCATAATAAGGCGGTCGAACCAGCTATACAAAGCCTGAATCTTAGGAAAAAAGTCTGAAACATCCCGCCAGAGATGTAAACGTCGCTGAGCAGCGGCTGCAAGACCTGCGGAGGCAATAGCACACTCTTCGTATATGTTCTCTGTGCAGGCGCGGGCTGATGGCTTTCCCAATTCATTGTAACTGCATCAGGCGGTACCGTTCCTATCCATCACCCAAATCACACCGTTGTTCGATCCTCAAAATGGAGGATTTCCATGCCGCTCCGTCTGCACCAACCTGCCCCGAAACAAAATATAATGAGACAGTCACTCGCCTGTCGCTGCTCCAGTACTTGAGCCCACCGAGCGCTCTCTCCCTGACGTGCATGGCGCGTTACAGGCGGAGCCCTCCGGCTGAGAGGGCTCTGCTGCAGCCTGTGCCTCGCCTTTCGTGCTCGCCATTGGGGACACCTCTACGGTGCGAATGGTCACAGCAACTACGTCAACGGCTCGTGACATTGACAGCTCAGATGGCAAGAGCCTGGGGCCCGGATCGCCCGACTGCTGATACTGGAGCTCCGTATCGGCAATGACGACAAAAACATTTCGCAGCGCAAGCGCGACCATGAAGCGGAATAACCGCAGCTGCTGCCCTCGCCAGCCGGACGCGAATGTGTTCTGTTGTTCCCCCCATAACAGCACCTCCACCGTATTCAATTTGGCGCCGTGGCGCCGTGGCGGACAAGCGCACGGTTGCACCTGATGCATATTTTAAGGCAGAGATTCGTTTAGGGATCGTACGCAACCCTGGAGGCTAATGCCAACTCAGCACAGGTGTCCCTAAAAGGTATGTGTAGGCGGGTTGCTCCACTAAGTGAGGGAAGCGCTGGACGCAACCTGCCGAACCCATTCACCTTGGGTGCTGTTCTGCGTTGAAGGACTACGATGGCTATCCCCGTAACACACAGGGTTAGGGGTGAAGACGACGTAGGCCATAGCAAATGCAGACGCTTAATGGAAGCAGATTGAAAGATCACGGAGCCAGCTGCAACCTCAAGCAGCTTCTGGGGTAGCACCACGTCCTTCAGTACGATGCCTGTGAATTGACGCAAGGTACATCGGCTCATGCGAGCCCTAAAACGGCGTCAGGGCCTGCGAATTAGATGTGCTGATCTGCGTACCTCCTGGGCATTGCTCCACAGCACAGCCGTCGCCGTCCACAGTCACATTTTGAAGTCGTAACAATGCTTTCAAGAGGACCACCGACACATTGGTTACAATCGTGGTCCTAGTAACTGCTGTGTAAATACATGCCACCGCAATAATTGGTAATAATAGGAGCAAAAGCAAGAGGACGGAAAGTCCCATAGCTTTCACATACAGGATAACAGCATGTCGTCATGAAGCGAAAAGCTAGCCTAAGTTAGAAGGATCCGCCCAAGCAAAATGCGATAGAGCTCTATGTCGGGGAAGCCCACGTAAAAATGTACGGGTCAACTGCCAATCCACCTGCGACAATCGAAGGCAAATTCGCATGTAAGATCTCCAGACGCCTTTTGACTATTGGTTTCGAATATACTAATTGAACTGTAAGCGATACGCATGCAACTGGCGAGGAGACACAAGGGACGCATTCGTTCTTCCATCAGGCTGCCCGCAAAGCACCTCCATGATAATACAGGCGGCACATTAACCACACGAACCAGTGTCACTCCTATGGACAAAAGCAAGCCGTGGCCTTGTGCACATGCATTGCATGTAGACCGTTACCAAGTAAACGCCCAACTTGTCCCATAATGCCGATGGCAAACTTTTGCGTGCCGGTGACACGGTTACAAAGCCGTCGGCGTTTATTGAACATCCAGGTTCCATCGGGTCGGTATTACGGATGTTCCCGATCTTGCGTCGGCGTTCTCGGAAGAATACAACGTAGGTTGATCTCCCGTATTGGATACATTCAACTCACATTAACCCACGTACTGGATACATTCAACCCACATACAGTATAGGGCCCATCACGCCTCACCCAAGGAACTCCAAAATGTGCCCCCGTGTCTGCACTCTTGTTGAACGGCACATGGCACATGAAAGACCTTTCGGGAGCTGAAATCCCAGCCCACCCCTGCACCGTAAATGACTGAATCAATTGCTGCACCCGCCAGCCAACCAAGTACGAACCCCCAAATACTAGCCATTTGTACGGCGCATTTGGGAACATGGCATGCAACTATGTGCCATGAAGCTAAGCTGTCCCTATCCAAGGCGCTCATGAAGGCACGATCTGAAGCTTCATCACATGCAGTGCAAACGGTATACAGATGGTTCAGTTATTGGACTGAACTGAACACAGAATGGGAACTTATATGCGCAAGCCACCGCTTGCACACACGCACCCGACCGTGCAAGGAAACGTGATATCATTATGAGTTTTGGATGCCAAAACCTTAACTACCTATTGGTCCCAAAATTTTCTACCATGACGCCGTGGCTTAAAATAGCATAGTTGCTTGCCCCAAGGCTCTGATCGCGCAACGAAACAGTTGAGCTCCATGGCAGCAGATTGTAGCCTGCGCCACCTCCAGCTTTTCGTCCCCACAGGCCCATGATTACGAAACAGGCAACACGGCACTCGCTTGCACCCAGCCATGCTTTTTTGTCCATCCAAAGATTTGCTTGGGGATATCCTGCAGTATTGTTCGGGAATTTCAGCTCGTCTATGGGGCAAGAGAGTTAGACAGCCGAAGCCCCCGCAGTGGGACTGTTGCGCACAATATCGGTGTCGTTCGGGCACCTCTAGGCAGCGTCGTACAAATGGGAAGTCATTCGCCGTACGTTTACAGCAAAATTTGGTCAGTTTTCGCAAGAACAACACTACTTTGCTTAATTAAATAAAAATACCATGCCAGTGCGAGTCAAAAGCACATTTAAGAGCCCCAATATACCAGAACTCTATAGGGAACGTTTCAAGCTCCCCGACCCCTTTACTCAGCGACGGCACCTTTGTTCTCCGATACCAATGTGAAACCAGACCACGCATTCAATGGACTACGGCATGCCCTGTCCCTTGCGCATGCTCCATGCATAACCTGTACAGAAATCAGAGGTGCCGTCACTGAATTACGAGGTCATTGTTTTTGATCCCATGGTGTATAAAGCGAGTAAAATGGTATTGTTTCCGATTGACCGCATTTTGCTGAGAACGTAAAGTGAAATGACTTTCCTCGACTGGCACGACGGTGCCTAGAGGTGCCCCGTGCGTAACATGGACGGACTTGTGGAAAGGGTGGAAGACTCGTCCGTACTGATAAAATGTGCATGCATCTGTTAAACCTCTCCTGGCAAACGGCACTTCAACCGAAGATAAAAAGAGCCATCCCTAAGTTGTCTCAGCCCTACCCGGGTACGGACCTACTCCATTGCCATCATAACACTTCTCTTCACAGCATCAGCGCTAGCGATCTTCGCCATGGATGGGATTCGAAGTTTCTCTTAGCTGTCGTCCCCTCAAAGTGCGCGGTGGGCGCTAACGTGACTAATGAGCCGAAGGTGCTTTTGCTTAATGTACGCCGCCGGCCGCTGTTTGGGCTGCTAGCCGAAACATGGTTTTAGTTCACTATCAATACCCTCAATTCCAGACTGGCCTTTGCCTCGCAACAACACCTCAGACAGGGAAAGACGCATGATGAAGGTCAACAGGTCAACAGGCCGACAGACCGTGCCTACGATCAATCCTAAAAGGATCCGCTGTATAAATATGGTTATCTGTCAACAAACGGTGCTACCTTGGCAAGCTCATAAAAAATAGCTTTGAAACACCTCCCATAGTCGTTGCCAAAGGCAGTAGTGAAAGCTTTATCACTTAGAAAACAAAAAAATAGCTGGTTCAAAGGAATATTTAAACTTTGTCTGGTTGCCGTGGTTCTTGAAGATGAAGACTGTCGTGAAGACGTGAGCTAGACGCTGCCGATGAGTGGCCTGCCAGCAGATAGCACATCTTCCTCATGTGCATCATAAGGTTCGATGCCATACGGAACTGGGCTGAGAGGATTAGGGGACGTGTGCGTGGTACCATATTTAAGAGTGGAGTTTCGGGTTCCGTTATTTTCAAACTTGTCGCTTGAGTCATAGGAATGGTTATCAGGCTCCAATTTTTATGACGGTAGTTACGGAGGTGTGTCGAGTGGTCCCAATCCACATTATCTCCTTGAAGCCCTATGTGGCAGCAAAGGCTTGGCGAAGCCTTGGTTGGACTGCATGCTGGCTGCAGATCTATCTCTGGCAGCATCTCCGCCAGGATTACGTGTTGTCACGGTCCGGTCTCTCTGCCTGAGGCGGGACCGTATGCTATGGGGGTAAGCGGCTGCGGTTTAGTGCGCACCCCAGAACCCCACCTGAATATTGTACATCGTACTTTGGCAGGTTGACAAGCGGGCAAAGAAGGGTTTGGAGCAGATAATTGTTGCGTCAACTTCCTGCAACAAGGCTGCACCTGATGACCATGGACTCATGGGTATCTTGTCAGCTGGCACCGCAGCACACAGGTCCACAGGACATGACGAGTTTGGCAGCACTTTTGGCACGAACTGGCTACGGTGTAGCGGCCAGCCGTCACAGTCCTCGCTGGGAGATATGGCTGTCAGGTCCAGGTATCCGACAGTGCTGTCGAACCATTTCACGGCATCAAGGGCCCCTACAGGGCATGTACCCTTGGCAACATTAGGATCCGTACAAACTGTACAGGGGATGCCCGTTCACAGCATGACACGATGCAAGCCCACTAGGTCCCTTCACGGCATGGTCAGTGTGATGACGGCGGCGGAGTCTGCTCGGGACCTTTTGTCTTCAATTATTCATCCTGTATCATACAGCAAGCTTGCTTCGCACTTGGTCCGAGATTACAGCGTGGAGCTCTTCGATTCTCTTTCGGGGCTCATCCTCTGTCATTTGGATGAGCTAAACGGTGGGCAGGAGCGTGTGGACGTGAATGGGCGTAGCAGTACCCTGCATTATGCAAGCCCCAACAGTATTCGCCTGTTCCCAAGCAACATGCATGGTTACGGACTCATTCACTTGGAAAGTAGCGATTTAGAGGAGCAGCGGGTGTAGGATGTCACACGGGCATGGTTTCATCGCGGATTTCGCCTCTGCGAAGGTACCTGCCAGGTGTTCCGATGCAGGATTTTGGGAGCATTCTCCACGAACACAATTGTTATTGTATTTTGTTCACTTTCCTGTCCATAGCAAGATCTGTGGCCTACCTTGTGAGCAACTGAAATAGCGTGTTTGCCCTGATCGAGAGCAGCGCCGATGGAAAGCCCTTGTTACCATCGCGTGCCCTCCTCCCGCGTGTTCCCCATCCCGGTACCTACACTGGGCTGGGCACTTGCTGGGATGCTTCAACGCGCAGGAAAAGAATTGAGCAACCTGCTGTGGGCGTACAGCACTGTAGGCCACCGCGATCCTAGCTTGGTGACCTGTATCATGCAATCGCTCTTTAGCAAGCTGCCGGAGCTGGGACCCGCAGAGCTGGCGAATGCTCTGTGGGCTCTGCAGCGCCTGGACTTGTATGACGCAGAGTTTGTCTCTGCAGCATCAGAGCACGTATGGGATGGTCTGCCAGCTGCCACGCCGCGACAGCTTGCTGCCATCGTGCAGGTGTGGCTGGTGCAGGCGACGGGAAGGGTCTCCTGCTAAGATGCATTGCTTAATGCCTTGCATAGTGCCAGCACCAAGTCTTTGTAGCTGACACAGACGCGTGTTGTTGGCAAGTTTGGCTTCATATTAACAAACTGTCCAGCGTTATTAAGGATGCATGGCTTTTTCCCTACTCTCATGTATTCACACAGAAGCTATGCATACATGTATGCCACTGCTTTGGGTGTGGCTTGCGTGCTGCAGTCGTATGCTTGGTTCCGACAGCAGGACCTGCAGCTCGACGAGGATGTGGATTTGCTGCGCAGCATTGCGACCGAGTTCCGACAGCGGCTGCCGGCCGCGAGTGCCACAGAGGTCGCGTTGGTGCTGTCGGGCATGGCGCGCCTGCGCCGTGATGATCCAGCTCTTCTTGCAGATGCGTGCGCTGCGCTGCGGGGTGCGATCGATGAAGCGGGGCTGCCCTCACTTGCTGAAGCCATCTGGTCATGCGCACTCCTGCAGCACCGGGACCTCGAGCTTCTAGAGGCTGTCGCGGAGCGAGTTTCAGAGGCATTGCGCCTTGCGGTGCAGCCGCCTGCATACATGGCAGGAAGCCCCGGGAGTGCTTCTCCCAGGCCTTACCAGCCCAGTGCTTGTGACGAGCAGTCCTCGGCGGCAGCGTCCGGGCAAGTGACAGACATAGCTGTATTGAGCGGTAGGCTGGCTGAGGCTTCGGATGCCGGACCCACGGTAGTGGAGGTCGCGGCGGTGCACACGACTGCACCGCTCGGGGGGCTGCCGCGCCGTCACGGTCTTCCAAATCTGTTGCCGCCGCCGCCGCCGCCGCAAATGCCCGTATCTCCACAGCCACCGCAGCAGCAGCAGCAGCGTTCGGCCGCGCGTCGGCAAGGCAATCCCGCTGAGCCATTTGCTGCTTGCGTCGGCGATGCATTGCAGAGATTTAATGCGCTGTGGCCTACTTGCTTCGGACCAGGCAATCGCAGCCACCTATGTGCATTATACGAACGGTTTAATCCTTCTCTCTCGGATGACTGGCAAAGCGCTTCATATGGTGGCAGTGCCACGGGAATCCCTGGCCCAGTAGAATATGCCGGGGCTTCTGCCTCAGCTGTGAGCAGCACGCATGGAGAGACGAAGCCAATGGCACAAGGCCCCGGGCAGGGCCCTGTAACGAATGCTGTGCAGAGCGCCGACGCCGCAGCCCTTCTAGATGCAGACGTGGTGTCGAAGCTTCTCTGGTCGTATGGCGCTCTTCATTGCTATAGCAGCTCACTGAATACGCTGCTCTTCCGGCAGCTGCAGCGCTTGCATCCGGAGTGCATGTCCTGGTCCGCATTGGCGAGGCTGATGGGTGCACAGGTCAAGGTGCACGAGTTGCAGCCGAGCCCAGGCATTTGTGAGTGTGGAGAGGAAAACCATGCATAGGAGAACCATAGGAGAACCATGTACACGCTTTCTGGATTTACATGTGCATCAGCCGGAAAGCTCTTTGCAGCGCTTGCAGGGGCATTACACAAGCATGGGAGGGTCCCCATCCTAGCTCAGTTGCACTCCCATGCGTGGTGAGCGCTTATCTACCGATGGGTGTGTGTGTATACCTAACTTGTGGCTCCTAGGCTTGTGTACCGTGCTATCTACAGCTGCTACAAAGATAAACACGTAAATCCCCGAAACGGTTTTGCAATTGCCTATGCATTAAACTGCTGGGTGCAGTGAAGTCCTGCTTCGATGTGCAGTTCTGACGGTCTGAATCCTACAATAGGGAACATTCTGTGCTGAACATGGGTATGTTAGGCTTATTGCTACCGGTTGCCATTCGCCATAATTTTTGAAGGCCGAATCAACCCGCTCGAGGCCGAGTCGGTGACCGCCTGGACCAGGTTGCTTCGCACACGTGTGTGTACACAGAAGCTGCCTGAGCGCTACCTGGCGCCCTGCTTTGTGGCTTTCCATGCGGAGCAAATGGGGCGGGACTACGTGAGGCCCGAGGCAACGGACTCATCGGCCAGATCTAAAACATCGCTGCAGCCTTTGCCAGGTTCGCCGCTAAGCAGGTGTGCTTGCAGGCTGCTGCTTTGTTTGCATCTTGGTCTTCAAAGGCGATATCCGTAGATCTGGGTACGCTTAGCGAAGTATGATAGGCAAATTCCGGACCACAAGGCTTGGCTGCCTTGTGAAGCACTGCACGACTATGCTGAGCGCCGTCGTGCACCTCTTTGGCGTTTCCTAGCCAATCGCCGTTCCAACAGCCCTCCCCTAATTACACCTTTGCGATGTCCGCAGGGCCACTCTACAGGCGGAAGTCGTTGCAGTGCTGCGGGACGTGGGGCTGCAGCTGCGTCCCTCGGCATCGGTCGACGGGCTCTTTAGCTTGGAGCACACAATCCTGTAAGGCCCGATTCTTTCCGGCACCCGCCTTCTTGCATATATTTTCGGAGTGGGATGGACCGGCTTGTTATGTGCTCGTTCCGTCAGAGGCAGGAGCCACTTCGGGTGTCGTTGCCTGTGTGCACCATGCCACTTGAGCAACAATAGGTACTGCAGGCATGAACCCTCCATGGCTCGCATACAGAGGGCAACAAATAGCACCTGGAGGAAGCCTAGTGTATAAACACAGTTTTTTCTTCCGGCGATTACCCAACCGCAGCATCAACGGCCTCACCATCTGCCTCGAGGTTTTGGCGGCTGGGTGTTGCACATTGGACCCTCCGCACCGCCCAATGGGCCCAGCAGTTGCGCGTCTACGGTCTCTCGAGTTCCGCGGCTGGACACCACTGGTGGTTCCCTTCTACGAGTGGGCTGCGCTGGCATCCGAAGACAGCATTGTGGCCTGGGCGAGTCAGGCGGGGCCCAATGGCGAGGCTGAGAGGCAGCGGGTGATGCAGGCTGTAAGCACTGCCCGGCAGGTGTACTTACGACGCAAATTGGAGGACGTGCTGGGTGAGCAGCTGCCGCCTATGCCGTTAAGTAAGCGCCGCACGGATTAGGAATTGCAGTGTATGCACTTCAAGTGAAGGATACTTATGCGGGAGTGCCACTAATTGCAGTTGTTGTTTGTTAAGAGGCAAGCGCGGTAGGGGGCCACAAGTGGGGTGGGGGGCGGTGCCATTATTGTCTCTTGGCGGGTCAGCTGCAGGTTAGCCGCCAAGTCTTTTCTCGGAATTCCATATCGGAATGTAGCCGCAAACAGGGGCTAGAGAGGATCAATGCGTGGGGTGCGTCGGCTCGTCACACATCTTTCTGTGGGTAGCCTAGCTAAGGCTCACTGGGATGTACCCCTTCGTACTTTGTACTGGGATGTACCCCTTCGTACTTGGAGCTGAAATTCCTGTCTCTTATGTTATTTGGGAGTAACCTCGAACCCTACAGCTGTGTCTGCGCCTATGGCGACAGCCAAAATCATCGGAATGGTCGCCGGTTGCTGTTGTCCTGGTTTGGCGCATCGTCTGGGACTGAATGGTCTGGAGGGGATGGCCAGACACCGTCTGTTTATTCCGCAATATGCGCCAAGACATCGGGTATGGCGAGCCTGGCACCATCACGCATTGTTTGTATGCATGGTGTGGCTTGTTTTTGAGATATCCATCATACATTGACTCGGAACGGCATTTCAATTTCGGACGCCTGCTTTTCTGGCTTGTTTTCTTGGTGCGATGGAGGATAGACGCTTCCCGCGCTGAAAGTCCAACGATAACAGTTGGAGTAAATAGGCTTTCTGAAACATCGCTGTTGTGCTTTGCCGCGAACAAAGCGTGGATTATTCTATGACATTCCCCACCGAGCTGCGCCCGCTTGTGGCTTGACTCAGGACCGAGTTCCCCGGTGTGTCCTTACATGGCGCTCCACCTATTTCCTTTGTTCAACACCTCCTCCTTGCTAACGCGTTCATCTTATTGCGTGAAGCCCATGCAAAGGCGAGACTAGAGGGCCACGCGATGCCAGTCCCATGGGTCATTAAAGTTGCAGCCAAGAAGTGAAAGCGATCCTGGAGCATGGCGTAACTAACGCGGCAGTAGGCTCTGGGCTTTGAAAGATAGGCTCCTACGCGGGGCAAAGCCCTCCCATGTTCTACTGCGGCAGAACGCCATCCAAGGACCCGACTCACCCGCTGACCTAAGCAGTAACATCTTTCTCTGATGTATCGTCACCTTACGGCAACGTTAACACGGTACATGGCCAAAATCTAGGACGACTTAATGTGTATAAATTTTATTTAACACTAAGGCACCGCTGCGTAATGGCTTCTGTTGGTGGTCCATCGAATGAGACGGCAGACTCCAGTTCAGGCTCCAGATTGTCCGGTACTAGAATAGCAGTTAACACGAGCGTTAGCATCGCTCTAGTTGCTCTATCTGGCCTCGTCGCGGGGCTTACGCTTGGGCTTTTATCGTTGGACAGGCTCGAGCTTGAAGTTGTGAAGCGAAGGTTTGTAAACTATGAGGCGCAATTGATCAGCCACTGCAGAATGAACACTGTTGTCTGAACTGCATCGTGACACCGGTTTCAGCTGCTTTTCAAACGTGCAGTGGCAACAGCACTAACCGGAAGTGGGCAGCACGCGTTATACCGTTGCTGAAGAATCCTCATTGGCTGCTTGTGTCTTTGGTGAGTGCTTACCGTCGAACACTGTGCGATGGCACACAACTGCCTTCCCAACCTAGCCAAACTTGATACTGGGAATGCCACCGAAATATGACCAACCACCTCTTCGAGCTAACCGACTGGGGGTTCACGCGGCATATGACAAAAACCAGTAGCACAGAGGAAACGATAAGCTGAGCATGTGAAGCCCTTACCTTATGACAAACTTACCCCGTGTCAGGTGCTCGTCAATGCTGCGTGCAACACCTCCCTCCCGATCTTTCTGGACAGCATGGTTAGCCCAGCGCTGGCAATGTAAGGATAAAGGGATGAAACCGTCTAGATGCAGCTCCCGCCAGCTCCCCTGTCGTACTTGAAAGAGCGATTTTCCAACATTCGTCAAGGACGTTTGCCGGGCGAGCAAAGGTGCTCAACCCCTGAATGCATGCTCTTAACGCCTTGTCCCTGTCTGTACGTACAACCTCATGCGCTTCGCTGGTCAGTGTTCTGGCCACAACGGCGGTGCTCATCTTTGGAGAGATCCTGCCACAGGCCGTGTGCGCAAGGTGCGTGGCATGTGGCAAATGACGGGTACCCTATGGTTGGTTGACATGCCGTTTCCCACAACACGCCGCTAGTGGGCGTTGAGGACCGGCTGAGGTCGGGATTGCAGCTCTCCGTAAGGGCCCCCCAAGGTCCTGCCGAGAACTTCGTCCCCTGTAACTCCTCTCGACTTTGTGGGACGTCTGTTACACGTGCAAATCTCATTGGTAATCTCTTGCACCTATTGTGTCCCCGTGCACCTCTTGCAGTGTAGAACTACATCGGTACACCGTTTGTAATGGGTTAAGGGTTTAACGCATGTTGTCTTTTTCTGCCATTTACGCCATCATGGGCACGTCGCGCTACCCTGTTGTAGGCATGGCATAGCGATTGGTGGGGCACTGAGCTGGGTGGTGCGCCTCATCCTAATCGTCACGAGCCCGGTCAGCTGGCCGGCGGGCCGACTGCTGGATTGGATACTCGGACATGAGGAGAAAGTGCACGACCGTCGGCAGCTTAAGACCCTGGTGGCGCTGCATGCCAAGCACGAAGGCTTGGGCGGTAACCTGATGAAAGACGAGATCAAGGCGAGTATGGGGCCTTTGCTTGCATGCTGAGCGGATGTTGAGTTTTCGCGACAGCATCATGTGCACGCACCAGATGCCCTCTTGGTTGAGGGGATATGGGGCCGCAATGCGTCACTGCTGTGCTCCACCCTGCGACAAGGTCCCTCTCCAGCTATTTGCCAAACTGCGGCCGTCCCAGGTTTGGCTGTATGTCCCCTAGAGCGGACCGGGGCCAAGCTGGTATCACATTGCGACGGCACAAAGTCCGGCTGTACCGGCTATTGGCTGTATCATTGGCAATTTGTAAAGCGATCAGAACAGGTTATCTGTGAGCAAACACTTTGACGCTGCACGTAGATCATCCGCGGCGTGCTAGACCTAGCTGGTAAGGATGCCGCCGCCGCAATGACTCCCCTCGACCGCGTCTTTGCGCTGCCAGCGGACGCCGTGCTCAACCGGCGTTGCCTGGCGGCGGTGTTACGGACGGGTCTTAGCCGCGTCCCGGTGTGGCAGCAGGGCCCTGCGGGTTACCCCGAGTTCCTCGGCTTTCTGCTGACCAAGGAGATACTGCAGCAGGTGCGTGGCAGGCCAGGACCGCGAACTTAGGAAGCAAGATTTTAATGCATGAGATTTTGCTTCGAGGACGTCACCGGCTGACACTGCGAAAGTGACGTGACATGCCCGTAGCTGGAGCTGCATGACATTTGTTGATGGATTCACCTTTGCTGATCATACTCTACGATCGCATTGCGTGGTAGTTTCCGCGCAGCCAATTGCTATGATTAAGGAGGCATGCCGCCTCCTCCCCTCCCCCTCAACCCTACCTCCACAATATTGCAGTTGGTTGTCCTGCTCTCTTTCCGCACTTAATATAGTCTTGGCGGCTAGGTAGGTTTTCCGGTATCGTCGTGACTACATCATCGCGAGGACTTCTTCTTCGCAACCGCCGACTGGTTCGTTATGCCTTCTGGTTACTTCTGGCGCATCAGTCTTTCCTTGGCATCACCTTAACTCGCTCGTGGTTCGTCTTCCCCCTCAACCCGGCAACATGGTCCCCCCAGGTCGATCCCTCCAAGCCCATCCGCGCGAGCCAGGCGCCCATGCGCGTCCTTCCGCACTTGTCTGCGCACACGTCCCTCTTCGACCTGCTCAAGTTCTTCAGCAGCGGCGCCACACACATGGCGGTTCTCACGGTGCCAGAGCCCGAGGTGGTCAGCTTGATGCGCAGCCTGGCGGGGCCGGGTAGCACCAGCAGCACTCGCGGCAGTGGCAGTAGCGACGATAGCAGTAACGACGATGACGACGGGGAAAACTCTACCAGCAGCAGCTCGTCCTCTTCATCGTCGCGCAGCTCTCGCAGCAGTGCAAGCAGGAGGAGCCCTGACATGTGCCGCACCAGTACGTGCCAAGGGGCCACAACTTCACGGAGCACGCCAAGCGGCCCTAGCGGTGCCAGAGCCCCGCGGGGTTCCCTGGGTTGGCTGGCTAGGAGGTCCTCACGCTGGCGCACAGCTGAGCACCGCATCCGAGCGGTACTAAGGCTCCTTTCGACTGGGAAAGGCCGCCGGAGGGCCCACTTGAGTACCCTGGAAGGGACCGGAACCCATGGCAGCACCGAGGCTGACGTGCATATGGGTCAGAGCTTGACGGCTCCGCGGGCGCTCAGTGGCGGCGAACACATGCCGCCCGGTGGTATGGAAGTTTCTACTGGCGGTGGTGATGACATCATAGCAGACGCCTGCGCTGAACTGGGGGAGCGCCGCAGCTTAGATGCACTGCATGGATCCGCCAGGCCCGAGGTGCAGCTGAGCAGCATGGGCGCCATGGCGTCAGAGAAGTTGTCCCGAGTGGCTGCGGCGGTGCTTCAGCCGGAGGGCGTGTGTGCGGAGGACGAGGACGGCTTGCCAGCACATCCATCTTTGGGTGCCCAGCCGAACACCCCCAGTGCAGCCGTACTGCCTACCATGGAAATTCCGGAGCCTGCACTGCCGGTGCAGGGCGTTCAGTCTGAGCAGCAGCAAATGCAGGTTGCGGAGCTAATTATAGAGAACATGTATCGGCAGCACGTTGATACGGGAGCGCCTGCCTTGACTATGGATCCTGAACCTCCAGCCACGAAGGTGGCAGCTCCGTCGATTCAGACACAAGGCCACCATCACCCAAATCGCCGACCCCACGGGCCCAACCTTGGCCAGTCTCCTGCGGCACAACTCAGGAGCCTGCGCATGTACGGCGTCGGCAACGGCATTGCTGGGCCGCCCACAGTCCCGTCGAGCGGTGTTGCCGAACCCCCCATGCACAACGCACGCTCGGCGCCCATAGGCCAAGAGCTGGAATTTGATAGCCCCGCGACAGGAGCGGCCACTGGGGTCAACACTAGTTGCTTGGGGGAGGCACAGCCGGGGTCCAACTACGGCAACACCCGAGCGGTTTTTATGCAAGGGTCCCACCCTGGCGACCACTGGCTTAGCAGTGCAGCAGCTGCCGCCGAGATGCTAGTACCCGTGGGCATCATTACACTTGAGGACGTGGTCGAGGAGCTGATGCAGGTGCGAGCAAAGGGATGAGAAATGGCGGAAGCACGTGCCCGAGGTTTTTACATTCTTAGCGGGTTGGTGAATCCTGGGATGGATGTGCTGCTCCATGCAGCCTGGGAAACTGAGTCAAGCAGCATCCGAACATCTGGCCTCCTTTTGCTACGCAGACAGAGATTTTGGACGAAACGGACACGGCTGCACTGGGTGGCGGTGGACAGGCGGCTACACCTCAGCACGCGGTGCGGCCTGTGTCGTGAGGTCATGTGCGACACATGGCCGGGGGAGCTAGGAGAAGCTTATTTGCACATGGTGATAGAGATGCGAGTCAGCCGGGCAGCGTTGAAGGGGTTCGTTGTTTTGGGGACGGCGTGGTTTCATCGGAGGATTTCGGGGTCGCAGGTTTCGATAATTGGGCTGTTGAATGAACCCCGTCGATGCTGCCTGTGGAGACGCGCGAGCTGCACCACTGTTCAGCAGGGACTTAGGGTTGTTCAGGCGGAACAAGGTGGACCATGGTATTTTATTGGCATACCGGCAATGCACGGCAAACTTAAGTCTATTTAAGCTTTTCACCATAAACCATTGACCCCCCATTAGAAGCATGTTACTGCCCGAGAGGGGGCTGCGTTGACCTCCCAAAAGACTATGGCGTTGGTGATGGGAATGACATCCTATGAAGTAACACTCTGCCAGGATAGAACGTGATTGTACCAAATCAAATCTCTTAAAACACCAAAAGCAATCTCACATATCGGACAAACAAGGTAGAAGCACGCAACGCCTGCAGGGAACGTGACGAGGGGAAAGGCCAGCTGACGAGTTGAGGTGCCCAGCTACATCCCGAAGAAAAATAAGGGCATAACCAGCATTCCGGCCAGATCCGTATGCAAACCCCGCATGCAAAATTTCCGGGACCGCGTCCAGCACGTGGTGCTGGCTGGGCAATGCCTCAACTGACAGCTGGAGGCCAACGCATTATCTAAAGCCGATACCAGGTTACGTGATTCGCGTCTCTACAAAAAACCAGCGCCTTCAGATGAGAGAGATTCCCTACATGTCAAATTCTCGCCTAGGTCAAACACGTCCCGCGGTGAGTCCATTATCGAAGTGCTAGACCAATCCCCGCTATTTTGCAAACGAAGGCGGAGGAGCAAATCCTAATCTACCCTGCAAGCGTCTGCAGATGCACGCAAATGGGTTTAAGCATGTTTCCCTGCAACGTGTCCCTGCAACGTATCCATATGCGTAAGAAAATGCCCACTGCTTGTTCGTGTAATTTTTGCGCAAGAGTGCGCCAGGCAATCCAGCCGGGCCATCATTCCTGATCCATCCCCCTTCGACCCACAGCATCGAGTATCTAGCCAAAGCCGCCGACAGGTACGCTGACTCATCACGTCGAAAAACGACATGTACTTGCTGAGCTTTGAAAGAACGTGCTCACACCGGGCGTCAACTGTGAACCCTTCGCCTATCCACCCTGCATGCGATTCCGACCCCAAGCAGCCAATCCTGCAGCACTACTTACGCCGCCATTACCCGCCCTTGGGGTACAAAATATCGTAATGCCCAGGGCGGTACAGCAGGTGCACACGCGGCTGCGTGCCTGGCACGCACGAGTCCGGAACGAAGTCATGCATCGTAGCGTCCAGGCCCGAGCCGTTGCCGCCCGTCGGCATGCCGCTGCTGTCCAGGTAAACCACGCGCACGGGGATCTGGTTGGCAATGGACGCAAATGGGAGATGCAACATGTGCGTTGAGTAAGGCGCTGACCTCCCCAAGAACGTACCAGGAACTGCTAAGCTAGACCTCGAGTGTACCATCTATTGGCCCATCGCAAAATGGCAACATGTATGCAATGCAACGAACGGCTTGGCAAGGAGACGGACTGCCTGCAGCACAACCAAGAGGAGGGTGAAATGCTTCCAACGCGGCCTCACAAAATGCCTGCATTCTGCGGATTAGCCAAGACGGCCTTTTGCTGGAATTTACCTGCAGCGCTTCCGTGATGGCAACGATATGCAAATGGTCGCTCTCTTCGCCCATCGGCTCTACATGGCGCTGGCAAAATAGCTCCACCGTGGCGGGTGGCTCGTCGTACATACCCTGCAGAAACGAAGGGGAAGCCATCCATGACGGCAGCTCACAAAATATCTGCGTACGTGCGTTTCTTCTAATACTCGTGGCCTGTGGCAAACCGACCACACCCGGAAAACCGACCAAGCTAGCGTACTGAGTCAGCTGACACTGTATACGACCTGAGCAAGTCTGTTTTCACGGTGATATTAAACTAAGCCTTGCGGTACCTTGCGGCCCGGGACCATAAAGCCCAGAAGTATTCCCAGCCATCACGCCGACCTCCTACCATAATAAAAGGAAAGAAGAAATCCTCTCGTCGCTGCACCTCGCAAGAAGTGATCAGCCGGAGCAGCATGACCACGAGGTTGGATACCTGTTGGTGTAGATAAGAAAGGGTCGCGAGATCAATTGAGCGCGTTTGGATTGTGAGCCTACATAACAAGACGCACTGGTCCGCAGTGATGCGCTTTTGCACCCTCAACGACTGGGTCACCGCAGTAGTTCCCGTGTAGTTGCAAGGACACCGCACATGGTTCAGTTTTAACGTCACACCCAACGACGGCAAGCGCAAGCGGTCATATCCCCGAACTCAATGCCCCCACGGGCTTACCGTATCATCCCGCATGTTTACTAGGAGGCGTTCGTGCATGTAGTTGGTGTATGGCTTGGTAATTTCCTTCACCTGGTCTAGAAGCACATCCATCGCTGCGCACACAGGACAGAGACAGGTTTCGTTTAGTGATGCAAGCATGGGATTTAAAGATGACTTCGTCACCATTACTACATACATATATGCACGGGGTTAGGCACTACTGGTAACGCGCGACCATTGCCCCCGGGGGATCGCGGATCGAGACCTGTCGGGGTCGAAAATCCTTCCGATGGTGGAAGGTTTTGCGCCCCTAGTTGATGGACGGTGGTGACCTGGGATAAAGTTAAGCTGCGAGCCGACCAGGAATGGAGTTGGGCCGCTGTCGACCCGGCAGATTCCGTTGGATGCTGGTGGTGGGTGCGGAACCTGAGCGACCCACTGAGAAGTTGACCAGGGTGACTGGATGAGGGTGCCCCGAAATACCGGGGAAGGCAGGGTTTCGCAGGGTAGCTGCCACGGGTGAAGATATACCCCCCTGTTTCACACACCATACATCGACTGTAACCGAGTCCGATAATCCGAGTCCGAAATTTTTGAAATCCACCCTATACGCCTAAGTCCACCATATTCAAAAAGTAAAGCCAGACGAGGCCGGGAAATAATCGCCTCACATGCAGTGCACAGCCAACGTAGCATGGTCGTCGAAGCCAAATGCATGCATGATACTCTCGCAAATGTGGCGCTGGGTTGCGTTTTGAAGGCTACTAAACTAGAAATGGATCCTTCGTCCTCCCCAAACGAATCCGCGTCCTCTGCACCCACCGTCCTCAAACACAAGCTCTTGAAAGCCGCCCTCTACAAGCCTTGTCTTCCACGCCTGCACCACTGACATGAACCTGTCACCAAGAGCCAATCGGCGGATGTGCAGACACGTGGAATGGCTCTGTCAGATGCCAAGACCCCAAAAGGAATGGCAAATATACGCGTGGGGTACAGCATGACATCAATGCGTATAAGCGTGGAAGTGGCTTGCAAAACCCCGGCAACTAGCTAGCCCCAACGCTGAGCGACGCCTAGCTGCGTTACACCGGCCTTCCTATCTCTGAATGTTTCCCGGGGGACGACATGCGTGTGCCAAGAGCAGACTGGTCGTGCACCTAAATCGAGAAAGGATCTTGAGACTCATACAGACTTGTGGCCATGGGAGCGGCAATTTTAGGGCTTTCAGGCGCAGCTCAGCCGGGTGCACCTCACCCAGCTCGCCACCCACCGGCTGCACTCGGGAAGGTCGTGTGTTAGCAGCAAGTTTTCAAGGTATGCGAAGATGAAGCCACGGAAAAAGCAGTTGCCGTCCCCTCGCGTCCGCCGGAACGTGCCATAGCTGGCTTCCAGTTTGCCAATCTTCTGTACGAAATTTTGGTTGCCGTTGATGTACTCTGTGGGCCGGGTCATCCGGCAATTGGGCTATCACCGAAGGCTGCCAGCAGGAAGCAAATGGCCCTTTGATCTAGCCGCTGCTATGCCGTTCCAGTTCGGCCACACAGCACAAATGTATACAGGCCTTACGCAGTACGTCGGACGCACACGGCCGAGAGTTAACCACACAAGTTTGCCTTCGTCATGGGTTGCAGGCGCAAGTCATGTGAATCTACAGACGAACTGTGCCCAGTAGCATTTCCACACAAACTGCTGCCCTTCTTGCCCTGTGTAGCAATCGACGTATGCAGTTGCCACGCACACCTGCCCCTCCCTGTCCATCGCAACCTTACGCACATTAGCTAAGCACAACATGCAGGACCATAAATCACTTCTGCTGGGAATGTTTATAGCACTTGCTCAAGCCAGCACCGCGGGGGGGATTACAAAGTCATTTTGCTCTGCCAGGTGGTGGTGGTGGGTAACTCACCCTCCTTGAGTGCCGACATGGGCTCCTCAAACCCGACATATTCCGACTTCTGTGCTTGCTCAGCCCTGGGGAAGGCTGCTTTTGTAAGGGTTGGTGAAGGCCACAGTACCTGATGCCGAATCTCACCGTATCTGGTTCTGCTGTGCTAAGATCTCCTCATCCGTAGGCCGCTCTATAGCTGTTGTTGCGCTGTTTATCCCATCGTTTGCGCTGCCGCTCGCTGTCCCGGCAGCCGCGCCACCGGAGTCCCAGGTGGGTCGAGTCTGGTCTTCCCCGTCGAGATCACCGCCTGTGGCCATGGGTTTGTGCAAGATCTGTTGCAAATAAAATTATTCCGCACACTATGCGGAGGTAGCCAGCCTAGTAACTACAAATGCTTTGGCAAGCACTCCTTTGCATTTAGTCAATGTGACAAACTATAATGCGGTAAGAAAGTAACAGAATAAACATAATGAACGTGCAAGTTTTGCCGCATGGCAACTCTTGCAGAATGGCTGAACGGGACCCTGGAAAGGTATGAAATAATCAGTTGGTACGACGGGACATTTAGCAAAGCCTTGTGCCTTATGAAGCCAATGAAATGGCTATTCTCTAAGGTTATGTCACAGCAGTTCTTCAGTAAGCTAGCCGCAGGTCAAAGGAATTCGCGTATCAATAGCTTCCGCGGTTACAGTTAATTGCAAGATCGAAGATGACAGAGCAAAATAAGAAAAAAAAGAGCTTGCTTGATGAGGATGATGGTGAAGGCACCGCCCCGAAGACATTTGGCATCCGCGTGAACAAGGAGTATGCCGCACGGTTTCAAGTAGGCTTGAAAGCTAAAGGGTTGCTGTGAAGCACCGCTCGGTTCGCGGTGCCATTGAAGCAAGGCGACGGCGCCTGACGGCTGCCTCTGCCCTAATCTGCAGCACAACAAGCAACGTGAAGAGCTGCATCGGCTTCAAAGCAAATACCCAGAGGAAGCCGAAAGACTAGCTTTGAAGGTATGGATGGTGCCGTTGGGCCGTGGGTGTTGCGTTCAGCATCTCCCGTGGGGGCAGCAGCGGGACCCGCGGTCAGTAATAGCGCTTAGGCTGCAGGAGAAGTTCTTCTCCAACAAAATCCTCATCCATGCAACAACTAAAGCGAGTTGTCGGTGCTATTTTCAAGGCAGGCCTTGTATGCACCGTGGCCCATGGGAGGTCCCTTTGCTTGCCCGTTGATGCTTCGCTTCGGCCCGCGCATGTTGTCTTGACAGATTGCTCGGGAGGCGGCAAAAGCGGCAGGAGAGGTCCTGCCCGACGATGGCGAGGACAGCTCTCAGGACGAAGATGATGTAGGACTGGGGTGGACTGGTGCTTACACGGTCATGGAGGCAGGACTGGGGGTGGACTGTTGCCTGTGCTTCCCTCAGGACTTCTCACGCAAAACGGAAAGGAAAAAGCTATTCTTGCCCAGGACTAATGGGTGGTTCATAAAGTTCCATGGATAATGAACGATGACGGCAACTGTAGAACGGTTCGGTGTACCTTCTCCACTGGGTCCAATTGCTCGAACTATGCGCAACCCGTTGCCGCGACATGTAATGCGCTCTCTTGCCTTTGCCTCTTCAAGTGCGTAGCTAGCGCTTGGCTATGTAGATGCAACTGATGGCAATACTGCAAACCGGTGGCGATAGCAAGGGGTTCGATATCACCTTGCATTTCACGTAGACGAACTGTTTACAGTGAACTGCACCCCAGGCAGGTACAAAACGATCCGCCATGCTCTGATGGCGGCACAACGTCAATGAATACTGTCCCCGTACGGTCGTCTTGGTGTCCGCAGGATGAGGGTGATATCCCGGAGGAGGTTGAGGCCAAGATATTTGACACGCTGCTGCGGATCCGCAAACAGGATCCGTCCATTTACCAGAAAGACGTTCAGTTCTTTGAAGAAGTTCAGGAGGAGGCTCAGGAGGACGATGCGCTTGCCGGCAAGCCTGCGGCCGCTAAGAAGGCGAAACCAATGTACCTAAAGGACATGATTGCAAAGCAGGTTCGTGGAGGGCTCTGCTTGGCAACCATTATGCAGCGTACTATGCGCGCAAGGAGACGTGTTTTTATACCACCTAGGTCCTAAAAGGCAACATTCAGATGTTGCATGACAGCAAGCCTTGCTGACCGGCTCTGGAGCCTAGCCTCCTAGCTGGGCTGCATAGACGCAGCACCAGGGGACGTACTGTAGTATTGGCACTGTTCGTGCACCCTTGAGAGCCTCTCTGTATCGCACGGCTGCCCTTGGACAAGCCCGTACCATGAAAAGGGCTGCTACTCTTGGGTGGCCACGGTGGACAACTACGACCCTGGGGATAGCCCTGCAGATGTACTGTGTTGTGCCCTGCATGATGCTGTCGTAGCTGACATAGCAACCTGTGGGGGCCCGTTACGGATTGCGACCTCTCCACAGGCCTTGGAGTACGGACCCGGAGGGAATAGCAGTGACGACGAGGATGGCGGCGAAGGTCGGCAGGATGGCAAGAAGCGGCACCCTAAAGCGTACAACCCGGAGCAGGAGGCGCTGCGAAAAGCATTTTTGGAAGCGGCAGTGGTGAGTTGCTGTGCGATCCTTGAGCAGCGCAGGTGACCCCTTGCGGTTTGATTTGGCTTAGCTTGCCTCTATCGGTGTATCACATGGGCCTTGGGTAACTGACTGCCCTATTCCGGGCTTCTTCCTGTCGGCGGCATCCCGGCCAGCGGAAAATGGGCGAATTGACGGACGTCTCCGCGGTGAGGAGGGGGAATGGAAGCGAAGACTCCTTGGCTTCATCCTAACAGAATTGCTGGCGCACGTTTGCCTGCAGTAGCGCTTGTTTTCGAGGGCTTTCGCCGAGAAGAGTGGCCCTGAGGCGATATTGCCTTTGAATCCGTCCGTACATGCACTAACTGCGCAGGAGGCTGAAGGCGGTGAGGGCGCAGATGAGATGGGTGGCGTGCTGCGCCTGCGGCCCAAGTCCCGGGGTGGCAGCGCCGACGACGATGATGTGGACGGAGGTCAAGACGCAGACGAAGCTGCCGCCCTTAAAGCCCAGAAGAGCCTTAAGAAGCGCACCGAGGGCGCGGGTCAGTTCCAGCAGGTGCGAGCTAGCACAACAAGTCTATCAACAAGTGAACGACCTGACAGTCCTCACAGGACGTAAATCTGGTATGGGGCGGTGTTCCGGACTGGCTCGTCCGTTTTTTGGGGACAGCTACACATTTGCACTGCTTCGGTTGAGCACCGTCCTGGGGCGTGGCCCTTTCCGCTGTTTTCCCTGTCCAAGTTCATGAATATGTTTGTATCCCCCAACCCCTTGCTGTGTAGCTGATTGAGGCGTACTTTGGTTCCGAGGCTGAGCTCCACCCAGATGACAAGTTCTTGAAGGAATACATTATGAACAAGGTGTGCGGTTACACGGCATTGCACAGTGTCAGCTATCCAACAGCTGGCGCTGCTGTGGCCACGACTGTTGGCATGGGGACCCAATGTGACATATGGTGCATTTTTCCATCCCGCCTCCAGCTAACTGCTGCTTTGCGAGCTGGTGCACACTTGGTCACAGAATTGTAACGCGTCGGTGCGCTCTGTATTACTCGGTATGGTATTACTCGGTAGCGCCAGCAAAGCCTTGGTAGGCGATCTTAATCCTTCAAACCGCTTGTCATTTTATTTATTCCGACCCTGCTTCCGTTGCCGCTGTTGGTCCTGTCGCGAAACTGGGCGCACGCTCATGGAACTTAGGGGTGGGTGGACCGTGACGACGACTACGTGCCTTCCTACCGGGACATTGTTGGTGGCGATGGCGACGATGAAGGCGTCGCAGGAGACGAGGACGTTGATGATGAAGCGGACGAGAGATATTTGCGCGAGGTGGACGCGTTTGAGGCCAAGTACAACTTCAGGCAGGTGGTGGCTTTAAGGCACGGACTTGCTGGCTTGCACGCAAATGGGTTTGGTTCGAAGGCCTTGCATTCACATTAGCTAATCCATGATGACTGTTGTTGCTAGGCCTGTCCGCTGTATACGCTTGGGTGCTATCAGCGTGCGTGCTGCTTTTATACTACTTATCGTTGTGCTCCTTACGGGAGCTCATTTATGTGTTGCTGTTCCTTCCCAGTCTGAGTGTCTGTTGGTATGGTTCGGCCTTGGATGTCTACACCAGCTGCTGCCATTTGAGACCACGCGGTAACTGACCGGCTTGATGCGGAAAAACCTGTCTATGTCGGATCAGGTACGAGGAGCCTGGAGCGGATCGCATCATCACGCACCCACGCAACATCGAGGGCACCGTGCGAAAACCCGACGATAAGCGCAAGCGGCAGCGCGACGCCAAGAAACAGCGGCTGGAGGAGGCTGCGGAAGCTGCGCGTGAGGAGGTCAAGCGACTTAAGAACCTTAAGAAGCAAGAACTTGAGAGCAAGTAAGGCGTAGGAGTTCATGTAGGAGTGCTTTTGTAAGTGCAGTGTTTAACACCATGCATAAGGCCATCGTGCAGTCGGAACATGCCAGTCGCCGTGCGCCTTACCCACCTCTTAGCTGGATCATGTATGCAGCTAAGCAGCGGTGATTCTAGCTAAATCCCTGGAAGGTATGCCTTGGTATTACTGAAACTGCTCCCTGCAGGCTTGACAAGCTACGCAGCGTGGCTGGTGCAGCAGCTCCTGCTGCGGCTTCGCTGGATAGCATGCTCGAGGGCGATTTCGACCCCGAGGAGTGGGATAAAAACATGGCTGCGGCATTCGATGATGATTACTATGCGGTACGTGATGCCGTACCCATGTAGGCTGGCGTTATGTTGCCGTGCTGCTGTTCTATTTGTGGCTTGAGGAGCGTACATTGTGCATGCGGGGGTTATTGAATGTAATCACAGTAGCGGCTGTGTCAGGGTACATCGTATTCCGCTGTGTATTTGAAAGGGGGCCTTTTGTACGTAATGTTGCAGGTTGAAGAGGACTTACATGACCTGAAGGACGACCTAGACCTGCTTGGAGAGGATATGGATGACAGCGATGACAACAACGACGACAACGATGGTGACGGAACAGTGCGCTTCCGGGCCCTCCAGCGTAAAATCAAGCAAGTGGACAAGCTAAGCGAGGAGCCTGAGGTGGGCCTGAGGCATGTGCAAACTGCGATCCACGGGTAAACAGCATAGGACATGTTGTTGAAGGGACGTTTCCTTGATTCCATGCGGCAATGGCCTTGAGGCCGCTGCGCTGTAAGTTGAGAAATGAGGATGCAGGACGGCTCACCTTCAGAAGCAATGTCGCCTCCAGCACGTGCCTTACTGTAGATTGTGATTTTATGCTTGTTGTCTGCACAGAGGTGTGAGCTAAACCTGGCTAGATGTCCAAAGCTCTGTCCTTATTTCATATTGGCGGTTGGCAGGGCAATGACCACGGGGCAGCTCCGGACCCGGAGGTGGTCGCCAAGCAGCGTGCAGAGCTGCAGCGGCTGCTGGAGGACTACTACAAGCTAGACTATGAAGACGTCGTAGGGGGCATCAAAACACGGTTCCGGTACAAAGAGGTGCGTGCCAACTGCAAAAGATGAGCATGGCATTATGCGCCTTGCAAATACGCAAGCGGCCCAGCTCTGGAAATCCTTCGTGCCATGGCTTCCTATATTCTCCATTCTTCTTATGTACCGTCTTTTAACAGACAAGAGAATCGTCCTGCCATGCCACAAGCTTTAAGGGCCTGCAGGCGAGTATAGCCCGTCGAGTGCGGTGACATCTCCGCTGTTTCCAATGTTCACTCTCAGGTGCCGGCCAGCACATTCGGCCTGAGTGTGGATGAGATCCTTCGTCTCGACGACAAGACGCTTAACCAGGTGGTGGGCATCAAGCGCATGGCGCCATATCGCGACGACCCAAAGCTACGGCCCAACTACAAAGCGTTGGAAATGATCAAAGGCGAACTGGGTGAGCGCGAACTAGCATGTTCCGCAGGCTGGCTAATGTTGCAAAAATGGGCGTTCGGGATTGTTTGGCCTGTAAAAGGGAGAGGAGTTTGGCCAATTTTTATTGGCGCTGTGTGGACATCCTGTATTTTGCTGTATGGACCCTAGAAGCATGGCCGTTCCGTTGTATGCTACGGGTGCATATGTTAGGACCTTATTTACCTTTTGGCACCTGTACCCGCTCCCGTGCACTCAGCAAATTCCAAGAACCGAAGGCGCCAGTACAAGAAGCGCGATTTGCGGAAGGGCTTGGGCGACGGCCGGCAGGCCGGGCAGTGGTGGCATGGCAAGGGCGACAGTGGCGGCGGCGACGCTGCCGGTGCAGGTCCTGGGAGCTCTAACTCGAAGGGCGCTGCAGACGGGATGCCTCGTGTAGGCACGAAGCCACACGGCAAGCTGGCCGTAGACGGCAGTAACCAACAGGAGCGGCTTGCTGGCAACGGCGAGGAGGCAGGCCCGGGGCCTAACTCGGAGGCGGCGGGTGGAGCAGATGGACTCCGCAAGAAGTGCATGCAGACGGGCGACCCATTGGGAAGAGGTCATACCGGCTTGGATCGCTCTGCCAAGCGGGTAAAACACAAAGAGGACACCCAGCAGCTGGATTCCAAGAAGGCGCGCCTCGCGTCGTATGCAGTGCCAACGCTGAAAAAAGAGCAAAGGGCTGTCGAGCTTGGCAAGCGGAAGCGGGAAAACAGCGAGAATACGCAAAGCGGCAGAACTGACACGCCATCGGATGGTTTGTCGCGGGCCCAGCGAAAGAACCTCAAGCGCTCGCAAAAGCGCGCGGGCAAGCGTGCTGCGGATGCGGGTGCAGGGGAGCAGTAACTCGCTGGTGGGTGCCATTCCGGCACATAGCTATCACTGAGCGCCTGTCGCATGTCTGGATCCGTTAGGTGCAAGCACGTCGGTGTGGAGCAGCGGGGTAGCGGGGACCTGATCGGTTTAACCTGGCTTTGAAATGTTGTAGAATCAGCGTTCTAATCCCTGCTCCGTTGGGTCATTTATCACGAAACACCACAATGGTTCTAACCCAATGGGCAGAGCATCACCGTCCGTCTGCTGTAAATTTGGGGGTACGTGCTGCACAATAAGGGAACCCTACCGAACTGCAACGAAAAACTATGTGCACTGCAGATCTTTGCCGAACAGTATGCGGGTCATGGAAGTCCATTATCATCCTTCAAATGTACAGCAGGCGAAGCGGGGCGAGGTGTTTCACAGTCGTCCTTGCAACGACGCAAGCCTGGCTGCCTCCAACGCTGTCCAACGGATCGCGGGTGAACAGGGCTGTACGTGGCCACCATGCAACCCCCATCCGAATGTCCACTAACCCCGAAAGGCATATCAGTGTACTGACAGATTATCACGTGGTTTGCGATGGCTGGGGCCGCTTAGATATTCCATGCGGTTTTGGACCAACTGGGAGCCATGTAATGGATGATGCATCCTTAATATTCGTGTTGTTGACGCAGTTATTGCCATCATTTGAGGGCACAATGATTTCTGCCCGACGCAACATGTTTTGTTATTCGTCGTGATGACTGTCGTATGTGTACGGCCAAGTTTGCTGCACAATGCTTGGACCTCCTTCGCACAATGTTCAATGTTTACTGAGACAAGGTGATAGACGCTTACGTACTTGCCAACCTTGTCAATCGCACGTCATTTCATAGCTGTTGGGAAACCCCGGCACAATGCTGTTGCTATTCGAGACAGCCGCTGGCTATGCGCTTTTCAAAGTCCTTAAGGAAAAGAGGTTAGAAGAAGCGGAAGTAAGTACACTGCTGTTCCATCCAGTAGTCGGCGCCGTGACGGCTGGTAACGGCGGCGGCCCACTTGGCAATCGCAGGACCTTGCGGCGGACTTTCAGACGTTGGATCAAGCCCAAAAGGTTCGTAAAGTGGGGACGCATATTCCATGAAGATTACGATGGCGGGGTACCAGCTGACGGAAACACCGGGCCTGCAGATTGTGAAGCTGAAGGCATTCAGCAAATTCGAGAACACTACCGAGGCGCTTGCTGCTGCTACTGCTCTTGTTGATAGTAAACTTGGCAAGGGTGCGTCATCTTTGCTTTCTGCTGGGGTTTATCACGTATGAAGTCGGATGTAATTTCCTCTCGGCACAGGACTGAAAAAGTTTCTCAAGAAGAATGTAAATGAGGATGAGACGCTGGCGGTGCTGGATAAAAAGCTTGGTGGCATCGTCCAGGAAAAACTTGGCCTCAACGTGCTGTGGAGGTGAGAGCTTGCGCTGCCAGGCTTGGGATCGACATTCACATCCAACTGACTGGGATATCTTTATCCCACTTACATGGATATTTATGTTATGGTGTGCTTTTCGCGCACTTCCCTCCGCAGCAACCAAGTTTTGGAGCTAAGCCGCGGGATCCGGAACCAGCTGACCGGCCTCATCAGGTCAGGCAAAGACGGGGTGTATATTCTGGATTGGGGCTGCAACCATAGGGCGCGCTCCTGGGTTTCGGTTGACTGCTTTCTGGCCGACCCGTTCCATTGCCTCTTTCCCTTTTGACACCGGTTTTTGCAGTGGCCTTGCGGGAGCGGACTTGCGGCCCATGTCACTGGGCCTCAGCCACAGCTTGTCCCGCTATAAGCTGAAGTTTAGCCCAGAGAAGGTTGATACCATGATCGTGCAAGCCATCGGCCTACTTGATGACCTGGACAAGGAGTTGAACACCTACGCCATGCGCGTACGCGAGTGGTATGGCTGGCACTTCCCCGAGATGACCAAAATTGTCACCGATAACATCCAGTATGCAAAAGCGGTGGTGTTCATGGGCACGCGAGACCAAGTGCAGGGGTTGGACTTTTCGGGTATCCTGGAGGAGGACGTGGAGGGGCAGCTCAAGGCCGCGGCGCAGGTGTCGATGGGGACGGACATCAGCGAGTCGGACCTGGACAACATCAAGGACCTGGCCAACCAGGTGATTGCGCTGTCCGAGTACCGTGGCCAGCTCTTCGAGTACCTCCGCAACCGGATGAGCGCAATTGCACCCAACCTGACGGTGCTCGTCGGCGAGCTCGTGGGCGCTCGCCTGATTGCGCACGCGGGCAGTCTTATCAACCTCGCCAAGCAGCCCGCCAGCACGGTGCAGATTCTTGGTGCGGAAAAGGCGCTCTTCCGCGCCCTGAAGACCAAGCACGAGACTCCTAAGTATGGGCTAATTTATCACGCGTCGTTGATTGGACAGTCTGCGCCGAAGTATAAGGGAAAGATAAGCCGTGTGCTGGCAGCGAAGTGTGCCTTAGCGATCAGGGTAGATGCGCTGGGCGACACCAACGATGCAACCGTGGGCGTGGAGGCGCGGCAAAAGGTACGGTGGGCTTGGTGTTGGCCGTTTGGCAGGAGGTCGAATGTACCCCATAGGAGGTACTGGGAGTTAATTTGCCTAGGAGGACAGGGCCAATTTACTTACTACATATGCTGATGAAACGTGCACGATCTGTCCGTAGGTCGAGGCGCGACTGCGTCAGCTTGAGGGCAAGCTTCTTGGCAGTGAGGCGGGTACGTCGAAGGGCAAGGAGCAGCCCGCGAAGTATGATAAATCCCGACAAGGGGCCACACCAACGATGGCAACGCAGCCGAAGGCTTACAACCCGGATTCCGATGTCATCAACGGGACCCCAGCAGAAAAGAAGGTAGGCCTATGTTTTTGTTATGGACGATTGCACCGAAGGGCCTTACCTGGTTGGCCCTGTGCTGCGGGGGAAGTTACCGTCATTCCACTGCATGGCGGCCGCCAGGCACTGAATTGTCCTTTTGTGAGCTAGGACCCTTGTTGTTCCATTACGCGCAGGAGAAAAAGGAGAAGAAGAAGAAGGCGGAGGAGGAGGCTCCGGCACCCGAGGATGAGCAGCCGAAAAAGAAGAAGAAGGCAGCTGCACTGGAGTCCCCGGCTGTTGCTGAGGAACAACCAAAGAAAAAGAAGGCCAAGGTTGCGGATGGGGAAGCGAACGGCCAGGTGGGGGTGATTTAGATTTTACGAGCGTAACTTCGGACATTTTGAGGCCCTGTGGTCATGGTGCATTTCGTTCGCTCCTGTCCTGCTAACGATTCGAACCTCTCTTTGTCATGGTATATGCAGGAGGAGGAGAAGAAGGCGAAGAAGGAGAAGGAGGGAAAGAAGAAGAAGAAAACCGAGGAGTGAGCTGCCCCTGCTCTCCTTGGATGCTGGATTGGCATAGGGCTACTGGGATGTACGATCGAGGGGAACATGCACATTGCATATTAGCATAGCATTGTTGCTGGCGGAGCAACGCAACAGGCGCTTGTGAAACCGCCGCTACAGGTCTTAGCGAATTGGTGGTTGGGAACTTCTACGCGGCGTCGGGTAACAGCTGAGTTCAATGGAACCGTATTAGGCGTGTGCCATGAACGGACACTGCTTGGGCCCTGGATAACGGGCGGTATCATGTTTGATCAGCTGGCAGGGCTTTGCTGGCTACCAGGGTACAAACTTGTTGGACAAAGCTGGTGGGTGATGCAAGCTAAACCGAACAAGGAAATGCAGCTCAGGTCAACGTGGGCCAGGCATGCGGCGTCACAGACAACCGTAGATTCATGCAAAGGTTTCGTACTGTGCTTCGTTGCAGTCCTCGGGTTGGGGGGTAGCGAGGGCATGACTGGCCACTCGCATGACCTTGCGGGCGGTGAGGGGCGACCGAACGGGAATTTTCAAGTGTTACCACAGTCTTTGGAAGCGGTACGGTTGTGGCCTGCCTGTTTGGTGAAGTTGGGTAATGGAGTGGCTGCGGAAACACCGTGTCGGTGCATGAGCCCATCTAGGATAGGGCGTCTGCAGCGCTCCAGGCTCTGGATCCGCACACGTTTACCAGGACAATCGCAATGCCCTTTGCGCCAGTCCTGGATGCGCTCTGCGGATGGAAGATGATGCAGGTTGCTTCACTGTAACTACAGCAGGTGTTCGTACAGATTATGATTCTACCCCGAAGTTCTGTAGAATGAGTGCCTTACTGTGAAAGGGCCCTTGCCTAGTAGTCGAGCATGTCTCCGTGAAGCGCAAGGGACTACCACAAGCAGCAGTTGTGCACTCCTGTGGTTGTAGACCGAGTTTTACGCATCCGCGGCCCATAGGGTCATAATTGTCCTTTGGGAAAACCCGGCGGGCAGTTTAAAGGTTAACAACGAAGTGAAATGAGTACTCGGCCATACATTCCCAAACTCACGAACACCACTGTTCAACTTGAACCGGGCGACCAATCACCCGGCCGCCACTTGACATGCTGATGATACAATGATGCTTCGGTTATCGTTTGTTTTATGTTAACTGTTATGTATCCCAGTACCGTGGATGCAGTTTAGATTCATAGACATCATAGAGGTTCATAGACATCATGCCCAAAGGACCCGCGTCGAACAAACTACAGTATGTGCGTATATATGTGTATGTATGCGTGTTTGAATGAACTGGCACATACGCTAGTTGTGTATGTGGCTGTTTGTGAGAGCGAGCTGCGACATTTCCTAGGCCAAAGAAAGCAGGCTGCAGGTCCCGAGTACGGCAATGCGTGCGCAAACCCAACCGGCGGGATGAACAGTCACCTTCAAGTGTACAACAAAAGCGCTTATTGGGGAGGAGCCTAGATTTTGTTCGTGTGGATAGGGAAGATAGATCCGGCTGCCGGTTTGCTTCGTTTCATGAGGCTCGCTGCTGGATTGCATGCGGCATGCGCAACATTTGTAGCTTTGGTTTCAGCGGTGGAGGCCGCGGCTGTGGCTATGATATTGGCTATAATTTGTGTGTGGGGGGGAGATATCGGATGGGTAGGCGTGCAAGGATGGCTACTGTTTGTTCAGCTACGTGACAATTGGTGCAGTGGCGGTATGTGGCCTCCGCCGGCTGTATGGAAACGAGCACACGGTTGGCACTGCGGTGGAGATGAGGATTTCGGGAGGGGTAGTGATCCCCTGCCGTTAGCCAGGGCGGATTGTTGCGGCCTTGGCGTTTCTTCCACCAGTAAACGAAATGTAGGAGAGGACCCCTTGGAGCTGGGGCCCCTGGTGCTGGAATGCACTGCTGTTGTAACAAAGCCCCCAGTTCTCCTCAGGAAGGGCTGCTGCAGGCAGCTCGGGACAAGAGAATCGGCATCCCAGATTGCAGAGTGTGCAGCACCTCCGTCTGGTTGCAGTACCCGAAGGTTAATGGAACAAGAGGCGGTTACACAGCTGCATGCCTTCGGCCACATGGGGACTCTTTGGGCAACGCCATCCGGTGCTTCGGGTTGTGCTCGGCCGATTTATATGGCCGGTTTTATGCAATCCAAGCAAGTAGGTTGTAACCCGGTGGTGAGCTATGCTGGGTCCCCGGAACACTTTATCCTGGCTCATGAGTTGTTTCAGGTTCTGTGGATATGTGAGCGGCTTTGTATGGTCGAAGTAGTCATGAACTCCCCGTACCTACAGGCGAGTCTTTGAGAAACCTGTGCCAAATGCGGGGTGGGGTCCTTGGCGATGGATGGCTGATAGACATGCTTGCACTTGGTTAGGCACCCTTTGTGACCTTCCGGGCCACTATGAAGGCCGTGCCATACAAAAGTGCACCGCAGGAGCACGATTCTGGTGCGCCTTCAGGCTTTCTGTCGTCCATGCAGGGCATGCTTAGTAAACTACAGGTGATTCGGTCGGAACCGCTGTAGTGTTTCTCATTTGAAGACTGCTCCCTGACAAACTCCCCTCCCGGCACGAATTTTCAGTTAAGTACCCAATTGGAAAGGTTCCTTGAATAGAGCTGTGTTGGCAGCAATTAGACAACTGCGAGGGCCCAAGCGGGAGGCCTACAGCAAGTAATATTGCTGCTTCACCGAAGTACATAGTAGGTTGGCCTCAAACACCCGACGCCAAATGGGACCCGACAAGCGTAGGCGTAACGCATACAGGCACCAAAGGTCTTAGTGCTTATCGCTCCATGCAACTACGGTTTCCTCGACTTCCTGGTCCCTCTGCCGCAATACCTCCAAGTGCAGTCATCACCGCATGTAGCGTCACCGCACCCACTACTCCTCGGGAGCTTCACGCATCCCAGCACAGCGAGGAATGCTCACACTGCCGGGTCTCACACTGCCCGCCCAGTCATGTTGGGCCACCATGTGCACCCCTCGATTCACACACCCGGGAGCACCTATACCTCGCGAGATTGTGACTGCGTTATCATTGACGCAAGGCCATCCCCGCGATTGTCTGTCACCCTATGCCACTGTTCCGCCATACCAATGTAAATGCTAAGTTGGATGAAAACAAAAAATGTCCCAATGTTACTGTCCAACGTTTCAAACCTCCAGCAAACCGGCGTAGATTGTCATTCTTGTCCGGCACACGAGACAAAAATGTGACACGTACGGGACACACTTGTAGTGAACGTCGGTATTATACACCATGTACATGACGCCGTGCTCGTCCTGCGCGCATCAACGCCTGCGGCCGTGCAGTCGCCTCGATACGACACCGGCCAGCTGTATAAGCCCATACCCAAGGGGGATGCGCAATGCACATGCTCCCAACGCCTATACTCCACACGACGAACGCAAGCCCTGGAAACCAGTAAAAGCTGGACCAGAAGACGCTTTCTAAGGATCAGGGCTTCGTAGCACCGGCCGCTACAATCACTGAACAGGCTTCCCTTCACTCCAAAAGGTGGCATCTGCACACTACAGTTGCGTGACTGAGCAGACGAGGAGCGATCCCCCCTACGCCCCACAGAGATTCATCCCTAGAAGATAATGTCTATTGTATCCCCGAGCACTGGTTGCACCGCCACTGCTTCATTTGGGAGGCCTTCTTCTCCGTCATCTTGGCGCACCGGCCGCAGTACCAGGTATCACAGAAATCGCATGCTATCCAAAACTCCTCAGTGCGGTACAATCGCCCACAAGATGGACAAGGGTCGCCCTCGCCATCCTCCCAGTCGGCGCTGCCCCTGCGTGCGCCAGCACGGTAAAACAAGACCGTTAATGATTTTTTTCCCAAATTCACTTTGTATGCAATCATACGCCGCCCAAAGCATACTTGTTGCCATAGGACAGAGACGCCCGTCATGCAACATTAGCTTAAAAAAAGAGCAGGGCCCAGCATGTTAGCTGCCTGAGTCGACCACAATAAATTACACTACAGTAATGACTTGAATCCCAGCATCTTAACATCCCCACTCCCGCATAACGCCGCGAAACCACGCCACCCGGGACAGGGGGCCTAAGTCGTAAATGTTACACGCTTTCGTGACCATAAGCGTGCTCAACAGGCCAATGTCTACCATTTCTAGCCCAATCGCATTTAACTGAAATCCGGTATTGATGTGCAAGAGCACGAAGCCATCAAACTTAGCGCACAAGAGACAAGCCCGTCGACGACTTACCCAGCGATATCCTCGCCATCATCGTCGCCCTGCTGAAGAAAGAATTACGTGCGAAAAGCAAGCGTCAGTCAAGCCTGTGTCTGTTATGCAAACGGGGCAGCTTTAATTTCGAACTTACTCGTGCAGCACGCGCAGGCGCTGTTCGGGATGGCCCACCGGGGCCCCCAGGCCGTTTCAGGCCACCAACATTAGTTGTTGGCCCTCCCACGGATTGCTTGACGCGCCCCGAAACGACCTGCACATTTGTGCACACCAGGAACGAAGTTGGACTGGCGAACCGAAAACGTACGGTACTGGCGCCGCAGGGAAAACTAACACACGTCGGCCCATGGCACCCTGCACGATTTTTGAAAGATGCTTCGCCGTGCGAACTACGGCGACGCCGGGCATAGGGGCCAGCTCCCACAAGCTTACCTCATAGCAGGTCGGCAGCTTGTTGATGAGCGAAAAGAGCTCTTCCCTACGAATCGGCCATAACCTAGTGTCAACGGCTTGCCAAGCATAGCCAGGGGCACGAGGGGTCGCACCTTTCTTCGCGGTTCAGCCGTGCTCCTTTATAAAACGCGAGCGCCAAGAGCCAGCTATCTGAATGTACTGCCACAAGGCTAATCCAAGCGCTTCTCTGCGAGCCCACCAAGCAATGTCGCCATCCCGAACGTCGGGTGGAGCGAACGACTGGCAATTCAAACCACATTCAACGCACCTCCATCCCATCGCGAGCAAAGTTTATACCCTGCAAGGCAATCACACAGCAAAGGAGATTACTTCACCGGGCGGCATACCCGTCGCCAATAGCATGCGATTCGAGACGCGAGTCTTACTCACCAAGGCAGGCTCAGGAGCCTCCGGCGGTACCTCCTCTGCAGGGAGGTCTACAGCCCATGTCCCGTCGTTGTAACCATACAAGCATAAATTCTGCAACCGGCCAAGTCAACGAAGAGCGAAGGACCCTGTTTTTGATTACATGCGTTTACAATATTATAATCCTAAGATGGGTGTAGTGGAAGCGAGCACTTGGCGATATGCAAATTGACAGATGCCGCCAAGGTTCTAGAGAGTTGAACCTGCCTCCTTCTGCGGGTCACACTGGTGCCAAAATTTCTCAGCGTCCTGCGTAAGCGCTCGCAGTATTGCCTTGCGACGACCGAGATAGTCCTCGTAGATGTCTCGAGGAGACCGCGAAGCCATTACTGCGATGTGAAATGTCCGAGGACACCCAGTTGATAACATACAGCAACTTGCACAGCGTAGCACTTCAATGATGAGATACAACAAAAACAGGAAATCCACGGCTTTTGTTTCGGAGCTGGCCGAGTGAAGGATTTCCCCATGCCCAGGGCACTGAGCGATGGCTAACAACATTTAATTATCTATTTTGAGTCCTTGTGCTGATCTATTCAGCGCTTTTGGTCAAGTACAGATAACTCAACTGCTGTTGGAGCACGCGGTCGCCTCTTATTTGAGATGCAACAGCCTGCTCAATCGAAGGCTGATATGATAATAGGATTTACACTATCCAGCGGGGATGATGTGACCGTCATAACCCTCAAAGGATGTCTAGACCATCGCAAGCCGTCCGTGAGGTGGCTTGTTGGAAATCTCGGCTAAGGTGCAGGATCCCCATAACCTTGTGTGGTTGGGCGTCGTCGATGTATGCCAGTAAGAGTGTTCCAAACGCACGTGAACCCTGGCTGGTATGAGATGCAGAGGCAATTTCTTTCTAGGCTAAAATACACATCGGAGAGACGTATTGTGTGCTGATGCCGGCTTGCGGGTCACACCTATGATTCCAGCGACCTGTGTCGGTTAAGACGGCCTCGTGTTGGTTAAGCTTCCGTAGCCCCGTCCATATCGCTTTCGAAGGAGAATGTATGACTGGCAGAACCCAGGTCTGACAGACGCATTGTCTGGCCTCAGTGCCTTACGTTCGGCGTTTGGTAAAATCCCAGCTTCCGAAACCCGCAGTTATCTAGGTACTTTCGCATAAGGGGGATCCTCAGGGAGTCTGTAGCTTCGCTTTCGGAAGAATGGCGGCAGAAGTCTCAGCATCGTTTTTTACTCGGTAATTACCTTCGATTATTCTTCGTGGCAACCATAAAACCTGAAACGTGATGTGACGTACATAGACGGCCGGAAGATCATTACGCGCAAGGGCTTAGGATTGCCTTCTTCGTTGAAGCGTAAGTCTACAGGTAGTTATTAGGCCAATACCTCAGCCAAATTGTGCACATCTCCATCCTGCTCCATGCCAGTCACCTGGCAGCCGTGTGGGCATGTGCGCTCGGACAGAGCCAGAAACCCCGTGCACGCGCAACAGATTAACGTCATGTGTTTCAATGCGTCGGAAATCCCAGTCCAGTCAGCAAGCCCTTCACTCGCTCCCGAAGTTCCGCATCCAGGTACAATGCCAGTGCAACGAAGAGCACCAGCATCAGCACCGCCTGCAGCACCTTGCCGCGTGTTGAGGCCCTGGCACGTTCCGGCGTGGAGCTCGCGTCTGTAGAGCCCCGCCTGGTGAGCAGATTGACTATTGCACCGAAGTAGACGGCCAGCACGGTGGACGATAGGCAGATGACATTGTAGGGCATGCTAAAGTCAGGCGCCGCCAGCGGCACCAGGAGACCGCCACTAAATACCTACACAGCATGTACAGGAAGGGGGAGACGGGAAATCACGATTAGGACCAACAGGAGTTGCCCATTCCGTAATGACCCTAAGGAGGAAGTTTTGTGCATGTTGCCTGGCTGCAATTAACGTTTTTATAACAAGTAACTCAAAATTCGCGCGAGTCTTAGCGTATTTATAGCAAAAGCAGCTCCCCTTCAGCAGCCCAAGGTAAAGGCCATGCAACGCCCCTCCGCAAATACGACACATATATGCAGCATGTACTTTTGGACTGCACAGCATATAGCAGATGTAGGCTTTCTGTCTTCGGTTGGCCCCCGTCTCGTATGACAATGACACCTTTGGAGAGTAACGCAACCCTAACGCAACACACACACATCCCAATTCATCTGCGTATTCAAACCTGCTGTACGGCGTCCCTAGACAGCGCACGGAGCAGCGGTGAAGCCACCCCCCCATCCGCGTCTGCCTCCACGCCTCCATTTCCAAGCGAGCCCTCCGTGTGCGCGCGCCACTGAACATCGAGCGCATAGAACGGGTCCATGTAGCTCACGAGAGCCGCTGGGACGTCAAAGCCGCGGTGCGCATCGGGCGGGTATTCAAAAACGGTGAGAAAGGCCTTGCTAAAAGCGATCCGCAGCTGAACCTCCGCGACCGTTGGCGGCACACGCAGGCACAGGTCCAGCACCCCGGGTGAGGACCGCTGTACCGCCGGCCGTACCTGCTGCGCCACGAGGTGTGACCGCAGCGATACCTTCTGCACTTAGGTTTGGGGCCAACGGCCCAGGGAGGCAGCGGGAGTGCTGTCGTAAGCGGTGCGTGCAGGAAAGACAGGAAGCCAAAAGCCGCAAGAATTTTAAAACGACCCCTGGGCTTTGACCGAGTAGGCTGCACCAGCATGGGGCCGGGAGGCTTACTGGGCAGGGGGTTCTATACATACAGGGGGTGTATACAGCATGGGTAATCAGGGGGAGACAGGGGTAGTGGTTAAGGTGGACAAGGTGACGCCTGTCTCGAGGGCACTTTGCTCGCAGCATGTGCCGCCGGCCGCTGTTCCCAGGTGAACATCCTGCGTGCCCTGCGTCCCTCATGCTCTCATTCCTATCGAATCAAAATCCCTCTCGACCCGTTGCAGTGGACATGCGGGTAGATCTAGCCGCGTCCCAGACGTACCTCCAACGCATTCCCACAAACCCGGGCCTCATCTCCCATCGCCTTGCCCACCAGCTCACCTGGCCATCATACAGCACCAAAAGCGTGTGCATCCATGGTCGCACATACCAGGGAAACACCTGGTTCACACACACAACAGACGACGCGCACGTGCCACCATCTCCCCCGCCACTGCTATCACACCCGGAGCTACGGGTGTCTGCCAGTCGCGCTCGCAGCTCCGCGGAGCGCTCCATCCGCAGGACCATGCCACCCTTTAGCAGGCCCGCACCCGTCACGTAACGCTCCACCAGCAGGTCCGCGCCAGGCCCTGTGACCACCTGCAGGTCCCGACCCGCCCAGCCGTCGCCATCCACCTGCGTCTCCTTCCCAGCAGCCTCGCGGCGCTGGGCGCTGAGCTGCGGGTGTGGGCTCGGCAAGCGTAGGCCCAGAGCCCACCCTCGGATTTCCAACAGCTCCAGCGTATCATAGCGGCGCAAGGGCGGCAACACGGAGGCCACACGCGCTGCAGCCCCCGACCGAGCTTCATCAGCTGGCATGTTGACGGGCAGGAGGAGGAGAGCGTTGCAATAAATTGCGCTGGCAGCACTGCGATCGTCAGGAACGCCGGTGGCTGCGGCACCGGCCGCCCCAGAGCAAGAAGAGCTACGGCCTTGATCACCTTCTGGTTGGCAAGATGCGGTTCCACCAGGAGCGGCCCATGTTGTGGCGGAGGCAGGCCCTTGGGGCTCAGCAAGGAAAACCTCGCTGCGGATTGCCGCGGGACAGAAATGGTCGACGCGGGCCCCGAGGATTGACTCCAGATCCAGATTCATATCCGGTGGCGGCGCGTCCAGGTGCGGCTGCGGGGATGCTGCCGTACGCAGCACCAGCGTGAAGGTCTGCACCAGGCGGACCACCTGTTGGCCCTGATCGGCCCCGGCTATACGTTCCAGCTTGAGACTAAGGGACACGTACTCTGCAGGCGGTGCGCGGGGCGTGGGCCGGTTCGGGCATGCAAGGTCGCAGCTCCATGTGCATTCAGAACGCGGGTTCCGCCAATCGGTTACTGAATCTGTCAATATGTGCGCCTGAGAGGCAACCCTGCGCCAGGTCTTACCATCCAACGTTAAACATGGGTGGAACCGGCAGATAGAGATATCGCGGCTGTAGGCCTTCGAGCCCAGGTGACGACACTTTTGGTCCAAAGCAACGAAGGAGTCAACACTCACAATGCAATGTCACACAGAAACTCGCACAATTGAGCGACGTACCACTTAAGACACTGACCTGCTCCGAAGACTGTATGGCGATGGCGCAGCAGGGAGGCCAAGCCACCCTGATCACGGCACGGCAGCAGCCTTAGCCATGGTGTCAGGTTCTCAGTACAAAACGGCTCGTGGGGCAGCATGGCATGCAGGCGCTGCCTGCAACCGCGGCCGACCGAAATGCAGTGCGACTTATCAAAAGGAGACGAGAACAACAGCAGCAGCCATAGGAGAAGGATGACTTCCCCAAAAGGTGTGGCGACTTGGGAATTGGGGGCTTTGGGGCCACCGCGCGAAAGTGCGACATCAGCCATCCCTCAGCCCGCCACACCTCCTTCCCTCACCCGGTTATCCCGATGGGACCCTCAGCCCAGTTATTACCCCCGGAGGTTATCAACCTCAGGAGCTCTTGCACCCGGACGCCACCGCCACTGACGCTACCAGGGGCTTGCAGCAGGCTGAGGGAGGCGCAGGAAAGCCCCGACAGCGCGTTCACGAGAGCAGCCCAATGGGCGTCCAGGATTGGTGCCTCCAGCCCGGAGTGGAAGGTTGCATCCAAAACCTATAAAATGGACAACAGAGGGGAACAGGGCAGGGCAGGGCGGAATAGCAGTTCAGGGTTTCCTGGCAAAGCAGTCAGGGTGTACATGGCACGGGGACGGTCCAGAGGAAAGCCCCCAATGTGACGCCCATGCTGGGTTGCATGACCTGGTATGCAGCAGGCCAGAGTTGCTGGTCAGGAGGATCTGCCCCTTCAAATTGTGCTTAGGTCGCAGAGGCCTGAAAGATGATGTGGGACAGGTTCCCGCAAGCAAAACACCTTTGTTGTCCGAAAAGGCATGGCATGACTCACCGCTCCGACGGCCTTCACTGGCACAAGCGGCCAGCCCCATTCTTTGTAGCGCTGCATGGGAACGACAAGATAAAAAGATGTGAGGAGAAAGGATGTGCGGGGAGAACGCCGCCAAACGGGGTCACCAACCACGGCTGGCGATGCCGATTCGCTGGTATGTTGCTTAGCTATCAATTCAAACTACCGTCGCGCGTACCCATCTGCCTGCCGTCAGGGAGAGCTCCACGTCATGCAGAGGTATCGTGGCCACCAGATGCCGGATGGCATGGGGGAAGCTTGTATGGAGACGCGACGCGGAGGTCACTTGGTCAAAGTGGAGATGTACCTTCAAGGTCGGGCATGAGGTGGACAGTACGGCCTAACCGACAATAGGCAGCTTATGAGGCTTTAGCATAGCTCAGTAGAAGTGCGAACAAAGTCATGACGGTATAGGAGCTCTCAAAACCGCCTTGCACGTCATCGTCGCCAAGCGCTTACAAGGAGGTGTTTGGGACTGACCCATGCTGCGAGAAGCTCCTCTGAGAACACATCCTGTGAGGCCAATACCCGGCAAAGGATGCAGTGCTGATGGAGTAAAAGAAATGCTCAAACCCATGGAACTTTGTAACTCCGACACACCCGGGACGCGCAACCCAAAGCAAAGGTCAACAGAAGACCTATCCGCCATTCAGTGTAGCTGTTCATGGGGCTGAAATTATTTTACAATTCAAAGCTTGGATGTTTGACACTGTGACACATGGTGAAATCGTACTACCGGTAGCAGAAAGGGATAAATCAAGTCTAGTCATTACAAAGAAGTTGTTGTTGATGGGGTGTTACAGAGTGGGAGGCTTCTGGGCCATTTGCACACGTTTGGATTGTCAACACCATACAGCACCATCCACCATTACCACACTGCATGCTCCATACGAACTGCAAGTCCAAGGCAGTTGATTTTATCTTCTAGAAACTCTCCTCATCTCTCCATCCGGACATCCGTAGAGACAAAGGGTTCACCAATCTAGCGTGCGAATATCGGTCCATCAACTGTGAACACAACTTTACATCTCAGCAGCTAGCCATGATATCAAGTAGACGGATTGATATTTAAGACTCGCATAAGGTCTGGTTAAAGTGCGTAAAGTAAGACAGCAGGCTCAGCTGGTGCCGATACTCTCTTTCTCGCCACAATGGTGGACGAGGAAAGAAAGGCGGATAACCGTCTGGCTGGGACTGCACGATTTGCGTAAGTCAGGGGGCCATGTGAGCCGCCTCCCTTTCAGAGCCAAACCTGACGTTTGTTTGCCCGTCTTCACACCTACGACTACCTCTCCAGGACTCCCTGTACAGCGTTGGCTTGGCATGTCCCTGCCCGCCGACCTGTATTGCACCAGGGTACTGGACAAGGAGATCTTCGTGCGGCATGCAACGACCGTTTGCGTACGTATGCGCGTGTGCTCTTTTTCATTTCTCATGTCCAGTTTGTTGCGACGCCGCTGCGCACCGTTGTTTTGAAACCCGCTGGATAGGCGGTATTAGTATATTTTGGCTACACCAGCACCGCCCGAAGCGCGCCGAACACTTCCTTGTGCCACCCCTGTCCCAACAGGCCAGGCATTGCAGCGGCAGAACTGCCACAGGCGGCGAGGACGTCAACGAGCGTCACACTGGCGTCGCTTCGCTGCTTATCCATGGCACCGATGCATGGCCCGTATGACATGACGTAAGTAAAGCGATGAAAGGTCTGGCCGCAGGGATTCGTACAAATTGGTGCCAACCCCCCACCACGTCGCCCGCATATGCAGGGCTGTAGAAAGTTTCCAGCAGCTAGCACACCACAGCCCTTCCGGCAACGTGAGAGCCATGCACTACACCGCTTATCTTCGGAGGAAGGTAAGACCTAGAGTTGTGGCCTTCGAGTCTGCGTGTACATGTGGGCGAATGTACGGCCGATGCTTGTGCCCTTGGTGTTTCTGTACTGATAGCAAGTGGTGGTTTCTTCGTCCTGGCCGCCTCTCCACCAGCCGGCTTTACTTTTGCTAGTTACACAGCGATGTTCCCTTGCGTCATCCACGCCCTTCAGGTGTCGTCTGCTGTGTCCAGCCTGAGTAGGTTTATGCAGGATTGGGATGGCACAGATTTGGACAATGGCTTTCACGGACAGCTCTCCAGTGCGCTGCGCTCGCCAGGCGAGGGTGATCACCGCTGCCAGGCTCAACAGTATGCGACCGGTGCTAGACCTAGTGTGTCTCTTGCAGCTGCCGCTCGCAAACGGACCGCCAGCTACGCGTCTTTTGAAGAGCTAGAATCCCTTCGTCATACCTGTACGAGGTCGAGCAGTCTCCAGTCGCCCCGTGCGTCGGATTATTGTGATGTACCATCAGGTCCTGCTGACCCGACGGTCCAGCAGCACGGGTGCGATGGAGCTGGGGAAGGACCGGTGATGCCACAGTGGTGTACTGCCACATCCTCGCAGCTGGCCAACCAAACCGATTCTGCCATTGCATCCCGTGCAGCACTCGATCTTCCTTTCAGAAATCCTTCAATTGCTGATACAGAGCGGGGACAGGGGAGAAGATTACGCTTTCAGGCTGGTTGCAGTGGGCAGCGGCAACAGCGGGCCGCCATGGTCGTCTTCACAAGTACGGCCGAGGAGCGAGCGGTCCAGAAGAGCGCTGAGTTGTGTTGGGGAACAGATGCTAATCTGATTCGCTGTGGGCAAGCTCCGGGCCCAGGCCCTTTAGGGGCTCATGAGACCTCGTCAGTGGCACCTCGTGGCAATGACATGCTTACCCGCGGTGGCACTTTGGCGGCGGCTCCACGGCATCAGCGCGCTCCCGGTCTGATCTCAAGTTTGCAGGGTCAGGAACATCAGAGTCAGGCGGATTTGCTTAGGAAGGCAACCGGAGCAAAGCCGGATGTTAGCATTGTCACTAGCGCTCAGCCGCTGAGTGCTGACGCATCCAGGGGTGATGCGTGGCCACACCGCTCATCGCCGTGCTTGTGCGTCCTTCCAGGCCCGTCTTCTCTCCAACGGCTAGTCACTCTGCGTGAAGGAGCAGCCGGGGAGGCGCCAGGAGCTGTGCGCTTAGCTGACGCTTCGGTGCAACCCCCTTGTCTACCATTGCTGAAGCCGCTGTCGCCACTTTCATGTCAACAGGAGGCCCAGCAATTGGCAGCCCAGGCGTATGGGGATGAGAGAATTTTAAACCTTATATTCTCTGTTAACCCCCGGATGCAGGAGGTAGTTGAGGCGACTGCAGCCGCGACGGCCGCTCAATGGCAGAAACAGTTTGCAGCGCTTCCGGCAGTGAACACCGTGCTGAAGCGCTGGCCGGTGGCATCTCTAGCGCAGCAGTTGGCGGGTAATGCAGCAGAGCGCGATGTACACCGCCGTAGCAGCTGCGGTGGCGGTGGGAGCAATTCATCTATACTGGGACGTGCCGATGGGCGTCCGCCGCAGATGAAGCATGTCCTGACGCCGCTGCCACGGCGGAGCGCTGACGTGCGGCTCTCGCAGATGACGCGGCAAGAGCGAAAAGGGACACACGGAGCAGGCGCGGTTTTGCCGTTGGAGGTGCTTTCAGCCCCTCTGCGACCCGATACATGCCAGGCAAGGACCGAGCTCTGGGACTTAGTTCACCTCAACGTTCCATTTACCATGTGCCCAGCAGGCAGGGCGGGACTCGATGAGGGAGGGTTAGTTAGCCCCTTGGACGCTGCAACGGTAGCTAAGAGCAAAGGAACTTGTGGGCGTCTGGACGGCACTGATGGCTGCTGTGGCTGTGCCAAAGGACAGGGGGGTCACGAAAAGGTGGAGTCGGAAGCCAGCCAGGATGATCCAGATGTTTTCATATCGACCGAAGGCTTGGTCTGCCTGGCGTCCCTTGCCTGTGGACGTAACAACGGGGGCGGTTGGCGGCTTCCCCTCCTGGTTAGGCCACGGCAACTTCACTATAGGGATGACGGTCAGGTCTGCAACTCGCCAGATGGCCTGCCGGGAGATACTGATCAGCTACCAGCCCTCTACTTCACAGAGCCCCTTCATGATGCTCCTAGGTTGATGCTTGACAGCTGGTCACGCATGTGCGCATGCGCGCTTGCGGCGCGTCAGCGTGATGGCCCTGGTCATGCCGCAACCGATAACGTTTCCTTGGGTGGGAGTGAAGGTGCTCAGGACAAGGCGTCGGAGTCGGAAGATTGCCCTTGCTGCCAGCAGGATGAGTGGCAGCTCGGCGAGCTATCGCTGCTAGTGCTCAGCCATAGCTGTCTGGGCCTTGTGAGCGGCAGCGGATCGCTTATTCCCGCGCAACTGGTTGCCCTCGCAAGCACTGGGGGCCACTCGGGTAGAGCCGCTCGGCAGCAGGCATCACAGGCAGTCATTGACATACTAGCGGAACGATACATTGAGCTGGCTTGCCGCGCAGAACTGCTCCGTGGCCCTGCTTCAACCCTGGTAAGTCGAAAGCTTTGTAAGACACATGCCTTGGTCTTTGTCGCACAGACCATGCTGTTGCTGAGCGCTTTTGGCATCATTTCATAAGCTCAGATAGAAGGTCGTTGGGCAGCAGACAGTCGATCATGCAGGACTGTGTTGCAAGGGCAGGATGGGGTCAAGCTGAACAAGGCGCTCGCACCGTTCATGCTCACCGCAGGCTGTTGTAGTGGATGCGGTAGACGGCACGCTTCTGGCTCAGCAGTACCTGGACAGCGGGGCAATCCGGCAACTTGCGGCCGAGCAGAGAGCTGAAGAGCAGGTCAGTGTTTCTGTCATGCTATGGTTTTACCGAGTACGCAGTTGAGCAAGTGTTGTGGGTCTGCATGTCAGGACTGCGTAGAAGACGCCATAGGGTCCGCTGTTATACTCCTGCATTTAGGGACTCTGTGTAGACCATAAATATTTCTATGGACTTGCATTTATGACCTCTGGAAAGCTGGATAACTATACTTCTAACTTCTTCCGTGAACTGCCCGTAGGTTCAAAGCTGCTGGCACCTGGTGCATAAGCTCCTGGACGAATTGCGAAGGTTACCGCCTGGGCCATACATGTTGCACATGAACGCATCGTCGCGACGCCTCGAGTTGCTTGGCGTCAGGCGTTGACTGGTCCATGTTAATGTTGTCCGGTCAGTCTGCTGCCTGATGCATATGTGGTAGTTGGTTCTAGTAATGATTCGGAGCCATCTTCCGTACTGTTCTGATTGTCTTCTGAGTTGGTAAAAGAAGTGATGGGCCTGCTGTTCTCTTCGGTCTGGTATGCTAGAGTAGCTAGTTGTGACTGAGCTGAGCCGTTAGCTGCTCTTGTAGCGGCTCTGGCAGTCACTAATGCATCGGATCCAATTTCCCTTCTTGGGCTATTGGCTGCTTTGGTGATAGCGCTTCTCATTGGAGAGTCGTCGCTTCGTCTCCTGAGAACGCTGGCGCATGCAGCTAGCGCGGGTAACGCTTACTGCCATTAACAAGTGACGTCTGGGAGGTATAGCTAAGTGTGTAGTGAATTGTTTGGTGATCCTGCAACTGCAGTTGTTTTCCATGACACCAGAGGATTGTTTGGCGTCCTCTGTTGGTTGTCGGATAGATTGGGTGTTATGAATGAGACACCTTTGGTTTTCCATGTGTGTTAGTGTGCGATGCATGTCGCTGATTCACGTTAAGCTGATTACAGTGCCAATGTTTGTACGCTAAGGGATGGGGGTTAGCATCTGGACGTAAGGAAGGCACATAGGGAAGAAACGGGGCAGTTGGCACCGATAGTCTGTAACTTGATGCGGAAGATTTATGGAGCTGCATAGGATATGTATGACCTGTGGTTTTAGGCTACTGATTCTGAGGCAACCGGCATCCAGAGATGTAGAAGAAGAAAACTTCGCCGTGTGGGCCTCCTGAATCAGGCTTGCAGTTGCATGTTTTCTCGTTACGCCAGTTGGTGCTGAAGCTGCACAGAGTTCAGACGCCGGAAAACCGCCACGGCTCTGGCATCCGGGACACGGAGTTCTATCCGATGGGAGGCTTGGTGCCGGGAATGAGCTTTCTAGGTCAAATCGGGATGTGGGAACGGCACGAACACCGCTGTCCGGTAAAGTTTGTAATGCAACACTCCGAGGGCCGTTTCCACGCTGTACAAGTGTATACCTAAGAAACAAAATGACAAATGGCAATTGAGGGCATACATTGGACGTGCAGGGTACATATGCCAATCGTTTGCCGACCTGGACACGTTCGGCATCAGCAGTTGACATGAGCTTGAACGGGTCTCACCGTTCTATGTGATGTGTCGGTGGACGAGTTTAATGGCTGCACGTTTCCGGCGGGCATGGTTTCCCCCTGTAATTTGTCAAGGGCTTGTGTTTGGTTGGCATACTGCTCTGTGGGAAAACGTGTACACAGCGACCAGCTGCAAAATTGACGGTAAAAAATAACTGAGCAGAGTAGCGTGGCCTGTAATGAGATTTTCATGGTTGCTGCCCCAGTTAGCTATGTGAATATGTGGGATAAGGGGGTTTAGCTTACCCGTGGCCACTAACCAGGCAGTCCCTACCCTTTCCTTGTATTTCGTGGCAGCACCTCCTTCCAATCACCGGCATCAAGTGGACTCTGCAGGATCCATGGCGGATCCATCGCTGGTCACCTAGGGTGAAGTAGGACAAAGTAGTACGAAAAGCGACGTGCTAATTAGCTAAGTTTCTCTCTTGCCCCCTCATTTCCTGAAGTGTTCCATCGATGTCCGGTCCTTGTCCTGAGAAGTTTTCCATCCTTGTCTAGGTGCCCCGCTCGTAAGGATTCGTTACACCTCTCAAGATGACTAAAGGCTCCATTTGTGCGACCTCGGCTTTCCCTAAAATTGCCAGACATCTGTCGTTACTCTCCCGACCGTTGTGACATCCGCACTAACTGCCTTCTTTCCCGAACCCGTGTGCTGCTCACCGTTGTCGTGTGCTGCTGCTACCGTCAATTCCCGCATTGAATAGGTGTTTGATCTTGTATATAAGGAAACCTCCGATGGTGTTCACGATGCGCCACGTGCGTCTTCCAATTATTTATTTATGCCACAATCACGGACCATTATGCCAACACGCGTGTGATTTGTTACTGGATACGGCACTTGCATGTGGTAATGATGAACGTCGGCGATGGGAGCTGGTAGAAGAGATCGCGACACGGTAACTGGCCGCGGGAGGTTCATGCATGACGCTGCGGCATGCTGAGATGCAGCTTGAAACCGCTATGTATTTTGTTTGTCCCAGCTTGTACCCTGTACACACAAACACAAACGTCACACACCGTGGCACAAGCCGAAACATCAGCTGGCGTCACAAGTTTAATGCTGAAATTTCCATAAGACGGATGCTCTCGGACATGCATGAATTTAAAATGCCTCAGGAGAAATAGCGCGTACATCTGATCTGTTAGGTTTTAATACACCATCGTCAAGTTTTGTACCATGATGCACACAAGCAAAGAGCAATCGAGGCTAGCAGGCAGATTCACATTAAGTGTACAAGCCCATCCGAGACGCCGCTAACCACCGACAGCGGTATACAACCAACCCAAACAACGCAGCCTGGACGAGCAAACAGAAAAATGCACCATGGAGTTTAATCCCTGTTCATATCAGTGAGATTCCACCTTCTGTAATACATCCACCGCACACGTGGACACTGCAAAACCCCAAGCAAACGAACAGGCGTCTTCCCGCGCGCCTGCAACCTGCATTCCCCAAATTTATCGAAAACCGCAGTTGGCCGTCCATACCTGCGCGGTCTGACCATGGGCTCCTGCACGCTTTAAATACCTAATATCCGATGTTGACATACTAGGAAAGACGACACCTGAACACAACTGCTGCGAATGCAGGTGGACTTAAAAGAGACAGACCTGCCACGCGCGAAATGTTCACACATCAATTTTGGCTGTATCAAGCATAGTTCTCACTCAGCAGACAAGGTGCGACCGCCGGTACTGGATGAAGAATAACTCCGCAGTCGTGCCATCAATGCTACACCTTCTCACTCAACGATGCTAGACAGGTTGCCATAGACAGGAGACTTATGACACAATAACTTGTCATGACATGCCTGTCAGGCCCCGAACCTCGGGGGTAGTAGAAACCCATATCCATCTGCATATTTGACTGGTAGCTGCCTAGAAGCGATTGCTCCAACGATGGGCGCAAGGTGCGCCAAGGACAACGATTCATGGAAGAGGCCCTGCCCGCCTATTACGCAGCAATCAGCTGGGCAGGGGATCCCGCTGCCTCTGCCGCCGCAGTCTCAGCGGCTCCCTATGCCGGTGCAGCCTTGGCCCCTTCCACAACGTTCTTCTCAATCAACGCCTTGTCCTCCCCCTTGGCAGCTTTCTTTTCTGCCTTCTCCTGCAGCCGTGTACACGAAGGTAAGACAGCTTATATGCGGAAAAAGCGTAACACTGAGACGCTGAAGTTAATTGACGTATAGTGATACAATTCCCCAAAGCTGGAAAAACACCACTTGCGCTGACAGCACTGGGCATAGGACGGAATGAACGATAGGCACAATAAGCAGAAAAAAAAAACCTAAGCAGCACATAACTTATCGCTTAGTAGAAGGTCAAAAAAAAACCAGGAAAACCTGTTTCCACGTCAGGCCGCTTTCTTACCGCTTGGCGGCGCGCGTTCTCCCGCTTAAAGTCCTCAGACGATTTGTACTCGGTCTCCAGCAGGGTCTTCAGCTGCAAGGCCACAGCCGACGGCCAGCCACAGAAGCGTCTACCGTCTAATGGAATGAATCCCCACGTTCCCCGTACACACGCATGTTGCTTGGGTACATGTAACAAACATAAAATTACCCTAAAGCTCCTTATGGCAAGGTACACAAGATGGCAGCAGTAACAGTACATCACTTTCCAACTTACCCTCTGATGGATTTCCAGGTTACTGTCCTTGGGGACACCCGCGTAGTAGTGGAACGCCCAGAACTTCTCCAGACCGTACAAGCTATCGTACGCGTCGAAGTCCTTGATCGTCATTTCCTCAAAATCCTTGTAAAGGTCCGCGCGGAAAGTCTTCTCCAAGCCATAGCTATAAAAGCGGAAGAGACACTCCATTCCATAATGGTAATTTGCAGCAGCATCTTCCTCCGCATACTTGCGGAAGTCGATGTACATCTTCTCGTTGAAGTTATCGCGCAGGAAGTAGCACCAAAAGCGGAACAGCGTATTCATCTCCTCGCTCTGGCCAACGCCTGTAACGCAACGGGACCAACCACACCTTGACCAAACACGATGCATGCAGCCCGGCCACTGAAGGTTGCATAAAAGCAGGCATCACAAAGATTCAGCAGGTAGTTCATAGCATCTAAGTCACACCGGGCTTCCAATGTGGTACAGGCCCAGGAAGGTGGGAGCTATGCCCGGTCCTCCGCATGGCTTATCTTGCACCACTGACAGGCGCAAATCGGTCGGGTGAAAGACGAGGGAAAAGGCGCCGCATAGAGGGCAGCTTTACAGCAGAGCAGTCTTCCCACCTTTCACGGAACGTTCTTCAATGCAGCGCTTAAACCACTTCCTATACAAGATCTGCTTGAATCCGTTCTCCTCCAAAAGAGCGTACGAGGGATGCTGGAACTTGGGAATCGGCACACTGCTGCCCCGACCGGTAGGCGACGAGCCAAGCGTGGCGCCATGACGCTTGTACGAGCCTCCGAAGCTGGAAGCCATCGAACCGCTCGGGCTAGTACCGTACAGGCCGTTACCCTCGGGAGGTGTTGCGCCCATGAGCCAGCCAACAGCACCGCCGTTGGGCGGTGAAGTGCCGGACAAGGAATCCCCCATACGCTTGTGCACTCCGCGGCTGAAGCTGTGGCCACCAAGTCCATAGCTGCCGGAGCTCTTCGGCAATGAGGAGCCGTAAAAGTGCATGCCCTGGATTGGAGGCGCTTGGCGGGCCCCTTGAGCACCGCCGTGTGGCCCCTTGGGCGGCTTCGATGTGTGATGCCGCGTAGACTTGTGAATCTGCAACAATTCGCGTAATGCGAACGCAATGAGTTCCGAACAACGCAAATCAACTTGCAGGCCATGTCATTCAGAGCCCCATCGGGCTCATAACCTCACTTGCAAAATGCCTCTAAAACACATACAACGCTAGGCTGGAGACCGGCCACACTTGGGAAATCCCTCAGGGACTTTGGTGTCATTGTCAAGACTGCCTTCCAAAAATGAAGGTCGATCGTACCTCGGCCAGTTCCCGTTCATACATGGCCAATCCGTCCGCAATAAGGCAGCTCGACGAGTTGTCGAGCTTTCCCGCGTTGCCGCCGCCACCGCCAATCTTGTGCGAAGGAGTGACCACGATCAGCTTCTCCAGAACATCGCGATCGCTCATGGCATTGACTACATCCTCCTCCTCCTCGCGCTGCGCAGCTGTGTCCTCATCCTGTATCAGAGCCAGTTGCAAAAACAGATGGTAAGCCTCTGCTAAGATGCATTACTCAAATGGGCGGGAGTGACATCGACAATGTCTTGCCATCTGAACGTACGGGCTCCATGACCGTTGAAACTTATTGGACGTCAGTGCCATACACATGCGCTTTAGATATCCACGCCAAGGATTCCTGTGCTCCCTGCACTCCATAGACCACTGCCCCTCCTTTCAAGCAGCTCCGAGATGCTAAGGAGTGAAGCAATCAGGACACGCACCTCGTCCATTGCAAACAAATCCTCGTCTTCATCGTCGGCGTCAGCCTTGGCCTGCTTCGAGCCGGCGGCCTTGCCAGTTGCCGCAGCAGGAGTGCGTGGTGTCGTGAACACCGCCGTCGCTGATGCGGATTGCTTGGGCTGCGGCGTCGTCACTGTATTTGCGCCCCCGTGCGAGCTGCCCCCCGCTGCAGCAGCTAAGGACGATGGCGAGACGGAACCGTCCACCGCTGCGGACACCAACACCCCTGTTGCTACCTGCTGCTCCCTGAGCTTTGCTTCGCTGTTGTCCGATACTGCTGGGCTGCCATCAGCCCCGGTGTCCCCTTTGCTGGGCGATGGGCTGTTTCCGTCGCCAGCTGTACCCGCTGCGGCCGAGGCTGAGGCGGCCTTGATGGCAGCCGGATTGTGCGATAGATCCCGCTGCTGAGGCGGCAAAACCCATCGATCCCAATTTCCCCTTGCACGAAGCATGGTGCTGTCGCTGGAAACCTCCACAACAGGCGAGTCGGCAATTGCGTCAACAATAAGGGTCCAGTCAAGCGTAAGGATCCGCACGCGGTTGAAATTTGCGACCACCGCGAGTGGGATCCACCCATTGTCATCCATCTTTGATCGGAGGAAGATATCCTTGCATAGGTTATCAACACTGAAGTAGTAGTCAATCTGCTTCCGCACGGCCTCTGTGAGCATCTGCTTCGTTTGAGCCTTGTCAGCAGGCCCAGCAGCGCCGTATGGAGCAGTGGGATAAAACATTCCACCCGCGTAATACCCAGTAAAGTTATATTGGGCCTGCTGCGCAGTGGGCGGCACGGGTGCAGAGATGTATGGCCCCATCGTGTTGGGGTTAGTCTGCGCTTGCGACGTGCTGGCGCTGCTGCTGTGGTAGACTGCGTTTGAGCCCGCACCACCACGTCCGCCGCTGCCGCCCCGACCGCGCCCCCGGGCTCGGCCACCCTCGACGCGGCCCCCCTCTCCACTGCGGCCGCCCTCACCAACCCCACGCCCGCCGGGCCTGACCTCTGCTCTCGCCCCGCTGCCGTCTGCAGCACCGGATGTTGTCGGTAGATCCGACTTGCGGGTCCATGATGATGATGCGTCCGCTTGGCCCTCTGAAGCGAAGTTACTCCGCCGCCCATCCCGCCCTGCTGTGTTGTTACCACTACGGCCGCCTCCGCGTCCACCGCTCACCCCGCGTCCTCCGCCGCCTCCCGAAGAATGGCCTACACCACTTGTGCTGACACCTTGACCCTTTTCCGACTTGTGGCTGCCTTCCTCCGCACTCTCACCCGATCTACTGTTGCTGTTCAGGCTATCCTGGAGCGCCGACACCGGAAGACGAACCGACTTGCCCTTCCCTCTGCCCGCAGGATTTCCACCGGACTCCTTCTCCTTCACACCATCCTACGAGCCAGAACCAGGGGGCACCAAAATGGGTAATTGGTATGCCGTGCATACCCTAAAGCAAATGTATGCAGCACTCCAACGAGGTTACCCACTGTGGCGGCTGCAGCGCTCCCACTGCCAGTCGCACCCTGACCCTCTTGACGATCCCTCTTCTTGACAGGTTGCTTCGCGTCACCTAGCGTGGGCCAGTCGGATTGACCAACATCGCTCAGGGGAGCAACCTGCTGCTCCGGAACAGGCTGCACAAGGTCAGGAAAGGGCAAGAACAATCCATCTGAGTGCGTCGAGAGATCATTAAACCCTCTATATATTTAAGGCACGGTACACCATAGATACTTTGCATTAGAGGCGGATCGCGTGGAGGATTTTCGCGCACCTTTTTCCAAGCTGGCTTGCTGGCCGGCTTGCTCGTAGTGTCCTGTTAAGGGACGATGCGAGCCAAGCATCATACAGCGTGGTGAGCAGGTTTACAGACATGGAGACGTAAGAACCCGGCCACACAACATGCACTTTATAATGCCATGCATATTCGCCTGGTTCAGGGCAAGAGTCAGCAACTTACCTTCACCTTATCGTCAGATGACGAGTTAGAACTCCTCTCTCCACTCTCCTGAGCGCTACTTGTGGGAACGGCAGCCGCCACCTTGCTCGTTAGCTCCGATTGGGAATCGACTTTCGCAGCCGGCTCTGCAGGCTGCGACTCCTTAGAAGCTGCCGGCGCAGCAACCTCACTTTGCGAAGACATATACTCAGCCTTCTTGCCATCGCTGCTGCCTCCGTGCGGCGGCGCCTGCGCAATAGTGCCTTCCATAGGGGCCACTTCCTCCTTCGCGTCCATCACACCAGCCCTGGACTTTGGCTCCTGCTTGAGTACTTGCGCCCAACCGCTCTTTTTTGCGACCAAACCCTCATCCTGCACAGCAGACATGAGCCGCATCACGATTCATTTTGCTCTCCATCCGCTGTCCGCAACGGATGTCAAACCCAGGATTGAAGATACAGCTGCAGGGAAACTCAATTTACTACCTTGCCAGGTTGAGGTGATGGGGTCGCCGCTGCTGCGGCCACCGCCTCCTTGCCCTCGGCCGACATACCCGCAACCGCAGGCAGTCCTGGCTCGATGGAGCTGGGAGCTGGGCTAGAACTGCTCACTAGAAACACATGTCGCCTTCCAAAATGTCTATATTTCGCACTACAAATCACTTTGCAAAAGAGTCACCTAAAAAAGTGCTAGACCTGCCAGTCCTTCGCGACTTTCCGGGCCTTCCTTACTGACAAAATTATCAGCAGACTAGGCTGCAAAAGTCCTTGGGAGATGTCGCAGTACGCTCGTACATTTTAATGCCCCACGACAGCTCTATGCCATGACGCACCAAGAGGTATTACTGCTGACCATTGTAATTCTCTGTGGCTGCTTCAGTTATTCGCAAGCATCTTGTGAGCTGGACATGCCCAAGTCCATTTTCAAGTGTAAAGTAACTATTTTGATACATACACGCAAGTTAAACGCCAGGATACCTCCATATCATACAGAGAGCTAGGCTTAAATCATTCTCTATAAGTTCTTACCTTTAGCGATGCCTGCTGGCTAAGCTGTTGAGAGGCAGCGGGCTCAAATCGTGTTGCTAGATAACACCAACGGCCCTTCCGGTGGAGGGTACTACTGTCCATCATGGTGCAGGTGGGCTCCGCAATGCAAACGTCAAGACCAGGGGATACGTTCAGCGGCAGGGGTGGCCAAGCACGGAAACGTCAGCCCTGTGTTGGGTGCAGGTGTACAGAGAACCCTTATGCAGGAGATATTATGGCAACTTCATTGGTGAAGCGATGTGGTTTCGTGTTGTGGCCTATTTGGCGGCTATCGTGTTGGCGGCAGTCATAGCGTACGCGACGGGAGGCGCTTGGGTCCGCCTTAAGCCCACAAACGTGCAAGCAACAGTCCACTATACACAGGATGCCCTGCTGGTGTTTGAGGTGAGACTTAAAGCAAAAGTTCCGCCCGAGCACCTGGGGTTTGCTCAAGGCGACTCTCGTACACCGCAGGGTCAACAAAGTGGGCAGGTCCTGGTGTGGAGCACATCAGAGACAACAAACTCAGTCTTTTCCAATAATTTCACCCCCGCCAGCGTCCAGGTGAGCAACACCATGCACCTGGGCATTAAGTGCAGTGGCCAGACTCGGATGCTGACGGAATCTGGCTATTGGACTGCAGGTTGTAGAGGAAGATTTGAACAATGACGGCAAACCAGACACCATTGACTTTTGGGCATCAGTTGCAAGCAACTTTCCAATACATAGCGTCAAGGCGCTATTGCAATTCAATTACTCGTTAACAGTAAGCTTTGTACAGGGAATTAGGCAGCATGAAGGGCAAGGTACCTAGCACTGTACGACGACTCTCAAGTCTTGCCTGTCACGTGGCATTTGTTACGGGGTGGCGTTCGCCCAGGTCAACGTTTTCTTGGGGCAACAGTGCAGCCATGTGCACTACTTCCATATCCATGGTCATCTGGCATATCAAATCATGTCAGTCTTCCCCTTGCGGATCCTTTGGCTCTGTATAGTCACATTTAGCCGCAGTGTTGGCCATGACAACCAAACAGGAACCCCACGGTTTTTTTCTAAAAGGTGCGTATGCATCACAACATATTGCAAGCTGTAGAGGAGCGCATTCAGTTTTGGATGGCTCATGGCTATGGCGGGTTTGCTGTTAGGTCAAATACAAAATTCGCAGTTGAACTTCTTGGTCCACCGTAAAGGTGTATGGCATGCCCGTACATTGTTCTAAAGCAAGTAGGGCCATCATATGCCGTGCACCGTGGAATACAGGGGAGTCTGCAGTTGGACATGTCATGCCTGGCATACTTGACCCACAGCTCGTCCATTCAGGGTTCCACTCTGTTCACCGACGGCGAGGTGAGCTCACGAGACATCCGTGTGTAATTGCGCTTGCTGCGATGCTAAGGTCTATACGACAATGAAAACGTGTGCACATAATGTGACCCCTTCCATACGCCACTCCACAGCTGGTGCTACAAGCAAAAAATCAGATTAGAGACCGGCGGTTTAACTCGGTTTACAACGTGCCAATTTTAAACTCGACGGCGCCGAACGTCCAAACGGCAGTGCAGGTAGGTATATGTGGTTATTGAAGCATAACCAGCGGGACGTATTTTTGGCTAACTAAGTCCGCCTTCCTACAGCCCACGCTGGAATTGGAGCTGCAGAGCATTCTGGCTAATTATTTGAGTCGGAACTACACCACCTTGTACACGAACAACTACCCTGTCTGGACAGTAAGGACGTCGTTGCCTGCGCGTCGTGGAGTCTGGCCGCAGACCCTGGATGTTGACTTGTGTGCACGGGCCTTTGCGTACAGGGTGGTACACGAAAAGGATTTGAGCTACGGATGCGGATCCGAATACCAGCCAATCAGATTATTTATTACAGGTGGGTGACCCGGAATGGGGCTGAAGCAGTGTGCATCTTGCCTCCGGTTATGGCCTGTGTCTGCATCCTGTTTTGTTCCACTAAATGTTCATTGCTTTTTCACGGAGCACTGACTCAACCCATCATGTTTTGATTACACAGGCCGCAAACCATAGAAATGCTGAAGTTTGCATGGATCCAGTGGCTGGCTACCTTCATTGTTTTGTGGTATCTTCTGCAGTGGGTTGAATGGTTTGTGTTCAGTTTCCATCTGGTGGAGACCCGTATTGTATCGGACTTCCAACCGCGAAAGCAGAGGTTCTGATTGTTACACCCGCAGCATGGCATGGCGTATACCAGCAGCAGCAGCGCGTATACCCCTCGCCAGGGTCATGATGATGGTGGCATGGGTAGCAGCCCTGCAACCCGTCAAACAATAACAAATGTAACGCACTTTCGAAAATGTGTCTTCACCTGGTAGTGACAGTGCAACGCGTCCTATGTCACCGCCGCCATCGCCCATGTACCGTCAAGGCTCGGAGTTTAATGTCTCATCAATGAACGCTCCCCGTATAGCTGTCACGAGCACGTTGGGATGATGCATGAACTTGTTATCGGCGTCGCAAGGAATTCTGGAACCCAGCAGAAGGCAGCAAATTAGGGACCGGGCACCCCCTGCAGTTCCTCTAGCCGCGCAATATTTCAGTGCCCCATTGTAAGGTATTAGCCACGAGGCTGAGTCATTTGCCTCGGGCGCGCAAGCATGGTGCAGCACAGACATACCCATTACGGTGCCTGCTGTGCAACCGTATACGCCCAAGAACCTAGCCAAACATGCAAAGAGCCATAGGTAGACCCCTACGCAACTAGGTGTATCCACCAATGGGTTTCCCGTATCCATCGTGGCAATATGGCTGCATCCTACCCCGTCACCATGATATACGGAATTCCAGGGTTCCTTTCCCAGCAGCCGTGCCTGTACTACCCCAAATTCCCCAACGACTGGCCGCACAAACAACCTCCCACAGGGCAGCGCTGTATGTTACAACAGCGCACGTCAACAGGTTGTGTTCAGTCATCAGTCAATGGCCCCAGTCAATAGGGGCCCTGCAAGTCGAATTCACGTTGGCCACTGTCGCGCTGGTAACGACCGCATTGCGTTGCGAATGGGACTGCATCGCTGGCAAATGTTTTGACCTACTTGCTCGCCCAACCCTGCACCGGCAGCTGCTGGGACTCCCGAATGCCCACAACAATCCGCTCCTTGCACGGCCAGATCACAAGTGGACTCCATGCCAGGGGGTCCAGGAGCCGCCCGGTCAGCGGTGCAGAGGCCATATCTATTGTGTCCTCGAACACCAGGGCCGCCATCCCACCGATATCGCTTGGCGACCGGTGAGTCGTCATCTTCTGACTCGTCATCCGCATCATCCTCACTATTGTCGTCCCCTGGAGGTCCGCTGAAGGCTCCTCTGCCGGCCCATATGTCCCCACGCCTTCTGGGAGCGCCTCCATACAGCATCGTACGATGCTCTGACCCCGCGAAGGCTTGGTCCCCGCTCGGTGCGCTGAACGTGTGATCCACTTGCTGCTCAATAGCTTGCGGCCCTGACGATGGCAGATGTGAAGCGAGGGTCCCGACCGGTGAACCCGGATTAATGCCAGAAGCCGACGTTAGGGAGTGATGCCCATAAGAAGTCGGACGAATGTCCCCATGCTCGTGCATGTTGAAGTGGCCGGGCTGCTGTTGGCCGCCTCTGCCTGTATTTGCACTATGTGAGGCACCAGCTCGTGACACCAGGCCTTGCGCGTCGCTGTCACCAGCCCCGGTAGTATCCGATGGTAAGCTTTGGTCAGCACCGTCGGATGCGCCGACATTTGAAAAGGAACCGCTTGCCCCTCCGACCATGTGGCCTCCAGATTGCCAAGCTCCACTGGTGTTGCCAGCTGCTGCTCCATGGGTTGCAGGTGCGCCCAAATAGGCTCCTGCAGGCCCGTACACGTCCAGGCCACTGCCTTTCCCTTCCTCAACGCCAACGCGAGCGCCTGAGTTCAGTGCCTGCAGGTGAAGCTGATCCCCTCCACGCAGCGCCGCCTCTTGCTGTTGTTGTTGGTGAGGGACCGGAGCCGCCAGCGGGCTACCGCTACAAGACGATGCCCCCACCAGTCCCACACCCGCGTTACAGCCTAGACCCGGCAGATGCTGCCCTTCCGCGACTCCCTGCTGCGCATCTAGCACATTGTGAGACACACTGGGCTGAGGGCCTGCTGATCCAGGTGCGCCCTGCATGCCATGCTGCTTATTGGTCATCAAAGCGCTGGCATGCCGTGCTAGCAGCTCTAGACTGAGCTGTGGCGTCTGCTTTCCAGCAGTGGCGCCCGCTGCCAACTGAGGAAGCATCCCCAGGACAACGGCACCCCCAGGCACGCCAGGCAGCGGCACCACCAGGCCGCCAGCTGCTGCTGCCGCAGTTAGCGCGGCAAGCGCTCGTGCCTGCGGATCACCTTCTGCACTGCCCTGGGGCCCACCAGGTGCGGCCGCAGATGCTGCCCCAACGGAAGCATTTTGCCCGGTGCCTAGCTGTAGCTGCAGGTTACCCTGCTTCAGAGCAGCTTGCAGGACAGCAGTCAACTGCTGCTGGGCGGCCCGGCTTGCTGTGGCGGCAGCACCGGGCGCAGCGTTGTTGGTTGCTGCTTGGTGTTGCTGCGGTGGTGCAGGCGCCGCCTGAGCCAAGGCGCCATAATTTTGGTGGCCACGAATTACCATAGGCTCCTCTTCGCTGTCACTGTCATCGCCATCGCCCCGCGGCCGTCTGTTTGGTCGGTACATAAGCATTCTGGAATCAAAAAAGCAGGCGTTTGATGTGCAATACCGGCCATGGCAGGGGCCGGGCTCATTTTTTGGTTCACTCTTTACTAACTGTGTACTTCTGCCAAGTCGTTGCCAGTGACTTGGCAACAAGAAACCCTTTATTTCCCCCATTGGATGCGCGACAAGGCAACAGTACGGCGAGGCTACTTGAACAGACATAAAGAAATCGGGCGCAAGCTCTTGGCTAAAGGCACAATGATGAGTATACTATCTCCCCTGTTGGTCCTCAAGATGTCTGTGATGAGCAACTTAGGAAAGCAGCAAATGCACCCTCAGCCACCACGCACACAAGTGCAAGTTGCATATCTCCCACTCACTTCCGGCGGCCGGGTTTCCTGCCCCGCGGCTCAGGCGTGGATCGCATGCCAACAGCGAGGCCCAGGAAGACCGAGGGATCCCCTGCGACGCCCAGCTCGTCCAGGTTGTAATCGGACAATGGGAAATTCATGCGGCTGCGACTCCGTGCGTCCTGGCCCCGCAGGCGCAAAACCGCCCGGTCATAAGCACGAGCTGCCTCCACTTCCTCTGTGAAGGAGCCTGCAGAACATACCATTCACACATAGAAAAGGTACATGGAGGTCCCATTTAATGGATGCTAGCCATTACAGCATCATATGTTCCGCGCTTCACCAAGGCACATTCTATCCTGACTCTGCCCCACACCAGTAGTCTCCTGGAGATCGGCGCAATACCAAGGAGACTGGCAGGACAGTATTGCTACCACGGCGTAATCCTACTCAAGGGTTGGTTTTTTGGTATGTATTTCTGTCAACTGTTCCGCTGGCCTAACTTTGTCTTGGCCCTTGGGCCGCCAGCTCGTACGCGCATGAGGACCTAACTCAAGGTGTAGCACCCTCACTACGGTAAAAGCATTGCTTACCGATGAAATGCTGCTTGCCGCCGCCCCAAACGCGGACCTCCCACCGCTGGCTCCGCTCGTGCCAACTGACCCCGCGGTACTGGCTGGAGCCTTTATTGCAGTTGTGGGTGCCTTCCGGCACACCGTCGGCACCAATCTCGGCCAGGTAATCCGCAGCACCTACGGGAAGGAGGACGCGCCGTTTGGAAGCTCCGGCGTAGGGACGCACCTAGGATGCGAGAATGTGTCTTCCCAAGCCCCTTCAAGTCTTTGCCAATCAATTCCACGCCACCAGGTTCACCGATACCCCAACCCTGTGCTGCGGCTCACATCCCCAAAACTTCGCGCTCTGTACGCAACCCCGAGACCTGGCGAAACTTACTCTCCCGGAAGTTCAAGCCCGCTTCGGGCCCAAGCATCCGAAGGGCCTCCTTGTCGTATGCACGCGCCGCATCCTCTTCGCTTTCGTAGCTGCCAATATGCCGGGCCCGTTTGAGCTCTCGATCCCAAAGCACCGCAACCCACTTTGAGCATGCACTGTTCCATGACACGCCCTTGTACTGGGAGGTCACCCGTGTGCCAGGTGCGCGAGGGCCACGTGCTTTCGGGCCGGGGTGAGGATTTGTGGCGGGCCTGTCGGGAAGCGTCGAGGGCAAGTAACAGCTCATGCCACAGCACGGCTCCTTATCATATCATGCAAAGCGACGTTTGGCTAGTAACCAACTGATGCCAGTGTTAAGGACTGCCCAGCCGAGAGCATTGCACTGCCCAGGGACGACACGCGGCCATCAATACCCGGACACCTGAGCACGTCGCCTGCAAGTGCAGACACCAATATTCCTACGACCTACTTGGCAAGAAGTGGGAAATTGAGCAGCTCCTTATTGCCACTTCGAAGGACCGCCGTATCGAACGCCCGTGCTGCATCCTCCTGTGTAGCGAAATGCCCGAGGACAGTCGTCACTCCATTCTCCGCAATCTGAGCTCGCCACTGGTTCTGCTTATCATCCCACACAACGCCACGGTACACGCTTTCGCGCTTTCCGTCGGGGCCGATGATTTCCGGGGCAGGAACGATGGGCAGGGCTGCTGGTGGGAGCGCCGCGCCACGACCGCGGCCACGGCCGCGGCCTCGTCCTGTTCCTGGCCCTTCCGCCCGACTGCTGGCGTTGCCAAGGACGAAATCCTCATCGTCGTCATCTGCCCCACCCCCAGAACGACTTCTTCCCCTGCCTCTCCCCCGACCCCGCCCTCTGCCCCTTCCGCGCCCACGGCCACGGCCCCGTCCGAATCCGCCTGCGCCAGACATTGGCCGCATACCCCCGGACTCGCTGTCGTCGTCATCCTCCTCTTCATCATCATACGACGCATCCGTCCCGAGGCTCGTGCCCAACCCTAGCCCAAGCGCGCCATGTTGATGGAGAGCTGCAAAGCCAGCCTCAGCTGTAGCAACGTCCATGACGCCGCCCGGACCAAGGGGGGCTGTCGGGGATGGGCTGTTGCCTGAGCCGCTAGGGAAGTTGAGCTCAGCCTTTGAGCCATATCGCCGGAAAGCTTCAGCATCATACACGCGCGCTGCCTCGAGTTCGCTGTCGAATAACCCGAGCCATTGGTCGTCACTGCTGCCGTCTTCCAAGACTGCAGCCCATCTTCGCTGCTCTTTCCGGTACACGACGCCTCTGAAGACGCTGGTTGGCACTGCCTGGCCAGGTCCTACTCCGCTCCCGGTACCGGTGGCCGCTGCTGACATGCTGTTTAGGTTGCCGCTGCGCCCGAGCGCCGTTGGCGATGGCAAGAGGTGCGCACCGACGCCAGCGCTGGCATGGTCACGCGGCGTGGGGAGTAGGAGGGCTGTAAAGCCACCGCCACCCGCGGGTGACAGGGCAGAGAAGAGGGGTGAGAGGCCTGCTGTGGGACTAAGCGCAGGCCCGCCCATCATTGAGCTGTTGTTTGTTAGACGATTCAGATAGTCGCTTAGGTTCGGTGTGCGGCTGCCTGAGACCGATGGTGCAGCAGCAGCCTGCCCTCCGGCGTCGAGGTTAGCGACACCATTCGGCCCACTGCTTTCCAACGGTGGGGCCGTATCCAGAGCATTCTCCACTAACCCGCCGCTCCCTTGCCCATCCGTGTCAGAGCTGCCGCCAGCAAGCAAAGTGTTTATGTTACCAGGCATAGGCTGCGCAGGTGACAGAAGCTCGTTCGCCACCAATGCCTCCAGCTCATTGGTATACTCGCCCACAACCGTGTAGCGAGAGCCGTCGAACACCACGACTTGCCAAGTATTCTGCTCCTTGTCATAGTGCACGCCCTTGTACAGAACGCTGCCGTTCCCGTTCACGCCTAGAGCTGAGGGCGACTGAAGGCCTAGGCTTGCCAGCTGTTCTGCAGACAGCTCGCCCCCTCCTGTTCCGTTTCCGCTCCCACCAGCGATGTCGCAATCGTCAGCCAATGCATTTGGCATTTCACGACCAACACCCGGCTGTGCACCCGCACCACCGCTACCGCCCGCGTGGGGCACCCCTCGCGCGCTGGGCAAGGCTTCCAGAAAACCTTTGCCGAGCAGCGCATCTGCCAGCGCCCCTTCATCAAGGTCCCCTTCCCCCAGCCCTAAGCCGCCCATATCGTGGAGGTCCAGCAGCTGGCGCAATGTGCCGCCTCCGGACCTGGTGGAGTCAGGCCATCCGCTCGCGGTCCCTGGCGTCAGTGCGTCTAACAATGCCGGCGTCTGGCCGCCCCGGGTGCTTTGAGCCAGCTGCGCAAACATTGCAGCGAGCTGCGCATTGGGCGAAGCTGACATGAGCCCCTCAATAAACGGCGAATTGAGTATGCTCGGAAGCGGAGAGAAACCCGTGCCGGTGTTGATGCCTGTGATAAGGCTCGACTGCAGTCAAGGACAAAAGGAAAGCCCAGGATGAATGCAGTCAGGAAAGTGTCTGGCTGTACATGGTTACGCAACCGGCAGGCGTCCACTGTGCGGCAAGAGCCGTCCGGTTTTAACTTTGGCCCAGATAAGTAAATTATAAAGGGTTGAGGACGTTTCAAATTATAAAGATGTGAGGACGTTAATAAATTATAAAGGGGTGAGGACGTTGGTTCGCTCGTTTCAATGCATCATTTCACGTTTATCAGCTTAGCCGCCTTACCGGGACATCCGCAGGTATTGTAAGTGGTGGAGGCCTCGGAAGTGCACCAGCACGGCCGCTGCGTTTATCGCCATCACCACTTGGGGTTGTTCCTCCAGAGGCTCCAGCACCACCCCCATGCGAAATCCCAAGCTTCTGCTGCATCTGAGCGGAAATTGTTGAAGGTGGCCCCATAGCCTTACGTGCCGCAGCGGCGTCACCTCCCTCTCCGTTTCCTAGAATGTAAAACCAGAGCGTAAGGTCATATCTGCTCCATTGGGTTGGACAGCATGCGTGGCAGAGCTGAGGACTGTTAAATAGCATAGCACGAAAAAACATCCGGCACCCTCAGCCAAAATAACCTCACGCGTTATCGCATATGCCCACCTGCCCCAACAGCTGCCTGCTGTACTCCGGCACCTGGAGCACCCGTGCTTAGACCACCAGCATGGTTGGTGCTGCTGCCTGCACCTTGCCCTGCGCCACCGGGCAAATGGGGCAGTTGGGATTGCTGCTGCTGTTGCTGCTGCTGAAACAGTGTTGCTCCCGAAGCTGCTCCAGCATTAGCCGCTGCCACTGCCGTGCCTCCCGCCTGGCAGTTTGGCCCGCCTTGAACTGCTCCATCACCACTGAAGCCCGCAACATTGCCGTTTGCAAGGAGCGGTGAGATTAACAGGTCCAAGTCAGATAATCCGTTACCTGCACCAGCGCCACACCAAAGGGCTGCATGTGGCATGGCCATGTGGCTGGAAAGACAACCAACCCAGATAGTCGCAACTGCTTTGAATATACAAGCAAAGCATGTAAACCATAATGCGAGCGTACCAAATGGTGACAGAACATCATTTGCAGACTGGTTGGCTTGGGCGTTCGCCTGGGTGCTCAGTGAACCAAACCCCATCTGCTCAAAGGATGGTGTCTGGAAATCCAAAGGCGTCTCACAGACATTCCCGGACGGGCCCGCGTCGCCAGGTATTGACACCAAGAGCCTATTACGACCTGTGAGGACCCAAAAGTCGCTGGTCAGGAGAGGAGTACACATACGAGTCGTCTACGCAGTATTACACGCCTGTGATGGTTGTCCCAGCTTCTTTTTGAAGACTCCCGTGTGAAGAGTCCCGCTCCATCCTGCGTAGAGAAGCCTCCCCTTAGTTGTCGAGCGCAAAGCGACGGTGGTAATGAAGATGTGAAGGCCAAGCTGTAAAATAAGGTTACAGCTTAATTCTGCTATCATACTTTGCCACGCCCGTTTTGACTACTCCGGGCCTTTCGAGGCACACCACTGAAGCCAAGCCTACCTCGTAGGCTCGGGTAGTGTGCATGAGGTAACTAAGCTCTCCCAGCAGCAATTCCCATGTCTGGAGAGAGCCGTTGAAGGCGCCGCTCAAGATGAAGGCTTACAAACCGGTAATGTGTTACGCACTTCAAAGCTCTTATCTAAATTGGTATTTACGTTTACATGTGAAGTAGTGAGCAGCCAACAAAAAGAAGCTCGACCGTCGTGACCAGGGACAACACCTGTGTCGCTCCACAAAGCCAAACAACTTGTGAAACATGAACAATTACTCCTCATGAAAATTGCATTAAACTGTAAGAATATGTTTTTACAATGCCGTGAGACTGGCCCACAAGATGGGCAATGCAACCTGCGTGCAACTGGACGCGAAAAAAGTTTCAGGACGCCTCATGCATGCATTGACATTTCGAAGCTCTTTTCCAAAGCTCAGGGGGTTCTCTCAAGCCTCAAGCAGCTGATTTGCCATGACTGGTCGCATAATTAAGGGCTCGCTGATATGCATCTCGGAAGGCCTTCGCCTTCGAATCTTGCACGTCCGTGGCCTGCAAAACCGGTTGGGCCCAGGGGTCACACAGCAATCGCGTAACTTAGGTCGCGTCGTCGGATGCATAACTTGAAGGTGTGCTGTTACTTTAGGCAGGGGCGAGACAGGCAGGGGACCGTAACGTTAGCATTTGACGAGACCGGCGAGGCTAGATTCGTGACACGACATAGCAACTTTTAACCGAACGACCTGCGGACAAATGGCCCTTGCAAATGGCGAAGAGCGTGCTTGCATGCACCTGCTTACGTTACTGTCCTGCCAATCAGGATGCAAACCCTTGTCCCGCACACACCTGGTCCGATGCAGCGGCGCCACTTACGCCCATCGAGTGCCGAAATTCAATCGGTGCTTCGTGCTCCGTATCCAAGTAGTTGCCGTCCCTGACACCGCTATCAGCATCTCCAAGGTCGCCGCTGCTCTCACCGCCAATCACGGACTGATCTGCCCGAAGCTGTTCCAGGTGCTGCTCCTGGAGACGGCGGATTAGATAGGACGGTAGAGGCGTTGTGCGTGGCTTAAAGGTGCATTGCTGCATCTCCCGCGCCTGTCGCTCGCTCTCCAGGTCGGCGCGCTGTGCTTCCCGCTGCTTGCGCTTATCCGCCACCAGGGCTAGGTAGGCCTCAGGGTTTTTCAAGCTGATGCGCGGCCGAACCTGCAAAGCACAATGGCAGGGGCGTTAGTTCAGGATAAGCCAACGACAACATTTCGTTTCGACCTGTAGCTGAGATTGACAGAAGCTTCTACAGGCATGCCTACAGGTCCGTGGCTGTCGCCAAACACGCCTGGCTGCCCAATAAGTGTCATCATCAAGAACCTCACTTCTACTGGGCCCCATGGGACCATTCTGTAATCTTGTGGATAGGCACATGCAGAAAAGTTCCTTATGCTAGCAGGGTTGATACCATGGCGACGCCTTCACAAAAAGCGCGGAGATTTGTCAGCTCACTTACGTGGGGGTATGCGTCCTTGGTGGATAATGATGGCCTGAAGGTGAGTTCCTCAGCTTCGCGCATCTCCTTAACTGCCTGCTGCTGTTGTCTCCATTCTTCATGGCGTGCTCGGCCCCCATCCACGAAATCTTCAAGTTGCCGGCCGGGAAGCAGTGATGCCCTTCGCGTGATCTATATTTGGAAGCACAGCGTTAGGAGGCATACAGCATGAACTCAACGACCCGGTTCCGCAAACCCTACGACAAGTACGGCATTTGTGAAGGGCCCAAGCATTTTGAATGATACCGGACCCTTGCGTCAGCCCTTGCCCTTACGGAGACCGCTGAGCACCAACCCAAGTGCACACACTTGCTGCACAAAATGGAACAAGCTGGCCCCAAGATCCGCGCTGCGCATTCCGCTTTCTCTCCTACGGTAGAACTGGCGAAACCCCCACACACCCGTGCATGAAATCTTATGACGCGCCTGATGTAAGATCCGCTCTTCGTCTTATCTCACCTGTGGTTGGAACGTACATTCCTTATACATCTCCATGATGGTCTTCACCCGTTTGCCCTCAGTCGGGGACGAGTTACTGTTGCGGGTGCTCGCCTCACCCTGAACGTCCGCGGAGCCCTCTGAGCCCACTGTGCTTCGCCGCAATGCGCGCTCCTTTAGCAGTTTCTTGCTGCCAACGCTCATACGAGGCCTAGCAGAACCAGACTGCGGGAATGGAAATAGGCGCGACAGGGACCGACAGCAGCTGTAAAGCCAGAGGAATCACTGTGTAGGCATCTAAATCAGTGCAAGATGTCCAGGGAAAATAACACGTCTCCACTGTGCAATGACGTTCTCATCCGATCGATGAGACTGGTCTAGTTGGCATCCGCATAGGAAGTGTGCATGTGGATGCACATAGCATCGTATACCTGTTCCAACAGTGCAATCTTTTGCTCGCGCGTCACCAAGAAGCGATCCTGGCGAGCTAGGAACTCCTCCCAGTCCAAATCCGGGCTGAGATTGAAGTTCATGGACGCGGGGCCGCGGCCCAAGGTGGCAGGAAATCCGGATGGGGCGTAGATGTTGAACAAGCTGTTGGAGCGGCCTGCCACACCGCGCATATGTGGTGCCGACTTGGGGCGGCGGTTGGAGCCAGGAGCCGCGCTGCGGAGGGAATCAGGTTTAGCGTCCGGGGCATATGTATTGCGCCAGGACGAGGTTTGGGTTTTGTCTTTGCCGTCACGGTCGTCATCGAAACGATGACGGAGGCCATTGTTGTCGTCGACAGGCCGACTGGACAGCAAACGAAAACGCGTCCTGGAGGCCGTTTTAGGGGGCGCCAGTGCCATGCGATACGATTGGAGTGGAACGACGTTATTGTTCTTGCATAACGCAAAGGCGGGATGCATTTATCCCTCGTACTCATTACCCAAGACCACGCGGGATCCGGGCTATGTAATGCCGGTCCCACTAGCAGGTAGAACAGCTAAGCAAGCTTCCGGTCCAAGACTTTGAAAACCTATAGACATTAAATTTGCTTCGTGTAGCAGGTGGTGGCGCATGTCCATCAGGAAGCAAATACCGACACGGACCTCCTCCGCACACGCAGAGTACTCCTTTCACGAAAGATGTCAAGCTACACAGTTATGTCACTAATCCTGATAGCGTTTAGTACCTGACGGCACTTTATAATATGGTCGCCCTGGCGTATACCACATACCTGAATCTTTACTCTCGCGGGTCAGCTGGATACAACATACACCTGAGAACCCAGCTCACCTGGGATGGAATGTGCACTCCTCCATTCCAGTTGGCAAATGGCGCGAGGAAGATGGCTCAGGTGGATTGTACACTCTTGGAGAAACGCTTTGCACTGACGCCATGAACCGGCGTTGTCGTTCCTCTTCCAGAAGCTGCTGGAAGATCCGCGCCTCCTGGCGAGCGCGTTGCTCCAAAGCATGCTGGTATAGCCGCTCCCCGACCTCAGCGCCGTTCACAACTGGCCTGGGCGGGCTCACGGAGCCCCTTTCACCGCTCACGCTGCCGGCGCTCCCGTCCGCTTGGGCAGAGCCAGCCACACTTGCCGCGTTGCCGCTTATCCATGTTCTGCTGCCAGTTGGCGTGTTTGTCCTGATTGGCGACCTAATGCCCCCAGCGGACCGTAAGGGAGTGGTGCGCGAAGACGTCGTGGTGCTGGCGCTTGGCCGGGTGTCTGGCGCTGGGATGTGTTTTGTTGGAGTGCCGCCCTTAAAAACTTCCAAGTAAGCCTCCGACGTAGACTTTCCCTGCGGCAACCCACAGAACGGTGTGTGTGACCCGCTTTCTACAGCTCTCCGTAACACACTCGCTTGCAAGCGGCAGCCAATGGTGTAGCATGGCCGATGGACGTGCTGCAAGTGCTTACATAAGTGTCCAGACAGCATGAGGGACGAAGTGAAGCCACAACCCATCCATAACGAGCCGCAAAAGCGATGCTTCATTTCCATTTAACATACCTGCACTATCAAATGCGAGGCAGTGGAAACCATTGGTGTAAATGTGCAGCCCTCCAGCTCCGATGCCTCCCTATCATGCCGCACTTTCGCGTACCGCTCCTCGCAACGCCGGCGCCATTCTGCCGTCCGCTCGTACAGCTGCTGCAGGCGCACGGACCTTTCAGGCTCAGGCACCTTAACAACCGGCTTGGTGGGCGTCGAAGCATGAGCTTCAACCAGCCCGGGCTCTGGGCCGTAGCGTTCTATGCTCGTCCGCGCGTTCAGCATGGTGAACGCCTTCGCTATTGCACTTGGCGTCGATGGAAGCGGCCGTGCTTTACGACCTGCCGCTACGCTAGATGGGGAGCCCCCGCCAGCAGACACTGCTCCTCCGCGCGAGGCGTGCTCTGCGATCGAACATTTGAGGGTCAAACGCGAGACTGGAGCTATAGAACCTGGACATGAAGCCCGCATGGACATGCAGACGACACTGTCATGCAGGCACCACCAATGAGAAAGCCTGATCAGCGGCTGTACGTCTGTATGAAACCTCAACGACCGCCTTACCAATCTGTCCTGCAGCAGACGCCTTCGGGCCCATACCATAGGCTACACTACCATTCACGCTGGATGCGCGACTGGTGTCAACATCCGGTGCACCATCAAAAGCCTGTTGCTGGGACTGTTGCTGCCGCAGCCGCTCCCGCATTTCCTTTAATAGGGACACCGGCTGCTGTGCCGTCAGCGGCGAGGAGGAGGAATTTGTTGAGACTTGCCCTTCCAGAAGCTTCACCGCGGCTGAATCCTGCTGCCGCTGTCGCAATAGTATGCCATCGGCACCAGGACCGGCACCTATGGAGGTCAGTGTCAAAGCACGTGCAGACGTGTCAAAACGATGGGGCTGTTGGGATGCCTCAAGAGCGGGTAGCGGCTTGTTGGAATCGACGCTTGACGTCAGGGGCAGGTCAGCAGCGGATGGCTCAGCCTGGTTTCCTGCTGGGTGAGGCCACCGGCCGTAACTTGCTTCAGCTCCGTACGGGTTCTGGGGCGTTTGTGGAGCGCCATTGAAAACATCAGGTGGACACGCATCGTGGACCCCAGAGGAGCCTGCAACCAGAAAAGAATACATACACGCATCTTCTTAACGGAGGGAAAGATGGCAACAGGCTGCCATACCCACGCCAATACCTTGGAAGTGCGGATTTGTGTGCCTGTACGGCTCGTGTGGAAAGAGCTCAGGTTGGGGAGCTTGTGGTTGCTGCCCGTGGAGGCCCCGGAGCTCCTGCTCAATGGTCTGCAAAGAAGGGCACGGTAGGTTTCTATGTCCTATGAAGCGCCAGGCTGATACCGTTTGGGCTAACACCCACCCATGCCGCCAAGTCCAGCTCCGCCAACGCAGCATCCGGTATGGATCCATGGGACGGTGTACTCTGCGCAGTTTTGGGGTGGCTTCAGACGGTCGCCATGGAAAGAACTTCTATGGTTGCCATCAACTCTACCTGCGGGGCAATTGACGTTGCCGCTGCGTTTCCAATGCTAAGCTGTGATAAAACGTCTGTTATCAGCGCAGCCTCCTCCCGGCTCAGGCTGCTCAGGTCAGGCAACATATCAGACCTAGTCAAAACTCTTCTGCCAGCATAACTTGTTGCACAAACCGCTAGTAGCAATCAATTTACATTATTCCAGCTTTTGAACAGAACAAGTTTCGTCTCAAGTCGACCTGAGGTTGCAGAGCCCGTACAAGTTATCCTCGAGCTCTTTAGCGCTTACGCATATTAAGCTTTTACTGCGCTTCATATAAGTTGTACGTGCAATGACCGCCTCCCAGGTATGTGACATATGCGGTGTACTGCTTGGAAGTTAAAGCGGAATTGGAAGGGACGTCAGTTCCGTAATAACGCCTGGACTAACATAGTTGTGCAGTGAATAAGGAATTGATAATGGTTTCTATTGGGATTCGCCTTCTGCCAAAATGTGTTCTGATTCACAGACCTGGTGACCGGTGAGGTAACCGAAAACTGTAGAGTCCAGCCATGTGTGCTAGGGCCTATCAAGGGACACACGTCTGTGGTTAGAGCTGCTGAGGCGCCGGTCATACATACTGGCAAATTAATATCCGAGAAACCGACAGACGCATCGGGGGCAGGCTCTGTCGGCTGCTGTCCTCAGTCCATAAGCCCACGCGCATTGCACGCTCCTACTGTGAATTTGAACTGCCCACCCACGGCATTCTGTACCTCGTAGAACTACTAATCGATCAGGCTTTACTCTTATCACGGCGGCCTTCAGTGCTCCTGCTCCTTGGTTTAATTGGGAGCATTATCTACGCTCAATCCAGGAGTCGTATATCGGAGACACGCCGAAACCAAAAGCGATCTGCGTGAACTTCTTTCTTTCCTGGGGATGGCCCGTGCACGTGGGCCCTAGCTATGCATTGTTTGCGGCACGGGCCGGGTTGGCCATATCTGTGTGATTGTAGCTGTGCCAGAATCAGTGATGGGTGTGCCCACCTGGGCGTAATCACCCGTGTAGTTAACCATGGTGTATGAGGTCACACAATGCAGGTGCTGATGCCATGCAATCACTAATACTTTCGGTTATCGGGGTCTTCTGCAGCAGGATGCATTTTTATTGATCAGCATCTATTAATGTATACGATCGCGATACCAAAGGCTTTCTGGTCCAATCTTCCGGTCTCTCAAGGGGAACAGTTCCGTGTCCTTGTGTGTGCAGCTGGCATACTCGACAGCAGGGGAGCGCGGGGAACATGGCCATTAATCCATTTGTCGTGGGCTGGCATACTCAGTCGGCTCTTCTCTTCGCGTTCATGGATCTGCACTGAACGACCGATGCAATTACTATTTACGGAGATGTCTAAAACACGCTGTACAAGACGTGCTGCATGTAATCGCTCAGAAAGCCTGCACTGAACGACCGATGCAATTACTATTTACGGAGATGTCTAAAACACGCTGTACAAGACGTGCTGCATGTAAACGCTCAGAAAGCCGTTGCCTCCTTGGCAAAGATGCTAAGTGCACCAAGCAGAAGTTGACACAGTGATCACATCAGCCTTCGTACCCAAGTTACCTTCGGTTCCTAAGGTGTCGTGTGCGGTTGCGTCGCTTACCCTACATCGTAACTGGACTCACTGTATCAGCAGAGGCAATAGGGGACACAGGATTATTTAACATTAAACACGAACGGCCGATGAGGAGCGTGGATTAACGAACATGCGCGAGGACATGGACATGGACATGGCAGGATTGACATATGGATACGCTGACTTGGCTCTAATGAGTACGAAGGGCAGCGTCCCGCAGGGCGCGGAGGTAATCGACCATGCCAACACTACTGGAATGTGGAGACGCGTTACACCCGATGAAGTTGTGCGACCTAGGAAGGTGCAACAAACTCATACCATACATGTTGATAACACACTGGGATGCATCTACTAGTGCGAATACATCCAACACGTGCTTACGATAGCCGATCCTCCACAGCTCATGGCCCTCTCGCCAATCCCTCCTCGACGTGAACACAAAAATCTGAAAGGCTACACGGGGGACATTAACAAATGTGCTCCTAACAATGCCAGGGATGATTCCTTGCCTTGGCCACCTGGCGCGACGACACACCCCAAATCTGCAACGAAGGCTGCAGCGCCCGTGCAGCGCCACAGCAAGGACCCAAGACAGCGACACCATGTGTTCTCTCCCCGAAAACTATCTTAGCTGCAGCACCGCCAACGATACAACGACCCCTCCATCTGGCAGCTCAATGCAACAGCGCTCTGCACTTGCCGTCCGGGATAGCAGCCATCGGTCCATACCACAATCGGGTGAAAGCCAAGCGATGAGGGGTATCGTTTCGAGCAGATGAGCTGAAGCCCGCTACATGAGTAGTGAGAGCGGCATCCAGCAACCTAACAACGACCTGCAAACCCTCGGAAAGCATCAATCGCTGTCCTGGTTCTAACCGCCCGCGGCTATTGTGTGCCTGCAAATCCTTTGAACTTTTACCAGCGACCTTGCCTTCGGCACGCTCCTGCAAGCTATTATTTCATAAGGACAATATTGCGACCCTCCACACTCGGCTTCATGGCCCGTGCGCTTCCATCTCTCAGCTTCTTTTGCTGCTCCCGCAGCCGCTTCGTTAGTGCGTCCGCCTGTTTGGCCTTGGGGCCCGCCGCCGCGGCCGCGACTACCTCCGATTCGTTGAAGTCCTTAGCGGCCCCCGGGTTGTTGACGTAGTCCAGCTTGGAGGCCTGCCAAGTGCAGCAAGAGCCGAGGGTCAAGGGGAATCGAAACCTAATCCAGCGACTGCGGGAATCCGGGAGATTGTTGAACACACGGATATTAAGAACAGGAAGGATTGGGATGCGGAGTAATTCGACACGATATCCGAGAGCACCGTGATGACAAAATTCCGTATTGCACGCCCCTCATTCAGCGCGGGCTCCTGCATCCCGTGGCGCAACCCCAGCGGGGACCTGAGTCACGCGCTCACATAAAGTGGCCAATATTTGGTTAGGGACCGCAATAAGCCAGCGCCTGACACGCTTCATACGTGCGCGTCTCCAGCTCAGCCGGGTGAAGATTCTTCTACTCCTCACCTTGGGGATGAGTGCATGGATGCGCATTGCCTTGTTGCGTACGGCGGCAGCCGCGCCCGTCTCTTGCATACCGTCTCTTCGTTTCTCTAGCTCCATCCTCCGGGCCTCGAGCAGCTGCTGCTGGTGCAGGCGCTTCTTGGCCTGTCGCGAGGATGAGGCAAAACATCTCAGGACAGCCCACGGGGCTTTTGTGCAAACTAAAGTAATAATGATGGTTGGATACAAGGCGTTATCAACGGTGATAGGGTACTCAGACCCAGCACCATATATCAAGGGTACAATGTTCCTAACCGCACATACCAAACCCAGCTGCTCACGCACCTCCTCCGCCTCCTGGTCGTAAAAGATGGGCCGACTCCAGCGGTGGACGAGCTCCTTGGCTATGCGGCGGTTCTCACCCGTCTCCTCATTACATTTGAAGAGGAACATGACATTCTTGCCCAACTGTGACTTTCGGAGCATCTCCTTGTGGTCTTCGTGGCTCGTATCAATAGGCAGGGTCTTGAGCACGGGAGGAGTGACAGGAGGGGTAAAGATTGGACCGGGTATAACTGACTCTGAGGCTGCAGGCGAAGGTTGTCGCCGATGAGACAACAGATGAGGGGATGCACATGTACGTGAGATTCGCAGGCGTGCCCTATAAGGAGCTTATTCGCGCTGGCCCCCAACCATGGCGTGGCCGATGAGCACGTGCCTTCGCGGTATATTGGCATGCAGGCTTGCTAACAAGTAAAGCAAATCTGTGCCGAGTAATAAGCGGCCGCCAATTTTGTCCGTGTTGCCGTCTAACACCACAGCTTCCAAAACAAGCTACAACCCCTCTTAAGGATGCCTTGCTCCGTCGACACCATGTCATCGCTGCCGCACCTGCAGCCCTTTGAGCACCGCCGTACGTACGCGTACGTTCGGCAATGTACCATCATGGTAGGGCTCTAGCCAGCCCTTGAGCACGCCCAGTCCACCTTGTTGCAGGAAGCTCTCATGGTACTTACGTTGCGCCAAAAACATCTCTAGCTCCTGAAGGCATGGCAAACGGGGTGGGGGGCGGTGGATCTTAACACGCGGATGATCTCTTCTAAGATCTCTTCTTCTGCAGGGAAGACCAAGCTAATGAGGAACTCGGGTTCATGCCGGACCAACACACCGCCACCGGAACTGCGAAAGATATCCGCCTGCAATTCGTTCATCCCACGGTGCAGCTGTTTTTTCGGCTGCCGCCTCACATCAATCCTCAGCGTGGATCTAGCTTAGAGGTAGCGCATCTCTTCCACGACGGGTTCTTTTCCTGTGCATTCTTCGACAGGCTTTCTGCGAAACCCGAACCTAGCTTGCACAGCTAATCCGCATACTACCATAGTTCCAGGCCCAGCAGTCGGCCGCCGCCCAGGATCTCACCGGCAGCAACTTGAGCTTGCTGATGGCAGGGCTCTTCGAAGTTGGCGGCGGGCCCTTGCGTGCCACTACGTAATGCCCCTCTGCGTCAGTCACCAGGTTGTCGGAAGCATCCTTCTTGAGCTCCACTCCTGCGTTGCGAGCCACCGTCTCAAAGTCGTGCTCCATGGCAGCCTCCATCTTGCCGAGCATGTCCTTGATCTCCAACTGCGAGGTTAGTCAGGGAAGTGAAGTATGTCTAGGGCGGAAAAGAGGACCCGAGAATGGGGATGAAGATGACAAGTATGTTTTGCACCGGCTTCCCGACAATTGCAGGGGCCGGGTGCGAGCTGTGGATCCCACGACGATGGGGTAGTCATACGGGCAACTCAGCGTACCGGAGTACTTCCCAGGAATGCAACCTGTGTTGGTGTGGAGAAACAGCTGCACTTCGCAAATAATTGGTCAGGTTTGCTCAGGATTCGGCCTCAACTGCCCCTTGGCTCTGCTTCGCCCAGAGCCACGGCCGCACCTCACCTCCACGTTCCCCGTCTGCTCCTTCTTTCGCTTGCGCTTGAACGGATGGTCCTCCTCCGCATCCAGCGCCTCCTCCGCCTCTTCCGCAGGCACCTGGAGGCCCTCTTCGTCGTCACTTGGGACATGCTCCACGCCTGCGGCAACCCCGGAGGTGTGGCGGGCAAAGGTTGACGTTGGTTGTCACGGACCAAGAGGCCCTAGCCGTGCAGCGAAAAGCCCCAAACAATCCTCATTGTTCGTTAGCGTTGCCGGGCTTTCAGGAACAAGCTGAGCCTTATAATTGCGAAGGCGGGGCAGATCGCCTTCCAACGGAATCGCGAAGTGATGCGCTCAAAGTGACATTGCCGGGCCCGTGAGCCTGACGACGGCGCACGTGCACCATTTCCCCAGGCTGCACTGCGCTCACCCTCATCATCGATAAACGCCCTATCCGCGTCGTGCTCCTTCATCTCCTCGGACAACTCCTCGTCTAGGATGCCGGACTTATCGCCTGCTGCCACGGGTCCGCTGTGGCCGTCTGCCCCCGCTATACCTCCATCCCGGGTTCCAGCATCACCCGCCGATCGTCGCGAGCGCTGCCGAGCCTTGTCGCCCTTGTCACCCCGGGCGCCGAGCTTGGCTCTGTCGGGCTTGTCCCCGTCAGTGCGCTGCCGCTTCTTCTTAGGCTTGTCATCCTTGCTTCCCTTTAATGCATATAGTTATGCAAAAGGGCAATATGGAGCGCACACGGGAGGAAAGATACCGGCAATCAGGCCCAATCGCAGGCGGTCTAGCTGAGTACTATACCATGCACACTTCGAACGCTACCGTAATGCTATCATATGCATAACAGGAGAGGTCAGGAAGACCCTAGACAAGATCACCAGCTCCGAACAGTGGGGCCGTGCCGCGCCTCCCTTTAGAAACGGGCACGGGGCGCCCAGCATACCATGCACACATACACAAGGTTAACGCCAGACTTTTGCTCCCGGAGTGTCCGGGTTCAAATCCGCCTGCCGACCCCTCGGGTGTGTGAGGGGTGATGAAATGGGAGGTGGCCCCCCATCTTGTGGACGGTGTAAGACGAGATAAAATCAACTTGCGAGCTGACCAGGAACTAAGTTGAGGCGCCGTTGATCCGCTAGATTTGGTTGGATGCTGGTGGTGAGTTGCCGAACCCAAAGAGATCACCCTGAAGTTGGATGGGGTGAATGGATTAGGGTGCCCCTCTAACAGGGGAGAGCACGGAATTGCCTCGGGAAGGAGGCCACTGGTGAAGCTGTACCACCCTGTAACAACAACGAGGCCCCTTCAGTGGTCCCCCATGGCCAAGGCTAACCTACCACCTCCCGCTTTTTCCGTGCTGCACTGCCTCCCGATGCCGCCTTGCTGCTCTTCTTGCTCGCTCCGCGCCGGGCTTCAGGATCCTCACTGCTAATCTCGTCTTCAAGTTCCGCCTCTGCGTCACCAATGTCGTCTTCGAGTACCGGTTGCTCGTAAGGAGCATCACGGCCATCGCCCTGAGGTACTTGCTCATCGTCGCTTTCTTCGCCTACAAGACCATTACCCCCCATGAAACAAGAAGCGTTTGGGGCCGGAATCCAGCCGGGACAATTTTGATAGATTTGGGCGGGCCCCCCTAGCGGGGTGCTTCCATGCAGGCACGGCACGGCTCAAACCCAGAAACACGGATCCCCAGAAGCACACCGTGCGTGTGCCAGCCCAGAGCAATATGCCAACCCAACGACCCAGCCAGGACAGTAAGTGGATGTGTAACAAGGGTCGGAGCGAAACCCAGACAAGGAGTGCGTTGTCCCTGTATTAAGGTTGCCCATCATAGAAATAGCAGATCTGCATGGCACAACATGCGCAATACCTTACCGAAAAGCTCCCGGTTCAGGTCTTTCGTGTCAATGTAGGGTGCACCATCCTCCTGTCAGGCGGAATCCCACCAGCGCGTCAGAGCCCCAAGTACTTGATGCTCCTGATGCTTCAAAGGACCAACCTGGCCCAAGTACTCATCCTCCAAATCTGCCATGGCGACGGCTGCGCCCCAGGTGGCGCTGTCTTGGCCTGGAGAAGCCCTGTAGGGTTGAGTCTGCTTTCAAGCTGAAGAAAACTTGGCTTGCCCGCGTTTAATAGCGACTCCTATGAGTGCGCTGGGGCCGGTTAAACTCTGGACATTTATCCAATCATAACCACAGCAGCTTTACTAAAACACCGTTGCTTGAGAAGGCAGGCATATATTTTCTAATAGGACAGAACTAAAATAGTGAACGCCAAGGGGACTATCCTAGCCAAGAGTGACCTATATGTTCACGTGCTTTCATCCTCTACCTTAAAAGGGTCTCGCTCGAACAAAATAGATGAAAGTTACAGACTTGCACCTGGGACTTACGGCAGCCGTACCTCGAAGGTGACTGGTCGCATCCCACATTGGTTAGTGAAAGGATTTGTAGCCTATATTGTTCATTCTACCGTACTTTATCATGCTCCCGTCAACTTTCCTCTATGGCACGTTACCTGTTATGACGATTTATTCATCGCTTTGTCCGTAAAACAAAACTTGTCGACATTATTATCGTCATATTTGGTACGCTCTATGAAACGTAACTGACCGTTGTCATGCTGCTGGAATGCTGAGCCGCGCTCAGCCGCGTGGAATGTTACACGGAAGGACGTGAAGAGGGCCGGCACAAGGGAAACCGTGCATCTTAAGAATGGATCATGGCCACGCGCAAGGGGGAAAAGCGGCCATCGACCCCCATGATGTGACGGACGTGCTGCAGCAGGTCAGCGGGGCATGCCGCGTACGTTTCCAGAGGTTGTAAGCAAGATGACACAGATGAAGCCCCGTGTTTGAATCTAGGCGTTATGGGAGCTTAAGCGGCTGAAAAACCAACTCGCAAAGCCGTATGCGACTCGCTCGACCGTCGCCGCGAACATCGCGCGGCTGGAGGACGACATACGCCGGCAAGCCCTGGTGGGTGTGGCGCTCTGCGTCTAGATCCACAGTCATTTCCGTGCTCCTCATGTATCCAGCAGAAAGTCTCAGAGCTCAAACCTAGCAGGGTGTTCTGCGGTGTGGCTTTGACAAAGGCACCCATCGCTGTGCTGAACCCGGGTCCTGTATCTTTCCAATTTCCTTGACAGTCCGTACACCAAAGCCCGTGTCTGGCACCCGTGGTCACTCTTTGTCTGGACAAGCTCTTTGCTGGGATGCTCTGTCCATTAACCCAAGTGCCTGCACCGCCACCGGGCCGCTGGACCCGGGTATCATCCTGCCGCCACAGGCCATCGCACATGCCACCGGCGTGGAGGCATCACTGGCGCTGCCTGCCCCCAGTCCACCGCCCGTGGGGCTGTCCCTCCACCCCAAAGCGCCAGCGCACCTTCCGCCGCCCAGTACAATACGGGCGGACCAGTTCCTCGCCACCCGCAGCGGGCCGCTGTTGGACAATCCCATTACAGAAACAGCGCGACAGTACCTCCAGGTGCGCCCGTGTACGCACCTCTGCACGCACACCTGCGCTGGGGACCTGCATGTACCCGTGCTCACTCATGCCTAGCTATGGTCGTGGCTGTAGGGGCATGACACAGCGCACATTCCAAGGGGTCGTTGGTACTGCGTCGCGTTGGAGCGTGTGTGAAGTTCCTGGCATACAGGGATGATTGATTGGGTCTGACAAGTTGGGCGTCGTCAAATGGTGGTTTTAAAGCCCGCCGCGCATCGCTAATAACGTCCTTAGAGGCGAATATCGTACCCATGTTTCTTGGGGTGCAACGATGACCCTTGGCATCGCATTCAGGGGCCGCATATGCTCCTGCACCTGCACCTGGCCCGGGATTTGGAATGGAAATTTGGACAGGACCTGAGAGTGGGTTTTGCCAGTGGTCTTGGTACTGTTCGTTGGGTCATCCTCTGCGACCTATATAGCCATGGCCATGGTAGTGATGGCCGCTGCCGCCTCCCCCAAGGCCCCACCTGTGGAACACTTGCAATCCGAGCGCTGCCGTATCCGTGGTGCGGCTCGTGAGATCCGCACCCGCCAACCACATGAGCACCGCCGCGCTGCCCATCGACTTGGGATACTGACCCGGCTCTTTGTTCGTTTGCAATCAGGAGCGATTTGCTGTCCCGTATCAGCCCAAGCAGCCGCCACCTCCCGGCAACCTGGCCAAGGGCCGCACCCCCGCCGCGGCCCCTGGAGTCATCCTCCCAAAACACATCCGCGAGGACCCGCATGGCCTGCCACCGCCTGAGGTACGCGGGCTGACGGTGAAAGGAGCGCCCCTCCTTCCCCCTTTTCACAACATACGTCCTTCGGCCCCAAAGGCGTGGTAACGTCCCAGCCTGGAAAGAGTTGTCTCGAAACACGGGGCAACCGACCTTTTCTGCGATGGGAGGGACATCGCTAAGGGTCCGGCGTGCATGCCTGGCATGGTGAATAGCCCTACCTCCAAATGATCGCGTATTCGTCTGTGGCCCTGGCTCCGTGTGCTGACTGTCGGCCTCCCTGGGGACTCACTGCGGCACACGGGAAGCGGACGCTGACTGCCCTGCACAGCCTTTTGCTTCCATTCGCCTACTAAGGGCTAAGGCTCGAATGACACATTACCTAGGCAACGGTCTTCAGGATTCTAGGTGATGCCACGGCGGCTTCATGCATTGCCTCGTCACGCCGGGGTTCCTCCGACGGCTGCCGATGTGGTGTGAGTGGTGTGTTCCCCTTTGAACTGCTCCTTGGAACGCCCTTCCGGGCGGCAGGTGACCGACTTGGAGCTGGACAAAGGGCTACTGCATGTGCTCAACCGGGGGCTGCTACCGGCCAGGTCCGACCTCACACCGGCACTGTGCGGAGCGACAGGTGCGTCCGGAATCCGTACAGGGCACTGGGTGTATGTCACGTGGGCCGGTGAAGGCGACGGCAGATGCAGGGTGCCCATGATGTTGGAAACGGCCGGACTGGATGTATGCGGGGCTTCGGGGGTGCACAGCTGCTTGATGTCTAGAGTTTATCCCGGAGCGGATTAGGGTTCGGAGGGCTTTGTGGCAGAGGTGCTACACGGCTTGCAGTGAGCGTGACCCGGTCAGAGCTGCTAAGGGCAGAGGAAAGGCCTGTACATGTTAATGCCATCATGGAATCCTGGCAGGTTCCTTGATACCACATATACACATTCATATATGCACACGCATTCAATCCCGTCTGCCGCCCGCACCCTCGCCGTCTGTGCCCAGGACCTATTCGCACAGCGCCCGTGCCTGTGCACCCCTACCAGAAGCAGTTTGAACGGGGTCCCGTAACCTCCGCACTGGAGGACGCACTGACGGTCAAGCAGGATTTTAAGTTGGACTTGCTGACGCCCGTCATCCGGCCGCAGCAGGAGTCCAAGCAGGTGGGTGTCTCGAAGGGGGGTAAAAGTACGGAAAAGACAAGCGAACTCCATCTTTCCCGACGGAGGGCGGTTGGCGGGGCGAGGGTCGGGTTGGATGGCAGTTTATACAGACAGGGATGGGCGAAGAGTCAGAAGTGAGCTAGTGTGGGACATTAGTAATGACGTATTTCTTCTCCTTGCCAAAGATCCGGGGAGAGCGACCGAGGGAGCGGTTGGCACATATCCAGGTGGCATGCATCGCGAAGCAAAAGGGAAAGGGTTGGCAAAGTCGGGGGGTTAATGTGGAGCGCAAGTGGCTAATACGACGGTTGCACAACCATGCTGCATGGCAGGAGGGAGGGAGAGCTATGGGCCTCGGTCTGGGCAGCGAGGCGAGGCAGCTCGTAGGATGGGGTGAAGCTCAAACAGCTGGCAGTACGAAGGCAGCTCCATCATTATGCACCCTGTTCTAGCCCACGCACCCAAAGAGCATGAAGTCTCTTGCAGCACCGGACCAGGCAAAGCCCCACGCATGCCCCTAACCGTGCACCTCATCCTCCATTCTTCGCTGCAACGTCTTCTGCCTTCCGAATGTCTGTGGACTCGTCTGTCCCTCTCCCTCAAAACCCCACTACCCAGATCTCGCATCATACGTTATCCATTGCCAGTGTGGCGGGCGGCGGCATTATGGCGCAGCCCCGGCCGCCCCACGCGCCCGTATACTTCCCCGGTGTTGACAGCTCCTCGGAACCCCAGTCCGGATCTCAGTATCGACAGTCCGTTTCCGGCTTGGACGCGCAACAACAGCAACAGGCGGCGGGTACGGCTCCATCGAGGGCATTTGAGTCGCTGATGGATGCATTCAGTCTGCATGAGGTGATGATTCGCAAGGGTGCCGTCGTCCGCGACACGCCCGAGTTCGAGTCCTATCAGCGCACCTTTACGTCCGTGTGGCCGGTGGTGGAAGGGTTGCTGCAGCACCTGGCAGCGCTGTGCGCTCAGTACGCGGTGCCGCTGGCGGTGGTCAACGGGAAGAGCCTCGCGGACTTGGCAGAGCAGGTCAGGCGTTGGGGAGTGAACGCATCGGAGCCCTAATTTGACGTTTAAAAGGAAAGGGGAACAGACGAACCCAGACGTGGCCCGAGGGACACAACGTGAAAACCGTCCTTCCTAGGAGCAGTACTTACCGAACTCTTGAATTTACTGCCGCGCCGCCACGGGAAGGAGACGGAGGGCGTACAGGGGGGGTAATCCTCAGGTGCTGGGTTGCTGGGGCTGCCGCTTGCTGCCACGATGGGTACGGGCTCGGTGAGGCGTCCTAAACAGACCTTAGTAAGCAGCCACTGCCCAGGCAGCGCCACTGCAGCCGCACAGCGCTCGGACGCAATGCTTGTCCCTTTCTGGTGTGTAATCGTGTTCCGGCACTCCCATCCTCGCTCCTGGTGGTCCTCAGGTGGGCGCCGCCGGCTACCAGCCCGCCATGGAGGACCTGCTAGTTTGCTTGACAAACATACAAGAGGTGGCGGCACTGCTCAAGCAGCCGGGAAGGTGCGAGGACGGGAAAGGAAGGCGAGCAGGAGGAGGTATTGCCATGGCAGCAGGCCGCAGCGCCGGGGGCAAGTCCTTGCATGGTGAAAGTGTAAACGTGGAAAGGATTTATCAGTGACATGTCGTTCCTAAACCGTAAACCTTTCAAAATCGTGCTACCCTTTCTCTATTTCCTTACCTAGCCTCGCCCTCATGGGGGCCTCACCGGGCACCAAACCAGCGATCCTTCCGGGATCCGCCCCACTCGCCGCTTGGGATGTCCAATCCTTCTGCCGCGCTCCACCTCCCCATTCTCCAATCCGGATATTGGCAGTCAATCCTTTGCATTTTGCACATGAACCCCACCACCACCACCACCTCCCCTTCCCAGGCGGTTCCTAGGTCCCGGGGGCCGTGACGCCGCCGCGCAGCTCATTCAGGCGCAATACCGCGGCCACCTCGCGCGCCGCAAGGACAGCGTCCGTGGTCAAGCTTCCCTTAAGATCCAGCACGCCTGGCGCACCAGCCGGCTGCGCAAGCAGCTGCGCGAGCGCATGCGGATGGCTCGCCTGGAGCGCGACATGCGCTTCACGGAGCTGCGGGACCAGCTGGAACAGCAGTGGCCGCTCATGCAGAGCAATGCGCACGTCGTAGTGCACGTGCCCAATCTACTGCCGACGCCGGTGGTGGCCCCCGGCGATTCAGCACCACAGCGAAGGCCGGAGCCCCATCTCATCCAGGCCATGTTGCTGAGGGAGGCGGCCCAGCTGGCGCGGCTGTGCGATTTGGCAGAGCCGCTGGTGGACTTGATCCTGGTGCTGCCCTCGCCCCCCGACCCGGAGGTGATGCACTACTGGAACAAGCTGCTGGAGGTCGGAGGCGTCAGGGACCCTGCCAGCAGATACAGGTACACGGCGACCAGCAGGAGCTGGTAATTTCGTGGTGGCGGTGGTGGTGGTGGTGGTGTACTGGTCGTGCGCAGTGGGGAGATGCGGATAACATTGACGAAATGTTGAGGTTCGATGTGCAAATATTAGCACAGCCAGGGGATGGCGTGAGTGGCAGTTCTTTGGCTTTGTGGGGTGGAAAGGAGCAGGCGGTGCAGGAGCCTGGACGCTGGGGGTGGTAATGCTTTCCGCTATGTGGGCTTCCATTGACCTCTTGGCCCTTGCCTTGTCTCCTGGGCTGTCGCCCTGCGAGCCCGCACAATATCCTCTGCTCCACGTCCTCGGCCCCCCCTCGCCCATCCCAAGGATTGTGGTGCCCGAGAACTACGTGCGGCTGCCTGGCCACATGTCCGTCACTGCCAAGCTGCTATCCTCGCCACGAGCGCTGAAGCGCATCGCCGCCGCCGTGCACGGCCGTCTTGCGTATATCGTGCCGGGCAACGTGCACGACGAGGAGGTGGAGCTGTCGGTGCACCTGGGGGTGCCACTGCTGGGACCTTCGCCATCCGTATGCAGGGCGCTCAGTAGGAAGTCGGCCGCGAGGTGGGGATTAGGAAGGGTGTACGGGAAAGGGAGGGGCAGCTGCACATGTTGCGTCGCTATGGCTAAGGAGATGATGATAGGAATAAAGAGGCCCCGGGAGGGGGAGCTTCCATTGCAGCTATCTTTTTTCCTCCGGAGATCATGCCTGTGTAAACCCACGGCGTTGCACTTCCTTCATCTCGCGATCCGCAATCCTGCAGGGAATTATTCAAAACCATCGATGCCAATATCGCCCCTGGCTGCGCCATCCGGCCTCAGCACGCCTCCACCGCTTCACATCAGCTCAATCCGCAGCTACAGGCGCTCACACGTTCCGGCAGAGACAGCGGCGATGGCGCCACAGGTGACATCCTGACCACGCCCCTCCGCGCTGGCACCGCTTTCGCCTTCGCTCCCGACGGTGAGCTTATCATGCGGGAGCCCATGTCCGGGGACGCGGTACACGGCAGTGCCGCCGCGGCCGCTGCCGGAAGCGGTAGCCCACCGCCGCGGGGCTCTTCCTCCTTCGAGCATGACGAGCAGCGCATTTTGATGACGCTAGCTGAGGCCATGGTACGGCACCCGCTGGTGCCGAAATGGCTGTTCAAGATCGACGATGAGATCATGGGCATGGGTCACGCCTTCTTCGATACGGCCTCCATTAAGGGCTGTGATGGGGTGCTGGAGCGCGTTATCGGGGAGGTTACGGGCAGCGGGCCCCGCTCCCCCGGCGACGCGTTGCGTTTGGAGCTGGGTCTTAGTGGCAGCGGCGACGGTGGTGGGGCAGCCACTGGAGGCAGCGTGCCGCCGCTGACGGAGGTACAGCGTGTGGCGATGTTCCGGCTGTATGAACTGTTATTCCGACAGCTGCCTCGCCGCCTGCATCTCACCTGCCGTGAGTCGTACCCGACGTATCGCGATTACGTGACAACACTGGCACGCCGTGGCGGCGTGTTGGAGGGCTGCCCGCACATGGCCGTTGGCTCGCCGTGTGCCAACCTGTTCATCGACCCCAACGGCGCAGTCACGGTGCTATCCACACACGAGAAGATTTTCTGCTACCCATACCGTGCCGTCGGCACGACGTTTCCGCAGTCCTCCGTACCGCACCGAGCACTGTATGACGCGGCCCTGGCGGTTGGGCGCTCCGCGTATACGGCGGGATTGTTGGGTCACGTGATGGTGGATTTTGTGACGCTGCTGGAGCCGCCAGGGGGAGGAGCTGATGTGCCACCACCGGGCAGCGCTAACAACCCCGGCGGGCTGCGGCTATGGTTGGTGGACTTGCGGCCCGGCATCACGCCGTCGCTTACAGCTTTCCAACTGTTTGATTTCCTGGCAGGTGCGTGCGGCTTGGCGCATCTCGTTGCGCTGCGCTGCTTAACTGAACGGCGAAGAAGATCAAGCGACAAGAAAGTTCCGAATTTGCGTGCCGCATATGTGTCCGAAACGCATGTTTACTTCTGCTTGGTCCCTTGGGTGGTGTTGGGTTGGTTGTATTGGTACGAGTTCTGACAGGCGGGGTGACCTACCAGCCAGAGCGCGGCTTACCGCATACCGTTTCCCCGTTCGAGCATCACATAACGGAGTGTAAGGCGTTTCAGAGGAAAAGGACCTCCACGCACTCCTATCGTGTACATCACTGAGTCCCTTATTCCCCTCCTACCGAGGTTCCTTTCTCGGCGTCATGCACAATGCCAACTGCAATGCGCCGTCCTCCCCCTTAACCCTGCACCGCAGCCGGCACCTTCAACCCCATGACTGGAGCTTACCTAGTGGAATTGGACCCCATCGAGGACACCGATCAGGGAGGGGACGAGGACGGCCGGGGGCAGGGCAAGGTGCGGCCGCCGGGCGGGGAGGCGTCGTGGCAGTCAACAGCCTCCCCAGCCGGGACCCTGCCGCAGAACGTGATGCCACCGGGGGCCGATGCCATGGCGCTTGGCCCAGCACCTCAGTCGCTGCGGTACTACTTTGTGCTGGACCAGCTGCAGCATCCCGCTATTAGGTCCATGCCATGCTCAAAGTTCTTCTACTACTGCTGGCAGCACGGCTTCCACTTCGACGTGGATCACCGGCAGGTGTGTATATATTCGTGTATGTGCTGAACTGTGTACGGGCCAGCTTGTACGCGTGTGTATAGGTGTTGTGGGTTGGAGAACAAGGTACCGCATGTATGGACCCGCATTGATTGGCGTGGGGTTCGGAAGGGAACATGAACGGTGGGGAGGGAGTGCCGCGTGTTTCCTTTGATGCAACAAACGATGTCTGATAGATGGTACCTTTCCCAGCTGTTCCGGTCCCCGCACACTCATTTTAGCACATTTACCATGTCCTCGCCGGAGTGCTGTCTGTGTACCTACCTATCAGACCCCCTGTCCTCTCTTCCCCCTTCCCCGTCCTCCACTAGGGTGTCATCTTCAACCTGTCGGACCGCTACCTAACCAGCGGCGCGCTGGGCTGCATGACAGTGGGCCTCACGCCGGCCTCCACCTACAGTGTCATGCAGCGTGTGCTGTCCTTCATATCCGCTACGGAGCTGGACGCGGCGCAGCGCTCCGACTGGTCGCTCACCGTGGAGGCAACCACCTTCCAGGACGTGCAGGCGCTGGTCAAGTTCATGGCGGAGCAGAGCGCCAGCCAGGAGCGGGAGGCGCGCGTGGGGCATGGACTGCATGTACCGGGCGCGGGGTTGGCCGGATTCGGGCGCGGGGCCGCATAAGGGTTCTGGGTGGTGAATTTTGCACGTCCTTGATTTCATTAGCTCTCCTGCGTGGGAAAAGGAAGTAAGATCTCTCCGCGGTGCGACGATGAGGATGCGATGGGGCACGGTGCGCCCAAGGGTTGCATCGCCGGACTGAGGTTAGATGTGTGGATGTACGGCATCATGGCGTATAGCCAGGCGATGCCATGATGAGCTTGGGGTGACGGAACTACCAAATTGACGTGGTGTGGCAGTTGTTGTACACCTGAATTCGCTTGGCCGTCTCGGCTTCATGTCCCGTTGCGGAGCCGTAGTCCTGTCGCCAATTGACTTCGGAGCTGACAAGCTAGATGCGTTCATACGGGGCACAGCTCTCAGCCTCGACCCGATGACCAATTCACATCTAATACGGCACGGCGGGGTTTCGTGTTACCTTCGTGGGCACCCCTCCAGCGTAGCGAAACCGTCTGGATGATGCTGGTCCAGTAAGCGTAGACATTGCGGCTTTGCTGTACTGTTACGGTATGACATGCTCAGGGAGACGGTGCGTGCGCAAGCTTTTGGCGGGCATGCCGAACTCGCGGGGAGTGAGGGTTGAGTTAAGGTGCTCCCAGCTTGCACTGAGGACGGGCGGAGTGTATATGCACGTTGAGGTGACGAGAAGAATGCCATGACATTGTCACCCACGCTCACATTGTACGGCTATTAAGACATGACAAACGTATATGGGGATCGTTACAGACCCTGCCTGGACACGCCGCCAAAGGCATGTAATGCATTCGTGGTCACCAGCGTCCGCTATTGACATAAGCAATGCCTGTGATGGCAGCTAAGCTACGGCAATCAGCAGGCCTAGGGCCTCGTATGGACGGATGTACCCGACGTCCAACGTCGGCCACTCATTGTTCCTCCACCGAGCACCCGAGCAGTATCCACGAGTAGCTGCATGAGCGTCTGCTCTCCTGCTACACCAATTATCGTGGCCCCACGAGCCCGCTGGGATCCTCAGCAGAGAGGTGCAGCAGGGAGAGCAGGTGTGCCGTGATGCAGTCTTATTAGCTCAACACACAACAAAACTGGAAGCGCAATCCACTTACCAGAAGGCATGCAGGACCTATTTCCGCTCCCCGGCACCACCACATACTCGCCCTGTTACCAGGCAACTGCTGCTGCAAGCACCGCAGCTTTGGCAGTGGATTCCAGCTGCACAAAGCCCCTCACCGTCCCCAGTCTACTGCTGCTGGGCACCAGGACCCACACTGCAAGCCCCGCGGTATGGCACAGGACCTCAACCATGCGGATGCCACAGCAAGGCCACCATCTTCTGCCGTCCTGTCCCTGCACGTGTAGATCCTACGAACTATCCCCAGTCGAAACCAGTTTCTAAGTCCGCCAAGAACGCTCCGTCTCCAAAGCCGCATCGACACAATGTCGTCGAAGCTGTGTCCTGAGCCGGCCTGCCATCTTGCTTCCCAGTCCCTAGTCGTCCTGACGACCATCCACCCCTAGTAAGTTACAAGCTACAAGTTCCGCACGAATGCGGGGGGCATCTGTGAAAGCCGGGAAGGCCCTGGACGATCCTATTTGAAATTTTTACTTCGCCACGGACTGATAGTCCAAGGCGGTTCGATCCCGCCAAGCTCCAGGTACCCATCCGCCTAGTGCAGCCAGCCCTCCGGTTGGCATGTCAACCCCTTCCGCCCGCCTCCGCCGCCACCTGTGAAAGGCTCTGTTCCAGAAGGCCGCTGAGCTCCCGGTACCGCAGTCGCGCAGCTTCCGTGCACTTGACCAGAGTGGCCGCGTCCGCCAGCACCTTCCCGCCCGCCTTGTAAACACCTGAAGTGCAACCAGCCGGGGACTGACGGGCTGTGTAATCGAAGAGACCCGTGTACAATATCAGGCAGAGCACGTGCCGGTTTTGCCACCCGGGCCCTCAGCACCGAAACGCTGCGGCCAAAAAAAAACGCTGCGGCCAAACCGATGCGGCCACTTCGGTGCATCGGGATGCAGAAGCGGATCGATCTCTCGGCGGTCCGTCGTCGTGCTGCCGTCGGACTGGGACTGACTGGGTGTGATATATCGTCCTGGCGGGGCCACGGTGATGGCAACGTATGTCCCTGCTCCGATATTGCAATCCCCCTGGACGTTTAAACCGCAACCTAACGCCACACCTTCGCCCAGCATCCCATACACAACATCCCGACTATTCGCCCAAACGCCCACAGCACCGAACCAGCTCGTTAATTTCTTCACCCAGCACTCCCCCGATATACACATAGACATACACGCCCCCACCTTGCAGCCGGCCGTGCTGGTCCAGCACCACCGACACGCTACATGCCGCCAGTCGCTCCTCCTCCGCAGTGGGGTCCACCAGGATGTAGTTCCGGTACAGGCAACACGTAAGGCCCAGCGGGCAGCGTCCCATGCCCACCGCTGTCGGGCTACCCGCCACCAGGCCCCCATCACCACCGGCCCCGCCACTGCCACTGCTACCGGCCCCCACGGCCACGTAATGCCCCTCCCGAGTACTCCGCACCGCCGGAATGCGTGTGTTGCGCAGCGCTGCTGTTGCTGCCAGCAGCGCTGTGTCCAATACACATCCGTCCGCGTCTAGCACGTACAGGTCCAGGGAGGCCCGCCAGGCCGCCTTGCCCTCCGCGATGCAGAGACTGCTCAGCTGCACTGCATCCCCCCCGGTCAGCAGAGCCGAGGTAAGCTTTTCCGTGACGGCACTAACGTGATCCGGCTGGCGGCCCGGCCGGTAGTCCTGCGAGCTGAAGGGCGCGAGCTCCACGTTGAGCGCGAGCTGGCCTTGCGAAGGGGCCGTCTCATCAGGCCGAATGATTTCAAGTCGCACGCCCCCGAGGACGGTGGTGCGTCCTATTTTCACCAGTGCGGAGCCGTCGGCGCTGGTGATGGCGCCGGCGCCGATGGTGACGGCACGAGCGCGGCCTAGAGGTCGGCCGTCGGGACGGACGCCCTCGGCGAGGAATCGGTCGTAGTACTGGTCGGGGTACAGCCGCTTGAAGGCGTCCGCATCCACGTCGTCGGACAGCACTGCCCTCGCAGAGGAGGTCATGGCAACGGAAGGAGTTTAGGGGCAGATCACACGTGCGCTGTCCCTTATTAGCTGGCTAGCATGTCCCGGAAGGGAAATCACAAGTTAAAGACGCAGCGCCTTCGGTTGCCAATTCGGCTGACAGTTTGCATGTACTGTGACAGCCGGTTTGTTAGGAATTCTCGTTGAGTTGTATCTAACAAACGAGCAGGACAGTTGACGGCGGAACGAGCTCAGCGCAAACCTGGGCGCATGACAAGGCAAGACTGTCTTTAATGGCAATATCGTTTGCATTATCCATTTAAGTGGGGTGCAATACATACATATGGATTCCGTAATATGCATGGCTTTCATGTAAGGCCCCAGCGGCCGCGAGAATGTAAAGCACGGTGTGATGGTCTCAGATATCAGTTTGAATTTTTGTGGTGAGATTATTTGGATACCATGATAGTGGTAAGGATGGTCTACGGAAAAGAACCGGGTTGCGCCCTAACTGTGAGCCTTTGCTGCTCATCTCCCTCCTCTTAGCGACAATCATTTCCAGTCGTTGTATGAATTATAAATGGACATTTAAAGGTTCGCAGTGCAAGCTGTCGCATGGCGGACTTCCTCGCTGTCGCTTAAAGGTGCTGTGCCTACCCGGGCAACGGTCAACCGCCACAACCTCCAAGCAACGATATACCCGAAGTTTTACGATTCATGAAACACAATTTCACAGTTTAAGGAACATTGAAGTCTCGCTGTTGAGCTGGAATGGATACGTATCAAAGCGGCATCGACAAGGGCAGTGATTAGTGGTGCCGCCCGACAGATAGGAGGAGCCCTGTAGGAATAGATGTGAAGTCAGTGTGTGGAGAGTCCTGCGAGTAGTCCAGAACGCTCAGGGATACACGACCTGTATGGGCATATGCAGCTGATGGAGCTGCCAAGGGGGGTAGGCGCTTGCGCACGAAAGGCTCACGACTCGGCAGCCGTGCACCCCTGCCATTACTGATAGCCCTACATCCAGACAACTGCAGATATATCCTTTCCACGCCCTCCTGCGTTATTCAAAGTCCACGCCCCAAGTCTCTCCCCGCAGGCAGCCGAGTCCCCTGGCAGTATAGCGACCCCTGCCCGTTCCGGCCCTGCATCCTCAGAGTCCCTGCGCACCCTGGGGCCGCCTACACTTGTCGCTCTTATATCAACAGAAGGCCCGCTTTAAAGTATGCAGGGGTCAGGACAGATGGAGGTACCCATATCCGCCGGTGGCAGTGTTACGTTACTCAATATGCGATGATTGCTGCAGAGCTTGAGCGCTGCTATCGCGTGCTCCTGTACTGGTAAAGGCATGGCGTTGGGCTGGAAAGCCCTGCGCGTCATCAGTGTCATTACGCTTAATATTTCCGACATGGAGATAGAGAGGCCATCGAATATTCCTTCGGCCCCATCCCCAAAACCCCTTTTTGAAGCCGGTTCTGAAACTCATCCTTGTGACGTGTAAGCCCTCAGTCAGCGTCAGGCTCCCCTTCATTGTGTGGCATCATCTCAGCCCGTGGAAAGCCCTCAAACCATGGGCAGTATTTGTCACGAGCGCAAAGCTGCCAAAAAGGCAGCCATAGCCCGGATCTACTCGCTTGCTTCCTCGAAAAAGATTATTGAATTATACTGAGTGTTGGGTCACAAGACCAATTGCATGGGTGGGCCTGGGCGGTCCAAGCGATAGTGACAAAACACCGTACACCGTATACTGTACATTCTTACGCTCGGGTTTCTGAACCTTAAACGCTGTAACAGTTGGTATAAGTATCGAGAGCCGTTCCTTTAAGTTAATGCTGTTGGTTGTGACATGCTATCTTTTAACCACAGCTGTTGTTATGTTGCCGTCCTTATGTGCTCGGTGATTTGGAATCTTCACCGCACAAGGAATGTCCTAGTAAAGCTTGTGTTGCCCTAACGTTTCGCACGTTCGAACGGGCGGCAACAGCCAGCGATCACTGACACTGCGCTCGTTCCATCGCCTTCAAGGCGTGCGCTCTACTTATCATTTGTGATCAGAAAGCATTGCAACCGAATACGTTTAGTTGAGCACCAGCGTTTAGGGAGCCATGCTGAACGCAAAGCCTCTTCTTCCTGTTTCAGTGCGACACACGCAGAAAAGATCTCGACGGAAGGGATCATGTATGAGGTGGGCTTTTCATATTCGACACATGGACGTCCGTGGACACAGATGCATGCAGCACTTGACCAGCATGTGGTTGCCCAACACGATGTGTTTCGGCACTTGCAGGCTGGTGATTATGGCGGCAATCCTTTTCTGTGTCGGTTACGCCGTCTTTGCCACGCGGTACATAGGGAGCAGTAAGAGCCGCAAAGAAGCCCAGGATCACCTTGTAAAAGCGGAGTTGGAGCGCAAGCCTACGCTATCCGTTTCGGCTACTGGCTCGCAGCATGACGGGCGGAGCTTGGTAAGGGTTTTAGGTTAGAGCTAGCCTACCTGGCTACGTTTAGGGTAACAAATTTAAGGGGATGTAACCGGTTTCCCGCTCGCCGTCCTCCTGTAATGTACGGCTGGCTTGGTACGCAGAGGGCATTGTTGAAGCAACGGTACTGCACGCAACGGGAAATTCTACAGGATTCTAGATGCCAGAGCATCGGTCTGGGGTGAAATAGCGGGTTCAACAGCGGTTGGCGCTAGCGGCACTAGCGGGATATACCACTGCTAAAACCGCACGTTACAAGCGCCAAGAGGAGGTTCGCAGCATGACCTAAGTATTGAACATGCTCTGCCATGCTCTGAATGTAACCGTTGCAGCCTGGCAACGGCAGGAACGAGTTTTCGTGGAGATGCACTTGGCATGCTTGCTTAAAGCCGTACATTGCCCAAGCGTCTCCAGCCTGAGCCGGCCGCCCTGGCTCAACCACTCCCCACTTCACACCGTTCATTCCTTCAACTCGCTGAACACCTTCCCGTCTCCCCCATTACAGAAAGCCGACTCGGACATAAAGGCGCCCCGGATAAACGTGCGGGAGCACGCCTCCCACTACCACGGCAAGGATGCAGGGGGGAAACATGAGGGGGCCGCGCGGAATGTTTTCACTGGCGATGGGTCATACGATGATATCATCGCGCGGGACCATGCACGACTATCGGGCCTGCATCTTCCGTCGCCTGGCACTAACCAGGACCAGGCCCCGACGCGGAGCCCGAGTACGAACGCTCGGCATGTGGAATCGGGACGCGATGACCTGCAGGTCCACGCAACCCACGGTGCTCCTGTGGATCACCACATAGGCCAGCAAACCCACCAGCAACAACAAACTTACCAGAGCCCAGCGATCCATCAGCAGCAACAGCAACAGGGTGCCAGCAACCCCGTACGAGCAGGTCCGGTGGAAGCCGACCGCGATGCCGAGCTGCGGCGGGCGGCAAACGTGGTTTCCCCGTCGCTGGCGGTGGGCAGTCGCATCGAGGTAGACAGCCATTCGGGCGACATAACTGCACGCACTGTTGTAGAGCCGGGTGCCAGCCCACTGCCTACACAGGGTGTCAAGGAACCGGCTTCGGAGCAGCCTGTACAGCTGCCAGCACCCATCACTGTGACGCACCTGGAGCCGGATAGCCATCAGGCGAACAAGGTGCCCGTGCACGAGCCCGTGCCCACTACAGCGCCCCATGAGACGGATAGCTCCTCGCACACGGTGCAGCATCGGGCACCCGACGAGGTCCCGCCGGCCCCACCGGTCATCACTGGTAGCACCAGCGACCCCACCACGACCACAGTGCCGTCGCCGGTATCGGCGCCAGTCCGGGCGCCGCATGCGGACACGGCGCCGCAGCGGAATCCACTGGCAAAGGGTTTCTACGCCCTTGTGAGTTGGCAATGGGGTTGGGACGAGGAGACGGACATTTACGGTTGGGGTGTAGGCTTAGTGGGCAACACTGCCAAGTTGACGACTCCTAATGGTCTGCAGCTAAGGTTTACGGCTCATTACCCATCTGCTCCAATGTGCAACAGGAAGCCGTGGACATTGACGGCAAGGTTCGTCCTCTGAGCGAGTTTGCTGGCAAGGTGACGCTTGTTGTAAACGTGGCGTCTGCGTGCGGCTACACGGACGAGAACTATAAGGGTGAGGCAATGCGGCTCGGCTCCAATCGATGGGCAGATGTAGGGCCTGGCATGTGTAATGCAAGGCCTCCTGCAACTTAGGATGCATACGGAGGCTAGGGCACGGCCGCTGTGCTTTGGGTGAAGGGAGACTGGAATGGAGTACATTTGTCTAATGCAGCACCAGGTTAAAGGATTCCATGATGCTTGTGCACTGTGTACAGTGGTCAACGGGCACTTGCCACCCCTGACCCCGCCAGGTGCCCGATGTGCATTGGCAATCTCTGCGCGGGGATTGGTGCGTTAGGCGCAGTAGTGGATCACAGCTGATGCAGTGCCATCTCCGCGGGCTGGGGCGGTATTTTCCGCTTGTGGAAAGTGGATACCTAGCTGCGGTCGCACACAACGACCTTAATCATGTCCTCGGTGATTACGTTGCTTGCAGTGCGGCACGAGGCTAACTCGGTGATTTCTTATTCTCGACCATGTGGTCCACAGGCTTAATGAAGGTGTATGAGAAGTACCATCCCCATGGGCTGGAGATTCTTGGCTTTCCCTGCAACCAGGTGGGCCGGGGCAGACGGAGTCACCGCATTTGCGAGGGCTGTCCATAGGGAAGGAGGGTTTAGGGATATAAGCAGGGCGCACACGGAACATAGGAACAAGCGTCCTTTGTACGGAGTCTCGTGGCACCACTCTCTTGTGATGGCGCTTATGCCTGTGATCCTGCAAAGGAACGAGCATCTCGCCCTTGGCAAGCCCACCACCTGTGGCTCTGCACTCTGCGTTTACTGAACGGGAGCCCCATTTCAACCCCTGTTGCCCACTCCCTGTTGCATGGGGGGTGCTCATCGCGGCCAACCCCGTGGTCGTCTGCCAGTTCGGGAGTCAAGGTAAGGCGTTTATTCTCTTGACATTCACAGCGGTGCATATCGCTTGTTAATGAAGCGGCTTATCTTCTGAGCGCATCGTGCCGTGTGCTGGCCGGACGGTAACAGTCGGGTCCATGTAACCTAACCCTTCGGTGTGTCATGCAGAGTCCGGGACGGAGGCGGATATCAAGAACTTCTGCTCGTCGCGTTATCACGTGAACTTCCCTATGTTCAGGTACGCTTTCACGTTAGGTGCTCTGTGTGCTTTCCTGTCATCCCCTCTAGCACGAGTTGGAGGGAAGGATGAAGATGGCAAACGGTGTAGGGGCAAGTTACCTACTGCATCGTTTGAGGTATCTTTACCTGACACCTTTACGTGACGATTGTTAGGTGGCAGAACCGCGGTGACGCCCTTTCCTGACCTGCGCTTATGCGATTCTGCGACCCTTGCAGTAAGGTGGATGTCAACGGGCCGAACACGCACCCGGTGTACCAGTTCCTGAAGCGGGAGCTGCCCGAGTGGGAGGGCGGCGGTGGCAGCAAGGGCCCGGGCGCCGACCTGGTTTGGAACTTTCAGGTGAGGCCGGCTTTCCTCGTCCATGTAGGGGTGAGCGCGGGCACGATAATGTACGTTCTGAACAGTTTTGCAGTAACCCTTAAGCTTAGCAGCGCAACGTGCTAGCATTAATTTGTAGCTGTGTGTGTTTGCAGTCCACCTTGTACCGTACATGGTCCCTTAGCCTAGCTGGCGTTGAAATTCGGCCCAGCCGTGGGCCCGAACTAGAGCTGAGCCGTCCGGATTGGGGACTCTGTTGCCGCGGCAGCTTTCGTCCATCCTAGATACTCTTTAAAAGTGCACGTCGTTGCGGTTGCGGTTGCGGTGTCCATGCCAATGCAGAAAATCTTCGTGGATCACGAGGGCCGTCCTGTCAAGCGGCTTTACCAGGCCTGGGACCAGAACGCGGTGGAGTCGGAGGTGTACCGGCTGCTTCGGGAGGCTCGGCAGGCGGGAGCCGCTACGGCGCAGCCCACAAGTTGATAGCGGATGGGGCGCTCTGGAGCCGGACCTCACCGTGGTCCGGAACTGCATTTCCTTTCACCGACCAACGTCGTTGGGAGCGGCGTTGATGCATGGGATCCTCGAATGCTCTTTCCTGTGTCTGCATCTAGCACTGGGCGCACGGTAGCGCAGCGGCAAATGTCGAGGGAACCGAGCTATTTGGGGGTTCCGCTCGAACGCCACGGAACGGACCTTTTGACAGCTAGGTTGGCCTCATGGACTTCGGGTGTTAGCCATCGGTTACGTCACCTTGTGCAGAAGAGGGTGGCACCCCTGGAACTGGATGGGGTTGACCGCCCAGTGGGTTCTGCGGGCGTAGGGTTACCTTGGTGCGTGACGGTCTTTTAACTTTTGACGGTCTATCACATTAAGCGTGAGGAATGCTAAGGAGGGAGATGGGTGCGTGGCACGTGGGATAGAGGCACAGGCAGAGACATTCCTACCTTTTGACTTCCTGACGCAACTCATCTCTGTACGACGTCGTTCTTCGCTCAGGCAAATTGGAGGCTCAAAGTATTTGTTGCTAAGGCATTGTTAGAGTTGACAAGGTACAAGCAGGCATAGCTCTCTCGGACTTGGGACTAATCGGTTTGATGGGAGCCGTTGCGTGGAGCGGATAAGATGGGCAGTGGCCGTGACGGCCTGTCCTGTATTCCGGTGATTGCGGATTGGGAGCTTTAAAAATACCGTTACACGCTAGTACGGCACAAGCTGTGTAACAGCCCCCAGCTACCAACGTTGAGAGTCCCCATACGTGCTGAGGTAACTCCAGCATCCCACGCGACCAAGCACCTCATCCGCACCTGGCTGGCGTTCGCTGGCTGCAGGATTGGCGGCTCTGCGAGGGCCTGGCCGGCCCCGTCCGCTCGCAGATCCAATGACGATGAGACGCATATGTACGACATAGCAACATTGCCAAGAACCGCACTACCCTTTTGAAGGATTAGCGCCAGGAGCAATCCCGACGTCAGCCCCCAACATCCACCGCCATCCTAATACTCAACCGCCAATAACGGCCGAGGTCTGCCGCTATCTACTTGCTACGATAGCGGCAGATGCCACCTCCGACCACAGCGTGTGAGGGTCAGCCCCTGAACCCAAGACCCTAAACCCATACATTCCCGCTGTCATTGCGCAATCGCTGTCAGTCTGTGGGCCAAAATGCACACTGCGTAACAATGGGGCGGGCTACCTAGCACGTGTCAAGATGTCTCACACTGTTTTGTGATGTCCGTGCAAGCTGGCCAAGACATGCGCAGGCTATTAACATTAAGCTGTAGGAGATATGCTATGGACGATAATCTCCCAAGGGAAGCTTATATGGGGATAATCAATATGCCGAATGACCGTTTAGGTATTGCCCCAAGACGCACTCTTTGGTCATAGGACGAACATAAAGACAGCATTCATTATTCAAGCAGCAGCAATGGGAACAATCTTCCTCAAAGCATGCCCCATTCTAGTCTGACTGTCTACAAGCAAGACTTCTGTGACGTCCTCCACTGAGCGGGTCAAACATGCCGCTGCACGTCTATCGCACGCCCCTCATGCACATGAGAACACACAGTCCGCAAACAACCCCCCTCCTGCTTCGGCCTCGTGACAATCACCATCCTGGAGGCCACTTAGGTTAGGATCTGTGCATACACCAGCAACCCGAGCCACTGGTGGCCCATCCTGGTCCCTGTTATCAGAGCCATCAGGGTCACACATGTCACACATCCAGAGACGAGATTGACTGCAGGCGGTTGCTGTACTCCTGGATGAGTGCCTTCCTGGGCCCCACCTGCGCCCCCATGAGCGACGTCAGCAGCGCATCCGCCTCGGCCGCATCCCGCACAGTCAGTCGCCGCAGTAACCTGGGCAGCGGGGGAGGGCGGAGAGGTAAGGTGGTCGTCAGGTCAGATGGGAGGCGCAGTGAGAGGAGGGGTAATGGTACAGGTATGATAGGCAAAGAAACATCGTCAACTGTACTGTGGCAGCAGCAGCAGCAGCAGCTCGTCCCAGGGCCTCAATACAGGCAGCCTGGGGACCCCGGGCAGGCTTGGGCCATTCAAGCCAAGCAAAATGCAAGTTGGACCTCCTCGTGCTTGTTTAGCCTTCAGGAGGTCCAGTAGACCTTCTTGGGGGCCCCGACGCACAACTTACTCCTTAGATGAAGGGCGGGGAATACACCTCAGGTTGCCGCCATGGCACCGCCATGCTGCTGCTCCCACTTCCCTGTTGACCTCCCTCTTACCCCTCCCAGGGTGTACCCCCACCCCTACCTGGTCGCCGGGTTGAGGGTAGTATCCCACAGCTGCTGCGGCATCATCTCACCCAGGCCCTTGAATCGCTGCACCGAGTAGCCGCCCGGAGCCAGCCGGTTCTCCGAAACCACCCGCCGCAGCTCCTCCTCCGTATGCGCCCACCACAGCGACCTGCCACGCTCCACCTTGTACAGCGGCGGTACGGCAACGTACACGTGGCCGGCGTAGAATAGTTGCGGCCGATACCTGCATCAGTAGCGTAGCGCAGCAGCACGGTACAGCCCATCACGGCACATCACGGTGTTCAATATCACACGACAACACGCACACCACACCATGCCATGTCCGCGCATTGATGCCGCCGCACCCGTATCGCCCTACCGGCTCATTAGTGGGATCTGTCACACGGGGGCGGAGAGGACACAAGAGGCCCACACACGTCAAACACATGGACATGTCTGCTGCTTGCTGTGAGCTCGTGCACATCCGACCTCGCCACGCACGAGACATGCACATTACAACGATGTGGGCACGACGACGACGACGACGGCAGCGACAGCCCCCCTGGTCGGCCCTCCCCCCACATCAAGCCCCCGACCTGAGCTGCCCAGCCGGTCGCACCCACACAGGGCCCAACCCTCCCATCATCACCCACATGCATGATGAGCGGCCCATACGGGGTCCTGAACACCGCACAACCCCCGAAGTTCCACATGACACCACACACCGCACCGGAATAGGAACGTGAGCAGCAGCGCCCGGATGTGGGCCCCGTCCACGTCAGCATCCGTCAGGATCACGATCTTGCCGTACCTGTTGACCACCGTGTTGACAATAGCAAGCACAGGCCCCAACCAGGCAGGTGCAGGTGGGCAGCGGTCTTCAGCTCACGCGGACTGCTTTCTGGTGAGGGAGGTCCCTCAGCACCGCCCTTTTCCTTACGAGGTGGACATGGACCTTGAAACAAGACAGGGCAAGGAGCGCAGCCGCATGCTGGTTCGCGGGTAAATGGTTAGGTGGTTTGACGGGGGTGCCTTGGCCTGGTGCTTAGGTGATGCCAGATGAGGGGTCGTACCTCAGGCACTCAAGCGCCTTGCTGGCGGTGTCCCGCACCGCCACGTCGGGCCCACGGGTCGCCAAGGCGGGGGCCCGGTCTGTTCCAAGACCCAGCGCCACAATGAGGCTGGAGATCTCGGCGTTTTTGTACATGGCGGCCTGGGAGGGCGGGTGGGAGGGTGGGGGCCACGTCAGGCTGCCGAGCGGGGCCCGATGCGCTTCACGACGTGAGTCATGCCAGGGAAAGCCCATCCACCCATCACCTGGCCCGGTCGGCTCCAATCTGAGCCCATCCCGCTCCCGCTCTGTTTGTATCGGCTCACTTCCGGCACCGCGCTTGTCCCCTTTTCCCGCACCCACCTCATTCACCCCGGCCACTCGCTCCACGTTGAGGATCTTACCCTTGAGGGGCAGCACCGCCTGCGGGGGCCAAGTGCGGTGAACAGGCGGAGTGGGGCAGTACCGTATGCAGGTATAGGCATACAAACATATGAGCAAGCACGGCGACAGGGGCGTGTATACCAGGGGTGGGTGACCCCGAGGTCCAGGTCCAGGTCCTCGGGAGGTCACTTGGCTGGAGGCCCCTCCGTATGGAGGTGCTGAGTGCATTTCTGCCCCTCCCTTCTCCCTCCCCTCCCTCCAGGTAACTGTGTGAGGGTGTATGTCTGTCTGTACCCACCTGGAATCTGCGGTCCCTGGCTTGCTTGGCACTTCCCCCCGCACTGTCCCCCTCCACCAGGTAGATCTCCGTGCGGTCCCGCTCCTCGCCTGCCGGGGTGGGGGTGGGGTGGCCAGCAGGCACACAACTACTGGAACTGATTTCACCAAGCCAGCTCAGCTCATGTGGATCACGTGCGGACCACCGCACACCGCACAGGGTCCCCACAGGCCATGGGCCATCACCCCGCCATGGAGCACACACACCCCTCCGGCCCTTCCCCTCCCTCGACCTCACTGGTGCAGTCCGCCAGCTTGCCCGGCAGCATGGAGCGACTCAGACTGGTCTTGCGGCGGATCAGCTCCCGGGCCTTACGGGCGGCATCGGCGGCCCGGGCGGCCGTGAGCGCCTTGCCCAGCAGCGCTGAGAGGTCGGCTGGGTGGGCCTCCAGCCACTCACCCACCGCCTTAGAGGGGTGGAGCGGGAGGGGGAGGGGGTTGGGAGGGGTCGTGGCAGGAAGCAGCGGGCTAACCGAGGGGGGTGGGTGGGAGGGGTCCAAGAGCCAAATAGAGGGACGGATAGCAGCAACGGAAAAAACACCAGATGCCGAGGGGGGGAGGGGAAGACGAACCACGAACGAGTGAAGCTGCGGGGGAAAGGGGAGGGGCTGGCGGAGAGAGTTGGTGTGAGCTGCGGCCCCAACGTTCTCCCGTGCGCGTGTGTTATGTACGGCACATTTCAAAGTATTTACTGCAATCCTATAACCCACAGCCTGACCGCCCTCACAAGCATTTCCCCCTTCCCATCCCCCCCTTCCCATCCCCCCCGGCAGGCCCCCCCGCTCACCTCCGCCACCGTCGCCTCCACAATCTTCCGCACCTCGGGGTTACCCAGCCGGGTCTTGGTCTGACCCTCAAACTCCGGGTTGGGCACCTGTACGGCAATAACCGCCCCCAGACCCTCCCTGATGTGCTCTCCGGACAGCGGGGGGTCGCCCTCCTGCGCGGCGGGGGCGGGGGTGTGCAGAGGGAGGAGCCTGGAAGGGGAAAGGCGCTACCTGCCCCTTACCACCCCCGATGGTACGACAATGCCAACCCCCCCCCAAGCCCGGTGGCCTGATGGGGGGCAGGTCTCGGGAGGTGGTGGGGTGGGGAAAGACGAACCACGAACGAGTGAAGCTGCTGCCAGCTGGTGGGGTGGGGGTGGGGGGAGCTTTACGGAGTTGGGAAGTAGGGAGTACCTACCCTGCCGCAGCCTAACTACTCCCGACAGGTTGCCGGCCCCCCTCCAGGCCTCATGCCCCCCTTGGGGCCCCTTTTGCCCTCCGCCCGCTGCACCTTGATCAGCTTCATTTTCTTGGCCAGTGCCGTGATGGTGCGGGTGAGGGCGCTCCGCAGCGCATCTAGGTGAGTGCCACCGTCAGCCGTGTGGATGGAGTTGGCGAAACCACGGATCTAAAAAAAGGGGGAAGGGGGTTGGGGAGGGCGTGGGTTGGAGGGAGAGGGAGGGAGGGGGGAAATGGGCCCGGATGGCTTTCCCCCCTCCCCTTTGAGCACCGCGCTACCCTCGCTGAGCAACCGGGGTGCTGGTGCCCCCACGGGCGGACCCCCACAGGGGTAACAGCACTACCGGTGTAACTAACGTATGTATGTCCGCATTCAGGTAACCTGTGCACCGGCCCCTAACACCGCCCCGGGGGAAGGGGGGCTCCCCCCTCCCCACCTTTTACCCGCCCCCGCCCCCGCCCCGGGGCCCCCAAGCCCACCCGACACCCGGCCAGTGGCCCTTATCGGTCAGCTAAGGCCCACATCCCATTAACTATTCCGTACATTGGCGCTGAGGCCTCCATTCCGGAAAAATGACAGTTAGCAGTTGACAGCTAGCCCGGGTGGTTGATAGTTGGCGGTATTTGCGTCACCCCTTCCCCACCTCCTCCCTGAAGGAGTCCGCCGCCCACTGCAGGGCCGCATGCACCACCACACCGCTGGGGGGGTCGGAGCGGGAAACACAGATGGCCTCGTGGAGGGGTGTGTAGCCGGACTGGGGGGAGGGAGGCCAGAGAGGGGCGGGGGCGGGGGTACGTGAGCTCGGGGACCGGGGATCTCCCCAGGGGGCTGGGATGGTCCCCCCCCTACAGTGATATCCAGGGGGGACAGCGGGAGGATCGGGAGGATTGCATTGCGGCTAGGGGGGAAGCAGGGCCCCGGCTCATACACACACACGTAGGCGGGTGGGCCCCACGGTGGATTCATGCAACACGTCTTTTTTCCTCCTCCGCCACACATCCAAGGGAGAAGAGCACAGAGCCCTTCAACCCGCTCGCCCTCCCTTCCCGCCCGTCTCCATGTCTGCCAGTGCACGACCACCCACCCACCTGCAGACAGCCCACGAACTCTCTAAGGCCACCGCTGAACTGGAAAACCTGCCACTCGCCATCCTGCCGTACGACGCCGTACATGGGCCGTGCCGGAGGAGGCGTGGCTGTTGCCCCGTCCCCACCCGTGCCGTCATCCGCCGCCTCGCTCGCGCTTCCCTTCTTCCGTCGGCGGCGGCCGACCTTCTCAGCCGCACCGACAGCCGCTGACGACGCCGATGTCGACGCGCCCGCGGTTTCATCCCCGTCCAGGCCTCCGCCACCGGCTGCCGTACGTTCCGACATGTACTTGCTCCTGCCAGGTACGAGCTGGCCCTTCCGAGTCGCGTTGAATCGCATTGTGGCTGAGCTGTTGAGGAAGGCCAGTTCGTGCAGCCGGGTGGCGATGATGTCCGGATTGTACGACACGTCTGATGCGAAGATCGTACGGTCGTACAGGAAGCACACCTGGCGCATGATGGACAGGAAATGTGATGACCTGGAGTTGGCTGGTACGTGTACGGGTACGCAACAGCGGTGTGTGCACACAGAGGGCGGGCACGTAGATGGATTGCCAGCCGCGAGGTGAGGTGAGGTGAGGCTGTCACAACGTCAAAAGCTCAAACGAATGCCGCCGGTCACCGAACAGCTAACCACTAAAACCGTTAACGACCCACCTGCGTCCCCGTGCGGTCGGCCTCCTCGCTGTCCGGCTGTAGCTCCGTCCTCTGCACCTCCTCCAGGGCTACCCCGCGGCTGTAGCGCTGGCTGTACCTCACCCCCGCCCTCCACACCGTCACGGTCAGCTGCTCGCTCAGCGCATTGACCACGCTAATGCCCACGCCGTGGAGGCCCCCGCTGACCTGAGGGGAAGAGGGGGGAGCGGAGGGGGGGAAGGACGATATGCAAAGCCAGGAAAAATGGGTCTGCGGGTGACAGTCTGTGGGACGCGTCTGCGGGGAGAGGGTCACGGCTGCAGGGGGGATAAATGCCGGTGGTGGCGAGCCGCCACAAGCGACTCTCCTCTGCCCAACCCAACCCAACCCCAGCCGACCCGAACCACCAGGCGTGCGCCACCGCGGGGTTGGTTCGCGTCACCCCGCGCTACACCCCCCTCGCCTAGCTGGCTGCCTCCCTGCCTTCCCCCTCCCCTCAACCCCGCCACGGTCGTCCAGGTGAGCCTGCCAGTCGCTGACTGCTCTGACGCCCCCAGCGATCCACCTGGTACACACCACCCACCCCTCCTCCACCTCAAGCTCACCTTGTAACCGCTGTCCTCCCCCCCGAACTTGCCGCCCGCGTGCAGCACTGTGAGTACCGTCTCCAGCGCCGACTTGCCCGTGACGGGGTGCACATCCACGGGAATACCCCGGCCATCATCCGTCACCACAACCCAGCCTGCCGGGGGAGAGGGGCCACATGCAACATTATGAAACAAGGGGAGGGGGGAAGGAGACGAGGGCAGGGCCGGGCAGGGAAATCAAGTAGTGGCATGCGCGCAGCAATGAACAGGTCTCCCCTTCTCCCCTTCCGGGAACGTAACGTACCGAGAACTGCTTTAGCCGCGGCTCCCCTCCCCTCCCCCCCCTCTCTTGGCCTCGTGGAGGGGCAATGTGGACTGGTCGGCCCGATCATCACCGGCAGCTGCTCCTGGCCGGGCTCTCACTGTCGGCCCCCCGCAGGATTCGCTTGGCTCTACCTCCCATACCCTTCCTTGTTCACCCACCTACGCAACGCGAAACATCCGCACATACTTTTCCCCCTTCTCCCTTTTTCCCTCTTCTTCCTTCCTAAAACCCTACCTCCCCTCTCCTCCCATTCCCTCTCGCCCTCTCCCTCCCGACCCACCCGAGCTCAGGTCCACCTGCACCTCCACCCGGGTGGCATGTCCCGCCTGCACCTCGTCCACCGAGTTGTCCACCACTTCCCACACCAGGTGGTGCAGACCCTCACTGCCAGTGCCGCCGATGTACATACCGGGGCGCTTGCGAACGGGCTCCAGGCCCTCGAGCACCTGGTGGAGGTGGGGGATGTCGGGCAGGGGCAGGGAAGGGAGCCCGCCCAGCACCCAATGCATGTGTTAAACGATACGCGTACTGTATTCAGGTGGGCTATTGGGGCCTGAATAATCGGGAAGTCCGGCGTTTTGTGCTGAGAAAGCTTAGGCAACCATGAGAAAGAGAGAGTGAGCAGAGGAGGTGGGGCAGAAAGCGAGACTGGCGCCGGACTTAACCAGGTAACGGACCTGGATTGAGCTGGCGCCGTAGTCCTCCTGGGATAACGTCGCAACGTTTCCGGCCGCTTCTCCCGCCCTGCTGCGGGGCTTCCTGGTTGCGGTGGCGGGTGTGGAAGCCACGGAGCTGCCAGTTGGGGCCGCGACCCAGCGCCTGGTAAGGCTGCGGTTAGATCGGCCACCTGGTTGCAAGAAGCCCCGGGTGTGCGAGCATGGACATGGCGCCGGTGCGCAGCGGCTGGTGCGGCCGGTAGCACCCCAGGCCCCGACGCCACCGGCGCAACCCGTCATGCTTTGGAACCGACGTCTAAGATAAGCAGGAGAAATAGAAGCACGATGCTTTTCTCCGGGAAGACGGTTATGCACGCCGAATTCCTCTCTGCGCAGCCTGTCGAAAGATGCCTTTCCTCAGTAAGTCCGCTATAAACGGAAATCGACACGTAGAAAAGAAATTTGAATATCACAGGATGATCAAAACCTGGAACCGTGGAGTTATTACTTAGGTCGGCGCGGTGATAGCCGGTCCGGGACAGCCGACGCCAAGAAACCGTTATGGCTGCAGTGCCGTAAGACTGCCTATAATCTCCATGAAATTGAGATTCTGAATTGCTGCATGGTTCTTCTGGGATTTCTCGATCCGGCGGGAGCCGTACGCTTTGTCCGTTAGAGCTAACTTCTTCCCTGGGGAGTTGAGACAGTTGAGACGTTAATTTAATAGACTTATGTCGAAACATAACAGGCTTGAAAATCTCTGTAGATACTTGTTGAGTATCCTGTGCCCAACTGTGTGCATGCCCACTGCTGCAGCAGCATGGACTTTAGCACGTGCATTTTGTCCACGCTGCTCTTGCTTTTGACGCGGACTTATGCGACCCGACCTGGATTTATCAATGTTGTTGGGAACCGCGGCGCTTCAGCGCCAGTCATCTTTCCAAGGTGCCGTTGGCTGTCCTAGGGCTCCGCACCGTGCACGCGAATCGTAGCTCTTAAACTGCACCCGCACAACTCTGGCGCACCTTTAGGCCGCCCTATGAAGAGCACGCGTTGATGGCGCGCTGGCTCGTGCACGAAACCACCTGGGGTGTCCTGTCAACCTTGGACCAAGACACTGGCGAGCCCGTTGGGTGAGTTCCTGCCCAACACAACAGGGCTTGGAAACCGCTCCGGCACCCCGGCAAGCACATCTCCTGATACGCACATAACTTCGTGCGAGGGCCACGCCCACATGCACCGCATGATACGGAGGCCTGAGCGTGAGATATATGTGGACTCGGAGTAGGACCGCAGTGCCGCCTGCGGGGCCCTCCGGGACCTACCGGGGCAGGGCTAACGGCCACGGAATTTAGGATCCAATGGAATCCAGACGTTACCCAGACGTAACCCGCGGGTTGGGATGTCGGGGTTTGGCGGCAAGCCTAGGACCGGGACCGGGTGTTACCGGTGTGTTGATGGTCCCGATGTGAGAGGGTCACACCAAGTCACACCAAGTCACACCAAGTCACACCAAAGACATGCGGATGCCAGATGCACTTCAAGTTACCTCCGGGGTCCACGCCTTCAGATGCGCATCTTAACGGCCGCCTGGAAACGGGAGAGATACGGCCCCCCGTGTGGTCTCGTACAGAGTAGCACCAGCCGCACCCTAGCACCGACTCCGGCCCCGCGGGGCAGCGTTGCCTAACTCCTCACTCTTCCTCGCACACCCATTCACCAACACAGGGGTGTGGTCTCGCACAGTGACGGGCCCCGCAACAGCCCGCGCGGCCGCCTGTTCTTCTACGTCACCCCCATGGACGAGCTCACTCAGAACGTCATGGTGAGCAGGCCTTCCCCCAACCCTCACCTCAAATGGCTGCATGAACGACCCATGGGTCGCACGCGGGGTTGAGGGGCCAAAGGGACAAGCTGCCGGGTTGGGTACCTTCAGCGAGCCGCTGCACTCCAGACCCCTGACTTTCAGGCCGAGGTTGTGTGTGCATCATGTCCGGTTCATGGCACATCCCGTGGGTTACCACCCCCACCCGCCCCTGGTACACTCTTGCCCTGGCAGCAGCTTCACTCGTTTGTGGTTCGTCTTTCCCCCACCCGCCTTGATGGTCCCGCCCTTTGCGTCACGCCTCATTAACTATTAGCAAGCACTACGAACGCCCCTGGGTATGTAACACCCCCCGGAGTTGTCGTAATGCAACTGCAGCTCACATTCTGCCCTTCTCCTGCTTCCCGTGCTTCCCCCCTTCCCTGACGTACACCTCACCTGCACCCCTCTTCCCCTCCCTCTGGCCTCCCGCGCCCACTTGCAGGCTCACCCCCGCTGCTCTTTCACCGTCTCCGAGCAGCAGCGCCGCGGTCCCCCCAGCGCGGGGCCAGGTGCGGGTGCGGGTGAGGCGGTAGCCAGCAGCAGCGCCGCGTGGGGTCAGCCCTGCGGTGGACTGGACCCCGAGGACCCCGCGTGCGCCCGGGCCACCCTGCTGGGGCGGATGCAGCCGGTGGCGGCGGAGGACCGGGAGGAGGCGCAGGCCGCCTTGTTTTCCCGGCACCCCCGGATGGCCGACTGGCCCGCAGACCACCACTTCAAGTTGTGAGTGCGACCACACATACCGGTGTAGCCGAATTGATATAACTGGGGCTGCATGCACCCCGGGGGGGGGGCCCTGCTGGTACTGCCGGTGCAGCAGCATGCGGCCACGTTCCCAGAGGAGATGTGGCACGACCGCCGTTAATCCCTGGCTGTGCGAGTAATGCTCTCTGGTGTCGCGAGTGTTCGTTGTCTCTCCCTTCCCACCTCCATCCCCCTTCCCCTCCCTCCTTTAAATCGCGTGTGGTTCGTCTTTCCCCTCCCTCCTTTCCCGCATATGATTTCCCCCTTCCCCTCTCTCCCCGTCTCCAGCTTCGAGCTGCAGGTGGAGGAGGTCCACCTGCTGGACTGGTACGGTGGTATGGCGATCATCAGCGGGGAGGACTATTACGCAGCGCTGGAGGCAGATGAGTTATGAGCGCCATTGCAACCCCGTGGCCAATGTGCCTCTTCCTGGGGACCAGGGGCCGCAGACCTGGCTCGCGCCTTCCGTTCCTCCTGGACCCCCTCGCTCTCGGCTCGCGGCCCCCGTCTGGAGGGCTGAGAGGAGGGGGGCGGAGGGGGGGGGGACGGTCCGCGTCCCCCCTCCCGGGGAGCAGTCCGTCCTCACTTACGACTGGGGACGGCCCAAGAGTCAAGCAGCGGGGCCGCATCGTGCATGCCTTGTCGCGAGCACCGGCACGTGTAGGGCTGAGCGACGTATTTCTGAGGAGGCGCTGAAGGCGGCTGCTAGGGCTCGGGAGCGTGCTGGTCGCTGGTGGGTGGGGCTTTGGGGGCGTGAAGGCGCGGGTCAGTTTTGCACGGCGCCTTTGCAAGCTTGGGCGTCAGGCGGGCAGGTCGGCAGGTGCATGGGCTGCTGGGGCTTTGCCGCATGCAGTGTGTTGCACGATTGCCATTGCTTCGCGTTGTTTTGCTGGTGGTGCGCTAACGTACTCTTTACTGTATTGGGAATATGTGCGGTTGAAGACAGGACGTCAGCACGTCAGCTGAACGACACGTGTCAGGGCGAATGGGCAGTGGACGATGGAGCAGACTGTTTGTGAAGTACACAGCAGGTTGTTGTTATTGTTTTTGTTGATGGTGGGTAGGCGCCATCGGAGCGGGCGGAGAGGGAGCGGCTGTTGCTCTGCTGGCTGTTACTTTTGGTTGCTTAGGGAACAGCAATGGCCCTATCGCACGAAAAACCCTCCTGTTTGTTATCTCTCCTTCGCCTCGTATCTGTTATTCGTTCTTGTGGAAAGGTGCATTGGTAATGGTAATGTCTTTTGGTGACCCGGGGAGTTGAGGGGACCCCTCCTGGCCGCCGGGTTGGTCGAGTTGGGGATTGCGACATTGCATTGCTTGAGGAGGGGGTGCGGCTTGTGTGGGGATTGAACAGAGGGGAGGGAGAGATACGCCTGTTTGCCTTAATAAGCATTTCGAAACTGGCTCTGGGCATACCCGCTCCAGAACCGCCACGCAACCGTCTTACATATCTGTCGGCCATGTGTTTGCTTAGGACTATCCCAGATGGCCAGATTCCTTCCACGAGGGCAGCTTAGCTTTCCACTGGATCATACGCAAAGGAACATCTGCCACATCTAGTACTCATCAGTAGTTTTTTTGCATCATCAGGACACGCACTCGATATCAGTGGCCAAATCTACGTCGCATACGTATTTGTAATTAGACATACTTGGACATGTAAAAGCTCAACAAGCCTACACACATCGCGTATGGCGTCTGTAGTTCCCAGTTCCCTCTGTCCTTGCCAGGGGTTCAACATCCGTCACTCTCGACTTTCACCTACACCGATCTAGGCAGCGCAAACGTGCTTCGTGCATGAGGGTATTATGGATGCCCCATGATGACTGTTATGCTTGCCATGCACAAAGATGCAATGGTGCGTAGAGGACGTTCAGGTGATGGCACCGGTCACAATCTCCTATTTGCAGGATCCCTTGCAAGTAGACAGCTGAAGAGGTGATCTCAGGAAGGTGTAAGATACGCCTCATGCAACTGTGTGATTTCCCCAGAAAAGTACTCCTCAATTGCATGTCGCTGAGCAGTGGAACAGTAGAAGGGTGGTGCAGTGCCTACAGGCCAAGGGAAGGTTCACATAATGTTAATAATAACGTCGTCTGGCGTTACTCTGGTCTAGCTAGTAGAGGCCAGTAGCCAGATAGACTCGACCCAAAGACCAAAGGATGCAGCTTAAACGTGCATTATCACAACCTGAGACAAAAAAACATGCAAAGGTCTTTAATTTTGGGGGGCTGTTCGCCTCCAAGGTTTGCTCAGAGGTTTGCCTTTACTCCGAAAAGGATGGGAACACCATCTGTCGCAATTGCAACAAAATTTAAGCTAAAATTCAGGCTTTAAAATAATGTGCACAAATATGGATTATTTTTGGGGTACTCAGAACCATGAGAAGCTGTTACTGGGGGACCCAATGGCGAACAGGTGATGACGTCAATGACAGCAGTACGGCAATTAAACAGAAAATTGGCGACGCCGGCTCAAATTGCCTTGTGCGTGCAACCGCTTTTATTATTGGCTTATTTTGGTTTGCCCCTATATAGTAATCCATTCTGACAGAGGGTTATAGCCTTCTGTGCAGCCGCCAACCTTCGCTGCCACCGCCCATCGTCCTGCAAGGCTAACGAAGCATTCCCCAGATGGCTCCAGCTTGGTCACTGGCCATGACTCAAGATGAGACCTGCAGCGGGTGAGTTCGCAATGGGCGTTTGAGGGCTGCGCACTAGCCAGTAGGACAGCGGAGCCAAGAACTTTCGTCTGGCGGCTTGTTCTCAAGGCCGACTGCTTACTCATATGCGCTTGTATGTGCTTCGTTCGCTTTGACAGCCGGTGCCTGCAACGAATGTTTTCCACGAGTCGCCGCAACCTGGGCGCCATGCTCCGATGCAAAAGGCATATCTGTAGCACTTCGGTTCTTCAACATGAACTGGTTTTGGATTGCAGTGGAAGCTTTTAGACGTGAAGAGATAGCATAAAAGCTATCTTGAATGGAGGCGTGTCGATATCTGTTTATCTGAATTTCTTATGTTTTAAATGACGGTTTCTTGACTTCAAAAGATGTAAAATATATATATACAGTATGTTACCATGCGTCGTCGCTGGCGATTGTCCCAACACTTCTCCGCTTTTGCTGAACTGCATTCTTCTTGCCTTTGCAACTTCCCTACAGACCTAACGTTGGAGGCCTCGCTGCAGAGTATCGCACTGTGGCTTCGTCCCGCTCTTCATCTCGCTCTACACCTTATGAGGAAGATTTGGCACCCGTCAGCCGGCGTGCCTCATACGGCGCCATGGACCCGGTTTCGCCTGTCAACCCTTGCTGGGCGCTCGACACCGCTTCTATGATTTGCCCATATTGGAAGGTACTAGTTGCTTCAACCCAGTATGTCCAGATGAACGATGGCTACTTCGGCGGTTACTCATGGCCTCGCGTCGTGCCGCCGCCCAACGTATTCAACATCTGGAACCGTGCGGCGAGCGCATGCTGAACAAGGCAGAATTTAGGAATTGCTGTAGTCATGCGAAAGGTATTGTATTGTTTTTGATCTGTGGCAGAGTGTTGCCTTATGTCTTCCGTCTTCATCAAATGAAACTATCGTATTGGGAGGTTGAATAATCCCCGTTTGTCACATAAAAATTATATAAAAATTTCCAAATGAAAAACGAAAAATGCTGCTTTTCACAGCACGTGCGTTATGGAAGGTTTGTTTGGGCGTGATTAGGTACTTACGGCTGGGTGGGCTCCACATCCCGACTACACACGGAGCTGCACTGGGTATGCTGTGATCAGTAGCGAATCAAGAAAGCATGCATACCTACTACTTAGTATATTGCGCATCTTTTTACTTTGGAGCCACTGGTTTTGAAATGTCGAACAAAAGCCTAAATATTGCATACAGTACCCGGCGCGCGCGCCGGGCAATTTTTCCTGCTTTGCGTCTGAGAGGAGTATTTAGGCATTTCGAGCTTACTGATGTCGTTACGAAGGTTTTGCTTTTTTATCTAGGTCAGGTGTTTTACCTTTATTAGGCTCCCAAGTAGTTCTATATAATGCACATGTTGACGTGATGATGTTTGGTGAATGCCGCGAAAGTTTTTCGGCGGTTGCGTGACGGCTCCGACTCCGACCAGCGTTCATCGGCGTTGGAATAACGCCGGCGGGGGTGCGTGTGGAGGTCACTGTGTTTTTTGTCTAGTTTGGAGCGAGCGGGTGTTTTTCGAGGGGAATTGTTTAAGGAGTATAAGTGTATTACAGAGGGGCCCATAACCTTTGCTGTCTGACAATTGTGGAATCGTTGAGCTTGTGTGTGTCGCGGGGTCTTCCGGACTACTTCACTGTACGGAGATAGAAATGGTCCTGCACAGCATTTGACTATACGCAGGGGTGGGTCAACGCACTCGGAAATTCCTACGTGCCCACGAGTGGGCAGACCTCCGCTTGTGCCAGTGATATGGATATGCGAAGCCTGTTGTGTGTGTGAGTGTGTATGAGTTTTACTAGGTCCTTGTGTGCCGTGGAAACGTCTAGCAGGCGTGCCCTGTCGTATACTGTATTTGCAGCTAGCCAGGTTGCTGCCCTTTGTCATTAGCTGATTTATGTTGCATGTCTTTTTTCCTTTTGTGTTGCTATTCTTGACACCTTATGATGTCTGTGAAAGAGGCATACCTACCTACCGGTCATATGGTCAGGGCTTCGCGGCGTCGGTCATGCATCCTGTCGACTGCGGCACGGGCATGAGATGGCGCCTTTAATGAATTGATAAAATGTAGTTGATAAAGGATGAAGAGATCTTTTCTTTGAAGCAATTAATAGCTTTGTTGCGCGGCACTTGTTCGCAGTTTGTGGCCCGCGGGTCAAAGCAGGAACTGGCTTTATTGTGGAACCACTGGCGTGCTTTTGAAATATTATCATTGGCGTCTGTCGTCGGTTTGGTCAGTTGCTTGGGTTGCGCTTGTTCTTATGGTTGTGTTCGAGGCACACCGTACCATACAAGCCATGTTGAAGTTGAGACGAGGTCTGTAATTCTGTAAACTCCGGCTTCTTCGCGTTCATACATTTATCATGGCCTCAACTGGTCCTGATAGAGACAGGATATGGAGCTTTCAGCGGGTCGAGTATTGGAACGATAGGTACAAACAGCGCCTTCACGAGCAAGCGGATATTTTTAAGGAACGTACCTTTGATTGGTTATGTACATACGAAGCTGTCCGCGAACAGATAGATCCATACCTAGACGATGCATTCCTAGCGTTAGACTTAGGGTGCGGTAATGCTGACTTCGCAGCAGCCGTATGCGCAGCTCATCCCTTGCTTCACATTACTGGCATTGATTACAGCTCTTCGCTCTTTGACTTATGTGGCAGCTCACTGGGACCGCATCACCGGACGGAATGGCTGGTCATGGACGCGCGGGCTCTTGCCCTCCGAGGCGGCATCTTCGATGTTGTCCTTGATAAGGGGTGTCTAGATGCATTATGTGCGGGATATGATCAAATATCCCTGCTGCGGAGCTGGGGTCGGGAAATCACCTGCGAAGAGGAGCGCCGAAGCCAAGCAGCGAGGGCAAGCGTCTTACAACTGCTGCGGGAAGTGGAGCGTTGCCTACTGCCCGGCGGCAGGTGCGTGCGCGCACAGCGCCTACAGGCTTTGAGTTGCACCTGTGGGTTCGGGACGGGAATATCGCCACAATGCATTCGCCAAATTGTCCTCCATGGATGAGAGTCGAAACTTACACAAGCTACCTGGTGGTTTCTGAGTGTACCCCCTTGCGTTGCGCCTAGGTGGCCATCTGTGGTCCCTGTGGCTCTGCACGTATTATTACGCGAGGGGCCAAACCAGGGGTCAGGCGTTAGGGTAGCACGCCATCCGTATCATCCGTAACATCCCTCTCCGTAAGACAGGTGGCCTCGGCCGGCCAACCAGCTTGGCGACGCGAGTTCTAATTCCACGTAGGCCGGTCAACACATTTTCTTCTGCCACGTTGATTGCCGTGATGCCGCTTCCTTGGTAGGTACATCTGCATCAGCTATGAGGGCCCGTCGGGGCGGCAGCAGTTCTTCGAGGGCGCTGTCGAGTCGGCTCCTCTGTCTCTCACGCTGGTGCGGACCTTTGTGGAGGAGAAAAGCCACAACTACGTGTACGTGTTCCTTAAGGGACCATTGCCAGCTGCGCAGCTATCGCCCGGCTCAGCACCGTCGGTGCGCATGGGCGGTACTGGGGCTGCTGCTGGTAGGGCTGCTGCCGCAGCTGCCGCCTCCGATTCGGCGGCAGGCGTACAGGAAGCCCCCAGGGCCCCTGGTGGACCACAGCTGTAAGCCATTAACGCTAGGGCGCTGAACCCCGCCTCACCCCCCTCTTCACACGGCCGCCGCCGCCGCTACCACTACCACGGGGCTGTCACGGCCTCCAGCGTGCAGAGCTTCCTTGGAGAGGGGCCACCTGCTTCCTCTGGTGTCATACGGACCTCTATGACCTTCCCGGCTGTGTGTGAGCACTACGGCTTTGAGCAGCATTCGATTCGCATGTCCGTGGCCTGGAAGGTGCGCATCTGAGCGCGGCTCTCACGTCCGGCGATTGTGTGGCTGCCCTGTTATATTTGCCGTTAGCGAGGTGGAATTCCGGAATGGGAGCGGCGCTGTGGGGATGGGAGACCGGGGCACTGCGGGGACATCGGACCCTGCACCAGCTCCCCAGGCGGCTGAGGGGACCCGTGGAGGGGTCCTCAGGGATGGTGGTGAGGGGGCCCGTGGCGGTGGGGGTCTGTATGTGAGGGTGTGTTTACGTGTCTGTGTATTTGTGTGTATGTATGGCGACATCTGTGGTTGGTAGCTCCCCGCAATGAACCCCCTACATGGCCCCGTGTCCAGGTGGCCGGGGCGCCCAGGCGGGAGCTGCGCCCTGTCGGCAGCTGCGGCAACAGCGGTCCCCAAGGGGATGCGGATCTCCCTGCGTGCGTCGCCATCCTGCTCGCTCTTTCTTGCTCCTTCACGCTTGGAGCGCTGCCTTCCCATCCCTTCTGTCGGTCGGTCTCGCGTCGGTTCGGATCTTGATAATGCAGTGAGATAATGCAGTGTTGTGGGGCGCATTTTATCTTGTCAGGGTTGCCTCTTTCTGTTTGGGGCCGGTGTGACTGTTGGAGCCGGGAAAAGCGGCAGTATGCGGGTGTGACACGTTCTCTACAGAATTTCCCACAATTTCACTTCACCCGAAAACACGGGTAGCTACTTCATCTTCCCCTGGCTGTGCACCTGTCCAGCACCATTTACTGGCGGCTGCTTACGTGCCTTTGTGCAGTTATGACGTTTCCTGCTTGCCTTTGTGTTGACTTGGATCATCATGCATTGCTAAGCTTTGGGTAAGGCAACTCCTTCCAAACTTATACGACACAGGGACAGCTCAGTCCCCTAGGTTTACGGCGTGAGCGCGTATGCAGTTTTTCGGCGCCACTGCGTCGGTTGCAAGTAACGCAGCGTTCCGATGCCAGCTCGCAGCTACCGCGGGTAGCTATTTATGTTCGCCCCATGATGGTGTTACTCGGGGAATGGGAAATCAAGATGCAGAGATTCAATGCTTATTTAGTGTTAGAACTTGCTGTTTGAGCTGATGTAGGGCCCATCTGGTGCCCACCAGTTGTGCAGGGCCGTGCCCATCAGACGTAAGGCCTGCATGACTTCGTTCGACAGAACTGTCACTTGGGTCATGTGTCGGCGGCGAAATAGAGCTTTGCAAGGCCAGCAATAGCGGTCGTCATTAGGAATTCAGTGTATTCGGTGCCTAGACGCGGCCGCCTGCTGGACGTGAGGTTGCGCGAACCCATGCTGTCGGTCGGCGTTCCAGCGCCATCTCTGTACGTATCGTTTGAGATCCCACCCAAATGCTTATTGTATCCATCTTCATGCGATGGTTTTCGCAGCTCTGGTAATCATTGTCTTTTGGGGGTCGACAACAGCAAAATGGAGCCTTGGGACCGACAAGCCTGCCAATAATGGCATGTGGTAAGATCATATTTTACGGCGTCAAAGCTACATTTTGATAAGTACCATGCATGTACTGTGCTATGACATTTCAGGGCAAACCCTAAGTCCGCAGCGGCGTAGTAACTCCTATCTACTTGTAATCTCAGTCGCTCCGCAGCGCCGCGTAGGAAGCAAGATCATTAACGGAAATAAATGAGGAAATGTGCAACAGGAATGGATGCGTTTTGGTGAAGGGTAATGTGTTTGGCTATGTCTTAGCCGGGACACCGGAACGGGATCTGTAACGTCGATGGCATCATATCAATCAAGCAAGGCAGAGCTTTTCGCACATTTTGATGAGTCGATACTAAAACATAAGGAATTGCGGAAAGCTGGTTTTGGCGCAACTGGCTCTGCTGTCCTCGGATAACTCCTATCCGCTTGAAAATTCACTTGATCAGTGAGCTCAGTCACCGGTCCAGGTGAATAACAGAAAAACAGGAGAACCAATAGCAACTAGAACGAGCTCATTCCGAGTAAGTTTTTGGATATGTCTTAGCCGGGACGGAGGAACGGGAACTGTAACCCCGCTGGTCCCCCATTTACGTCAAGAGTATGTATATATCACCAATGGCAATGACAATGCTGTAGTACAGGCTTGTGCAGCGGCAGTGAAAGCCAGTCCTAGATATTAGAATGCGAACCCATCACCACTTTTGAGCTTTCTTGTTCCATAATCCTGGGCACGTGGCCTGATTAATACCAGAAAAACATGAGTATTGGTTACAATTGGATGATTGATGAGGTGTAACTTGTGTTTAACATGCCATGCCGGCCGGCCGGCCATCGTGCACCGATATGGAGAGTTTAGGGTCATTTGTAGCACGTGTGCGATTGTCCTTGTTCCTGCGCAACACAATGCACTCCATTTTGCAGGTCTAGGGAAGATGACGCCTCCTTGATACAGGGCAAACCATTGCTTGTAATCTTGGCTTTCTTGTGTATTACTTCCAGCAATGCGCAGCAGCTGTGGCAGCCATGTATATTTAATGTTGGCTCTTTGGTGAAAAATTAACGAGCGTCGCTGTGGATGAAGGCAGGCGGGTGACAAGTTTCGCATGAATTGACTACAGCTTGAATGCAACAGGAGTGTAGGCTGCTTGCGGCTGTACGGCAGCTACTATAAAGCTATTCCTGACCTCATTGGTAGGGCACTTGAAAACGGTTCTTGGCTGCAAAAGTGGAACTGTTCGGCTGGGTTCTGGACAGGTCAAGCGGAATAGCCACTGCCACCCGAGCTTAGTCTTTGCAGCGTGGGTTGGCTCCTCTGGACCAAACCGCGCAGATGTGAGGTTTTCGACAGGCACCCAGTAGGTGGCATTAAACCCAATCTATATCCAACTCCATCACTTGCGTCGTGCACTACCAACCATAAAACCAACAATGGCACGGCCACTGAGCGTCCAATCGGTAACGACAATAACCAAGGAGGTACTCTACAGGGATAACATTGCAGGAGGCTCCGAACTCTAACAGCCTGGAGGTTAGGGCGCATCCGCCGTTCCTCATCAAGAAGTAATGAACTGCCCTTCAGGTAAATGCTGCCTCTTCAGCCGCAGATGTCAGCCTGCAGTAGTATAAAAGATTAGTGCGGTTTTGTTAGTATCCCGGCTAGCAGCTCTTGGTTACTGTTAGAGCGGGGCAGGAGATCCCCGTTCCGACAGCGCCAAAATCACATAACGCGGCTTTCCCCCATCTCACCGTTGTGAACGTCGTCGGCAGCCCTGCCTCCATTTCGGCGCTACTGTAGATGATGTGTGTATGGATATCGCTGGTGTACTCCAAACCAGACAGCAGCTTGGGCGTCAGCAGGAAGCACTGCGGCGTGTGCTCCTCCGTGCTGGCGGCCACGAGCTGTTTGTACACCTGTCCATCAGCATGAGCACAGGGAGGGCGACCGTCTGCAAGATGCAACTGTTCGTCAAACCACTAGGATTTCCTAGAAAGCGCGGAACTCGGTCTTGGCGGGATGTTTGTAGCTGTTGACTGACGACTATAGCATAGATGCCGCGTCGACGTGTCGATGAATTGCAACAGAAGATCTTCGAACGACCCGCATTTGAGCCGCAATAGCGTGCCATAAAAGCCGGTTGCAGTATTTGAGGCAGAGCTCGCCCAACATCGCGGCAATGGCGCACGGTTACCGCGCCAGTAGCACAGCCCGCTAACCCTACCTTGCGCTCGTTGATGGGGTCCATGCCCTGGTTGATCTCGTCCACGACGCGGAAGGGGGTCGCCGTGACACCCTATGGGCAGGAGAGTTCGGGAGAGGCGTGCCCAGCGGATCCATAAACTGTTAAGGGACAGTCCTGCGTGCTAGGTGGTGGCCCCCTCATGTCTGAAGCCGTGGGACCGTGACAACGGAAACAGTACTGGTGGATGGAATAATGTGTGTTGCGATTGCGTCTCAAGGGCTATGAGCGCTTTGGGAGGGAGGGCCATGTTCGGGCAGGGAGGCGAGCCACGTTTGGGCAGGGAGGCGAGCCACGTTCGGGCTACTAAGCTAAGTATGTCTCTATAGCGCGCTCATTGTACCGGTGTTATCTTATGGAGGGGACCTGACTTCATTAAATGTGAGTTTAGGAGGGGCAATGGTTAATCCTATGGTCCGGGAGCAGCGCGCAAATATGTGGTCCGTAGTAGGGGTGAGGAACCCGACTATGGTTCCCCTCTACCGCGAGCTGTCGCAGAGGCCGCTCCAGTTCCATTGGGACAACCTTGTATTTAGGTTTTGGAATTCCATGGTTAAAAAGGCCGGGGATGCTGTGGCGGAGTTGGCGCTGGAGGGTGTTACTGAGTGCTGACGAGCAAGGTCCTAGCCTATGCGGCCATCACCAGCATGCGTGGTGATAACCTCATAGCGCACTACGCCACCCTTAAATTGCTAGTGGGGAGCATACGAAAGGAATTTGCTAAGCGTCTGAACGCGTGGTGGGAGTGTCCTGATATCCTGGGTGACCCCCGCGCTTTCCCCAGTGGAAGTAGCGGCATCAAGGCTTGCCGCTACCTGAACTCCCTCCCTACGGGTGCGCGTCTCGAGTGGCTGGTGCACACTGAAGTAACAATGCCCCAGCATTGCATCAAGTGCTCATGCGTTTCCAGTGGGGCTGTTGGGAGTTAACCGGCCAGACGGCCGTGAGCGCACCGCGCGTACCTGCAGGCTCTGTGACTGTGGAGCGGTTGAAGACGATTGCATGTTTTAGCGGAAAACCCTAAGTAGACGGAGACCTCGTTTTTTAAGGGCGCAGCATGCGCACCATTATAGACCGAGGCACCGCCCCTGGCATTGGCCAGGGGAAGTCTGGAAAGTCTGGCAGGTCAGATACGTTGCGCTAAGGTGCTTCGCGCTGAAGCGGACGAGGGCGAACGGTAATGGCCCCCCGCATACCCGCATAAACATCAATCTACCGTCTATGGGCCCCCGGCTTTAATAGACACCCCCGCACGGGTGTGTGTGTGTATGTGTGTGCGGAACTCGTAACCTGCTTGGATAGTCAGTCGACAACCTAGGGGTTCAACAACCTTCCTGCTTGTTCCGTAGATAATTAGACACCCCTGGCGTGCGAGGCACCGCATCGGGCGTCCCCGTGGGCTGCGGCATCCCCATACTACGACACAACGAACCTGTAGCGCGATCAGATACAGGATGGTTGAGACGCTGCGCTCGCCCCCGCTCTGCCGGGTGCCGGTCAGCAACTGCATGTCCTCCTGCACCCGAAACTGCACCCTGCAGGAAGAGTAAAATCAAGGGTACGAGACCAAGAGGAGCTTGAGTCAGCTACTGTGGCTTCGGCACAGCGCCCACGGGACAGGCAACCACGTGCTCAAGACGCATTACATCGCAGGCCGCACACAGCCGCGTAAGCAGCCACATGAGATAACGAGGCTTGAAAGCCACGCCCAATGTTTCCATAGGGCGCGTTGCTGCCTATAAGCGAAGCACCTCTCTTCATCCCCCAACGTAAGGAGGAAGCAGACCTACCGAGCCGCATGCCATGGCTTCCCTCTTCCCCAAAAGGAAACAAACTAGTAAGTGCGACAATGGACTCCAGACGCCGCGCCGTGACTGATTGACGCACACCGGCCCCCTGCTCACAGAATCTGGATGGCAAACTTCTCGAAGTCCTCGTCCTCGTGCAGCCGGACCTCCCCGGCACAGCCGATCTCCTTGAAGTTGTTGGAGAAGGACGCGTTGATCGTGGAGACCATATTGCGGATCTCTGGGAGCCACAGGCTCTGCAATACACGCAGATAACATGGCGCGCTGATGTGGTTTGGAGTTTTCATGGTAAGGGATATAACGGTACAGCTTGCACCTACTGCATGTGACTACCCCTAAACTGCCCATACGCTCAGACCGTGGGTCGTTGCCATCGCAAATCAAGGCAACCCGCGGCAACGGTTCGCATTGACGCTAAAAAAGGATTACCATGAAGAAAGCCTGTGGCCGCCTTCCCTGCTCCGTAAACAGCTACGATTCGGAGCTCATAGACAAGGACCTGGAGCCAACAGCACATGCTGGCTTGCAGCTACCCGCGGTCGCTACACTACAATCAACAGGACCGGCAAATGGAAGCCTGCGTGCAGGATGGTCTATGTCTTCCGCACCTGGGCGTCCTCAATGCTCCCTCGCAGCTGCTGACACCGCTCCTCGTGCTGCTTCATCTTTTCCGTGAGATGCGTGATCTCCGCCTGGCGCCTGGAGGGTGCACAGCAGGGTACGGATACAGGTGCCGAGCATTTCTTCACCGCTGGAAGAAATTTAAGGGCTTAATGGACACCCCTTGAGTCCGAGGCACAGCACAGGTGCTGTAGTGCTCGCCACAGCAGAGAACGCTCAGGTGGACCGCTGTTGGCCCGCCAACCAGCACTTCGATACCTAATCGTGCAGCCCAAACAGTTCGACGCTTGCAATAGGTGCCAGTAATACTTCTGGCACTTCCTCAGGTAAGGGTGCAGCAGCACTTCAGACCCCGGCTATGACTCACTTGCGGAACTCGTTCGCCACGTTTTGGTTGTTGCACACCACCTGCTCCGCCTCCGCCGCCTTCGCTTCTGATGCCTCACGCAGCGCGCTGGGTTGCACGCCCTCCGCCGCCAACCGTTTCACTTCTTCCCTGCACGCCACCCCGATTGAATGGTTCGTATATTTCCAGAGTGTAAACAAAAGGCCAGGGGATTGAGAGGACCCGAGCATGTACGTATGCATGGACATACATCACCAACATGTGGAGCTGTTCAGCCATTTCCCCCAAGGCAGGACCACATGATGACGGTCGCGGCAGACTCACTTGTCTGCTTCGCTGAGTGGGTAGTTCTCCGTGGCGTTGTCCATGGTGCATTTCAAGTCGCTCTTGGCGGACTTCAAGGCCTCCTCGGCGGTGTGGGCTGCATTGCGCGCCGCCTGCAGCTCCTTCTCGCGCTTGTCACGACTTGCCTTGAGCGCATTGAGCTGGAGGCAGTGCAGCAGGCAGCGGAGGCGTCATTGGCCTGGCCTACCAAGCCGATGCATCACTAACACCGCCTCAGCGCAGTTCGACAGCAACGCGAACATCAGCGTAAAAGGCAGCAGTGTAAGGCACGCATCGGGAGATCATGCACATACAGCTAGAGACATGACGCTCCAATTTAATCAATAATGCAATGCTAAGGGTTTTGCCGACGGAGACACACCCACAAGTGTGTACCTGCGCGGTCGCTTCGTAGAACCGTAGCTCTAGCGCCTGGAACTTCCGCATGTGCATCCACAGATCTTGCGCGGCGGCCAGTACCTGCTGGCTCTGTTGTTCAAATGGGGACAGGGGACAAACGAGTCAGCCCAGTGCAACGATTGCTCCAACCCAATGGAACTCCCAAACACACTTTCGAACAGCAGCAATAAGCTGGCTGTGCGCCATACATACTTCACTGCTGCAGCTACAAACTAGCCGGTCAGCAGGTTCTCGCGGTGCGCTGGGTGGGGAGGGACAAACAAGACCACCTGTTTCGTGATTTCGACAGGGTTTGACAGACCTATATACATCTAGATGCAGGCAACAGTCCCACGGCTCTAAGTCGGCGAAATTACAGTGCCCGCCTGCAGGGTTCCCCCGCGTCCCCGTCCCACCAGGCTCGCCAAATGCGTAATTTTCTCGTGGATGCCGCGCCGTATCTCGGGCCGTCGCAGCTCCGGGTCCGGCACGGCCTCCTTATTCCGCAGGGTCCGCTGAGCGTTCGCAACGGCGGCCATGAGGTCAGTGCGCCTGAGAGGGGATGGCTTGGCAAAACGGCATTAAAAGGCACCGGCGTCGCTGTCGCTCCCATGAAAGTCCCTTTTGCACCTAGAAAACTCGAACACGCCGCAATAAGGGCGGACACGACTGTTTGGAAGCCAGTATATGGCGCCGTTAAGGGTTACATATGCCAATTGAGGCCTGTAGTGCAGGAGGGCGACATTGATGTCTCATTCAAGCAGGCCGTCAGAAGCTCCCGTGGCTCCCGTTAGCCGCAATCAAAACAACCCCAACTCGTCCTCAAAAGAAACACCGTCCCCTGCCGCGGTACTTACTTGCGCTGGATGGCCTGATACTGCGCTTCCAGCCGCTTGATCTCCGCCTGCCACGCTTGCCGCTTTTGCTCGTGTTGCTGCAGCTGCTGACCTAGTTGCTCTGCCTCAGCAAGCAACCGGTCGCGCTCCTGCGGAGGGGCAGCGAGAGGGCACCAGGCGATAGCCACGTGCAAGGCTTTGCGCTCTGCATTGCCAGCAACTCTTTCAGGAGACCATCACGACGGAGTCTAAGGCCGTCATGCCGGGTGTGAATGCAATACGAGGAAAACAGGAAAACATGCAAATTACTCCATACAGTAATAGGACAGGTTGGCCTCCCCTTTCAAGCGGAGTTAACAGGTGTCAGTTCGCTGTCCCGCATTCAGCATTAAGCCTTTTGCCTGCCCAACACCTAGCGTCTACCAGGGAACCCAAGCAGCATCCCTAGTCCCCCACCCACCTGTGCCAGGGCGCTCTCCTCCCGCTGCAGCTCCGCCCGTTCTGTGTCCTCCTCGCTGCCCCCACCCGAGCCCAGCAACCGCGGCGGCTTGAGGTCGCCGTTCTCTATTGGGCGCACGGCCGCGTTGTAGCGCGAGCGAATGATGGACAGTCGGGTGTTCCCCACCAGCACCGTCCTGATGGGCGTCTCCTGGCTGAGAGCTTCCATGGCAGTCAGGGTCTGACTGCAAGGACAGGAGCAAAGGCAGGCAATCGTCATCATCGCAGCAAGACATCGCCCATTCACCTTAACACATGATAGTCCCTGGCACATCGCATGTGCAGTATGTAAGGTTACATTGCAAGCAGGATTGCAAACGCGGCTTATATGCGAAGTGTAGGAAGGGAGCTCTACTTCAGGCTGCAGCGCGGAACCGCACGGCCATAGCTCTTACCTCGTTCCGATGTAGATGTAGTTGGCGTTGCACTGCTTGACCACCAAATGCATGAAGACGGGGGCTGCTTCGATGAGCTCGTCCAAGGTATGCAGAATGCCGTATCTGCAGGGTGGACAAGTTGTATTAGATTGCGCACGGCAGGGAGCACTGGCGTGCTGCACGAAACATAGAACACCCAGGCAGTGACCTAGGAGCCCTTTCCTGACGTCCCAGCCCACGCCTGCCTTTCCTCAGGGACACTGCCAAATGCAGCTTAGCGCGCCGTCTCCTTACCCGGCATGTTGGCTGGCGGTACCCGCCGGATGCTCCACGTGGAACGGAACGTTAGGGTTGTATGACGAGCAAACGATCTTCACAGTCGGCGAGACGCCATTACGCCGGGCTTCGTCGTTTAGAAGCTTCTCGTCATGCCTGCACGGGCAATGGGCCATGAGTCGGTCAGCACAGAAGAGGCCCGCCACTGCTGACACCTGCATGCTGGCACTGGGCACAACCCAGGTCGTCAACACCACGTCACACCCGGCGCACCACCTCTCTAGTGGAGACTACGGAAAGGGCCATCAAGGCCGAGGCGCGCAATCCTGCTCCGCACCATAACGGTCACATACGCGCGCGGACGCAACAAATCACGAAGGTACTGTGCTGTTGGGCCCGCGTCTGCTATTCCACTGGTGGAACAGAAGACCACGTACTTGTTTGTGACGATGTAGGAACCCAGCCATGGCCAGCAGGAGTTCTCCACGTACTGCAGCGCCACGCTGTTGGGCATCCCGGGTGCCGCCCTGACGGATATCTCCAGCGCCAGGGGCCCGAACACGGGGCCCTGGAACGTGCCGTCCGTGCGGTGCTGCTCTATGAAATGGTGCAGAACCCCAATGTTGCGGTGCTCCTGTCCCAGACGCTGAAGCATTTGGTGCTTGCGGCTGTTCAACAGGTCCAGACGGCCTGTTGGATGCGGTCACGAGGGACGCAGGTCCATCCCTTGGGTCGCAAGCTACCTCGATGCGGCGACGTACTATATGCATAGTTCCGTAAATGGGGCAACACTAAGCCATGTAGGGGTGCCGGATTAAGGACGGTAACATCTAGGTGTCATGCCACGACTGCCGTGTGATCCGCGTCCTGCGAACTGCGCACCCCGGAGTTGTTGGAATCCGCAAACAGGCCTACGCCTCGCTGCTTAAAGGCGGGGTGTGCGCGGAAATCTGCTGCCCGGTGCCAGCACGCGGAAACAAGAGGCACGTTGCCGACCCACCTCGGACTCGCCCAATCTGCGCCTGGTGACTCTGAATCTGGAGGGTCAGGGTGTTCTGCTGGGCCTCCACCTCACTGGACTCACTGAGACTGCCTTGGATCAGGGAGCGCAACTCATGCGCCCGGTTGACCAGCTCCTGGCAAACCGGGCGGGGACGTCGACCATCGGTTTCGGCAACAGATAGCATGAACATAGGATAAGCAAAGGTGTATAACACCAAGGTAAGTCAGGGAGCCGCCGGGATGCATCTTGCCCAATGCCGGCGTAAGCCAGGCGCGGTTACTTCTCCGGCGCTATCGTGCTAAGGGTCCCATAGATAGAGCTTCCAAGCGGTACAGAATGACAACGCGGTGGAATGGCGTCCCGCCTTGTCGCGACAAAGCACGCCGTCAGGTTCAGGTTCCACAACGGTGGAGGCCGATGGGGCAGAGCAAAGCCTGCTGGCTGCGTACCTGCGGCGGTCGGTCGGGTGCCTTCGCCAGCTCCGCCTGCGCCCTCTCTAACCTCATACGTGCCGCGGTAATCTGGTCCGCCCGCTCCTTAGTTTGCTGGTCTAGGGAGGATAACTCGTCAGCCAGGGAGGCAATTTCGCTGTCCTGTAGAACATCGCAGTTGAGGTTTGCAAAGCGACGGAGGGAAGCGCGAGTTGCGAAACTTCTCAAACCCAAGATGCGGCCTGTCGCGAAGGTGGAATGGCTTGTTTGAGGGCGCTGTAGCACCCGTCTGCACCGAAGTAAACAGTCAGCCAGGAAGAGTCCCGAAGGCAGCGGACACGGTCCAACACGGCTTCGGTCAACAACAAATACTTCAACACCACACCGCATATGCATGGGCCCTTGAACAGCAGAGCCAGGGCCGGCCCGCAAGCCCGCCCAGCCCGGCCGGGCATTACGTACTTGCTTATTGAGTTTATCAGCTAATCGCCGCATGTGCGCATCCGCTTCCTTCGCCAGGCGCTCGGCCGACGTCTTCTTCTGCCGGATGTCCTTCAGGGCTTCCTCGCGATCCCTGCTCACACACGGGCCGAACGGCCGGGCCAGTGGGATGATCAGGTCGCATGAGACGGTGTTTAACGTCAAACAAGGAATTTACATTCGCGTGTGTAAATTCTGTATGACAGAGAATGCAGTCCGAATTTGCATCGGGCGTTTTCTGTCCTATGGACATACCAGCCTATCCGAGAATCCGCTCGCCTGGCTACCTGCTTGGACCACTGGCGCACCTAGGCGCGCCTGAACTACCGGGAACTGCTCCTATCTGCTGCCTTGCACGATAAGAGCACCGTGAAACGGGTGAGTGCCTACTGGAAGCTTGCGCCCAGCCGTTTTTGTACGAACTACTCAATTTGTCCAAATGTGCGGTGTTCCAAAACCTCCCAAGCGATACCCATGCGGAGTGCCGACAGCTCTGCCCACCACCGGAAGCGCGCGCATGATCCTCACGCCTCCGCACCTGATGGGGCGTATTTGCTCCTCCTGCTTGCCCTCCAGGGCCCTGCGGGCGTCCCGCTTCTCCACCCACCGCTTCTTGGCCTCATCTGCGGTCCTGCTCTTCGCAATCACATCCAGCCACTTGGCTTTGGACAGGAAGGAACGAGCCTACAGGAGCGGGTGCGACCAACGTGTAAACCCCGGAGTGCGGGGTGAAAGCCACGTGAGCTGAAACAAGCAGAGGCCTTGGCAGCAACGGAGGGCATGTCGTGGACAGCTGACACCGGCAAAGACAGGAGCCAATAATAATGTGATAATGACAAAATGACAGCTTAAAGGGAAGGCAAGACGCGCACTGAAAAAAGTAGCAGAGGGGTCCGTCAAAGCCACGGGGCCCCATGGACCGTTAGTGAAAGTTCATGTTACGGTGTCGGGGGCCGTCCTCCCGTTCTCGTTTGAACGCGAAGCGCCGGAGCGCTGCGTGCCTAGTCTCCCAGACCTCGGAGAAAAAGCTAGCTAATGCCAGCGGGGGAGTCTCGGTCATGACGGTGCGCCCTTGAAACCCGAGCTCACTCCCATACTTAGCCCTCAAGCCATCATAAGCAGCGCATTCCCCAAACACATGCAATTCGTCTTTCACCGCTCCGCAGTCGCAAAGATTGCAGGTACGTGCGCCGCGCTCACGGTCATTGGGCCTATTAAAAAGTCACCCCTAGACCGGACCCACCTCTTCCATCAGCTTCTCGCGTTTCTGGAAACGTTCATAGTCGCGCCGCTGCCGATCGTGCTCGGCCTGGAGCTTTTGCAGCCGTTCGGTGGTGGTGTTGAGGTCCTACGCAACGGAACCCCAAACAACGCCGTGCACATGTTGTGACCACCTGTATCCGCCTTCAGCTTTATGTTTGGCGTCTGTGCGATGGGCGCCAGGAGGGCGTCTATATGCAGGGCCGAGCTAGCTTCTCTCCACGCAGGCAAACTCAAATCATGCCCAGTTCGCAAGGAAGATAGGGCTCTATGTCACATACCGCAATTTCTTGTCTCTCTTCCTTCCGCAGGTTAATGAGTAACTGGTGTTGTTCGTGCAGCGACGCATCCCCCACGGCCATCAAGGTAGCCCCCAACAGTTCGTACTGGTCCATCTTGGCGAACTCAGCCACCTTATCTTGCGGTAGAAACTATCGCCATGACCACCAGTGAGAAGAGGCAACGGAGGCGGGGGGGTGGAGACGGGGAAGAGTTAGCCACGCAGCTTTCTGTGTTCTGCGCTCTTGGACGTGACGCGAGGCCTCAGAGCTGCGTGGCTTGGCGGGATAGGCTGAGGGGACCTGACCTTCGAGCCTACTAAGTTTTCCGTAGTACGGACACTAGGGACCCTGATATCAGTACACCTGATGGGGCCGCCCCGTTGGCCAACTGCATAAAGCAGTAATGAGGGCCTGACCGCACGGCGTGCTTGCGCCCAGCTATAATTGTTGGCCATCACCCCAGTAGGCCCTACACCCACCTGGCAGAGGTTGCCGAATTGGATGTTCAAGCGCTTAATGAGCTTATCGACCTCCTTCGCTGTTGCATCGACGCCTGCAGGCAAGGGGCCGTTGCGACTAATCTCACACTGACCGCTGAGCACCAGACGACATACGTTCAGGGGATGTCTGTGGTCTGTTGGACATTTGAAGTTCCCATGTGAGCCTCATGATCAGGTAATGGCATATAACCATAATGGCAAGTTGTGCTGGCCTGTACGATGCGGGCCGGCCCCATCTGCTGCCCCCTACTGCAGAATTACAGCCCTGATGCTGCCATGTGCCTCATGTGAACCAACAAAGGGCCACAAGGGCCCGGGACCTTTCATTGCGTACTGACGCTTGATTCCCCCTCACCGCTCCCAGTGACGCGTCTCGTCGGGATCTGGAGATGGACAGCGCGGTTAAAATAGCCCGATCTTCGGCGCATAGGACTGACCTCGCAAAGCGGAATTCCATGCCCAGCCTTGTACACTAACTGGATGCCACATGGCCGTCCTGGCACCATGAAACCATTCTCGAGCCACAGGCTTACCATTGATCTTCCATTTACTTTCGGAACGCTCCTTCCGCTCTCCGTTGGGTTCTCTATCTACACGCACTGTAACCGTGCGCTTCACCACATAGTCACGTCCTTCGCCACCAGAACTGAGAGTGATCTCAGTCCAGAAGGAGTGCATTCCTCGTCTGACGAACGCTTTGATGTCATCGGCACGACCTAGCGTCTGCGAGGGTGGATGGGGCGGTTACGGGATGGCGGGAGGGGTTGTGGGATTGATGCAACGAGACATCAATCTTTCCAGAACGGTGCATGACGTCGGGGCGGCCAACAATACCGACACCGAGACTGCAAAGGCGAGAGGATTAATAGTGCAGGGCAACGCATAACTCGCGTCTCAGGGTCCTACCTTGGGCGAGCCGTTAAGGCCCAAGCAAAGCGCACAAACGAATGAAGATTTGCCCGTTCCTGCAAGCGGAAAGGAATACATACAGTTAGTCGGTCAGGTCCCGACACCGCAACACCTGAAGGCGCTCAGGGCAACCACAAAACCCCAGGCATCCCAGTCTGCCCCAGGCCTGCATCCAGTCTGCTCCCATGCCACAGAGATGCGCTCAGGTGCACAGCCTTAACCCCGACTCGACTTCCCACCATACCATTTGGTCCCAGGACAAGGTTCAGTCGCGGTCCCGGCAGGATGGTAACGGTTCCGTTGTACGTCTGTGCAGGCGAACAACAACGGCAGGTCACAATACATGTGTCGTAGGAAGCATGCAAAAGGTTCAGTGGACAGGATTTTGCAAGCTCAGAAGATGGCGATGAGGTGACCCAGGGAATTGCGACAACCTCATCTCTCTTACCATGAAGTCATGCACCTTAACCAGCTTCACAGCTCCCTTCGCAAAGAACATCGCACTGTGCACAGAAAAGCTTGAGATACTACACCATTGTAGTACAGTGGATGCTTCGAAACTCCTCAGCAGACTTACGCCCGGTTGCTTGCCGAAGGCCCGGCACCGTCGCCAGCTACCAGTGCTCCTTCTTCGTCATCCTCCATATCCTCCGCGTCCTCATCTGTATAATCGTTTTCGTTCTCCTCGGATCCACCTTCGCGCTCCCTCTTAATGCTGGGCATCGCTCAAGAACGGAGGAAGTCCACCGCGAGGAGAAGAATCAGCAGGAAAGCGTCTTTAAGGGCCAAACGATGATAACATTGTCACAATTGGTCAGCTGCTAAGCTAGATTAGAGCGGTAAGCCAACGCGTAAGGACAATTTTTAAAAGTCATCGTAACATGGCGAACAGCGCAAACAAGTTGCGCCAAGAATATGCAATCTAATTTTTAATCCTCTTAGGAGATTTGCACCTGCGGCTTTCCCCACAGCATACACAACGTCTTCCATAATTCAGCATGGCGACAGCATGCACAGCACATACGACAATGGAGATACAATCCATGCGGACCCGTTGACCATCGTCCATCTTAAACGTAAACTTTCTTGACATGTTCCGAAGTCTATACCTGCCTACACATGTGCACAGCGGAACCTACAGGTCCGACAAAAAGAAGTGAATTGCCATCAGACTGTGAACTTCACAAAATGGGCAACGGCGAGGCCACAAACTCAGGTCTTCCTGACAACATTGTTGTTATCCGTCACGGCCGCAGAGAAGATACGGACAACCCTTCGTGGCATATCCAAGCCCGCTTTCCCTTTGATACACCTTTAGCTGACGTAGAGCATGAAATTGCTGGGGCAGCAAAGAGATTGAAAGAGGCAGGGCGGTCTTTTGATGGTGCGTCAGTTGCCAAGCTCCCATCACAGGCGTGCACTTCGGGGATGGTGCACTTGCCGAACTTTTGCGGAGCTACTGTACATGGAGTGTATATTAGACTAATCCTTCATAGTATGATATTGGTTTTTCCATGTTACTTGTCGCTTGTGGTTTCACCCATCTGCCAATCCATCCCCGTGCAGTGGTCTACACGTCACCCTTCCTAAGATGCCTTGAAACCTCAGAGCGCTTACTGCGCGCGCTTGGATCCGAGCGAACACCTGTCATCGTTCACAAAGGCCTTTCCGAAGTGCATAACCCAAGTAAGGTGATACTATGCCTTGCCGCGTTCTGAGGTTAGCCGGACGAAAGATCCAAACAGGAGTAATTGGATAAGCTGTCCTCTCCTAATTAACGGAAAGTCGTTCTACGCAATAACTGCCTGGCAGTGGACTCGCTTCTTACCTATCTCGTACAGGCTGCCGTGCTACTCTTGCCCGGGTTTTTCTGTAACCCCTGCTCGTTTCAGATTCATATTTTGGCCCTTCAGATGGAACATTATTATGAAGCATACAGTTTTTAATGTTGTCGTCTTTGCTTTCCAAACCCGCTCAGAGCTCCTCTTCAAGACGAGCTATCCGTCATTCTCACAACGGGTCCGCTATTGGCTATGGCGCGGCACGTACAGGAGGCATTCACGGCCAGTCCGGCAGCGCTTTTCCAGGAAGGCACGCATCTTGGAAAGCGAATGGCCGCAGGTGCCAGAGTCCGAGCACGGCGCTGCGTTGCGGTTCCGGCAAGTCATACTTGAGCTCGCGGTGAAACACCCAGGGCAACAAGTGAGAAGCTGCATGTGTCTTTGATTGTAGACCGAATTCGCCGCTGGCCAAGGGCAGACACCTGGCCTAACTGAAAGGCCGTTGTATGCACTAGAGGGGCTTGAGGGCACTCCGCTAGCCTGTGATGACTATCTCATCCTGCCATGCTCCCTACGAGAGGATAGCACAAAGCCGAACTGAACGTAGCCCTGGTCGGGTGTGCAGGTGCTGATCGTATCGCATGGCAAGTCCGTCCAAGTAGCACATGAGGCGTTGGGCTGCACGGAGCGTTTGCAGCAAGTGGGCTTTGCGGGCTTCATTTCCTGCTGCCCCAGGAACAAGCAGCAGGAGCAACAGCAGCCGGGGGACCAAGGCGGCTCTGGGGCAGCAGCTGCCGTGCGGTGGACAGACTTCGAGCTCGATCCAAAGGGTCCATCCTTCAACGTGGATTTTTACAAGGATGATTAAAGCAACTGAGGCATGCTGGATCCTCCTGGGAAGCGCTACCAGCGCCAGCTGCATTTTGTCATGGGGTAACGGCATCAGGAATGTGAATTGTCGTGCTGAAATGTGCGCGAGCCTTGCCGCCTCATATTTGGATGGCCAATCGCTGGTGTCCGCAGCTCGCGTAAGCGGGTATGGATTAAATATTGTCTGATGGTATGAGCAGACTACGAAGAGGTCTCCTGAGCCGTGTGGGAGGGCGACAGCCCGCACAGCCGTTCTGGGCCTAAGCTGCCAGCATGGTGTCTCGGCTGGCCGGCCTATTCGTCATGCAGCTTGCATATAGATTGTCGAAAACCTCTACTACCGTGGGGACATGATGTGCGGTGACAGATTAAGTCCTGATTGGGTGGCTGGATGGTCGGCCGTGAGCAGCACGGCCCCAGTGATGTTGACATGTGCTGTGTTTCCTGGATAGTATTGTAGGAGAGTTGACGTAAACCTGCGACCGACGCTGAAAGACATATGATGCTCGCATGATAACCGTGTCAGCCGTACGAAGGAAGCGTTCACAGCTGGGACTTTCCACAAATGGGTCACAATTCACCTTACAATTCCCACGTATCCTTACCTCCTAAATGCCCTGCCACATGGCAAGCATGTCTTTCCTTTCGTTTGTGTATTTTTAAGCGGGCGACGGCGGCTATTGTTCCACGCTGTGCAGCTTCTTTTCTTTCACCTTGGTAACTGACAAATTCTAACGTTTATGATATCTGCGGTTAAGCTACAGTTGCTTAGTTCACAGACCCCACGTGCTAGCTAGCTCCACTGGTGCTGTCGCGTATGTACCTACGCATGGAGCTGTGCCACCAACGGGCAGGGCAGCATGTGGGTATACGATATTGAAGCATCACGACCGGCCAGTGCCTCCTAGCACAGGATGGGTATATCCTGGTTGGTGCGCTCGTGGGGTGACATTACCTTGTGTGGCGCCAAATTACTCCGCCTGGTGTGTACGGTTGGCTGAATGAACGGACGGATTTACACGAGATGTTGCTTCCAGCTAGGGGCTGGAAGGGAGGGCAGGCAGATTGCCATGGACGGGCGGATTCCCTCGTGGGAACTGGTCCGCCCGTGGTAGCATGGGAGAGGAGTTGCGGTGGACCGGGTCGGTCGGTATGAGGAGGTGTCGAGAAGACCTGCCTTTGCGTATCTCGTATTACGGCAGACTATGGAAAAGCGAGGAGGGCTGCGAGGAAGCCGAGTTGGTTGAGTTGCGGAAGAGGGTATTCCGAGCTCATACTAACCCCTGGGCGTGGCTGCGCGGGGGTAGCTGCCCGCACTGTAGCATCACAGCCTTACCTCGGGGGCTGCACTACGGGCCGGGACAGCATTTCACTGCCTGCACGAGGCAACTCTTAGCCACGGGGAAGAGAGCCGCATCTGGCCTCTCCGCAATGTGCCGCAGTAAAAAGGTGACTGTGCCCAAGCTTGTGCCTTTATATTGGCCTATACAACACACATCAATGTGGGCTTTGAAAGCGCTATGACTAACCCTATGGTCGAGGAACAACGTACATTCATGCGATCTGTGATAGGTGCACGAAATCCCTCCATGGTCTGTCTTTAACGTGAGCTATCTCCGCAGTTCCCTTGGAGGAGCGTTTTGTCAATGGGATTCAAATATTTCCGGAGTATTGCTGCCTATGGGCACTGCGTAAATTGTTTCGGGTGCCATTGCATCTGCGTCTCTTTGGGTTTCCCTTTCAGGCCATCAGGCATGGAGGACCGAAGGTTATGCTTTTCCCTATTGATAACGACTTTCCTGACCCTTGCTCGGACGCGATTCGTCCGCATCGTCGTGAGCGTGGGTCGACGGGCGTGATCTGCACTGCCACACTATTAACAAACCCAAAAGCTAAGGACTGAGCACTTTAGCTTTTCAACAGTAAACCCAACTGCGCATGTAGCAGCTATAGCCCAATCCCCCATGCTCACGATAATTTCAACTCCAGCCTAGCAATCGAACCCAGGAACCAGAGGACTTCAACCTAAGCCTTGTTCCCGGATCGGCACCAAGGGGCTTAACTTCTCGAAGGAGATGTGCAAGATTCTTACACACTATTCGTACGCACTCCATAGCATTCCTTTGCACGTACGAAAACAGTAGCATTGATTTAAAAATGTCAAAACCGAGATTCATGGGCAGTTGGCTGCAACCGGAGCAACCTCGACGCATCAACGAGGGACACATCGCGGAGCCCCTCCAGTCTGCTACATGCACACAGGCGCCACCTCCAGCGCATCGCTGGAACCGCCACACTTCACAACGCCTAACCACCTTTCCTGCGATATCATCTCCATTGCCGAACTCCTGCAACGTCCCCCAACCATGAATGCATCGGGAACAAGTACACCACCGTCGTCGCAGTCCGGTGACGGCTCTTCCACCTCATGCAACTCCAAGTTGTTTCCCAGCCCTCCAGCCCGGCGCCGCTGTGTTTGCTGCCCGGAACGCCGCTGCGGCCACTCCAATCCCCCCCGGTATCTCACCGTATCTCTGCGGTGCACTTGTCATAGTCCCCCCCCCACCAGCACCACCTCCCTAGCGCAGCCGATGGGCGCAAAGACCTGTCTGAGGGCCTCGCTGATGGACTCCGTCTGCCGCTGGAGCTCTGGCAACCAGGCGGTCTGGGAAACCGTGGCACGAGGGTACCTAGACTGGTACAGAGGGTCAGCCCGGCCGTACACTGTAGGCGCCGGAAACGAGGTGAAGTGCGGATAGCCTTTTAATGGACACAGCCCTGAGTTGGGTGGGTGGGTGGGCGGCTCCGGCCTCACTGCGGAGGACTGCGCCATCTGGTTCGGCAGCTGAGCCCAGGCGTACTGCATGGCCGCATCAGGTCGGCCAGTACCACCCACCTCTTCTTGGGCTTGCGCTTCGGCATCGTGCAGCCGCCCTCCTGCGCACGCCTCCCCTGCTGCTTCGCGGCCGCCTCTTCGCAGTGTCCAGGTTGCAGGAAAGGGTATGGAAGTGATGGCAAGGCGTGAAGAGGGGTGCACCTTCATGCTTCTCCCCAGGCCCAGGCATTGTGCCGACACCACCGAGCTCCTGCCGCCGCGTGCGCTGCAAGACCAGACGACTGCCGTGGATTCCAGCTGCTGGTCGTGTGCCCACAAGCACGCCATAGCAGTGGTATATCGGTATGTGCGGGAATGGCCTACGCAGTTAGCGTATGGCTGTGGGCACGTACTCGGGAGGAATGAAGGCTTACACACAACCCAAAAGTCCAAGAAAAGGTTCACTAGCGAAAAGGTTGTGTCGGAGCTGAGGACGCGACACGATAGACAGCCCGACTGCAAAGCCCGCGCTTGCAGTTACAGTGCGGCATTATCGAGCAGGTGCGCTAGGCGTCTAAGGCACAAGCCACTGGGCTGCCTGGCAATGACCGCCTCAGAGGGAGTCCTTAAAGTGCTTCAGATAGCGCCGGGTGTGCCGCGGTAATGGATCCGCCATTCCAGAACACAATCCATGTTGCATGGGAACCCCATGTTTTGGCTAACCCGCAGACAGACCTTCATTTCCGCTAATAAGACGCCTATCTGACCCTGATCCAGCAATATCAAACCCTGCACAGCGTCCGTACCATTGGGGCCCTCAATCAAGTTGACTTTGGGGCCGGTCTCTAGCACTAACTCGTGCCTATGAAGCTCTGTTCAGATGGGGGGGTGTCAGCTGGCACAGGGGAAGCAGTTTAGCATCCCAGGAGGATGGGTGAAAACGCATGGCGGGGTCAACTAGGACTGGGGCTCCGTACGGCAACCCTTACAAGACGGCCATGCCTAGCCCAGTCACTACAGGACGGAGCCGGGAGGACACACGGCTGCAATGAAGACATGCTTACGAAACGCCCGCGAGCAGCAAAGTTTCCCAAACTTTCCTAGCTCACCATGAAGTCCTAGACGTTCCGGCGGCCCAGGGCGCAAACTTGCAATCCAAGAGCGGGCCAGGTGAAACGGTTGGTAAGATCATTGGCATGCATCGTTACAGCATTGCCATGGCCGCAACAATTACCTTTAGCTTGAGCCGCTTATAGCACCTCTCGGATAGAGACCAACCTCCGCTATGGCTGACTACAACAGATCAACGCATGCCCGAGCACACTTCATCGCAAAGTATAATGTATCTATTGCGGGCATCGCCCAGCCACGCGGCTCGGTTCCGTAAGCAACCAAGCATTTCCTGTCAGATGCCCTGCTCCCAGACCCCGACGGGACAACCCGTTATCATTCATGGCATACCATCATCGAGATTCAGATCGGCATCTCAACCTAAGGAAACAGCGCTGTAGCAAAGTGTGTAACTTTCCCAAGCTCCGTACCGGCGTTGCACTCTGATTGTAATGCCCTGCACACCGTTAGCCCTCAAACCTTCTAACTTGGAGACGCTGTAATACACTCCTTCTTGGCGAGCATTATCGTCCATTCTGAATGGTGCGTGGATAGGAAGGCCACAGACGTAACCTCTGCATATTGAAGCATTTTTCTCCACCTGACGACAGCAACGTATTTTTGTATCAGGGCCCAAACAAATGAGGGGCTTTTGACGCACTGTAACAGTTCCCAGCGTCTTTTAAGCCCATGCTGGAGCTGTGGGGAAGTCGCCTGTTCCCCGGCCAGAGTGGGCTATAAATGTATACTCGTATCCGTGTTCCTACGGAGTTAAAGCCGACGCCTCCACAGGTTCTTGAGGTGCGTGGAGTAGCAGCAGAGGCGGACTACCATATGACAGCATGCAGATTTGACCGCTGCCGTGGTTACTTGCAGGACTACGTGCGCGTGCGGATTACCCAGTATATTGGCCATTTCTCACAACGTCTTGGTCATTATGCTCCCGGCCTTGCGAAGGAAACGCTTGATAGGGCTGCCGCAGAGGCCTTAGCCTACCTACCACCGGGGGACCACGGGCAGCTAAGCCTGGAGGACAAGCAGCTGCAGCTTGTCTTCCGCCATGACTGCCTGTGAGCCCTAGCCTCGATTACCAGCAAAGGGAGCGCGTCGCGACGGCCAGCTAAAGGCCTGGCTGGTTGCGTGTCTGGGGTATGCGTCCTGGCCTCATCGTGCTTATAAGGGTTTCACCCATGATCTATCCACAACCTTGTATCTTGCTGTGTGCATATACACATGGACACCTCTTCCCAAGGTGTATGAGGGCAGCCACAGGGTATTGTTTGGTAGTTCATCTGTTTACGTTTGGTTGCAGCCCCACCACTATCCTCTGCCATATTTTGAAAGGGCATGTCGCCCGGTGCGTAGTTGAACCCATAGAGTCACGCATTTTCCTCGCCATGCCACACGATTGCCAGAGCTGATGTATGTCCGTTCGTGTTTACGGCCTGCCGTCTATGTCGACCGCAGTGCCTTGGGTTGCCTGGATCCTCAGTGTGCCCTGTGCACACACAATCCATCACGCCGATGTACTGTCAACTTTGACCGCAAGTACCTTGTCAACGACCTCCTTAAAGCGCGATGCGGCGCCTGCATTCGCGTTGAATTGATTGACCCGCTGACGGGACAGCCTGTTGAGGAGAAGCTGCCGGAGATTACTCTACAGGTAATGGATGTGTGCGCACGGGTGTTAGAGATGGGCAGGAAAAGCATCAGGGCACGTGAAATGCATCGTAACACTTCCACGGCTTGTAACACTGGTAGGCGCTCCATGGGGAATAAGCTGGGAAGCGGTAAGCTGACGTGCCGGGTAAGGGAGCAAGGGGCAATAGGCAAGGACAACGAAGATGGTTACGGAAATCGTTCATTTATTATGGGTTGCGTCCATGAAACCTGACTTAGGCTTCAGGTCACCCATAATTTTGCCACAATAACAAACGGAAAGAGCAGGAGCTCAGCGTAGCCCCCAGCGTAGGTGCTCTTTGCGTCAGCGGCTGAGTTACGATCGTAACCCTAGGGTTGTGGCATTCCTCATGTGTACATGCAGATCTCTGTGCTTGATGGCAACCTTTACGACAACAAGTTCTTGGATAGCGGCAAGCAGTACGAGGGCGGAACGGAGCCGGCCGAGGAGTTGGATGCGTGCGCTTTGCTACAGAACAAGAAAAAAGTGAGGCCTGGGTTTTGCAGACGATTCACACAGAAAGTCCGCGGCCTTGGGCCATTGGCTAGGGCGATGTGTAGGTGATTGCAGTATTGTGGCCGCGCTTTGGCGCAACAACACCGATTGCTGTTTCTTTCTTTTATTAATGTCATAGACAAGGCCTTCGCTACGAACATCTATCCAGGTGCGGCATGGTACCTGTGCTGTGCACCGCAGCTGATACCGTATATACTAATCACTGCGCCCTGGTGCAGAGCACTGCGCTGTTGGTCTGCGGCAGCGGCGGCTCCAACGATGCAGCGGGCTACGTGCTGTTGACAATGGTGGTAAGTGGGGTGGGGGCTCATGATGCTGAGTCCAAATGAGGCATGGGCGTAACTTCTGCTCCCGAGGCACTTGTTAGTAGGAGAGCTTTCTAGTGACCACAGCATGCATCGTTTGCGCATTGAGGTGCATGCACCGTGTGCCCCGTATAATTGAGATTGTCGATAGCAGAGGATAGGTTGTGGGTCGCCCGTACGATTGTGTGGCCTGTGGCTATATGGCTCCCGAACAAGATGCAATTATCCGCTCGCGTCAACGTCAACTTTACCGGGATGTGCAGCTTATGCATGTGAAGCCTGCGCCATGCAGATCCCTCTATAAGGTGTCTGCACCCGCGACCCACGAGCTCTCGACTGATTAGCTGACTGGGTGCTCAAGTTGTAGCGGCATCTTCCCTTGGTATGCTCCACAGGACGGCAAGGTGCCGCTGAATGACTTGCATGTCACGGACAGCAGTGAAGCCATCCTCAGCGGCCGTAAGCCGCCCTTCCGGTTGCTGGTCCGCGCGCTGCTGCCGCCGACTGGGCCCAGGCTTAACATCCGTCATGCGGTGTCGGAGGGCTTCGTGGTGGGTTGCTTAAGGCGCATGACTTTCGCATGAAGGTTGTTTGCGTTCGTATCTCACAACCCCAAACCAGCTGTCAGCATGCAAATGGCCAAATTTATGTACGGGAAACGTTGCAGCATTTGGCAAAGTCGTTATAGATCAACTGAAGTGCATAGCGCGACACCACTTCCCTTCAGCGGGGCCTTGCGCCAATGTTGGATAGGAGGGAGCTGATCATCCTGGGAAGGCAGATGACACTGTCAGGACGGCGTGGTAAAGGGAAGACGATCGCTGTGTCCTTGAAGCCATGGCTTTCTCTGCCCGTCTTGTCAGCTTCCCCTCACCAACACCCTTGCTGGGCCCTGACCCATGCTCGCTAGGTGGCCACCCGGCGCACCCGCACTGCGGGCAAGGCAGATATCCCCTCTGTGGACGACCCTGTCAGCAAGTTAGAGCACATGGGCAAGGAGACTGTGAAGAAGCTTGCGGATCTGGCCACTGCAGCAGAGCAGGCGGGCGTGGAGATTGATATTCCGGAGAACTGCGTGCAGAAAGGTGCGCAGGGGCAGGGAGCTGATTGCCTGCGGTGCTGATGAATGCAGCAGCGCCAATCTATCGTGCATCACGTGAAATCGCACAACCCATACCATCCTGCTATTGTGCTGCTGCTCGCACCAGTCAACCTGAAAGGTGCCGAGGCTGACTGGTATCATGATGGGGATGTTCGTGATTGGGTGCCACATCCTGTTTTTGTCCCTCCCTGCAGTTGGCGAATTCAAGTTGCTGGCGTTGCGGGCAGACCAGGATGGGCATCTGCGCCAGAAGCTGCAGCACGTGCTCAAGCTGAGCAAGGAAAAGTGGGACGAGGCGCGCGACCACGCCATGCGAGCCGTCGTTGCGGACAATCGTATGCGGGCCTGGTAAGGAGGTGGGAAAGCGGGGTCCAGGCACGACGAGGAAAGACAGGACCAGGACAGGAGCTAGGAAGGGCATTCTGTGGGTGGTGCTGCGCGAGGATAAATGAGTTTGAGCAGCAGCCCTGGTGCTGCCGGGGGTTGGCTGATGCACGTTCTGGGGCCCCTTTCGATTTGCCAAAAGCGCTGGTACTGTGCTTGCGCCGGTGGGTGTGCTGTGAAGCCGCAAATTCCGTTTGCCCGTCACCTGCCACCTGCCACCCCACCCTAGGTACGCAGACCGGCGTTCGTGTGAGCTGGGCGTCCTGTTCACGGCACGCATGGGCAACGTGGACCTCGACCGCCCTGTGGGTGAGTGGGCCATATCGGGGCATCCACGACATGGTTTCGTTGCCTTGCTGGGCCTATCAGAGGCGGAACTGCGGCTTTTTCCCTGGAAGTCTTGGTCGCTTCCACTGTTGGGGTCTTTTCGAGGGGTATCGTTCGCGCACGCTGACGCAAGGAGTGTCAGTGCGGGTTTCACCCGCAGGCGGACTCCATGCAGGGCGCTTACCTGGTCGTCCGCTGATACGTGGTGGTGGTTGGTTTTGCCTGTCACGGCCTTATCCGCAGGCTTGCTCCAGACCCGCATGGAGGCGGGTGAGCGCAAGACGGAAGCCATTCTGGTGGCGCAGCTGAACCCCACACAGCGGGAGATGCTGCGCCATATGCAGCCGCAGGCAGTGGCGGCGTGGTGGGCGCCAGGTCACACGGGATGGGCCATTTTCCCCATGGACTCGGACACCTTTCTGCAGGTACGGCGTGAGGGTTCCATGCGGTCCTCGCCCACATCATCTCGGGTCTGCTGGGTTACATGTTCCAATCAGCTGTGCCATTGGTCCCCGACCGGCACGAGAATGGTCACGGGGCGGCGCCCAGTGGTCGGGCTTGGCGGTTAAAGATAAGGGGGGAACAGCCGAGTTCTAGGTCGCGTGCCTGTTGCAGGTGCAAGGATACAAGGCATGCACTGCATGATGCCCGACTTTGACACCTCGTTGCCTACGGCCATCTGGCACTGCTTGTTCTATAACACCTAAACATGGCTCCTGACCGCAGAGCGGCACGCTCACAGCGGCGGCACCGCCGCCGTCCGCTCTCGCGACCGCAGCTGCTACGGCCGCGGCTGCCAACGTCATCGACGCGCCATCTTCACCCTCACAATCCGCGGTTTCGCTGGGCGCCATGCCCACTCGCCGCCAGACGGGCGGCAGCGGTGGCGGTGATATCGGCGGGCCTGGCCAGTCCAACGACCCTGCGACCCTCCCCCCGGACAGCGCGTTGCTGGGGAAGTCCGCGCTGCAGGGGCCCTTGCCTGGCGGCATGCCCCTGCCTGTGATGCACAGCGTGGCCGGTCACAGCCTGAACAGCGGCGGCAGCCTGCCATCTGCGTTCGGCGGCAGCATGTCCACCACCCTCGGTGGCGGAATGGGCTCTGGCCGAAGCAGCCGCGCGGGAAGCATGACGGACAGCCCGCCTCCCAGCATGCGTCTGCAGGGCCCAGCGTTGCCCATGCAGCCACCGCAGCCGTCGCATTTGTCCCACCACCATTCCCTGCCACAGCCACCGCAGTCACAGCCTCAGCTGCAGCCGCACGTTAGTATACACAGTCAGCAGCAGCTGCCGAACTTGTCGAGCCTGCAGCCGATGTCCAGCTTCCAGAGCCAGCCCAGCCTGCAGCAGCACCCAAGCCTGCAGCAGCACCCAAGCCTCCAAGCCCACCCAAGTTTACAGGGACATCCGAGCTTACAGGGGCACCCGAGCCTGCAAGGCCACACAAACGTGCAGCAGCACCCGAGCATACAAGGGCACCCGAGCCTGCAGCAGCACCCAAACCAGCGCCAGAGCGGCCCAGGGAGTATTGGCGGTGGTAGAGGGCCCAGCTTCTCCTCCACGAGTCCCCTCGGTCCTCCGGGCGCTGATGGAGGTGCGCCGGGCGGCTCAGGGACGCAGCCCAATGGTCCGCCACCCGCCTCGGGAGGCCCAGGCGCCATGCACATGATGCCTCCGCCACCCCCGCCGTCCATGTCGGGGGCTCGGGCTATGATGCTGCCGCCGCAGCCCCTGCCGATGCCATACCGCGTACCACCGTCCGCACAGCAGCAACAATCACAGCATCTTCATCAACATTATCGTCCCCCATCCGGTGATGGATACCAGCATGGGCACCACATGCAGCTTCAGCAGCAGCAGCAACAGCAGCAGCTGTCGCAGGCCGGCGCCATGGGTCACATGGGACCGGGCCACAGCCAGCACAGCCTTCAGGCCGCAGGACAACCCAGAGCAAATGGCGGTGGCGGCTTTCAGATGCCCCCACCATCGATGCCTTCACATGCACACCACCCCTCCGGTCCGCAAAGGATGCGAACGATGGAAACGCAGTCACCTGCGCAGCAGCAGACAACCCAGGTTCAGCCACAGACGCAGATGGGGCGGGGGGGCCAGATGCCCCCGCCCGCTCATTCAGCGGGCGGGGGCGGGGGAGGTGACCTCGACGGGGGCCCGGTGCTGCTGTCCGGCGCTGGTATGCGCATATCCCAGGGGGCCCCACCAATGGGCCAGCAGCACGCACAGCAGCAGCAAAGGCAGCATGGCATGCTGTCGCACACGACTGGAAGGGGGGAGGAAGGTACGACAGCAATGATGACTGGCTTGTAGGGCGGCAATACATCCCTCCTGTCCATATTGCCGCGGTCTGGTACTGGAAGGCCCCGCTCTTTGTCCTGGGCTGGGCGTTTCAAGGAGATAAGTGAGCTCTCCGTAGCGTGGGCCTCATTCCCCTGTTTTAAGCCCTCGCTTCTGGAGCCGGCCGCGTGTAGTTCGCACAGGGCCAATCTTAATTGATGGATGACATGTAGCGCCCCCGCAACGTTGCTGGTGTATGCAGACGCATCCGATGACTTGCCGTCGCGGGGATCGGCAAACCCACGACCGCACAAGATGCCGTCGTTGGGTCGGGCACTGGACATGCACTACCCGGGATTAACACCGGACCTGCAAGGCGGCATGAAGCCCGACTACATTACCGGTGTGAGCGGTCGCAATTGTGGTGCTGGCAGCGGGGGGATGGGCAGCGGGGGAGGTGGAAGCAGCGGTGCAGGCAGCGGAGGGGCGTCCTTGGCCAACACTCCGCCGCTTACGACAAGTAATGACCCGGGGCCTTTCCATTGCAAGGAGGAGGTCGCGATGGGCACACCCAGCGGCGGTGGAGCGACCGCAGGGGCGCCACCTTCCGGGAAGGCTCCGAGCCCCGCAGCATCCGCGCCAAGTCCGCCGCACGGCATCCATCCTGGTCCACGAGCGCCGCCGCCAGTTCCAGGCCAAACGCCACCAGGAGCCACACCACCACCTCCGGGACCGCCCCCTAACCCGTTCTTACGTGTACAGAGCGCCAAGGGACCTGCTTTGGGCCCTGGTGAGGACACGGACGACTCTGAGTCGGACGATCCGCTGCTTGCAACGCTCCCATCGCTGCAATTGATTAATAGTAACGCTTTTCCAACGCCGCTTGGTGGCGGTGCCACGGCGGCGGGCGTTGGCCAGCGGGTAGGGACCCACGGTGGCAACGGAACCAGTGGCGGCGGAGCGGTGGGCGGTGGTGCCGGTGGTGGAGCTGGTAGTGCGTTCACAGGCGTCAGTGCCAACGGGGGCCTCAATGCGCCGTTGCCCTCGCTACTACACATGATTGACAGCCAGCAGCTAGACATGGTGCTCGGGGAAAACATGATTCTCGAGACCTCGTCGTTAAATACCAACTTATCCTACGGTGAGCAGGCGGCAGCATGGCGTTCTTAGGGCCTGAACACCTGAGCCGGGCACTTCTAGCTGACCTTGCGCTTTGGATACCAAATTTATATTTTCAAAGGCATACATCTGTCGTAACCTGTCCCTATGGCCGTCGCTTGATGCTCTCCTGCTAATGCTGCCCCCGCTACATGTTGGTTGCTTTCCATTGCGCCTCTGGGTGCCGGGATTCTAATGCACGCAGGCTTGTTCCTGCCGCCAGCCATGGCAATGGGGGAGGGAGCTGGTTTGCTCCCAGGCACCCAGTCCAAGGAACTTCTCAAGCCGACCACCAGCGGCCTGGACACCATGGCATCAATGGAGCTTGCACTGCCGGGTGTTCGCAAGAACGAAGCGCATACGCCGGGTCACCACGAGCAGAAGGCGGCGGCGAGCGCAGGTGGGGCCGTGCTCTCACACGGTGTAGGGGGCGCAGCGGCAGGTGTGGGTGTGGGCCTCAGTGCAAACCGCACTTTAGGCCCTTACGCGCGGTGACTAATGTGCAGCGGAGCTTGACGATGTGTTTCGACAGAGTAAGCCTCAGCAGGAGAAACCTGCTCCTGTTCCACGGCCCCACGCATGTAGATAAGGGTCCTACGCACAATTTTTAATGGGATCCGGCCTAACTTAATTTTAACGGGCTTCTGCAGCCATATTGTTACCGCCTTAGGTTGTGCCTTTTTAACAAGTTGTTAACTATTGCTGGTTGTGTACTCTGCTTTGGTGAGACGCCCGCTGCCACCAGAGGGAATGATATGCTGTGCTTTTGCTAATAACTTCTTATGTTGACGGTTGACGCTCCAGCAGCGCAATACTGCAGTGTGTCCCTAGAATATTTGTGAGCGTATGGCTTGCCCCTCTCTTACGATGGCAAGGTCTGAAGTGCGATTTGAAGGTTTGAAGTGAGAGCCAACAAGGGATACACGACTTAGCAGGACTCGGTACTAAGTTTTGACCATGGATGAAGTACGTTTTGTTTAAAGAGTGCTTGGGTTTGGTGGATGTCAAGGGCGATTGTGCATTGCGTCTACCTAGCCCAAGAACCTCTATGCAGGTTCGGCGCAGGGAGGCATTGATTTTCCCTCCCTTACATAGGCGCACGGGTGGATTTATAGGGCTTTCCTGGCTGCTTAGCCAGGTTTGGCACCGGGGGTGTTTTACGTGGACGCAACAAAACTTCTGACTCGAACGAATGCGGCACATGTTTGAAATTTGCAGTTCAACACGCTGCTCCTCATCGGTTACAGCAAGTAACGTTGAGACTGACCTTGTCCCACACCCCACCCTACGGGACCTAACCTTGGTAAAAGTGAGAACTGATTGGTGTTCCTAACCCGCAGAAGGGTCATGGACGCGCTGCACACGTGTTCCCAAGTACACGCTTCGAACTTAGTTCCATGCACAAAACTACCCCTCGGCACATCAGCCTCATTTAGCCTCCTCTTTCTTGCTGCCACCGGCGACCAGCCAGTACACGCCTACAGGTCAAAGCGGAGAGGGGAGAAGTGAATACGGAACAGGTCCCGACGTGAAAAGTACACACGCCTGCAATACTCACCCGTATAGGCTGCAACCGTCCACCAGGCCAGTTGATGCTTCTTCCAAACATCAGGATTTGCTGGCGCGTCCCACCAGTTCACACGGTGCACGCCATCATCCTCTGCAGGAAAGCAGGCCATCGTTTCCCATATCATTATCAGTCCCATTACAATCCCGTCATCAATTCAACTAGGGCAAAGCTGAAACGAAGCTGCATATCGAGGACTTGTGATGGTCACGTTAAAACAATTATTGTGAAATCCACGCTCTCACCGCCTCCTGCCATTCCTCGCGTCTGCTGCATCTGGTGTGGTGACCGCAGGGACCGGGCGCCCCTGGCCATGAGCATCTGCGCGCGAGCGCTTAACATCTTCCGGAAGAACGGCACGGAGGAGGCGACTGAGGCGTGTAAACCACTGTACTAGCTTAGTTAGGACCCAAGCCAACGAATCCTTAACTAATGCGTCTGGCAATACTTAACTGAAAGACACTCCAGGGTGTCGTTCAGTGTACGAACCTGTCTTTGTCGCTCTTTGTGCGCTGAATACAATACTGTCTGTCATCCCATGTTGTTACGTCGGATCATCCTGCTTCCTGGAATTCTCGACAAAGATGATGTCTTTGCGGCAAGCTCCTTGCACTCGCGGTCAGTTACCAACCCATCATGAGCGCTAGTTTGTCCGTATAATTGATCAGTAATGATGATTGCTGTACCTGGCTAGCTCCTGGGGAGTTGGATTTGAACTGGAAAGGGGACCTTAGCTGCAAGCCGATGTCCCTCCGTGCAGGCGCACGCCCGTTCCAGGCCGCTGTTCAGCGCCCAGTTCGCATGGTTTCATGCGATGCAGCAGCTCTGCAGTTTATTAAGGGTGTGAACGAGCCGACCGTTCCCGAGGTCCGCCTGACGCGTTCGCGAACGGGCGCCAACGGAACTGCGATGTTTGTCTTCGAAAACCCCAGCATTTTCCAGGCAAGTGAAGGCGACGCGTCCTAGGTAGATCGAATCGGGGACTTGCTTCCGACTTGTGTCCGTCGACTCGCGCGGATTGTGGTTGCTCCTTTGGTTCGCGTAACGATCAAGCACCTGCTCGTATGATGTTGCGGCTCTCACCCATTGATGTGTTTCGGCTCATCTTTCTGCAGGCTTCTGGGGAAATGGGTGACATCACTGGACTCTTTATGGTCGACGATGAGGGCGTGCTGAGCACCACTGACGTAAAGGCTAAGTTCATCAACGGCAAGCCCCAGGCAATTGAGGCAAAATACCAAATGCGCAGTCAGTTTGAGTGGGATCGTTTTATGCGCTTCATGGACCGGTATGCTGAGGATAATGGTCTGGGCTTCGAGAAGAACAAGTGAAACTACGGGAAGGAGTACTGCACTGTTGGGGAGATCAGCTGGGTCGTGTTAAGGACGGGTGCCTACCCCTTACTGGCACCTTCAACCCCGCGAAACCCCTCCGTTATTGGCCAGTCCATAGCGGGCATTTTAGAGCCTGCGCATATCGTTCCGTAGGCATAGGCTCTGAAGGATTGCGATCGATATGGAAGATGGTTGTCGTTGTCGTCAGCAGCTGCGGGCAAATTGCAGCGAGGTTTTTCCCCCTTTTCCCCACGGGGTGACGCCGTGCTGACGTACGGGCTGGGCAGCAGTGTTTTGCAGATTGACGAGCGGTATCATGTGGAAACGGACCCTTGCGTGCTGTCCGACCGAACTTTAGGGTAGAGCGCACAGTAAGGCCTCGTGGTGTATGTCTGGTGCGCATGCACCACGCATTAAATTTTTATATTCCTAAGCTACTTCCTCACGAGTTTGGTCACAAGCAGGCCATTTATTCATGTTTTACATTTCAACCCGCCACCGCGCATGGCAAAGATGTTCCCTCCCTGTCAACCGGCACAAAATTGTTGAATTTGGCTTGCAAGCAGACCATGATGCGGACACGCGGGTTATTAACGCCTCTCTGTAATGTGCTAAGCCCCGCGATCCTTCTACGATGCACAAGTACCTCAGCCCGCGCAATAGCACAAGCTAGCAGTGGTACATCCGCATCACCTTCACCACCAGCGACGACAGCAATGGTGACGCATCTTTTCACCCAATAAGGTTCGGCTCGTAGACAGCTAGCGAACCCGCCAGGGTGCAGCGCCGCAGCCCGGAGAGCACCACCTTCCGCCCCAACAACGCTGACCGCGGCACGGCCACGCGCTGCTGCCAGGACACCTGCAGCTCCCGACGGAGCGCCGGGTGGCTGCCCATGGCAGCTGCCATTTCCATCGGCGCCATGCTTTCCGCATAGTAGCGGTGGATTGCGGATAGTAGCTCCCGTGTTGTAATACCTCCACTGCCACCACCGCCGTGAAATCCGATGGCTGCTTTAGCTGTCCCCCGGCGACCACTTCTGCGACCGTCACCAGGATCTGTGTGGTCTATGAGTCTGTGGCCAGTGGTGAGCTGCAAAACGTCTCGTGGAGAACGGCCCTGCTGTGTGACCGTGATGGCGTGGTGGCCCAGCAGGCCATGCTGATCTTGCGGCAGCAGTAGGGTCAGCCGGGAGCCCTGCGGGGGTAAAAACCAGCAATCACAGAATTGCGTCATTTTCCGTGGTAAGGTAATATGCTTCATTAGGACGAAGCATTATGTGTTCTGGCCTCACTGCAGGAACTCTGAGCTGCCTAACTTGGCTGAAACAGCCAGGTCTTACCGAGAATAGAGCCGTATGCGGGGTGGGGCCTTCGCGGTAGCTGGCTTGCAGGGATGACCATGCTTTGCTTAGTCCCCTCGATGACCTTTATCCTGACCCAGATCGCAGGCCGTGCCTAATGTGTTCCCTTTGGAATGCTAGGCAAGGGAGTAACTTGCTGGCCTGTGCAGCGTCGGAGTGTGGAAAACCCTAAGCGAACCAGCTGGATGTACTGTATGGTCATTCATCCATTCATGGATGTGTGTTGGTCAGGGCCCACCATGAGTACGCCAGGTTGCATGCACGAAAGCGGTGTAAAGCAATGCAACTGGCATAGACCGCAACTCTCTGTTGCTGCACATGCGGTCCCAGGACCCGCCTTGCTGGAACTGCAACCTGTTCCCATAACATCCGCCAGGAACCAACTCACCGTGAACACCACGGCGTCAAGGTCCGCAGGGCCCACAGGCCGTGATCCTCCCCGCGCCATTGGAGCCCGGCCGCAGGAAAACAATTGCTCAGTGCTAATGGGCCTTGCGCTGCAGCCTTCGCCCCAACGCGAGCCCGCTTCTTGGCTGGGTGCCTGCCTGAACGCGCCGGTCTGTTCGTCCCAAGCCGCCTCCGTGTCAGCGCTTCCATCCAAGCCGGCGTAGGGCTCCTCGTCCGAGCCCATTGCAGGGCTCCCGTCGATGGCTTGCGCTCGGTGTGGCGGCTCCGTCAGCTGCCACACCAGATTTTCCAGCAGCACCCGGGGGGCCACTGGTTGCAGAGTACTGGGCTGGTCGCCGGCCAGGCCCAAGCCTGCAGGGAAGGCCCCAGGTGGGCCATAGAGAACAGATCGAGCAGCCTGTCGGAAAGCCAGGCGATCTGCGCCACATAACCCAGCGTCTACCAGTAACTAACGTATATCAAGCAGCAACGAGAAATAACAAACCAACAACTTAAACACGCATGCATGCACATGTGTAGCCTCACCTTGCAGCTGCGTGCCCGCTGCTGCCTCGAACGCCTTGAGGCCCATGAGGAACTGCCGCCGGGCTTCTGGGGTTGGCCAGGGGTCCTCCACCGGCATTGCCTCCCCGACATCGCCGCCGCCTGTCGCCGCCGTCAACTGATCTGCACCGCCGCCGTGCAGCGCTGCATCCGACAACGGGCGGCAACGACTGTTGGGCCCCTCAGCGTCTGGAGTGGGATCATCCAGCACCCGCAGCAGGGCGTTTGCAATGCCACGTGACAGGCACAGCAGGTCAACAGTACCCCTTTCCCCGTGTTCGCCGCTGCTTCCGGGACCCCCTACAACTGGGATGTCCTCCCCTCGCAGGGACTCTCCCGCCAACGGCGCGCCCGCCAACCTGGGGCAGCGGGTTCAAAACAGGGCGTGATTATGTCTTTGCCGGAGCCGACACATGCATGCAACGTGGCGTGTGCGAGTAAGATACGGCCATGCGGACAGCCAAGTCACAAAGTGGTGCAACCCACTGATGCGACTGTGGCGGCGTGGCCACCGCCGCTTTACTCGTGAGCAAAAGAATGGTAGTCTCTTGCAGCTCCAGTTAAGGCAGTTAGGGCCAATTAAGGGTGACCGGCACATGGCAGCTTTACGACAAGCGTTACACGACACACAAATGCACGCAACCTTGGGCGGAGCAGTGCACCTCAATACAAAAGGACTTGTATGTGTGGCGCAGTTTGCGGTGGCCGAGAGCACTGCAGAAGTGGGGTCGGTATGTGAAGGGTTTGGAGGGTTCAGGGTTCCCAGTCAGCTGGCCGTACCTGGTTAGTGAGCGGGGCGACAGCAAATGTGCCCCCCATGCCAGCCAGCGACTCGCACGGGAGTGCTCACACACAACGGCTGTGGCCCCGCAGCCCAGGTGCGTTGCGGTGCTGATGTGGCCACCTAGCGCCTCCACCGCAGCGGTGCACCTACAGTGTTGCGGAGCACGGCGCAGCAGGGGACAAGACGGGGCGGCAAACAGAACGTGTGACCTCGCACAGCAACACGACGAGCTCGACCGTCGATTCACTCATCCCTCGTGCGGAGTACAGGCAGGTTTCCTGTACCTAGCAACGAGGCAGACATAAGGCCCCATATCACCCCATAAACTGCACTGAGGACAAAAGCGCGTCGGGGGCTGTACTGCCTTCCTTCCCGTTCCGCCATTCCCTTGCCTCCTTGAGGAGGGAGGGCATTCCCAATCCTATTACCCCTTTCTTGTCATGGGTTTTGCACAGCGCTTTTCTCACAACGTCGCGGCCGCTGCTCACGTTTCAGCCTGCTCTCGAGGAAGGCAGCGGTCGATGATGACTACTGCGCCCTCCAGCAGGCCCCCAACGGCGCTCGCGGCGCTGTCTCGCTGGCGGCCACCGCAGCTGGCCCCTTCTTTCAAGGGCGGCTCTCTCTCCTCCCCTTTCTCCTCCTCCTGCTGGTGCCGGTGACAGCGGAGTCCGTGACGCCCCGCTGCAAGCAGACCTCCCCCGGGTCCCTGGCTGCCACTGATGTGTGGGCTCGGCCCCGAGGCGCCAGCGGGCACGGAATCGTCAGCCAGGTCCAAGGCACACAAACCTGCTGTAGTCTCGGCAAGAGACGGCGTCGGGAAAGGCGCGCCGCTTGGCGGACGGCCGGACTGCTCGACCGTCAGACCTTCAACCTGGTGCTGTGGCTGTGGCTGCGGCAAGGATTGCGATCGCGACGGTGATTGGGAACTGGAGGGCAGCACCTGTGCGGCGGCCGCAGCCACGTCCTGCATCGTGGTGCTGGCGGCGGCTGGTGCGGCGGCGGAGCCCCCAGAGAGTTCATGCAGGTTTTGCCGTGACGCCAGGTCCCCAGCAGCAACAGCGGGCGGCGCTCCATACGCATGCGTCCTGCTGTTAAGTTCCGCTGCATCACCGGACAGGGTTGGCGGTTGCTGCATTGTGGCCTCCACGGCGACCCCTGGGCCGCCAGCCCACTGCATCTCTGCACAACTCATCTCACCCCTTAACCCCGCTGCTGCTGCTGTCGCAGCAGGAGGCGGCGTGTGTAGCCCCGCCGCTGCCCTGCCTGCTGCCACCAGTGCATCCACGTCCAGCGGTTCGTCGTCGCTGTCTTCGCCGCCCAGCCAGGGTCCGGGAGTGACCGGCATCGCATCCAAACCGCCGCTTGCAACCGGGTTGCCTCCCTGGGCCGACGGCTCCTCCTGGACCCCCGAGCAGCCGCCCCAGCTACCGCGCGTAGCCGTTCTCTGGCTGGCCAACCCCCATGCATGGGGGCGGGTCGCCCAGGGCATTTGCGACGTGCGCAGCCGAATCTCCTCCGGCTTCAAAACAGGCAGACTGACAATTGGGCCGTCGGAGCTTCGGGCCTGAGAAACTGTCAACATAGAGCTCATGACCTGGCTATAGCCCTGGCTCTGGTGGTTGCAGCCGCCGTGCTGGGGCCCCTGGCTGAGTGCTGTCGAGCGCAGTAGGGCCATGAGGCCCCCACCCTGGCTCTGGCCGAGTACCGAAGCCTGACTGTTTCGACTCTGGCCCTGGTAGGTTGGAAGGAAGCTCTGCCTAAGATTCACGCCAATATGGTTACTGTTGTGGCTTGGGGCGAGCTGGCTGTAGCTCAGGCTTTGAGGGTTAGGGTTTCGGATCCGGTTGGATGGCAGGGACGTGGCGGCTGAAGCTGGTGGCGTTGGTAGTGGCGGCGGTGGGGCGCCAGCCACCTCTCCTGACGTCGCTGCGGATTTCCCCTGCGGCTGATGACATGCCTGGAAACTGAAGCCAGGGGCGGCGCCTTGGTCTTCGGGTTCCAGTTTGCAACGAGGAGGCTGCATTGTCTGGGCTGCACCTGCGGCGGCTCCATGTTTCTCGCTGGGCGGCCCCGCCAATGCAGCTGTGAAGTCACCGGCTGGCTGATCAGTCCCCACGGCCGCAGCGGACGTCGACGAGGACACTGCGCCGCAGGCCGTTAGCTCCTGTGTAGAGGTCAGCTCAGGTGGTGCCACCTGCCCGGGTAGGGGTGATGGTGATGGGGGTAGCGGTGCCTTCATGGCAATTGGTGTGGAGCGCCGGGGCTGCCGCTGTTTGCGCCTGCCCTGCGTGGACAGCAGCGTGGGCGTGCGGGAGTCCATCTTCCGAGCGGCGGGCTTAGGAGCCCTGCCGGCACCCTTGCTGTCGCCGCCGTGGAGGACGACACTGTCCTCCGCGCTGGCGCCGCTGCTGCCGGCGCATCGCCGCCTGCTGCGCTGGCCGGCGCCGAAGCTAAAATCCGACGTAGACGGCGCGGGTGTCAGAAAGGGGTCCACTCCACCGCCCTCACCGCCACCACGATGCGGGTCGGCAGGGGGCCCAGCTGTGTCATCGGGACGCATAGGCGGCGAGCAGCCGAGTCCCGAGGGTGATGTTCCCGCTCCTGATGCTGCTGTGACGCTGTCGGAACCTTCACCTTGGAAGCCTGACATGCCGGGGAGGCGGCCGCCTTCTCTTCCCTCCACTTCCGCCCCTTCGCCGGCTGTATTTGTACAGCTCCTAACTGGCGTCAAGACTGCGCCATGTGGTGACAGCGGTGACGGTCCAAAGCGGCGCAGAAGTGCCGCGGGACGCAGGTCTGATCCCGGACTGGGACTAGGCGTCCCTAGGCTGTCGGACGGCGCCCCGGTCTCCCCTTGGTCAGTCCCCATTCCCGTCACCGGGGGTTCCGTCCTCAGCATACCGGGCGTAGCGGCAGCGGCTGCTTGTGCGATGCCGAAGGCGCAGGAAGCACCGCCCGCCGGGCGCAGTCCTCCCGCAACACCCAACCCGTCATTGCTGCCGGGATGCTGCTGCCGCTGCTGCATGGACGACACTGCCGCAGGGACGTCCGCCGCGTCCGCACTCAAGCCGTCGTCCCGGAGCGGCGACGGCGGCGCCGCTGTCGCAGCCGCACTACGCGTAAGGCTCCCCGCAGCTGAGCCTGGCATCGTAGGAGGTATTGCCCGAACTGGTGGTCCGGAACCCAGCCCATGCTGCAGCGACATCTCCGGGCCACGCTCCCATTCCATGCCGCCCTCGGCGTTGATTTCGTTGCCTTGAGCTTGATGGTGATTGCGTTGGTCGTCGGAAAGCAGGGCGTCATGCTGATGGTGGATGTCCCTCCGGCCACCAAGGTGGTGAGAGCCGCCGTGAATGTGCAGCATGGACGAATTAGAGCCACGGAAGGCCCCGTTGTCAAGGCCGCCGGCATCCTGTGGGCTGGTGCGTCCATCAGCATCCCCAACGGGCAGCTGATTCGCGTTACTGCCCTCAGCGATCCCCTCGTGGATACCCTCAGCGGTCCTCAGCTCCCCAGACTCAGGCTGCGCTACAGATGTGGCTACGTCGTCGCGTGCGCCACGGCTGAGCTTCTGCTGCTGCAACAGACGGACAAGTTGGGAAAAGCTGATGTCGTCATCGCTGCCGCCTGCGCCCATGACGTCTTCGCTGGCAAGGCAGCCCGCCCTGAGATCTCCCTCCCTGGACCTCTCCAGAGGAAGCTGCAGTCCTGTCCCCGCAACTGCGCCGGCCGGCGCCGGGTGCAATGGCCGCAGTGCTGCCGGTGCCGCACAGATGTTTGGAGAGCGAGCGTGTCCCGCGGCCGCCACTGGGACGGCTGCGTGACTGGGGTCATAGGGCTCCGGAAGGCCACAGCTGCCGCCACTATCGCCAGCCCTCGTCGATCGCGTCGGTGATTCCGCATCCAGCCCGGGGGCCCGCAGCTCCTGACGCGCCTCCCGCATCCCCTCAATGAGCTGCGTCAGGGACGGCTCCTCGGCGATATCCGTGCGGTTGGTGTCGCTGGTGCTGTTGGACATCCATGGCCGCGCCGCCTGCTCACTACCACGGACGGGCCCCGTTACGACTGCGGCAGGGACAGGGGCAGCAGCCGCTGGTGCCCCCGGTGCTTCGCGCTTCGGGCCAAGCGCGAACCCAGCTTCCGGAGAAGAAAGGTAACGAGCGGGCCGTACAACCAACCCCTCCTTTGTCGCTGCCAGTGGCGGTGCAAACGGCGCCGCAGCTTGGCCTGCGGCATCCCAGGCAAACAGTGGGCGGCCGCAATCCTCCCGCGCCACCGGTGCGAGACGAGTGTCGTTGAGGGGATGGCTTTCGCCATCGCTGCGGCCCCATAGCTCGGCGAGCGTGGGAGGGCTGGCGTTGTGCTGCGGGACACGCCATGCCACTCCTGCATCTACCCTTCCACCCACGCCTGCGTCTGGCCCTTCATGGGTGGTGCGCAATGGCAGCGACGGTGACGGCGGCATAAGGGGTGAGGAGTCATCTTGCGGCCGGCCTACCGCCTGGGGAGCATGCCCCTCTGTGTTCCCGCCGCAGCCCATCCGCAGGCCCTCCCTCGCCTCCCGCAGCCCCTCGATCATCTGTGTCATAGGGCCTGGCTCCGCGTCTGCCCCGTGCTGCTCCTCCTCTTCCTCGTCAGCCCCTTGGCCGGTACCGCCCGCACCCCGGACGGGGGCCCCAAGGGAAGGTTCCGTCCGCTGTCCTGCAGCCCCAATGGAACCGGCGGCTTGGAGAGAAAACGGTAGCGGCGGCGCCCTGTAGTACGCGTATGCTGGGCCTGGCAGCTGCTCGCCGGGCCTCGCCTGGGGCCTCACCCATGCATCGTGCTCCTCCCGATCAGCCCCATCCGTAGCCCAAATGGCGTGGTGAGCAGCACACTGCTGGTGTTGCTCGGATCGCACATCCACGCCGCTCAAACGCGTTCCAGCCGCAGGGCCGTCCGGCGCCAGAGCTGGCCGCGCGCCATCGTGCACCCCGGGTCTTGCTTCCACAGCGGCCGGCCTCGTCCCCAGGCCCTGCCTCGCGTCCCGCAGCTCCGCAACCAGCTGCGACAGGGGTGGAGCCCACCACCCCGATGCCTCAGCGTCCCCTGGGCCCATGGCCCCATGTGCAACAGCAGCACAAGCACTGCTGGTATCCGGGTGCCGCTGCGCTAGGCCCTGGCCATAGCGCTTACCCGGCAGCTCCTCCCGCAACTGCTTCTCATTTGGGATAGCCCTGGCATCTTCTCCGTCACTACCCCTACCGCTTATGTTGTTGCTACAAGACGGTTGCCACTCTGCCGTACCAGCTCTAGCTGCAGGGCCTGGGAGCCCTGGCTCCCCTGGTGCAGGCGGCGATGTGTAGCCAGTAAGGTGCACCTCCTGCTGCTGCAGCGGCGGCGGTGACTGTGTCGCTGCCGGACGCTGCGGTTGGGCTGCCTGCCCCGCACTTGGCATAACCACAAAATCCTGACGCAAAGCCTGAAGGTCCTCCGCTAGTTGTGTCAGCGAAGGAAAGGGCACCTCCGCCTCCTCGTCCTCTGTCTGTGCGAAGACACCACCCAGCGGCCCCAGCCCGGTCCCACCCGTCCGTGCTGCCCTCGTGCCCCCTGCGCCAACAGGTACGCCGTCGCGGCCTCCAGCTGTCATAGGCGCACCGGTCCGGCCGCCGGGGACACTCATGGTGTGGCCCGTGGCCGTCGCAGGCGGCCTACTCGCACCTGGACCCGCGGTTGTCCCGGCTTGAACCTGCACGTCGCTTGCGTATGCCATTCGGGCCGCCGGGGACACAGCAGGCTCCGAGGAACGTTCCGTGCCCAAGCCCGATGTGACCGCAGCTGCCCGTGGATCAACCGGTGCAGTTGGTGCAGTCGGTGGCGGTAGGTTACTTAGGACTGAGCCCTGAGACGATCGCGGTGAGGCCAGCGCCTCGAAAAGAGCCATCGCGGCTGGGTGGCGGATCACCAGCCCACCTGACTGGCTGCTGCTATTCTGCTGCACCCAGCGGTTTCCCGCAGGGCCGGTCTCTGCAGGTCCACCCGCCACAGGGCCCCCTCGGGAGGTACTATCAGCCGTGATGGCGGTGGCGGTGGCGGCGGAACCGGAGGCGGTGCTGCGCGTGGCTCCCATGAGGTTCACAGGTGCAGCCGCAGTGGCGATACCGGCTGCCCGCGGCTGCAGGGCCGCTGGGAGCCCCACGTCATCGGCCGACGCCTCTTCAAGGTGCCGTATATGCCACGGTTTCGCCTGCGGTGGCGCGCCGCCGGCGCCGCCATCGTCCTCCGTTAGCTGCGGCGGCTCGGCCAGCTCATCCTGATCACCGCTGGGCCCACCAGCTGCTGACTTGGGCATGCCCGCGGTACCCCGGGCCGGTGGCGCGTCCTCGGGGACGGAAGACACCCGCACCCGCCAGGGACGCCGGGCCACCTCCGCCACTCCGGTAGCTGGGGCTGCGGCATGGAAGGCGAGGAAAGGATCCTCCTCCACCTGGCTGAAGTGGACCCGCCAGGGTGCTGGCTTTTGGGCCGTTGTGGCGGGTGCAGGTGCGGGCACGGCTGGCGGGACAGCCGCGACATCAGGGGCAACAGGAGGCTGCCAGGGCCCTGGCGGCTTGGCTGCAGTGACCGGAACCTCATGCTTGACAAAGCTGGCCGGCTGGAGGACCCACGGCGTGGCTGTGGGTGCCAGTGGCGGGCGGAGGTCAGCAGTCCGGACGGAAACCGTGGGATTTGCTGCCAAGCGCGCCGCGGTTGCAGTTTTGGTAGTTGTGGCGACGGGATTTTGCGTGTGCCCATAGCATGCACTGCCCCCGAAGGTAGCTTGGCTTTGCGGATGCTGGGTGCCTACAGGCTGCTGTCGGTTGCTCAGCGGTTTTCTGACCTCCGGGCCCTGCAATCGGCAGTCACTTGCACATTTCAGCCCGGAACGTGGACTGCCCGCACGGACGAACGTCCCAGACATGTGAGTGGAGCGCTTACACGTTGGCCTATAGCAAATTGTCCAGGGGGCAGGCATTTCGCCTGCTGTTCGCAAGCTGCCAGCCAGTCCAAACCGATTATGGCCTGAGGCCAGAGTTGCGGGTTGCTGCGAATAGCGTCAAGTTTCTGACTATCTGTCCCAGGCCGTGTGAGTACATGAGTACAGCGCCTTGAAAGGTTCGGCGAGTAGTCTGTTGTCGGGGAGGTAATCGACAGACAGCTTCAGTAACTCGGTATGGTCCTCAACGAAGGCGGAACACCATAGCCCATTATGACACACCTCCTCCAGCTTGTTTTATTTTTCTCTGTGCCTCGCTTTTCTCCCCTTTTGCCAGGCCACTTGTGGTTACCACCACGCCAGCTGCCCATCCCTTCTGGGCAGCCTTTCCGCTCATTTGTACACATTAAATTATAACCAAAAGCATAAGCAAGGATTATAGCGTAACAGTTGCCCTTTCCAAAGTTAGAATCCGAAGAGACAGCTGCTTTGTATAGAGGGCATCAAATTCTGGGCGTGCCTGCAACATGTAAGTAGTTAGTTTGGCTACGGTTTTCGAGAATCCCGCACTGCATAGGCAGCATGAACCTGAGAGATGCTGTACAATGCGCAGCATGACGCGCAGCATACCGACAGCCTCAAAGTAAAGCAACCTGTAACCTGCGAGTGCGCTTACGTACTACCATTCTCGAATACTCCACGGAGAAAGAATTGGTCACGTGCCCAAAGCCCATGAAGATAGGTTCGCTATCGTTACCAAGCATCGCCATGGCTAATCTATTGGCATGCAGCACACACGACTCAAAACTGACCCAAAAGCAACGCAGGTCGGCCATCCAGATCGACTTTGCTTAGTTCAGCTATTTAGCACACGTCGTGGTAATGTATTGAGTCTCAACCGCGGCTGCAAGACCTAGGAGGCTTACAGGGACCCAACGAACGTGGATGGTGCCTTAGGGGGTCTCCTGACGACACGATACAGTCCTATAAGCCAAGGCTGCATACGTGCTGACACACGCCGGACCTGAGCATGGATGCCCTCCCCCCACTACCGACGAATGGCCAACCAATCACCCAACTAACAGCCGGCCGCCCGGTCCAGGAAGCCAGGCAGGTCTGGCTTCCTGGGTCCGCTCCTCTATCGCTCCATTCCCCTCTCACCATCTTCCTATGTCATCTACTTGCGCACCCAGCACTCCCCTGACAACACAGGATACGCACCACACGCACGACAACGAAGGGACCCTTAGGACGCCATGGGTAAGGATCCGCATCCGCGGGAGCATAGGCAACATGAGGCGCGATAAGCTGCTCCAGCGAGGGCTTCCAGCTTCGCTTGTCCTGTTCCTGGAGTCGGGTTGCTGGCTTTTCTATCCAGCGCCAAGTCCCCCAACCTGTGCTTTAGCTATACGGCAAAAGCCTTATGCCCAACTATCGCCGACATCGACCTTGTGAGCCGCATGGCAATCAGTAGTTCTTATTATGTCACCCTCGCCCTTACAACATGGTCCAGCATGAAATGTCAGACTTCCCACGCCATCGTGCCGCGCCAATGGCTCCAGTCGATTGTGACGCGGCCGCCTTATGGCGGGTTGTCGCCCCAGGGCTCTCGCAAAGCGGCAACGCTCCAGGGACAGGAGGGGAAGCAGTGCAGTGCAGGGACAGCTGCTGCGCCGCCGGGTGCCATCACGCAGCCGGGAGATGGATACCGTCGCTGGCATTTGTAGCATCCTGAGCCCCGTGCTCTTGCTTCCCCGGCCGCTCCAAACCTGACAGCACCTGCGCACAGGCCCGTGTGGCGTGAGTTCATTTGGACGTGAGATCATCCGGATTACTGCTCTCGAACAGCGGTCCAGGTGTGATATCACAGGAAAAATCAAGGTATAGGGCCCTGACCCAGGACAAGACTACTCGACTGCCTGCGTGCCAGCTCACTTCAATGCCGTACGTACAGGTAAAGCTCGCTGGCACCTATCCGCACCTATCTGCTGCTGTCCCCGACCCCACCCGTCAGCCGTTTTCTCTTCCCCGCCAATACCCCTCCGCACCCACCCGCACGTACATGGACACCCCCCAGGCACCTACCTGCATCTCCGCCCAGGCGCTCCGAAACGCCCTCTCCCTGCGCAGTACCGAGCGATAGTCCTCCACCTTCATGGAACGAATGCGAGCCAGGTCCCAGTCGTAGCGGTACTCCATCCAGTCACCTGCAACAGGTGGGGCGGGCCCCGGGGATTGAATTGCGCTGCGGACAGGCTTGCCCACCCACCCTGAGCTCAAGGGGCCATCCATATGCCGGCCCGCTGCTGCAGCAGGTCATCCGGGAGGCACTCAGTCGTCTCCCTCACTGGTGGCCCAGCCAAGTACGGTTCGCGCTCCAGAACAGGACCGTAAGCAAGCGCGGAAAGCCCAGGGGTCCGAACCCAGGTCCCAGCTGTGTATGTCTGCCTGGAGCAGCACAGCTGCTGGATCAGGAGTGACTCATACGGCGATGCGGCGGAGGTTTAAATGCCCCTCCTTCGCAGTTGCTGCCGCCTTATTGCCCTCCCTTTCCCCCTTCCTGCCGCAGCCACCCACCCGCCGACTGCAGCCCGGGTGTGTGATGGGGTGGTGGCGGCCTGGCGGAGGGCGGCCTCCAGGCCACCGGATCTATGGCTCTGGCTGGGTCGGGTTTCTTCGGGTGTATGTGGTCCAGCCACCTGGGGGCGCGGCGAGGCGGGTCCGTGTAGAAGCTGTCTGGCTGGGTCAGGCGGCGTAGCGTGGTGGGGGAGGGGAACTGCGCGGGCGGGGGATGCCGGGGACGTGGTTTTGCCAGGGAAAGGCTAAGTACGGCATCACAAGGTATGGTGATTCAGGATCTCACGCCTCGCCTCGGCGATTTGATCGCATCCTTGGCATCTATGCCACCCACCCACCCACCCACCGCGCCCCGCCCCTCGCACCTCCTCCCGGCGGCCCTCCCGGATGATCCGGTGCACACCCGCCTCGTCCCGGGTGTCCAGTCGCAACCCATGTCGGTGCACCGCTTCCGCCTTGCGGGCCTTACGTCGGAGCATCCTCAGGTCCGCCAGGGCGGTGCGCAGCTGGTGGCTGTAGAAGAGAGCCTGGTTGGCGGGAAAAGAGGAGGAAAGGGAACATGCAGGGGGGCACGCGCCGGGTGGAGGCCTCCAGCTCGCAGGCTGTTGTGTGGCAGTTGTGTTCCCAGTCCAGTCCCCCAGCTGATTAATGTGCCAGGACGGCGACCACCTGACCAAACGGCTGTGTGTGTGTTTGTGTGTGTCCAGGTGCCAGCATACGACCAGGCACGCCTCCCCGGTGCCCAGTCCCACCCGGCAAGCACATAAGTTCCCACTTTCCAGCACGGCCTACCTCGCTGCGATGGCGCTGTGTGCCGCCGAACACCACCACCCTTTCCGCCTCGCGGAGCGCCTCCTCCAGCTCGGCCTCGTCGACAGGCACCCTCCGCGGCTTGCTGGGCAGCGGTCTAAGCTCCGGCCGATACCCCGCCACCTTCACCGCAACCCCTCGCCCACGTGCGGACTCGGAGCCGTGCACACGCTCTGGGGCCCCACGGGGCCGTGACCCCTCGCCCCGAGGACCCAGCACCCGGGGCGGAGCTGCAGCCGCACCTTCTGGCCGCTGGGCAGCTGTCGTATACTCCTCCACGACGCCTCGCCCTCCTAAAGCAAAACTCAGCTCTGAGGCCGGTGCGCTGACCTGGCTCTCCTCGAGCACGGAGCCGCTGCCACCGAGGCCGCCTCCTTCCGCGGCCGCCCCCGCGGCTAAGAGCTGAGTTGCTGAAGGCTGACGCTGAGTTACTTCTTCCTTACGCTGGCGGGTGAGGGGCGATATGAGCTGAGAGGCCTCCATGCCATCGCCGTCGTCATCGTCGTCGTCGTCGTTGGTTTCCGAGCCTGCTGCTTCCGCCGCATCCTTCGCCGTGTGATGGCCCCTGGTGCGGCCGCCAGCTGGTGATGGCCCCATGTCGGGCCCCGCGCCGGCGGTGGCTGAACTGGTCGCTGAGCGCACCCCGTCAGTGGTGCTCCCGTCAGTGGTGCCGTCCTCGTCCGCGTGAGGTCGGCCTGCCCAGAGCCCAGGGCTCCAAACGCTTTAAGAGATTCTAAAAATGAACAGAGGGGTCAGGGCTGTGTTTTTCATTGCGGCTTGCGGGACTAAGGGTTCCTGGAGCACCCGGAGGGACCGCAGCGGCGTGGGGAGTGGCAGGAGAGGGAGCCGTCGCCGAGGTCGAGGTGCACACAGCGTACCTGCGTCCAGCTGTCTCAGTACGGCATCATGATAGTAGTAACATCCGTCGTACGGTGAGTCTGGCGGCGGCGCCAGATGGACGTCTCGCTGGTGGGCGGTGGCGGGTGGGGAGCTGCCCGAAGGTCCCCCCTGCAGATGGAAGTGCCGCGCGAGGGCGCTGCGAACACAGCAAGGCGAAGACACGGTTTCAAGGCGTCACTTCAGAAAAAAAAGTCTCTTCCCAGCGCATACGGGATACGAGTGGCAAAGGCGGTGCGCCCCTTGGGTCACCTAAAGAGGCTTAACGTGGACTTGCGGCCGCCAGCACGACTACCATCGCCGCCGTCAACAGCTCCAACCACGAGGGCAATAGCATCACTCAGTGGCTCACCGCCTCGATTATATGACACAAATGTACGATTCGTCAATACGAGATCTCCGTACCTTTCGTCCAGCAGCTGTACCAGGCGACCGGCATCCCGTGCTCGCAGCGCCGCCATTAGGTCGTCCACACGATCTGGTGTCACACCGCCGAACAGGTCCTCCAGGGAGGTGGTTAGTCCCCCTCGGTCGCCCTCCCCTTTCCGAACCCCGTCTCCGCTGCCGCCGTCGGCCGCTGTCCGCGCTGCAGAGAGAGGCCTGTCCCTAGATGGAGGGTCGAGCCTACGGGGCTCGGGTGTTCCGGCGATAGGGCGGCTCTGGGCCCTTCTTGTAGAGGAGCCCGAGCGAGCGGTGGCAGGGACGCTGTGGCGTTGCCTTGCTAGCTCGTCCGCATGCTGCAACCAGCAGCGGCTGCATTTGCGCTCGGTCCAGTTGGCATGGCCCAGGCCCCAGGCCTCAGCACGCAGCAGGTCGCAGAGGCGACAACGCCTAGGGGTTTGTGACGGAGACGTGAAAGCATGGGCAGCTGGTTTGCGGGGTGGAAAGGACACCGTGGGTTCTTGATGACAACCGGTTACCAGGATGACCAAGTTTCGGCCAAGTTTCGGAAGAATGAGCAAGATGTTGTTAGGTTAAGCTTTAACGTGAAACCATGCCTATCCATACCTTGCTTCTAGCTCCTTTTCAAGCTGAATTGTTTCGAGTAGCACCTTGTGCTCCAGCGCCCGCCTCTCCACACGCCTCTGCAGCTTTTGCCGCTGCTCTGCTTTCTCACGTGCTGCAGCTTCATCTAACTGTTTCAACTTGAATGCCCTGCCCCGCTGCCGCTCGGCAACGCTCGAACGCTTCATGTCAGAGTGTGTCTGAAGGTGAAAAATAGGCACCCAAGCCGACCCATAATCATGACGTGGTTACCAATAATATAATGCACTGTCTAATGGCCAAGAACTAGTGTTTTGGTGTCACAATTTAGCAAATGCCCCTGTAAAAACTGCCAACCGCTAACAGTGCAGTCCCTTCGAGGCGTTCTAACAGTAGATTGCAACTTCTTATTATTATCAGTTTGATGGCTTTATAGATCAACAGCAAATAAAAATCGCATGCTAACATCTACTCCTCGCTGTAATTTTATTTTAGAGCAGGCCTCACCCTTGTTTCTTGCATGCAAACTGCGTTAAAGCGTGTTGAAATCACATCCGTGTCTCGTTACATAGTATTGGCATTTGCATGGCCACGTGTTCTCCGTTGAGTAATTTACCTCTACCTTGAATGCTGCAAAGCAAGCTAGACCCGTGGAAAAATTACCACTCCGAAAGCCTTAACTCAAAGGATTCTGGCTCGAAGGTCCAGGCCGCTGGTTCCGGCACCCCGGCCCAGGCTCCACGGCATGCGCAGGGTGCGCAAGCTCCCTCTGAGGCGCTAGCTAATGCATCACCAAGCCCAACATCCCCAGTTGCAACAAATGCATCTGAAAATCCAGCCACAAAGAACGACGGTGGCAACGGCGGCAAGCTTCTCCCACATGTCGATGGGCCCAGCCGGCAGCAACGCCGCAGCCCGCCCGCTTCCCCTAGCCCCACACCCGCAGCAGCTGGCAGCAAGGCTCCAACTCGTGGGGGTGCTGGCGGGGTCGCAACCTCCGCCACGCCTGGCCTGAAGCCGAGCCTGAAGGCAGGGATACCTCGCACAGTGCGTGCCACCGGACGCCCAGCTGACATCGAGCCTCTTGCAGTGCACTCCCCGGTCCTTCCCAGCCGCACATCTAAAGGTGCTGCTACTTCTGGAAGTGGTGGTGGCGGTGCTTCATTGCCAGCGCAGTCCCAGCGATCCCCGAGCCCCGATCTCATGCCACGGCGGTCGGCCAAGTCCAGCGCGAGCTCAATCTCCCCTGCGAGCTCAGTGCCGGCGCTGCCAAAGCTGTCCTCTACGGCCAGCGGCGCTGCTGCCTCCAGTGCACCTTCACCCCGTACCGCCGCTGTCGCCAGCCGCGGCAGTGGCAGTCGCCTCAGCGGTGGCGGCTCCCGCTCGTCCGCCGCACTGTCCAGCACCTTGTCGGCAACCGGGCCCTCCCCCATCGCCACCGTCACCGTCACCGCCACAGGCACGACGACCATCACCGCCAAGGGTAGCACACCTCGCGGGGCCGCCACTGCAGCAGCCGGCGGGGCCGCTGCCTCCGCCGAGACCGCCGTACAGCGTCCGGCAGCTCTCAACACGCTTCAGGCGCTTCGGGAGGAAGCCGCTGGACTCCTCAGCGCCGCGGGAATAGCCACTGCCACCGCTGTTGATCGGGCTGGCGGCAGCGCACCCGCCCTGACCGGCGGCAACGGCCAGGGCCCCAACGGCAGTCGCGGCTCTCGTGGCAATATGCCGTTCATGCCCATGTTCATGTTGCCCGGCATCGGCGGCAGCGGCAGTCAGCCCGGCAGTCCGCTGCGCGGCCTCCTCAACTCCAACGGCAAGCCCAACCGCAGCCCCGGCAAGGGCCGCCCGCGGCGTCCCAAGCGCGCCCCTGGTAGCCAGCAGCAGGGCAGCGCCCGGCTCAACCTCAGCAGCCGGACCGGCCGCCGCATCCCTGATCCCAGCGGGTCCTTCGAGGTGATCACCACAGCCCCTGGAGTCATCGGCGAGGTGCGGTTCAGCCCGGAGGTGTGGTGCATGGATCTGTGGCAGCTTCTGGAAGGAGGCTGCGACCAGCAGAGGGTGTGGACCTTTGGCACACCAGCTATTAGCAACGCCGCAGCGGCGGCGGCGCAGATCCTGGCGGCGACAGGCGGCGTGCAGGCGGGTGCCGCTGGCGGCGGCATCGGTGGCACCCGTGGCTCCGCCTCCGGCGAGGCCGGCGGCCGGCGGTCTAGCTCCCCTGGAGCGGCTATCGGCGGCGGAAGCAACGTGACGGACGGGTACACCAGCCCGCAGCCGCTGGCGCTGCTGAACGGCGTGGTCTTCCGCGCTGTGGCTGCAGGTGGGAGTGCGCTGGGGGATCAGGGCCTGTTTGATATGGGGCTCCGTGGGTACTGAGGCTTGGCGTGGCGTTTAGCTGGGAGTGCGGTTGAGCGCCGGCGTCGGGCACTGGCGGTAGAGGACGGGTTGACTGAGTCCTATCAGCCCCAGTTGTACATGCACTGGGCCCAGAGGATCTGTTGGCTGGTGGCTGATTCATGGGGTGGTGTGGAGGCCAACGGGAGGGGTCCTCTCCACCGCATGACGAGGAGGTCTACCGGGGTATCTTCAAGGAAGGTAGCTACGACTGCCATACGCCAACCCCTCTCCTTACCCTCCCTACTTTCGCACCAACATCGCCTCCCTCACTATCACCCCTTTTTCCTGTCTCTCCAAGGCTCTCACCATGCTGTCGCCATTTCCTCGGAGGGCTTCCTTTACCTGTGGGGCTCCGACTCCCGCGGCCAGCTGGGTCGCGGATGGCCCTCCGCCCAGCACGTCGCCAGCTACAGCCTGCCGCGGGAGGTGCAGCCGCCCATTGAGGCATCGCTGGAGGATCTTCAGGCCGCACTGCCTGTGAGCCTGGTGCAGGGAATCATTGCGTCAAACACACCGCGGCAGAGCTCCCGTCGGCTGATGCTGCTGGACGATGGCGACGGTGACGGCAACGCTGGCGGTGGGGGCGAAAGTGGGGCTGGTGGCGGTGGGGGCAACGCCACAGCCACCGCCACCGCCGCCGTCGGCCGAGGGGAAGGAGGAAAGGGAGTGGGAGGAGCGGGTTCGAGGGTGGGCAGTAGCGGTCCTGCGGGGCCGATCAACTTGTTTCCCATGCCGGGGGTGCACTCGCCGGGGAGCGGTTGCGGCGGCATCGGCGGCGTCAGCTCGCGGTCACGGCTGCCCTCCGCCGCGTCGTCGTACTCGTCGTCGTTCCGTGGAGGTGCGGACAGCCGGGTGCTGGCAGCGGCGGCGTCATCCGTGACCTCCGGCCTAGCGGTGCCGGGCGCCGCGACGGCGGCCATCATGGCTGCGGCGGCGGCAGCCGTCGCTGCCGAAAGCGGCGCAGCCGCCACCAGCACCCCCGCCACCGGCACCGTCGCCATCGACCCCGACGGCGAGTTCGACGAGCTGGACAGCCCGGTTGGAGGCGGACAGCGGTTCACGAGCCCTGGCGAGATGCCGCAGCAGCTGCAGGTGTACCGGCTGAAGATCGGTGTGACGGTGCGGGCCGTGGCATGCGGGGCTCTGCACACGCTGGTGGCGCTGGAGGGCGGCGGGGTGATGGGCTGGGGCGACAACGCGTCGGGCCAGGCCACCGGCCGTCCGGGCTCACCGGCTGTGCGGATAAGCACGCCCACCCGCATCCCCGACTTCGAGCAGCTGGAGGTGGTGTGCATATCGGCAGGTGGGTGATGGGCTGATGCGACCTGCTCTAGCTCGTCCTCCGCCTCCGTCCAGCGCGTGTCACTTGGGATTTAACGTGTGTATAGGGGGGGGGGAGGGGGGGAGAGGAATCATATGCAAGGAAACCAGCAATGACCTGCCGGCGTCCGTTAGGGGTTGAAAAAGGGGAAGAGACTAATTCGCACCTCTTCATCATTCACCTCCCGGTGCCCTCATCCACCTGGCTGGAGCGCATCCGCATCATGGCTCACCCACCCACCCACCCACGAAGGCCGTGCAACAGGGTCCTGACGTTTCCCGGGCTTCCAATCTCCCCTCTGCATCTCCCTTTTCCCCCGCGACACCTTTGAACTCAGACAGCTGGTGCTCGGGGTGCCGGCACCTGCCCTTGGGACTTTTGTCAATACCCCCCCTCCTCCATCGTCCTCCACCTCCTCCTCGCCCCCTGCCCCTTCCCCCCGCAGGTCTACTCCACAGCGCCGCAGTCACCTCCACCGGCTCCGTGTGGTGCTGGGGCAGCAATCGCCACGGCAGGCTGGGTATCGGTGCCGCCACGGCCACCTCCCTGTTGGACCACCCCGCCTTCGCCGCCGCCTTCCAGGCCAAACCCCCGGGTCGCACATACCACCACCCCGACCGCGACCCGCTACCCAACACCGCTGCCATGCTCGCCCACGCCCACCACAGCCCTGATGGCCTTCACGACGACGTCAAACAGGGCCTCACCTTCCCACCCACGCCCGCCAAGCTCCACCCCGGCGTCACCGCGCTCGCTGTGGCCTGCGGGTACCGGCACACGCTAGCCGTGGACGCCGAGGGCGGCGTGTGGGCCTGGGGCAGCAACGCAACGCAGACGCTGGGTGTGCCGGACTTTGTGGACCGCGCGGCGCCGGTCCGTGTGCCTGGGCTGCCGCCGTGCAGCTTCGTGGCTGCGGCGACTGTGTCCGCTGCGCTGTGTGGTGAGGGGCAGCTGTACCTGTGGGGCAGTGACTCCTACCTGAACCCGTGGGTGCACCGTAACCGTGTGGGGGGCCCGCAGGGCACCGCCATGACGCCCAGGAGCGCATCCCTGCCGCTCATACACAGGTGGGCCCGGAGAGCCGGAGGTCACGCAGGGGGGTGGGGTGGGTTGGGCCCGGAGGAGCCGGGGGCTTCGCGGGAGGGTGAGGACATCACCCTTCGACAGAACGGAGAGCGAGCAGAGCGGGGGGATCAGCCCTGTGGGGGTTTTGACCATAGCAGGACAGGGCGGGGGATATACCCCTAGGGCTGGGACTTGTTGGAGGGTTTGTCTGTTGTAATTGGTAGTTAGTGGTGCTGTGTGTCAGTGGGGTTGGCCGACCTGACCTCCATACCGCTGCTTGGCAACTTACCCCCTTGCCCGCTCTTTTCCCCTCCCCTCCCCCTCCGCCGCCGCCCCCCTTCCCTGCTCCCACGTGAGCAGGGTTCGCTGGCTGGGTGCTTCCCGGTTCCGTTCCGTGTCCCTGGGGGCTCGCCATGCAGTGGCGGTGTCCAGCTACTCCAACATGTACTGGTGGGGGGATGAGGATATGCTGCCCACGTCCATGCAGTACGGCTCGTCAAGGTGCGGCAGCAGGGAAGGGACGTACGGCAGGCCAGGAAGCGGACACTGCATGCCAACGACCACAGTCTTAGCTTGCTCCTTGGTTCGGCCACGTAAAACCCTAAACCCCCCTCCCTCCCTCTCTCCCTCCCTCCTTGCCCGCCGCGACCGAATGTCTCCGTACCTTGCCATGCCTTGCCGTACCGTACCGCACCTCGGAGGACCCCTCACCAGCCATGGTCTGCATTGTATGTATGTCACACACAGGATTGTCGTCAAACCCCCCGAGCCGTCGGATTTCCTGGCGATACACTCCCCCGCCGAGCACTCGGGCGATGGCAGTGTGCCGCCCCCCCCGCCGCCCCCTAGCGAACCCCTCTCACCCACCAGCTACTACAGCGGCTCATCCTCACTGCCCAACCGCCTCAGCGCCTTTCGCGTCTTCAACTACCGACCCATGGGTCGTTTCTCCGAAGCCGGCGGAACTAACAACGGCGGCCTCGACAGCGCTCCCGTCAGCTTCAGCGGCGGCCTGGGGCCGACGGCGGCAGCGTCGGGGTCGCCGCCGGGGCTGTCACACTGCGGCAGTAGCTTGATGGCGTACCTGGGCATTAGCAGCGCTGCCGGACGCGATGATAATGACAAGTACGGCATTGTCGTACGCCTGTGTGTGTTCAACGGCCGCGTCTACATGTCCATTGCTCCGCGGCGGCCAACGCAACTGGTGCTGGGCAGCGCTGGCGGCAGCATGTCGTTCACGAGTCGGCCGACGTCGGTGCTGGGCGCGCGGCTGACGGAAGGCGGAGTCGCTGCCGCGGCTGCGGCAGCAGCGATGCCCGGTATCGCCTCCGTCGCCGGCGGCGGCGTCCGCGGCGGCAGCGCGGACGCCGGCAGCATGACCACGGGTTCAGTTGTCGGGAATTCTCCGATTGTCAACGGTGACGAGCAGCCTGTGCTGGTGGCGTGTGGGGAGGGGCACAC